CGCGCGCACTCGCCTGCCGCGCCAGGCTGCCCAGGCAGCCAAGTACACCTTCGACGAGCCGACCGACGACGAGCCGGAGGATCCGCGGGGCGCGAACAGCAGCGATGAGGACGCGAGGCCAACGAAGAGGCGCAAGAAGGGCAAGGACAAGGCTGCGGGTGCGTGTGACCATCTTTAGAGGCGTCTAGAGCCCAGCTGACACGTGCGGTCGTGCCCAGGCAGGAAGGGCCGTCCCGCCGCCCAGGAGGACGAGGAGGAAGACGAGGGGCACGATTCGACCACGAAGCACATCCGCGTGCCGAGTCCGCCGCCTGAGGTCGTCGAGTACGAGGTCAAGCGCGTCGACTTCAGCAAGGTCTTGCCCGTCGAGACCATCGCCGAGGTCTGCCGCTCATTCCTTCGTCCCGTCTTCCTCGTCTGCTCACCTTTCGTCTCTCCCCGCTTGCAGATCTTCTCGTACCTCCAGCCGAAGACGCTCTATCGCCTCGCCTTTCTGAACCGCTCGTTCCACACGATGTTGAGCTCGCCCGGCTTCAGGTCGACCTGGCGCGAGATCTTTACCTGGCATAATCCGAGGATGGACTGGATGGACGAGGTCTTCTTTGGGTTCGACAACGAGGAGCAGCCTGAGAAGAAGAAGGCGAAGCCGCGGGCGCGCGACAAGATGCCCTCTCTGGGAGGGAAGGAGGTCGACCCTTATCGGCTTGCGATTCTCCTCTACGAGACGACCTGCGAGGCAAGTACTGACTCACTACATCTGTCTACCCGCTCTCACCGCATCGCTCGTGCAGTTCTGCGGCAAGGACGAAGTCAAGAACGCCGATGCCTATCTTTTGCTGCGCGTCTGCTGCGACTGTCGGCGCAACAACATCGTCCCATCGCTCGACCTCGCAAAGAGCAAGAAGTACGACGGGCTGCACCCTGCGACCATGCGCGCCATCTTGACGACGCCTTGTAGGTCGTCGCGCTTTTCGCCAATCGCGCGGAGCTGACCGTCCTCGCCAGTCGATATCGACGTCACGAGCACGTACAGCGCTAGCCGCAACGTTCTCGTCACGCACTTCTACCAGACGATCCACGAGCTCGAAGAGTTGCAGGCGGAAGACGACGCGGATCAGCACAGCGCGGAGGCAGCGGCGACTGCACGTCCGGCCGGTCGCAATCCGTCTCGCGCTGCCAAGGCCAAAGCTTCGAGTCGTGCACGCCAGCAGCTCGACCACGACGCGGTGGCAGACGGGGATGACGGGCAGCATGGCCCGCGAGTCAGCGAGTTTCTCAAGGCGAGGGCGAAGGAGCGTACTGCTCGTCGTGAGGTAAGTCGCAGTCGCTCCTGTGCCGTCCATTGCTGACGTTTGTGCACGTAGTTCGCCAATGCCGTTGTCGACCTCACGGACAAGATCGACCGTTTCTGCGACGAAGAGAAGCTTGAGAGCGAGCGCTTCTCGATGCAGATGAAATCGCTACGTCTCGAAAGGTACGCTGGCGAAGCGCGTCTCTGTTTCGTACCGTACTGATGACTTCTTCTTCCGCAGGATTCGGCAGCGTCTCGATGAAGAGGGCATCTTCGACTTGCGCCAGATCAACGACATGTACGGTTCGCGCTGGGTCCTCTCGATCGTGCCGCGCTCACTCGAGTTTCCTCCCGCACGCAGCCGTCTCCAGCGACATCCCGCCGTCAGAAATGATGAGCCGCTGAACGACGACAGTTCGTTCTGCGTTTCAAACTCTTCAGATCGCTCCAGCTGATCACTCCAACCGCACAGTCTGGGCAGCGATTTCGGAGAGCGTCTACGCCGACGTTGGACGCGGCGTCGCCAAGCATCTTGTATGGAAGTACGAGAACAAGCGGAACGGGGTCGACTGGCACGCCGCGAAGACCTCGGCCGACCTTCTCAAGCAGCCATCTTCCGTGAGCGATGCCGGTGAGTCTGCACCGTTCCCTATTGATGGACAGGTTGAGTTGACTCTTCAGATCGCAGGCTGGAAGTACGTCGAGGCGGCGATGAAGCAGGTCATCCAGGCGAAGAAGGACGAGTCGAAGCGTATTGCGGCGCACCAGCGCGACGTTCAGAGCCTCGCACGCCAGCAGGAAATCGAGGACAAGAAGAACGTCTTTTTCCGCGAGCGTTACGACAAGATCTTTCGCATGCTGCCCAACAACGGTGCGCGCGCGTACATGCCTCGCTTCCTCGACTTCCTCCGCATGCCAACCGTCAGCGCCCTGTTCGCCGAGGGCGACTATGGCATCGAGCCGAAGAGAGCGGAAGCCGACGTCCAGCGCTTCACGGACCACCTCGACGCGATAAACGTCGAGCTCGACGACTTTGCCCTCGACATTCGTCTCGATGCCCTCAAAGTCATCCTCGCCAGTACGACCGAGATCGACGAGGTCGACGAGGTCGACGTCGATGCACTCGCCGATCCGCAGTATGACGACGCATTCTTCGACTGTCCGTCGTCCTGGCTCATCTGCGGCGAGTGCATGGTCTTCGACACATTTTCCGGTTTACTTCAACACATCCACAAGAAGCACCCACGCAACCCTCCGCCACTCCGCCTTGACGACGACGGCGCAAGCGCTGCACACCAAGAATTAACGACGAAGCCTTTGGTCCGCCTTCCGCTCGAAGTCGCCTGCGCTTGGTCGGCCATCTTCGAGCTCGGAGGACTCGACATCGACGATTCCAAGGTCACCGCGAAGGATCTTGACCGCGCGTTCGACGTGTACAAGCTCGTGTGGGAGAACGGGCCTCGCGGTTCCAAGGGAAGGTCGGGCTGGCGGGAGCTGGTGAGCCCTTCGCTCTTCGCTGTACTTCATGTTCTCGTGCTGAGTCGTTCGCATTGGCAGATCAAGTCGGTCATGCGTACTACCCTGGCCGCCGAGCACAAGGGAGAAGTTCTCGACCCGCCGGTCATTGCGCTCAAGGACATGACGCCTCGCGAACACCGACTCGCCGAAGAAGCGCGCAAAGCTGCCGATCTTGCTCGCATGGCCAAGAAGCTGAAGCGCGAGGACAAAAAGAAAAAGGCGGCCGAGCCATCTACGGCGAAAGTCAAGGTCGAACAAGTCGAGGCGGAAGACGAGGACGAGCGGAAGCTCGGGGGCGCGGCGGAGCACGACGGCGAGAGCAAGGCGCAGGCGGATGTCGAAGAGGAACCGACGAAGGAGGAAGTTGAGGCGGGAGCGAACGAGGAGAGCGAGCAGGACGAGGCCGAGGAGCAAGGCGAAGCGGGCGCCGGCAGCCAGTTTGAGGAGCAGGAGGAGGAGAGTGAGGAGTCCGGGGATGAGTGAGGCCATATGGAGGACCGCTTGTCGCCGCTTGTAGTGAACGGGAACGCCGCTTGAACCGCACCCAGTTTCGTCACGTCTCGAAGAAGAGCCTGCGTAACCTTGCGAATTGCACGTCTAGTACATACAGAGTTCTTCACTCGGCCTTCTCGGCATCCTCCTCCTCCGCGAGCGTAACAAGGACCTTGCCCTCCGGAACGAGGTCGCCCTCCTTGACCGATACCTTGCCGACCTTGCCGGCCTTTGAAGCCCGGAGAACGTGTTCCTGTAGTAGAAAGCGTCAGTCCTCAGGTCGGAGTCTCCAAGGCGCAGAGCTGAACGCACCGTCTTCATCGCCTCGACAGCAACGAGCGGCTGACCCTCCTCGACAGCGTCGCCCTCCTTGACGAACACCTGAACGATCTTCGAGGCTGCACGATCGAGACCATCAGCAATGTTGGAGCTCGAGCAGGGACGAACGCCCACTCACGCATCGGCGCCTTCGCTCCTCCTCCCGCACTGGCCTTCCCAGCCGTGCCACTCGCCATGCCCACTTTGCTCATCCACTTCGGCTGCTTGACCTCCACCTTGCCAGCGAACGACTCAGCGGTGTTGAAGACGTGAAGCGTCTCGGCGGACGGAAGAGCGGCGGAGGTCAAGTTCGATGGAGGGGGAGAGACGATGGTGACGCGTGAGAGGTGCGAGGATAGAGGGGCGTTGATCGTTGCTGCGTTTGGTGCAGTCGGCGTGAAGGCGTCGAAAGTGGGCGCGACATTCGAGAAGAGAACAGTCTCGGTCTCGCCGGCAGAGCCAGCAGGCGCAGCGGCGACCTCGACATCAAAGCCGTCAATCGCGCCGGCGGAAGCAGGTCCGACCTTGACCTTCGCGTTGACCTCCTCGACCTCCGCGCCATCCTTCGCCGCAACCGAGCCCAGCTCGTAACCGTGCTTGTACCGGCCCTGCCCGTCGTTCGCGACGGCAAGTCGGAAGCCAGCAAGCTTCGAGTCGGTCCAGGCTGACTGCTGGCCTTGCGAGGCGTATTGCGAAAAGTCGCGTTGGGCGAGGTAGAGAGCGGAGGTGGCGAGTGTGGCGGGAGTTGCGGAAGGAAGAGGAGGGAAGAGCTCGTCGTAGTGTTTCTGCGTGATCCCCCGAGATCAGCGTAACACCAGCGAGAAGCGAGTGATTCAAGGCGGACCTGGATGAAGCCAGTCTCGACTTCAGCCTTGATGAACGCCTCGTTCGACGCGAGTCGGCCGAGGAACTCGAGGTTCGTCGACGGCCCGACGACCTGGTACTCGTTCAGCGCTTTTCGCAGAGCGCGGAGAGCAGCGTCGCGGTCTTCGCCGCGAACGATGAGCTTTGAGAGCAGCGGGTCGTAGTGGACCTGCGAGGAACGGAGAGCGCGTCAGCTACGAGAACACTACGTGAGGTCTGGCACAGCTCACGCTAATCTCGTCGCCGGCTTCGAAGCCCGTCTCCATCCGCACGCTATCGGACGACGCGGGCGGACGGTGGTGCAGAAGCCTGCCGGTATCGGGCAGGAAGCCGCTGCGCAACCAAGTGCGTCAATGACGGCACAGTGCGGTGAGCCTTGACGCGACGTACTTGCGAGGGTTCTCCGCGTAGACGCGGCATTCGAAAGCGTGGCCGGTGCAGGTGATCTGGTCTTGCGAGAGAGGGATAGGGTTGCCGGCTGCGACCTGGGTGTGCGCAGCGCGTTAGTCTATCGGCACGAGCTAGACGAGGTATGCTTGGTGCAAGGCTGGGCAAGCGATGCGAAAGAGCTGACGTACCTCGAGCTGCCACTCGACGAGGTCGACGCCCGTAACCGCTTCTGTGACTGGGTGCTGCGCGACCAAGCGAGTTCGTCAGCTCGAGCAACCGTCTGGATGCGACTGAGAGACGCACCTCGACCTGCAACCGGACGTTCATCTCGCAGAAGAAGAACTCGTCGATGTTGTCGGCATTGAGGATGAACTCTGCGCCCTCTCGATGTCGTCAGCTCCTCACGCGCTTGACAGAATGCGCTCAACGCACCGACGGTCCCCGCTCCGCGGTACCCAACAGCCCTCGCCGCTTTCCTCGCCTCCTCATACAGCCTCTCCCTCAACTCGTTCGGCAAGCCCGGCGCAGGCGCTTCTTCGATGATCTTCTGGTGCCGGCGCTGGACGGAGCAGTCACGCTCGAAGAGGGAGAGGTGGTTGCCGTGCGAGTCGGAGAAGACTTGGACTTCGACGTCTGTGAGCCGAAAGGGAGGGGGAGGTCAGCTTGCGAAGGTCAACTCAGATTTCGCGCTCGCGCTCTTTCTCAGCCGAACGAAGTGCGTGAGCAGCAGCGCTCGTCATCGGCTGAAGCTCAGCGAGCACACGAAGCGGACTCACGCCTCGGCCTGGTGATGTACCGCTCCAACAAAACCTCATCATCTCCAAAACTCTTCCTAGCCTCCCTCTTCGCGCTCTCCAACTGCTCCGCAAACTCCTCCCTCTTCCCAACAATCTTCATGCCCTTCCCGCCGCCGCCCGAAACGGCTTTGATCAAGACTGGGTAGCCGATCTCGTCTGCGCGAGCGAGGAGGAAGGGGAGGGATTGCGGGTCTTCGCCGGCCGGGATGGAGGAGGAGGGGTGCCAGCCGGGGATGCACGGAACGCCGGCGGCGAGCATGATCTGCGGGGCGAGGAGAGTTTAGATTCGGCTAAGCCGCTCACTCCGGGAAGGAACGGCGACGCACGTCTTTCGACTCTCTGCGAACCCTCAGAGCACGTTCTCATCAGCAGACGCCAACAGACTTGCAGGATCGAAGCTGAAGAAGCGATGTCGGACTCACGCCTTGGAACCCATCGCGCGAATCGCCTCCTTCGGCGGACCGATAAAGACAATGCCCTCCTTCTCGAGCAGCTTGGCGAATTCGGCGTTCTCAGAGAGGAAGCTGTGCGCACATCATCGTACCGGCAAAGGTCAGCTCAACAAGCTCGTTGCAAATCGTCTGACCGGCGGACAGGAGCAAACGCACCCGTATCCAGGGTGGATCGCCTGCGCTCCCGAGCGACGGCAGATGTCGATGTAGCGGTCCATGCGGAGGTACGACTCGGCTGACGGGGCGGGACCGATCCAGTACGCTTCGTCGGCCTGTCAACACGCACGAGTACCGAAAGTCAGCGCAGGCATTTCAACGCAGACTGGCTAGCTCGACAGGGTATTGAAGTTGCTGACGCACCATCTTGACGTGCATGGAGTCCTTGTCGGGGTCCGAGTAGACAGCGACCGTCTTGATGCCGAGTCGGCGGGCGGTCCTGATCACGCGGCAAGCGATTTCGCCACTGTACGGCACAAACACGAGTCAGCGGAGTCGCTTCTCTGGGAACATGACTCGCGCTCCTCCGAAGGAACAGCGACCCGATTTCCCTCGAGAACCTCGCCCAACTCACCGATTCGCAATCATGATCTTGTCAAACAGGGGTTTCTTGTTGGCGCCGTTCTGGTCCTGCGGGAGGTTGTAGCCTCCCATGAAAGCGGACGAAGGGGCAGAGGTTGTCGAGGCATGCCGTCTCGGAACGAGGAGGGCGGGAGAGGAGGAGAGGGCGGCTGCAGGCGGTCGCAAGGGAAGTGAGCTCGCTCGTAAGATGTAGTGAATGATCAGGAGGACGGATGTACGCACCGTTTGAGCGCTGCGATGCGGTGTGAGGCGAAGAAGAGACGCCGGCAACTATGGACCTGGGGGAGCCGGCGAGGGGAGTCGCGCGCCTCGAGAGTGAGGATGCGCGAGTTGAGTGCTGTACTGCGATGCGTCTCATCGCCTGTGCGAGTCTGCTGGCTGTAAGAGCGGGCGAGCGAGGCGCGAGAACGACGGAAAGAGCGAATGAGAGCAAGTCCGATGTGGGGTCGCGAGCGGGACTCCGTCGAATACAAACGAGGATATTGTATTCAAGGTGTATTCAGCGCACTGGACGAAGCGGGCGACGAAGCGGGCGAGCGACGAGAGCGAGTTGCAGAGAGCCGACCGTCCCTACTCGAGGCACGAACACACGGCGAGGTGTCTGCGAATGCGGAGGACACGAACAGCCGTCAGTACACGCTCAAAGAGATCGCATACGGCGACAGCAAAGCCTGCGACGCAACGCACCTCGCCAACGCTCCTCGGACGACCTCCATCTGTCCCACAGCCCTCTTCAACCGCTCCGCCTCGTCCTCCTCCTTCTTCTTCCCAGCCTTTTCCTGCTTCCCCTGTTCCGTCAACCGTCCGAGCAAGTCGAGCGATCCAAAGACGTCGGAGAGTGGAGAGGACGAGGCGATGGGTGCGAGTATGTCTTCGAGGATGCGGAGGAGCTCGAAGGTCTCGGCGAGGGTGATGAGCGGCGGAGAGGCTGTGAAGTTCGTGGCCGCGTCGAAGGTCAGCAAGCCTGCTACGGAAGCGAGATTGTTCCCAATGAGAGCAGCGCAGCACTCACTCTCGAGCAACGGCACACTGTCGAGCAGCATCACCGGCCACCACTTCCTCGGCGCAATCCCGCTCGTCAGCAGCAGCACCAACAACTCCGCCGCCTCCCTCCGCTGATTCGGGACAGCGTAGAGCGCCATGAAGTCTCGGTAGCGCGCGAGGAAGGAGAGGTGTGAGAGGATCGGGCGGAGGGAGTCGAAGGTGTGAGAGGGGAGGTGCGAGAGGGAGAAGGCGGAGGGCGAGTTGAGTGTCGAGGGGAGCTCGGCGTCGTCGTTTGCGAAGGATGCGGGGCGCAGAAGGGAAGTCGGAAGCGAGTCGACTGCCTTGACGAACGCGGATTGATCTGCGGCAAGCTCGCGCACCATGTCAGCGTCTGGCAGCCCTCGTACCGCCGTATGGTCGATGGTGCCGGAGGCTGTTACGTACCCTTGTTCACGTACTCCTCGCCCACCATCTCTGCAATCCTCGCCACCCTCCTCCCATCTCCCGCCCTGACCGCATACGCAACCGCCTCCCCAAACCGCTTCTCGCCCCTCTTCTGATCCTCAACAACCTTGTCCGAGTACCGCTGGCAGATATCGACAAACTCGTCGTCGAGGTCGAGCGCAGAGCAGACGAGCAGGAGCTCGTCGACTCGCTTCGACCGCTTGCTGGTTGAGGCGGGGACGTTCTCCTTCTCCTCCCCTCCGTCAGGCGTCGAACCCTCCACATCCATCCCCTCCGCCTCCTTGCCCACATCCTTCGCCTCTCCCTGCAGATCCACATCCCCCGGACCCTCCAACTCTAAACCCCCGATCAACTCCCTCGCCCTCTCCCGTCCCTTCTTCACACCAGCCGAACAACTCGCGTAATACTCGCACGACACACGCCACAAGCCTGGATCGACCGTGAGGCGATCGGCATAGTCGATGAGGAGGTGGTCGCGCAAACCGAGTTCTTCTTCTTCGTCTTCGGGGGCGGAAGCAGTGGCAGGGCGAGGAGGAGGAAGGTCGAAGGCTTGCAGGTGGAGATGCGAGAGGAGGTCGGCGAGGTGCGTCGCGAGCCAGCCGAATCCGCCTTCGACGAGGGACTTGATCACGCCGCTCACGTCGCCCTCCAAGAGACGCGACTGGGCTACTTCGTCCGAGAGGGACTGGTCGACGGGGTGGAGAGACGAGGTGATGCGCGAGACGATGGCGGGGAGGTCGGTGCGATGGAGAGAGGTGGGTGCGACCCAGAGACCGAATGCGGATAACGCTTCGCGCCAGTCAGACGAAGCTTCCAGGACGTCGTCTTCTGAGCCGGAGAAGATGGCGAGGAGTGAACGGAAGGACTGCTCATAGGTGAGCAGCTCGTCCTCGTTGTCAGGTCCGCCGAGGACCGGGTCGTCAGACCCTTGTCCGCCGTCAAAGCCAGCCTCGATGCGTCGGGAGGTAGGGAGAAGGTGAGTCGACTTCCATGATCGCATGGCTGAAGCGAAGGCGTTTTCGGTTCGGTAGGCGGTCGAGCGCGGGCAGGTCTCGATCAGGCCGACGAGATCGGAGGCGAGGGACTGGAGGTAAGGCGAAGGGTGCTGGTTGACGAGGAGGGAGAGAAGGGCGGAGGCGGAGGAGAGGTGGCCGCGGATCAGGCAGCGGGTGAGGTAGGGGAAGAAGGCGGGCGAGTCCCACGGCGAGGCTAGCGAGAGCAGTTCGTTGCCTTCCTCAGTCGATGGAGCTGTACCGCCAATCGGATCAAGGATCAGCTTTCGCCGTTGCTACGAGATAAGAGAGGCTGGGCCGCAGGTTGAGCCTACGCACCTCGGTCAATCGTATTCACCCAGTCCAACAGCTCCTCCGCGACGAGTCCTTCTCCTCGTCCGTCTGTAGGGAAGTAGAGGATCTCGGCGAGCGCGAGGACGTTGTGCATGGCGGCATGGTGGGCGAGCGACTTCGACTTGGCGCTGGCCGAGAGGGCTGAGTCATTCTGTGTGAACATTCCGTCAGCTCCGCTGTTGCGTGATCGCCTACGACGCCGGGACAGGAGCTTCTGCAGGAGCAGAAGCTCCTGCACCCACCATCAAAGCGAGAGACTGGCAGCGGAACGCACTTTGATGAGCGGGAGCTGCTTCACCAGCGCGTCGCTATACAGCCTGCAGACCCTCGCATAGTACTGCACCTGTTCAGGCGGCGGCACTCCGCCTCCTGCCACCCCAAAGAGCGACTGAGCCGATTGCTCGTACTGTGCGACGATGCGCTGCGAGGGGACGACGAACAGGTTAGCGCGGTTCGCTAGGAAGCTATACGAGTAGTTTACTCACCTGAAGAGAGGCAAAGATGGTGTACGCGTCCGCAATGAGCCTGCGGGACTCTTTCAACGGTGCAGTCGAGCGAGGAGGACGGGGAGAAGGAGCGGGAGGAGCGGGCGATTGAGCGGGTATCAGGGCCATCTTGGGAGTTCTAACAGTCACTCTGGTGCGCTTCAGCTGTCAATCTCAGCCAGTGCGCTCGAGCTGACGAGGTAGTTGACGCCAACCTGCTCTTCCTCATCACCCTTTGGCCTCTTGCTCACTTCAACTTGCTCTTTGGCTGTGTTTGCTGGCTTGATACTACGGCAGAGACCATGGCATCGGAGCAGGCGAGCTCTCCTTGCTCACCCTGCTCTCTGACACCTACTCACCTCCCCACACCTCGTCGCTCAACAGGGCGCTTCCCGCCGCCGCTCCTCGCTCCTGGCGTTCAAGGGGCCCGCGCAACCGAAACGAGAACGGAAGAAAACCGTGCTGATCGACCCTATTGTGCCGAGGAGGGCGAGTCTCGAGGGCAAGGGCGCGCAGAAGGGTGTCAAGCGAAGGCGGAGTAGCGGGGCGAGCGATGGAGACAAGGTGGACGTGAAGAGGGTGGTGAAGGAAAAGCGCGACAAGGGCAAGAAGCGCGCGCAGGCGGAACGAGACGAGGAGCAGGACGAGGAGGATCCGTCCGGTGCGTCCAATCGTTTTCCGTCCCTTACAGGCGCTTGCTGACGTTAGCAGTCTCTCCCCGCAGACGCAGATACGCCCTCGATCCGCTCATACACCCGCACCGTTCCCCGCACCGTTCTTGCCGCCCGCTGGACAACCCTCTCATCCTCAGCGCGGGAAGACCTGCGGTATGAAGTTGAGCAGGCAGGGCGGTACGTCTCGCCCATCGCTTCGTCCTTGCGAAAAAAGCCTTGTAAACTGATCGGTGACGCCGCCACTCATACAGATCAACTCTCGACACCCTCGGCTCGCACTCCTCTTCTTCCGCTCAGAACCTCAAAGCGCTCTTCTCCTCGTTCGCCGACGAGTGCGCTGTTCTCCCTCCTCTCCTCGCTCATGTTACCTTGACTGACGCCCCATGACGGAGCAGCCTCGACACCCTCCTCTCGACCCTTCCAGTCCCGCCTCTTCCCTCCTCTATTTCGTCCTCGAGCAAGAACGGCAAGGGCAAGCAAGTGCTGCTGGGTGCTAAGTTCGAGGAAGGAGAGATGGAACGGAAGATCGTGAGTCTACGTTACTCGCTGCTCGGTGAAGGCGCGCTGGGCTTCTTCCAATCTGTTCGAAGGCGACGCTGCAGTCCGTGGAGTGCTTGAAACACCGCTGACAATGTTCATCGCTTATGTAGAGCCTGCTCGAGACCGCCCTCGAAGCCGAACAAGCAGACGTGGATGCGCTGTCTTCGCGAGTTGAGGACGAGAGGCGGTGCGCCTATGTCTCGCCAGCCTCTTCCGCTCCGCCGAACTGACGACTAGTTCGTTGACAGGCTACTGAAGAAGGAGGAGAAGCTGCTCGAGCAGTTCATCAAGGCTACAACGGAAGCGCGGGACGGGATAAAGGAGGATCTGGAGCGAAAGGTGCGGTTTGCGTTGTTCGTGGATAACCCGATGCCGCTTGACTCGCTGCTGTCAGCCGCAAGCTCGAGAGGCTGACCATTGTCCATCGTGTATCTCCGTCCTTACAGTCCGCCCACCCGCTCGTCTCCTCCCTCCTCCCCACCCGCCCCTCCGCTTCAACATTCTCATCCGCCTCCCTCCTCGTCCCCGGCCTCGTACCCTCCGCACTCTTCACCTTCGCACCGAAACTCAGCTCCGCATGGTTCGCCGAGCCTCTCACCGCCAGCAACACGAACAGAAGCGGTAAACGAACAGCGAAACGAAAGGGCAAGAAGCGAATCAAGACGAGTCTTGAGTCGGTTGAGGCGCGGGAGTCGGACGACGAGGAGGTGGAAGAGGCGCACGAAGCGGGAAGTGCTGCGACGCTTGCATCGGCGTCGGTCGTTGAGCGTGTGGAAGAGGTATTGCGCCGGCTCGGACGGGCAGAAGACGCAGTCGTCGGTGGTGAAGCGGGAGGAAGCGGAGGGCAGAAGGGCAAGGAGCGGCGGAAGGTGAGCGAGTAGAAAGGGCAAGCCTGTGATTCCTCGCGAAGTTCCGTCCTGTCGTTGTGCAAACATGCGTCTCGTCCTCCTCTGCTTCAGCTCGTGCGCCCAAAGACTTGAGCAACAGATAGTTCCCGATACAGAGCCTCGGACCCTAAGTACAGACCGCATCCCACTTCGCCTCGCCTACCGACCGTTCGATACCTCACAGCTGGCTGTTTGCGACGGATCCCTTGTAGCTCTGCTGGTCCGTGAGAGGGTAGCGGTCGCCGTAATTTTGCTTCGAGCGCTTGCCGAAGGAGACGAAGCCCAGCGCGCGCATGACTGTTGCGGCGGAAAACGAGCAGCGTCAGTACCTGTGATCGCAGTCAAGAACAGAGCGCAGAGCGACTCACGACCCAGGACAGCCAATCCAACAAAGATCGTCACCGCCGCTCCAATGAACCCGCTCCCGACGCTCGTAAAGTGTCCGTCGGCAATCTTCTCGTACTTGGTCGCCAGCGTCTCGTATTGCTGCGTCAAAGCCCATTCGGAGCAAGCGGGGACGGAGCCGTTGTTCGAGCAGAGGGTGCACCAGGCGGTGTTGTTCGGGATGATGTACGGCTGCGCGGACGATCGAGTCAGTCGAAGGGTTGGAGGATGCAGCGAAAGCAAAGACGCACGTCAAGGTTCGACGCGAACGTGTTCAAGTCGACGTCGACATCGTTCGAGCCAAACAGCGGGATGTAGGTGAAGTCGCTGTCGGTGGACGAGCCGTTGCGGAACCCGAAGCGGACATCGTGGCCGCTCGCGCCAGAGCCGCCTGGTCGGACTTCGAAGACGGCTGCGGAGGCGTAGTCGACCATTCCGTAAGGGTTGGGGAGAGAGGGGTTTGTGGCGGCGGCGACCTGGGTCATGTCTGCGGAAGCGGGACGAGTCAGCGGACGGCAGACATCAAGCGAAGACAGTGGGACGCACTGAAGATGGAGAGGAAGGGCTTGTACGACGCGTGCATGTGCGAGATGACGACCTGGTTGCCAGTTGCCGTGAACTGCTGCATCGAAGCGATGATGCGGGACAGAATGGCGCGACCGGGGACTGTGTAGGCGCAAGGAGTCAGTTGGGCCGCTGCGGCGAGGGGAGAGGGGCACGCACTGTTCCCGAGACCGCCGGGCGTCGAGTCGGTGAAGAGGCGGTATTCGTGGAAGCTGCACATTTGCAGTCAGCTTCGCCCGTATCTCGCCAACTTGACGAAGATCGAGCTCACTTGGCGAGGTCATGCGCCCGAGCGAGGACGTCCTGGCCCGTCGCATTCAGCTCCGCAGCATAAGTCGCGTTGTGGATCGAGTTGACGTTCATCTGCGGCCCTTGCGTCAGCTCCAGCACTCAGCGTTATAAGAAGGTGAAGCGCACGTAGTCCCAGACGTTGTAGGCGTTGGCCATCGTGACTGTCCGGTTGCCGACGAGCCCGCTCGACTTGATCAGGTCCAGCAAGTCCTTGTCTTGGTCGGCGCGGGCCGTCCATTCAGGCGATGCGTAGAGCTGCAGAGAATCCATGTGTGAGCAGTAGTTCAAGGGAAAGCGGAAGCCGGATTGTCTCGTAGGACATCACGGTATCCGCATGCTCAGCTTGTGCTCTGCCCACCTCAGTAGTCCGGTTAGGCCAGACGGCGCAGTTCGTCCAAGGCTCAAAGTCGATGTCGTCGTCGGGCATGACCGTATTAACCTGGACGTACTGGTAGCCGCCCAGCGGCGAGGTGACGACCGTTCCGTTTGCGAGCGTGATATTCGAGATGTCGGTGCGGGGAGGGTAGAAACCCTGCGTGCGGTTAATTGAACGTCAGCATGAGCGATCTCAACGTGCTGGAACGAGGTTCGGCGGAACGAAGTCCGCTGGCGGAACTGGTTGAGGAGAGGGACAACTTCGGCGCACCTGCCAGAACGCCAGCGCCGAATCGTAGATAACGCTGCCCTCTCCTCCGGCATCCGCAGTCGAGTTGATCTTGAACCCGTCAAAGGTGGTGTTACTCAAGCCAGAGATAGCGCGAGTTGGGTCGGATCCAGCGTAGATATTGCGCACGAGCGAACCGACTTGGAACAGTTGCTGCTCGCCGAGGGGTGTGACGGCCGTGTCGGAGGCGCTGTAGCTCGTCGGGTTCTCTGCGGCGGGGGGAAGAGCTCGATCAGTTCAAGTTGGCTTTTGGGAGAGATAGGCGAGGTGGACGCACGGTAGAAGCCCGCCCGGTCGCCGTGGCGAGCGAGGATGACCACGCCGATAGGTGCGTTCGTGTTGGGCATGCTGGCGGGTCCGCAGAGGGGCGAGAAGACGAGTTGTGGGAATAAGTGGGGACGGGGCGATGAGGATGAAGAAACGGAGAAGGGGCGTCGCTGGTGGGTGTTTGCTCGGTCTGGCTGGCGCTGAAGGTGCACTCTAGCGGTCGCAGTGTGCAGCAGGACCAAGGGAGCGAGGAGAGAGCGGGAAATGGAGCTGACAGCGGACTTTGCGAGGTGGACTCGTTCGGGTCTGCAACCCGGAGCGGACTCCGCCAAAATGACTTTTTATAGGCGATAAGGGACAAGCCGCTGCGAAGAGAGCTGATTGCACATCAGCGTACCCGATCATCCCCGTCGTCCTCCCCGCTCGACCCGTCCTCCTCGTCCTCTTCCTCCTCCTCCTCGTCCGACTCCTCCTCCTCCTCTTCGTCAGACTCGTCTTCTTCTTCCTCGTCGTCCTCGTCCTCGTCCTCGTCCTCCTCACTGCTCGTCTCGCTCTCCGCAAAGAACTCGTTGAGCGACTGCTTCTTCCTCGCCGCAGCCGCGGCCGCGGAAACTCCCGTTGGAGTCGCCGCTCTCGAGCCAGAGCCTGAGCCTGAGCCTGAGCCGGGCGTCAGGACGACCTTGCTCCCACCTCGCGAGCTCGAACTGGCGCGGAACGAGTCGGAGCCGAATCCTTGCAGCGGGGTGGTCGAGCGCGAAGGGGAGGAGGAAGACGATGTGGGCGGGTCGCGGATAGAGGAGGGCGGCACGGTCGAGGGATAGGGAGGGACGTGCGAGAGTGGAGTCGATTCGCCTGCAAATGGTCGTTTGCCGGGAAGCGAGAGGGTGAACGTGCCGAGTTGCGCTTCGGGCGGGAACGAGCGGTCTGCATGCCAGCAAATGTCAGCGAGCTCGACATAGAGCAACGCATGTACACTCACGAGAGAAACCATCAAACGTCTTGCCCTCGAACAGCACCTTCCGCACCTGCTCCGCCGTCAAGCTCTGCTTCTCCGCCGCTTCCTCTTCCCCATTCCCGCCCGCCGAGCCCGTCAAATCCTCCACCTGCAGTCCCTGTCTGAACTCCTCCTCTCCCAACATCACCTTCGCGCCCTCGCCCTCGCTCCCCCGGCCCTTGCCCTGCCCAATCCCACCGCTCGCAACCAGTCCAGCGAGGAAGCGCGCTCGGTCGCGTACTTCGTAGGCAAGGTCGTAGCGCGCGATGAGGGCGAGGTAGTCGAACAAGAGGGAGAGCGGGCGGAGGTGAGGGGTTAGAGGGGAGAGGTGCGAGAGGACGAGGAGTTTGGCGGAGAGAGTCAGGAGCTGCAGTTTCGCGGGGACGGCCTGCGCGCGCGAGATTGTCAGCCAAAACTCAAGCCGATCAGCGAAGGCAACGCACCTCTTCTGCAAAGTTCTTCGCGCCGAGGCGGACGACATCCGGCCCGCAACCCTCGACAAGCCCATCCGCCGCAAACTGCCCGACAAGCCAGTACACCGTCGCTCGCGCCGAGGTGTTCTTGATCTTGCCGGTGTAGAGGTACGAGGCAAGGCGAGTGATGGTGGAAGAGCGGGAGGCGGTGGAGGGGAAGGTCGGAGAGCAGATGAGCGCGGCGAGGACGAGGACGGCGGTCGAGACGGTCGGGTCTGTAAAGACACAGCATGAGCAGCATCTGGGACCAGGTCATCGCGCAACGCACCGTGCTTGCTCTCAAGCAGATTCGTCAGAGTCTGGAGGCACTCGGGCGCAACTTGCGGTACTTGCTGGGCGCAAGTTCCGATCGCCTTGACCGCCTCAGCGGAGAAGACGTCGTCGATGTCCTTGACGTAGGTCTGCAAAGAGCTCATCAGCTCTTGACAGCTGGACGCGGGTCGGCGAACGCACCAAGAGCTCCCGCAGGACGACCTGGATATTCGACTGGTTTGCCAGAGCGACAATCACTCGCAGACGATTCCGCCGACTCTCTACCGGATCCGAGAAGCGAACGAAGAAACTCGAGATGTGGTCGATGAAGAGGTCCTGCAAGACGAGATCGTGAGCTGGCGCTGAGCCTGCGCGAAGCGGAGAGGCGCACCGGTCGTTCCTCCGCGATGAGCGCGCAGTCCTCGAGCGCAACAGCTGCGACTTCAGGAGGTCCCTTGAGGAGTCGCAGGAGTGGTCGAACGATCTTGCTGTGCCGTGCGGGCGGACCGAGGTAGTAGTGCAGCTTGACGACGCCCGAGACGACCTGTGTGCAGACAAGTCAGCCTCGCATCGCGCCGTAAAAGAGGTCGTGGACGCACCGCCGGGTTGAGGTGCTGGAGGAGCGCTTCGGAGCTCTTGAGCGCCAGCTCAGCATCCGGGTCGAGCGCCTTGGACGCTGCCGGGTCAAGGAAGAACGTCCGACCATACCGCACGAGCACGCGCAGCAGGACCGTCTGTCCCCACTCCTCGACGTCCATGAGCATCTTGCAGAATCGGCGATAGTTCTGGTGCAGCATGTCCCATGCAGACGGGCACAGCGTCTCCCAAGCCGTCAGGGCCGCGCCGATTGTGAGCGGGCTCGCGTTGTCGAGCAAGACCTTGAGTGTCGGGAGGAGCGATGACCGGTTGTCCTTCATCGGGTCGGCGAGGTACAGCATCCGCACGGCGTCCGCTGTCGCTCTTCGAACGTACCAAGACGTATCCCGTGCGCCCTTCTGGATCGCCATACCAACGAGCTCGCGGATGTCGGGCAGCTGCATCGACGCGAGAGTCGTGATGGCGCCTGCTCGGACGAGCGGGTTTGGGTCGGACAGGTCTTTCTGATAGGCGTTGATCGAGAGGAGGGCGAGTTCGGGGGCATGAGAGGCGCAGTGAACGATGTAGAGCGAGATGAGAGATCGTGCTTGAAGGGACGTTGTCGGTGCGAGGAGAGACGTGACAAGCGGAAAGAACGAGGTGACGGGGAGGTTTTTCGTCATCATCTGGGTAAAGAAGCGGGTGAGCGAGAATAGCGAGGCTTGACAAAAGCAAGCATGTGCGCACTGCGATGACCCGCTTCAGACCTTCTGTCCGCTCGACTTCTCGCTTCGACGCCAGCATGCGCTTCGTCTCGTCGATCCCAGCTGCCGTCAAGACTGCGCCATTCTCGAGGTACTTGCCCGAACCGCCGCCGCTTCCGGAGGCGAAAGCGTCCTGCACACGCAAGCGTCAGTGTGTGAGCTACGTAGACTGGGGAGCAGAACGGACCACAAGACCGAGATCTCGCGAGTGTTCTGTAGAGGAACGTAAGGGGAGGTCAGTACTTCCGACCCCAACGAGCAGCCACCTGTCGCTCCCACTCAGGAGGGGTATGGCAGCACGAAGGAAGACCGACGCACCCGCCAAGTTTTCCCCTAACCGCGCCCCGAGCCTTTCGAAGTTGGTCCGGAGGTTCTGCAGCGCCTTGTCCGACATCCTGCCGACCGATAGCTCCTGCGCCCTGCGAGTGCTCTTTCCAAGCTTTGGGTGGAGTCCGAACGCTTCCTCCACGGCGGCGGCGGCGGTGGGTGAGGAGGTTGTGTGAGGTAGGTGGGGGATAGCGATGAGGAGGTTTAAGAGCGCGAGGGCGGGGCAGGAGGAGGTGGCAGCGTCGGCAGTCGAGCTGTACAAGTCTGAACGACTGATTGAGCCGATAGCGAGCGCAATCTGAGTTGTCGCGAGGTGAAGAGGGAAGCAGAGAATGACGGGGGTCTCCTCGTCGCAGACCCTGGGGCAATGAAACCGTCTTTAACCAGCTCGAAGCGCTCTCAGACTGTGACAGCGTGTTCCCAAGCGATACATCTAGCCATACTGATGAACGGGAACTACGGCGGAGGACATCCGCGCCAGCGAAAACCGGCCAACTCGAGGAGATACGACAAAGTAACGCCTGACGCAGCTGCTGCCTTCTGTCGAGGGCAAGTCGGGAGGCTGATGTACACCGACTGAGTCCCAAAGAGGGCCAGGATAGCCGAAGAACGCCTCAGCGCGTCCGGCCACTCCCTTAGCTCGAGAAAGACTGTCTTGCGCTCGTCTCGCTCGGCTTGGCGGACTTCGTGCTCAAGTCTGGAAATGATTGGAAGTATGCTGCTGCGTCGATAGATGCGTAGGAGTACAAAATCATGCGGTCGGGCGAGGGGGAGGCGAGACAAGGGGCAAGTCGGAGGGGAAGAGAAGGGTATTCGTCTGCAATTCTTATCAAGATCAGCTCTTGGGCAAGACAGTGACATACATCGACTTTGCGGACGTCGGACGTACCTAATGCGGCGCCATCGGACCGAGGAAACCGCCTCAAGCCTCGTCCTCGAGCTCCTTCCACCGCTGCTCGACCACTTTTCGCTTTTCCTTGGCCGCCTCCTGGTTCTTCCTAGTCCGCTCAAGACGCTGCAATGTCATGCGTACAAGGTCAGGGTCAGCAAGCCGTCCGATCAGCACTTCCACCCTCTCGGCACCCTGTTCCGACGTGCGCAGACAGCCACGAAGGTCGCAGACGCACCTCTTCCCGCAAGCACATGTTCAGTGCGTGCTTTTGGCTGTTGCACGCGCCCGCAAACTTCATCCACGGGTTCGCATCGTGGCACTGCTTGAGGGCCTGCATAACCTCGGTGCAGGCTGCGCGGGAAAGCGGTGGATCAGTGTGCGCCTTCTTGGAGTGGTTGATAGAGTCCTCACAGCCCTGCTGGTGATCTGCTAGAGGCGGATGCATGTCGTCGTCGCGGTGGACGATGGCCAACCTTCGTTCGCCTGCTTCTCTCCTTCACCAAAGTCGCGCTCGCCCAAAGAATGCCGCCCAGAGTGTTCTTGCTGCGTCACGGAGTAAGTTCCCGTCCTGCAGCAGCCCGTCCACCCTTTCCGCCCTTCGAATCGCTCGCTCTCTCGCTTCCGACCTCGACAACCGCGATGAGGCCGAATCGACGACGGCGCCTCATCCTACGCTGTGAAGACTTGTCAGATGGGCTTTTGGGGCGCACAGCGTGGCTCAGGCAGACTGGGCGGTCAGACGGAACGTTGGACGGCGAGCTGAGTCGAGTCGTGTGCTCATCGCGGTCGGCCACTTTCGGATTGTGGTGATTGCGTCCGGCTAGGCTGGGCCCGCTCGCGGCAGGCAAAATGGACGTCGGTCATGGCGTCCACTGCGACACTGCGGTCCCGGAGCATCCAGGCGACCCAGCTTGACATTTCGACACAGCCTCATCGACGCCTTCGAAGCGAATCCCGCTCGACCGCTTTCGCGTACAGAGCAGCACAATACAAGCTCAAGGGGCGTGCACTGACAACGCTCCCTCGCCGCCCGCAGGAAGCGCAACATAATGTCGGACCGCCCTTTCCTCCGCCTGATCACAGCCTGCTCGACCCGGAACTTACAAGCGTGCGTTTCGTTCGCCCTGTTTCCTGCATTCCCATGGTGTCCTTCTTCGAGGACAGTCGCCGAATCTCGTCGAGACGGTGGACTGACCCTCTCGTCCTCGCAGCGCGGCGTTACGCAATGTGCCGCGATTCCGACGACCTATCCCACCTTTTTCGCCTCGCTCAAGCCCGAGAACACCATCATCCTCGTCTCTCCCCTCCGCCGAACAATGCAAACCATGCTCCTCGGCTTCTCAGCCCTCCTCCCCTCCTCGACCTCTCATCCCGTCCCGCTCCTCATCCTCCCGCAACTACAAGAATGCGGCGCGTATCCGTGCGACATCGGCGGACCTTTAAAGGAGACCAAAGCGCGGTTTCCGCATGAGTGGCTCGACTGGAGCGAGGTGGAGAAAAACCCGGGATGGAATCAGAATCGGGGCGAGTTCGAGGCGACGGAGGCGAAGAACGTTGCGAGGGCGCGGTGGGTCAGGAAGTTCATCCGTGAGCGGAAGGAGGAGAATGTGGTGGTCGTTAGCCATCACGGCTTGTTGCGCCGGATTGTCAAGGCGCCGCACGCTCACGACCGGAAGAAGTCGGTGCGTCCGGTCTGCCGCTCTCCTTTCCGCTTGCATGAGGCTGACCTCGCTCCCTGCAGCCAATCCAATGGGACAACGCGACCCTGCGAGAATACAAGTTCGCCGACGAGACGGGCGCAGACGAAGAAGCCGACCTCGTCCGCGTCCCCGACCAGGTTCTATAGAACTAGACACAAAAGCGCTGCGCGCCCACCCTCACTCGCTCGCATAGAAGACTCGCCCCTCGCACCGCTCTGTCCACATATCGTTTGTTGTAGCCTCTCTCTGCAAAAGCAAGGCGTTCTAGCTTTCTCTGCTCTCCAACTCTCGCGGCGTGAGGAGGTGGAGTGCACTGCGATTTTGCTGTTCGTACTTTGGGGGAGGGAGAAAGACGGGGAAGACGGGGCTCGATGCCGCGCGTCTACTTGAAGACGAGGACGGAACGGAACCTGCGGGTCGAAGCGGGTCAGCCCATCATGCTTGCAAGAGCGGGAGGAGACGCAAACGCACCTAGCCTTGCCCTCCATCATCGCGTTGAACGCCTCGTTGACCTTGTCAAGCGGGTACTCCTCGACCATGCACTCGACGCCGCTCGTCTGCGCAAACTTGACCGTGTCCTCCGAGTCGGCCGCCGAGCCCGAGGGCCATCCACGGACGCTCGCGCGCTTCTGGATGAGCGTCATGATCGGGACCTCGAGCTTGTCGGCCACGGCGAGAGTGAGGAGTTGGCCGTTGACGGCGAGTCCGCCGATCAGCTGCTCCATCGCCTTGCCCGAGGGAGCGACGGCAGCAATAACCTTTGCGCCTCCGAGCTTCTGAAGAGCCTCGGCGGGGTCCTCGGCGTTCGAGTCGATGTAGACGTGCGCGCCGAGCTTGGTCGCAAAGTCCTTCTTCTCCGGTCCGCGAGAGACGGCGACCGTCTTGTAACCCATCTTGTTGGCGAACTGGATGCCGAGGTGGCCGAGACCGCCGACGCCCTGGATCGCCACAACGTCGCCCGGGTGGACGTCCATGTTCCTGCGCGAGGGAGCGTTAGGTCGCGCTCGAAAGACGGGGAAGGTGGCGACTTTGAGGCGTACCTGATACTGTTGAAGGTCGTCACACCGGCGCAGCTGATTGCGAAGAGTCGCATCGGCGCAGGCGGAGGGAAGGTGAGGAAAAATGAGCGGGTGTCGACGAGGCGCGAGATGAAAGCAAACTGTGCGTTAGCTGCCGTGTCTCAAGCGAGAGCGGAGACAAAGAGAACGCACAGAAGGGGCGCAGCCTTGGCCGGGTCCATCTCGCGCGGGATGTAGCAGACCGCCTCGGTCCTCAAGGTCACGTACTCGGCGTGTCCGCCGTCCGTGATGATGCCGTTAATGTTCTCGTTCTCGCAGGTGACGAAGTCGCCGCGGTCGCAGCTGTGAGCGCGAAGTAGCGTTAGTTCAGCGGAAGAATGGGGGACGCTTCGTGCGCCATCTCCTCACGATAATTGAAAAAAGCGACTTTCCGACCACACTTGAAGCAGTTGCCTCCGTGCCAGCCTAAATCACGCGTGCGAAGTGTCACCGCGACGCCAGAAAGTCTCGTAAGAGCAAATGGACGAACCCGAACCGACACGGTCGCCGACCTTCCACCTCTTCTCGTCCTCGGGCACCTCGACGACATCGCCGACGATCTCGTGGCCCGGAACACGGGGGAGACCGGTTGGCATCGCCTGGTCGACGACGATGGAGTCCTGGTTGAGAAGGCGAAGGTCAGTCGCCGCCTGGCTAGCTCACGGGGCAGTCCGTCGACTGAGAGAACATGGCTCCTGGGCGTCGCAACGTACCGAGTGGCAGACGCCCGAAGCGAGGACCTGCGGGAGACGAGGGATCGGCGTCAGCACGAGAGCCGGGACAGACGAGGTTGAACTGGGCGCACCTTGACGACGATGTGGCCCGACTTGGGTGACTTGTACTCGACCTGTAGGGCGCAGAGAGCGTGTCAGCGGCAGCCCACGTTGGCAGCAAAACGAGGGAGGCCGACTTGCGTCGCGGATCTCGAGGGGCTTGCCCTTCTCGACGACGAAGGCTGCGCGGTAGGTCTTTGGGAGGTTGGGCGACATGGTTGGAGTGTTGTGTGTGCTGTTTGTAGCTGTAGCAAAGTGTGAAGAGGGAGAGAAAGAGAGCGATGACCCGCTCACTCGGCCTCATCGCTGACCGCGATCTCCGAAGAGTGGAGGCGACGTCCGAGGTGAGGGCGACCCCTGAGTAATCCAGTAGGACATGGAGAGGGACAGAGCAGTGAGCACGAGAGGCGGAGACGGGAGAAAAGACGAGATTTTGCCAGCGAAGGAGCGCTTCTATCGTTCTACAGTCTATGGAGGCGGGGACGATGATACGAGCGCGTCTACACGTCGGACCAGACAGCCTTGGCGGTTTCGACGACGAGGCGGAGCTTGGCGACGACCTGGGCGACGGAGGGAGACGAAGCCGGTCAGCGGCGACCGCTCCACACAAGCAAATCTTAGCTCAACTCACGTCCTCCTCGGTGACTGGGTTTCCCTCCGCGTGCGAGGCGAAGCCACATTGGCACGAGAGACAGAGGCGCTGGAGAGCCTGCTCGCGCGTCTGGTTCGAGCCCTTGGCGACAAAGTCGGCCGCCTCGTGAATACGCTTGACGAGGTCTTCCTTCTTCTCGAGCTGGGGAAACTTGGAGGTCAAGAGGCCGAGGACGACGGTCTTGTTAGCCGGGAGGTCGGCGAGGGGCTGCAAGGGTGAGCGGGTGAGCCAGCGCTCGAATGACTGTGGGCGGTGTGCGCACCTCGAAGCCACCGGCACGCTCGGTGTCGTACTCGAGGTAGTACGCGTGAGCGTTGAGCTCGTTGAAGATCTTCTTCGAGACGTGCTCGTAGCCGCCCTCGGAGAAGTGCATGCCGTCCTGCGCAACGTGACCTCCTGTCAGTATCGGTGCAGCTGAGACGCTGTGAGATCATCGGCGCACCTTGAAGTTACCGCGGCACAAGTCTGCCCGGTGCAAGCGAGACAACAGCAAGTCAGCCGATGACCGCTTGCAACAGGAAATCGCGCAACGCACGGAGACCGATGGTCATGTCCTCCGGCGCATCCCGGATACAGTCGTTGTAGAGCTGGATGTACTGGTCGAGGACTTTCTCCGGGTTGATTCCTTCGGCCTTCATGCCCTCAAGCATGGAGGTGGCGCACTGTGCGTCGCGGCCCGAGCCGACGAGTCAGCTTCCGCGCCAGTAACGCGTGATGTAGACGCAGAACTCCAGCAGCGCACGAAGTAAGCGAGCAAAGGGTCGTCAAACTGGACGTTCCTGCATCCCGCCTCGTAAAGGTCCGCCAATTCCTCACGATAGGCCTTTGCGAGGTCAGCGAAGTATTCGACCTCCGTTGGATAGACGGAGCGGTCGAAGGCGTGTTCGCCGTGGCGGAGGTGGTACTATCTGCCCGGTTCGAGGAGTCAGCTGAAGGCGGAGAGTTGGAAGGGAAGGGAAGGAGGCGGACTGAGGCGCAGCGAGCGTGAGCTTGATGTTCTTGACCTCGTCGGGCTTGACGAGCATCTTGAGGAACTCGAATTCGGGGCTGCTCGGTTGCGAAAGCGATGTAAGCGGAGAAAGAGAGAAAAGGGTGAAGGATTGCGCACCGGTACATTGGCTTGTTACGCACGAGCTTGGCCTTGCAGATCATCGTGTCGGCAGGCTTTGCGGCGTGCGACTGGATGCACAAGAATGAGGAAGCGTGAGCGAGCACGGGAAGTTGAGGAGTCGCAGAGTCACTCACCTCGAAGAAGCCCTTCACATCGGGCACATACCTGCGGGACGACACCAACGATCCGTCAGCCGAATTGATACAAGCGCCGAACGCCAGGGTTGTACAAGCCAAGCACTCGCCGACATGGAAGAGATTGAGCAAATGGTCTGCACTGACATCTTAAACAGCTCGCGACCTGGGTTCGGCACGACAACCATTCCGTCAAGGTTGTTGTGAAAGCCATCTGTTCGCCCAGCGCTGCATCAGCATGCTGCGAGGAAGCGAAAGGAGGTGCAGGAGGACGAACCAAAGAACCTGTGAACGAGCGAGTCGAGGTCAGCGAGCGTTTCTCTCGCCTGGGAGCATCAGTACGCACATATGCCTGCGGAACTCTCCATCGGTAATAGCCTTGATGCCAACCTCCTGCTGCATCTTGACCGCCTCACGAATCGCCTTGTCCTCAACCACCTTCAGGTCCTCGCGCGTACATTTGCCGTCATCAAAGTCGGTGCGCTTAGCGAGGAGCTCAGCGGGCCCTGTGAAATTGCCCGTGAGCTGGCAGGCGTGCTGCAAGGAGGAGAGGGTGCGTACGCTTGAGGGACCCGATGTGGTCGGCACGGAAGGGAGGAGCGAGGTGGGCGGGCACTGCGAGGCGTAGGCGGCGTCAGTAGGGTCACAGTACGGTCTCCGCTGGCTCAAAAGCGCACTTTGAACGAGTTGAGGAGAGTAGCGGTAGCCAGGGCGCGGAAGCAATCAAGGTCAGATATCAACCGCTCACAGCTCACACGCTCGTGCGCTTGCTGAACGATGGATCACGGCGGAATGGACCACGGTGGACACGCTGGACACGGCGGCATGCCCTCAGACTCGCCTCACGCGATGGCTTGCAAGGTGCGCCAACTTCATCTACCGAAGGGACAGGCGGCGTCGCAAAGGCTGCCGAGGGGTGGAGAGCGAGCTGACACGGCTCTCCGTACTCGCAGATGTCGATGCTGTGGAACACAGACCCGGTCGGGCATTGTCTGGTGTTCCCGTCCCTCCAGATCACCCAGTCCTCCGTCCTCCCCTACCTTGCAGCCAGTGAGTGCCGTCCTGTTCGCTTGAAAGCGACCCACGATCACTCCTGGACATCGACTGATTCGTGAACCGTCCCGCAGTCGTCCTTCTCTCGATGCTCTGCGAATACCTCCGCCTCTCCCTCTCCTCCTTCGACCGCGCCCTCCGCTCCAACCTCCGAGGCGGCGCATACCCTCCACCGTCACGAATAGACGGCGCAAGCACACCTCGCCTTGGTACGCCGGCGGGAGGTCTGCGGAGAACGAGCGCACTGGGCTTGCCGACGGATATGAGCGAGGAGGCGTTGTTGGGCGGAGGAGCACATGGGTCGAGGGCGAGGTACTGGGGCGTCGTGTGAGTGGTCCTTCGCATACCCTTGACTGCTCTGCGCGAGCAGGCAGGATGCTCGTCCAGTCGAGGCTCACCTTGCAACCGCCTCGACCAGACGTCTACCCTGGACCGTCCAGCTGCGACGAAGCCTGCACTACGTAGCGCACATCTCGCTTTCGGTGCGTGGCACAGTCCCCTCAATTGCCCGATCCCTTCGCACGCTCGTCCGTCGCTCTCCGCATCGCTCCCCTCTCTGACTTCATCCTTTCTTCTTTCTTCGTCTTGCAGTTCTACATCATGCTTCTTGTCATGTCGTACAACGCGCAGATCATCTTCTCTATCATCCTGTGCGTCGAGCTTCTTCCCTCTTCTCCCTCCGCCAGGCGCACACGATGCAGCCGTCCTGCTCGATTTCGCACCTCATCACATCCTTCTACCCTCGCTGACCCCTCTCCTGTACCAGCGGCGCATTCCTCGGCCACTTCGTCTTCCAGCGAAGCATCGACCTCGGAGCAACTGGGGAGGATGAGCCGAAAGGTCTGCAATGCCATTGAGGCGGGGCGCGCCGCTTGTATGGGTTTCACGGTTGTAGGCGTTACATCGTCTTGGCTGGTCCACTCGATGCCTTCCTCGAAAGCCTCCGCTCGACGACTTTGCTTTCGCCTCCGCTCTTCGCTCCTTGCTCCCGTCTCCTCGCTCCTTCGTGTGTACCTGTCGGAATCTGTATACCGTCCTACTTGTGAGCACCGCTGGCCGGCAAGCTGGTAAAAGTTGGGCGCGCCCTCGAGCCCCTCGTCCGTTGGCAACTCTCTCTCCGTCCTTCCTCTCACTCTGCTCAGCGAAAACAGCGCTGGTCGCATCGCTGCGATACTCTGCTCTGTTTGTGTATCTCTACTGTACCACCGCACCCCACTCCACGCTCTCCAGCGGGCCAGCTAGCCTGACCGCCCGTCTGCTCTCTTCGCCTCATCCATCCCTCGCCCGCCCATTGCGCCGCCCGAACGAGCAAATGCCGGCTCATCAACCTTCAAGCAGTCGCCACCGCCACCGCGCACGCCAGCTCTCCACACATTCAGCCAGCCTGCGTCCGTTCTTCGCCTCGACCCCGGTGGTCTCGGAGACTCCTCCTGCGCTGGCGACTGGAACAGCGGCAGACTCCCTGAACGATCCAACCCCACCTTCTTCAAGCACGGTTCTGACTCGCCTGGCGACCAGTCGACGCCCGACGAGCTCAGCGACCACTTCCCTCAGTTCCTCCTCTCTCTCTAGCACCTTGACGGTGTCCGCCTCCTCGACCACCGCCACCCTCGCGCCGTCCTCCACTCCCTCGCTCTCGTCAACGCTACTGCCGCGGACGACTACTCCGACCCAGTCAAGCTCGTCGACCGTCCGCTTCTCTTCTTCCCTCGCAACGATCTCAACTCCGTCCGGACCTTCGCCCTCGACACTCTCGACTGCCTCTTCAACCAGCCAACCCTCGTCACAGTCCCCAACCCCGAGCCCTCCGACGCAGACGACAAGCAGCCAAGCCCCCGCAGCGACCGCAGCAGACGCCGCCGCCCTTCCAGGTCGCTCGCTCGCCGTCCTACCTATCGGCCTGTCGATCCTGGGCTCGCTTCTCTTCGTCGCTCTCCTCGTGCGTCCTTTCTCATCCAAACCGCTGAAGTAGCCTCCCTTCCGTAAAAAAAGCGAGCTAACCATCTCCTTCGCTCCTCGCTCTCCTCGCGCAGGTCGTCGCCTACATGCTCTACGAACGCCGTCGCTACCGCGCCCAATACGCCGCGCGCCAACAACGCCAAGCCGAGCTGGCTGCAGCAGCCGAACGCGCGTACGGGTCTTCGAGGTTCACGCTTGAGACGGTCGAGGGGGCAGGACAGGGAGGGGCGAGGGAGATGGGGATGGTGGAGGGGTATCAGGAGCGCTTGAGCGGGAGTGGTGGAGGGTCGGGGTTGAGGAGGGAGTATAGGTTGTGAGAAGCGAGGAGAAGGAGGAAGAGGTCTCGCTGGGCGGGACGGTCGTCGTGGTCTCGCGCTCGCTTTGCCGTCTCTATGCGCTTTGACAGCATGCGAATGCTATCCATCACATGCGATTTGCGCTCGTGGAAGAGGAGAAGAGTGCGGGAAAGTCTGTTTGCGAAGGTCAGTCCGACGGCTCGCCTGCTCGTCTCGCGCTTTGAAGGCGCGCAAAAGCGATTGCAAGCGACAAGGAGTACTGATGCGACTATGCGAGACAAAAGCGAGAGATTGCGAGGTATGTACACTGAGGAAACCACGAAAAAAGCGAGCGAGGCGACAACCTTCGCCGTCTCTCCAACAAGCGCTCCAACCTCCCTGACCCGCCCCACTTGCTCAATCATCCACTACTCGTCGTCCCCGTCCTCCTCGTCCTTCAGCACCTCCGCCTTCCTCCCTCCCGCCGGCGCGGCCTTCTTTCTCTTCTTCGCGCCACCTCCCGCTCCGCTGCCCGCCTCCCCCTTCTTCTTCACCGCCTTCGGCTTCAACCTCTCCAGCTTACACCTCTCCCTCCCCTCCTGATCCCTCCAAAACCCCTCATGACTAAACCCCGTCCACTCACTCGCCTTCTCCCCCTCCCTCAACTCCTCCAACACCTCGTTCGTCGACAACCGGCGGAAGGCGTAGATGTTCAGCTGGCGAGCGAGGGAGGAGATTGCGGTGTGACGGAAGAAACGCTTGAGGACTTCGAGGAGGCGCGGGGAGGTGTGTGAGTAGAGGAGCGAGGTGCCTGTGGTGTTCCAGCGGATCACGTCGGCGTAGGAGGGGTTCGAGAGGAGATGGTGGAGTTCTGCCGCGCGAGCGAGGGGGTCAGAGCCGGAGCGGTGTGTGGGAAGGGGGGAGGGGGAAGACGCACTCGAGATGAACGGCGTAGCGACTTCTGCGCCCGCCGGCTGAATTGGGGCGCTCGCTCCCGCCGCCGCCGCCGAAGTCGAAGCGACCGACCCTCCCGCGACCGGTGCGAACCCCTCTTCCTCCCCTTCGTCCTCGTCCTCCAGGGCTCCGCCCGCCCCGCTGGATTGGACTCGCTTCCTCTTCCTCGGCCTGCCCATCTCTCCACCGCCCGCCCCTCCAGCCTGCGCCGCCGCCGCGGCCGCAGCAGCAGCCGAAGCCAACTCCTCCAATCCTTCCAATCCTTCCAATCCCCCCAAGGCCGCGACAGGCATAGGCATGGGCATGGGCAGTCCGGAGGGAGCGAGCGGGGGAGAGGAGAACCCGAGGCCTATTGGGCGGGAAGTGGAGGGCTGAGTGCGGGCGGAGGATGGAAGAGGTGGAGGCGGAGGAAGGAGGACGGGAGAGTCGAGGTTGGGGCGGTACGAGGTGCTCGCGCCTGCATAAGGGGAGAGAGGCACACCGTACGAACTCGAAGCGAACGGTGTGAAGCCCGAGCGAGGGGAAGGAATTCCATACGCTCCTGAACCGCTTGCGAACGCAGCTGCCTCGAGCGCCGAGAGTGGCGAGAAGGGCGTTTCGGGACTGGGGAGGCGGAAGCCTGAGGGTGTATTGAAAGGGAGGGGGGTGTGGGTGCTGGGCGAATGTTTGGGTGGGTAGGAAGTCGAAGCGAGAGGAGGGGGAGGGGGGTGGAAGAGTGCCGAGCTGGTGAGGGATAGCGGGCTCCCGCTCCCACGCCCGCTGCCGCTGGTCGAGCTCCCAAGCGAGCGAGTAAGCGTCTCAGGCGAAGGAGCGATCGAGTAGTCGGTGTAGGCGAACCCAGCCGCTCCTTCTCCCTCCACGACTCCCGATCCGCCCATGGACGCGCACGCGCTGCGCATACTATCGACGAGCGAGGGATGTGCGTGCGGAGCGAGAGGTGCGGGTTGTTTCTTCGGCGGTGGAGAGGCAGGAGGAGGAGGGGCGGGAGATCCGGCGGCGAGGACTTCTGCGACGCTGAAAGTCGGGTTGAAGAGTGGGCATGACGAGGCGGTGTATGGGCTGCATGCGAGTGGGTGTCAGCCTAGCGCGAGGGAGGTCCGGATAAGCCGCCTCGAGGAGGAGAGGGAGCGGGACGCACCACTGAATCCGGACCTCCTGCTGCTGTGGCTGCTTCTGCGGCTCCTGCTGTGTGCCTCCCTCGCCCTCCTGCGTCGTATCGCGCGGCTGCATTGTCACACCAAGCCAGCCTGTTCCGCCGGATAGCCGGACAAAGTGATGAGCACTCGAGGCGTCGGGAGGAGACGAGCGAGAGCGGGACGAGTGTGCCCGCGTGCGTCGGCAGTCTGCGCGAGTCCAGCGAAGGGTCCAGCTTGAGCGAACAGATTGAAGAAAACAAGGAGAACGAGTCCGGCGAGCGAGCGAGTGAGGATCTTCGCTTGCTCGGTCCAGCGAGAACGAGCGAACCCTCCTCCAGCTCCTTCGACTCGAGCGACTTGACACAGCGCGAGCAGCAGCACTGACGAGGAGCACACGACCGACCGCAGGGTGCACGAGCGAGGCGGGCACGAACCAGCGCGTGTCGGGGAGCGAGCGAGCGGGGAGGAGGGCGACGTTGAGGGCGAAGGAGGGTGGGCGGACAGCGTAGAGGGACGGGGGCGGGCGTGCATTCGAGTCGCACAGGAGCTCGGACATGGCTGTGTCACGCAGGCGCAGACCAAGACGAGCTGAGCGCGCTCGAGCAGCATCGACATCCTCCTCGCTCCTCAATCTCCGGCATCTCGCACAACGCCGCTGCACGAGCTTGGCTGCCCTCGATTCATGCTCATCGAGACAGACGCGCTGCCGTCATCGCGAACCGCCTCTTGACCCTTGAGCAGACTAGAACCCGCGCCTCCTCCATCGCGCCCGGAATCGCCTCCAAACGGACGACCACAACGGGCTCAAGTTCCTTGCTCCCGTACACGCCGCTGACGTCGCGCATTCCACCCTCTCGAAACGAAAGACACCCCCGTTCCTCTGCTGCTGCTGTCTGAAGCCGACATTCCTCCTTGACGCCAGCGCGGAATGCTCGATGTTCGTCCGCTCTCTTCGCTCCTTTCTGCGTTGCGAAGGATCAGGAGGGCATCTCAAGGGTGCTTGACGCGTCTTGCGCGAAGATGGAGTCCAGGAGAAGAGGGAGAGAGGCGGTCGTCACGCTCGTTCTCGCTCCTGCCTCCTCCTGCTCCGCCGCTTGCGCTCCTCCACCAACTCGACCCCAGAACCACGCCGACGTTTACAGTACCCACGCCGCTCGCTCTCCCGCCCGCGAGCTCTCCTGCCCCGGCGCACGCGTACAAACGCGCGACGAGTTGGAACCCACCAACCGAACCGCCGGAAGCCCGGTCGTCTCCAAACCGCTTCCTTCGTCTCGGTTCTCTGTGTGTTCGAAACTCACTGGCTTCCAGACCGTCGAGTTCGAGGGAGGAGGTGGACCGCGGCATCGCTCGCTCGTTCCCCTCGCTCGAGGCTACGATTCGCGACGGACTTCCGGCCCCTTTGTCGTGTGTGTCGGAATGAAAGGGTGCGTTCACGATCAATGCAGGCGAGCCAAAGTATGCTACAGTGCAGGCTAGAGAGTGGCGGGAGTTGGGCGGGAGAGTTTCATTGGACGGTCCTCAACCTCCTAAGGCCTGATCCTCGACGCTCGCTCGTTTGGAGGCTGAACAGCTGGGCGGCATGATGAGCCTAGGATGAGCTGTATCGTTCTTGCCCAACTCGTCTACGAAGCGGGAGACGAGAGAGAGGAGATAGAGCGGAGGAGAGGAGGGGACCTTCGCAAAACGTTCCTCCTCGTCCTCCGCCGCTTCCTCCTCTACAAGACCGTACCGCATGGCCCGCGCCACATCTCATCAAGCCTCAAGCCAAGCCGCGGGTCCACTCTCCTCCCTCGTGCTCGCTGTTCCCGCCCAAGAAGCTTCCGCTCGTCGAACGAACGAGACCCCGCTTGCCGCTCGTCCGGCGTGCTCGTTCCTTCCGATCATTGATGCCATCAAACCCGGGTGATCGAGCGTGTGTTGTGCTTGTCGGTGAGGATGCCGGGTGGGTGCATACAGTGTCGAGATGCGTGAGGGTGAGCGAGGCCGTGAGGAAGAAGCTGAGTGTGGTTGTTGGACCGTCCAAGCAAGCGAGGAGAATCGTTCGTCCGTCCGTTCGAAGGTGGGCCTTATCACATTGGGGTGCTCCGCACAGCACAGCAGGCACCCCCTCGCTTTCGAACGCAGTTTCGACGCGTGCCATGGGCAGGGGTGCCTCGAGGGGAGAGTTTGGCGTTGCGCTGCGGGTGCATGACCTTCTCGATCCTCTGTCCTGGCACACTTCTGCGCGTCTCTCTTGCTCTCTCGCATCGACACTTCGACGGGCGACCAAGTCGACCCGCGACCCGTTGGCGACGCAGAGCAGAACCCGGGACCTGCCCCCTTCGAGCACTTGAGTGGCCGCCAGCGATCGCCCCTCCAACTCCGGCTTCCGCCCGCAAACCACGACACTCTGCACGTTGTCCGCCCTGCACTCACACGCCCGCTCGCTCCGCTGCCAACGACACACTCGCACGACGAGCGGCTTCGTGCGCGACACTCGAGAACGGCTTGCTTGCGAACCCCAGTCTGACCCCGCGCCCATCGCCCATTAACCCCGCACGCTCGACAGCATCGGCGCCAGATCCTGCGCTCAGCCAGCCCCAGCCCAGCCAGCCCTTTGTCCTCGTCCGTGCGTCCCAAAGAGCGGGTGAGTGAGCCCTCTCCAGCGCACGTCCCGCTCCATTCACCCGACGACGGGGTGCGTGCACCCACCCTCGAACCCGCACCCAGCCCCTCCCTGCTCGACCGGCGCGACTCTCGATCCTCGACTTGAATTGGGCGCGCGCACGAGCAAACCGGACGAGCTGCCCGGCGTGAACGACGGACGAGGCGCTGACATTCCCTCACGAACCCGGAATCCAGATCCGACCCTCCCCCTCTCTCTCTTGCCTCCCCTTCGTCTCGCTATCGTCGCATCGTCTCTCGTTCCTTCACTCGCTCGACAACGAAGACACTCTTGCTAGACGTCACTGAACGACCTTTGCACCACCCCATTGACCTTGCGTGCGTTCCCGTTGTCCCTCCTCTTCTTCCCTTTCTTCTCCCCTCGATCAAAGGACGACGCCGTACTGAGTCGCGCGTCTTTTCATGACCACCAGCCTTTCTTCGACATTCGTTTTCTAAGCGCATCGCCGCCTTGACCGCCCGCCCGACACTCCTTTCCCACGCTCGCTCATCACCCCGTGCGTCCGGCCCCTTTCATCCTCGATGTCCGTGGAACGTCCGCCTGACTGACGCTCTGCTCGTCCTCATGCTCGCAGTCTCGCCATGGACGCTTGCCTCGTTGCGCAACCCGTACGACAGCCGCTCACCTTCACCACGCCCTCGTTCGCCCAGTCCCGCATGGACAAGGGCGCTCGGCCCGTCTCGATGTCGATCGCTTCCTCGTCGCACGCCACCGCTTCGACGTCCAGCAAGCCCTACGGCGTGCAGACTCGCTCCTCGAACGCAGGCGCGAGGGCAGACCACTACCTCGCCGCGTCGCCGTTGACACCCTCCTCGCCTCATTCTCCCGCCGCCTCGTCGTCGTCGATCCACCTCGCCACCAACCGCGACGATGAACACATGTCCGACGCGTTCGTTACGCCTCCTCAGGCGTCGAGGACCGCCTTGCGACCGCTCGATATCGACATGTCTCCCACTGCCGCAGCGAGTGCGCGCCTCCCTTCGAAGAAGGGCAAGTCGAAAGGCTTGCAGAGGCCCGTCATGCCCCTCACCCCTCCCTTGACACCTCCCTACCTCGACCAAGCCGCGCTCCTTCCCTCCCTCTCGTCGCCCACGCCCACGCCCGCAGCAGCTCGACCGACCACCGTCTCCGGCCGCGCACTCGCCAACCACGCTCTCCACCCCCTCTTCGCATCCACCTACACGCTCTGCGACGAACTCGGCGCAGGAGGATTCGGGTTCGTCGTCCGCGCCGAACGCAACCACGACTCGCGCTCGGTCGCAGTCAAGTTTATCGAGCGCGCAAAGATTCCCTCGCACGGCTGGGTCAAGTCGAGGTCGTGGGGTGACACGCCCGGGTTGACGCAGCCTACTGGACCCAAGTTGGTGCCCATGGAGGCGTTCGTCTTGAGGAGTATCAGGCACGAGGGAGTCGTCGCTTTCATCGACTTGTTCGAGGACGACAAGTACTTTTACCTCGTGAGTTCGGGTCCTCTACAGTCTCGACGAGCACGAGCTGACGGAGCGGTACGCGCGCAGGTCATGGAACACCACGGCTCGCCTTGGCAGATTCCCGAGAAGCACAGCGGCGAGCAGCAGCTCGTCGGTCCTCCGTCGCCGTCGTCCGCCGCCATGTCGCCCACCTTGACGTCGAGCTGGCCGCGCCTCGCGCCAGGACAACAGACGGTGACGCCCACCTCGTCACCGACCATGTGCTCGTCCCCCCTGCCCGACTCGCCCGCCTCGTCACCGACGTACCTCGCCCCTCCGCGCCCTCCGCCCATGATGCGCCGCAGCTCGCACGACCTCTTCGAATGCATCGAGCAACACAGCCGCTTCGACGAGCGGACCGCGAAATACGTCTTTGCGCAGATCGTCGAGATCGTCCATGCACTCCAACAGATGGGTATCTGTCACCGCGACATCAAGGACGAGAACATCGTCATCACGCACGACTACCGCGTCAAGTTGATCGACTTTGGGTCGGCAGTCATCTTTGACCCGCGCCAGCCTTCGCCCGCCTACCACCGCTTCTTCGGAACGACGTCCTTTGCGGCTGCAGAGATCCTCCGCGGAGAGGCGTACCAGGCCCCTCCAGCCGAAGTCTGGTCACTCGGCGTCCTCCTCTCGATCCTCGTTACAGGCGAATGCCCCTTCTCCGACGCCGAAGCCGCCAAAGCCGGTCGGCTCTCGAGACCCAAGATCCGCGTCCAGCCAGAGATTGAGCACCTCTTGCGCGCGTGCCTCGAAGTCGACGTCTCGAAGCGTATCTCGGTCGCGCAGATCAGGCGCCATCCCTGGCTCGCCGACATCTACTCGCGGCGCTCCTGACACCGCCTCGAACACCTCCGACTCGCTTCTTGTTCATACCAGCCTCTCGCGTACATAGGCTCCTCCCTCACTCATTCGTTTTTGCACTGTTGTTCCACGTTCGTTCCACACACTCTCTCTCTTGCATTGCCTTCGCGCCCATCCGTACCCCCTCACGCATCGATCGTCTCACATCCATCAGATCCTCCTCTTATCGCTTTGCATATGTAGCCATACCCACTCGCTTTGACTCCTTGCGTTCTCGCACACTCACTCGTCCGTAACTTCCTGCGTGCAACGCAACGATCCGTTATGAGCTGCATTCCCTTTCTTGCTCGCACGCTGGAGAGAGATAGGACGGCTTATAACGGCTTTTGCAGAACTATACGACTATCGACGAGCTACTCGAGAGAGAGAAGCCCAACCAACTCCCTTCCTCCTCCTCCCGTCCTCCCTGCGGGAGGCTCACCAAGGCTTCGTCGCCTTGACGCCCTTCTGCATGAGAAACCTGCTCAATTCACCAAGCAGCTCGACCTGCTGTTCGGTCGTGAGGTGCGTCGCGATGGTGGCCATGACCGAGGTGGGCGTGATGTAGGATTCGCGGACGAAGGCCGAGTAGTAGCTGTGGCGCGAGGAGCTGTCAGCGATGGTTGGCAGAGCGAGCGAGGCGGAGGGACGTACACGAAGGTGAAGATTCCGTTGATGAACTGGCAGTCCATGCGGTCGGTCAAGCCTCCGTGTCCAGGGATCGTGTCGCCAAAGTCTGCGCGCATTACTCGGTCAACTGCCGTCTTTGAACACTGCGGGAGCAGCGCGAGACACACCCTTGATGCCGAAAGCGCGCTTGAAGCCCGAGGCGAAGAAGCCGCCGAAGGGCGCGACGAGCGAGGCGAACGCTGCGAGGACGACCGAGTGGAGCTGGAACGGAGCCCACGGAATTGAGGTGATGTGATGGCGGGTCTGCGAAGGCGAGCGATCAGCTGCGGCTCAAGAATTGACGAAGGACGAAACGCACGATGGGCGCAAGGAGGTCGGTGAGGGCCGACGGAAGAGGGAGCTCGTGCCACTCGAAGCACGGGTTCGGCTTGCACTGGACGCGGCTGAAGACGTTCGTCGAGAGGTCTTGGGCGGGGCAGATCATGTAGTTGTACCGCATGAAGATGGTCGCCCACTGCGCGAGGTCAACGAGCGTCAGCCTGCGGGCGCTCCAAGGGCCCGGAGAGAGCGATACTGACAACGTAGGCGAAGAGCATCGTGAAGAAGAAGGCGCCGACGAAGCCCTCGACCGTCTTCTTCGGGCTGAGCTTGATGAGCTGGTGACGGCCGAACGCCATTCCGAAGACGTAGGCGGCAATGTCATTGATGATGACGAGCGCGACGGGAACCCAGAACCAGATCATGCCCTCGAGGATGTTGTTGACGATGAAGTGGCTCGAGACGACGATCAGGAGGAGCGACATGTGGATCCAGCCGAAGAGGCCGAACTGGCGGCGGAGGCTGCTGCGGTTTAGGGTCGCGACGAAGCTAACGAAGCCTGCGACGTGGAGTGTTAGCATGTTCCTCCTGAGCCTGTAAGAGGGGACGAACCGATCGTGTAGAGGCCGAACGAGATGAGGCGGTGATGTTGCGAGAAAGAGTACGCCGTCGGGAGGAAGGACGCCTGGAGCGTGAGGACGTGCTTGAAGTAGTAGATGAGCGATTCGCCGTAGAGGTAGTAGTTCGTGACAGCGAAGAAATACCTGGCGGACGAGCGGTGTTAGCCTGCGCTCCGACTCGTACGGGAACTCGGCACACACCAGGCCATCTGCCTGCTCCACCTCTCGCGCTGCTCCTTCCTGCCCCTGCGCTTCGCCTCCTTCTCAGGCGTCCTCGTCATTTTGCCCTCCTCCGTGACATGCGCGCCCGAATACCCGACGTCAAACAGGTTCGTCAACTCCTTGAAGACCATCGCTTGGATGACAAAGATGAGGGCGATGACGTAGACGTGACCCATGAGGACGAGGCCGATCGCTCCGCCTGCGAGCACGAAGCCCCAGACCGTGCGGGTGATGATGGCCTGGATCTTCTTCTTAGGGTCGTGGTCGGCGCCGGTGTAAGCCTCTTTGGGCTTGTCTCCCTCAGCGGGGGCGGCGGGTGTAGGAGAGACGGCGCGGGGAGTGGCGGGTTTGGGCGAAGTCTGCGCGCTTGCCGCTGAAGTCTCGTCCTCGTCCTCGTCCGACTCATCATCCTCGTCCTCGTCGTAGCCAGCGAGCGAATCACCATCCGTAGTCGACTCGGGCGCGCTGGGCGGCTGGGCGAGCCTCGACAGCGAGGACGCAGCCTTCGGCTCTTCCCTCTCAACGGCCGGCGCAACAACCTGGACGACCGGCTTGGCCGCCTTCACCGTAGCCTCCTTCACTTCCTCAGCCTTCTCCTGCACCTGCTCCTTGACGCCGTTCGCCGTCTGCTGGATCTGGACTTTGCTGGGGAGGGCGGGAACGGGAGGGATAGCCGAGACGGAGGGAGCGAAAGAGGCGTCGCTGTCGGTCGCCGCTTCCGAGTTGAGATTGTTGGACGAGCCCTGCTTGCGCAGCTTGGCACGTTGGCGAGCGAGCGCCTTCTTCGAGGGCGTAGTAGGAACAGGTGGGGAGAGGGTAGCTGGAGGAGGGAGTTCTTCGTCGCCCGAGGATTCGCCGGCGTCGAACGCGACTGTAGCGCAGTGATCTTGTTAGTTCGTGTGTTCTGCATTCGCTCAGTCCAGCCTGCCCTCCGCATCGTGCTTGAGAAAGTAGCCGTCCTCCTCGACGAACAGCGATGCCTGTCCGCACGTTGCGCGTCCCGGCAAGTCCCGCCTGGGCTTTTCCTGCTTCACAGAGCTCTTCTGCATCGATCCCACGCGTGTACCACCACCCGCGAGGCCTGCATCGCTCCATGCGACGAGATGACGATGGACGGCGAGATGAACAGGAGCGCTAAGCGAGACTCACGGGCGTCGAAGCGGGTCTTGCTGGCGACGTCTGGCCGTGTGACCGAAGCACTCTTCCCGCGAGCCATAGCTGGTAACGGAGCGAGGAGAGTAGCGGGAGCGAAGGGAGCGTGTGAAAACCGAGTTGTGATCCTCTCGAAGCCCCTCACTTGTATTCAGCCATTACAAACCGAGTTACCGCTTACGAGGGAGTCTTGCTTCCAACGAAGCCAGAGAGAAGGGCAAAGAGAAGATGCTTGAACGAGAAGACGGAGAGCGAGGTCTATTCCAACGCTGCCGCGCCTTCTAGTCGACCTCGACAACCAGCTGCTCGCCCTTGAGTTGCGCTGTAGCAGCCAATTCGACGGGGTTGTCAGCGTGTGCGCACTCACATCGAGAAGAGGAGGCGGGGACGCGAACTCACAGTCAAAGTCGACAATGACATCCCGCCCGATCTCGCAGTCCTTGAGCGCTGCTCGGTCGCGGATCTGCACGCCGTTCGAGACGACGCAGTTGTCGAGCTTGACGCTGTGAGAGAGAGTGTCAGCAACGATGAGCCCATCCCGCAGAGGCTCGAGAGAGTCCAGGACTGAACGAGCGCGAACTCACTTCTCGCCGATGACCACGCTGTCCATGATGACACAGTTGGTCAACTTGGACCCCTTGCCGACGATCGTGTTGCGTCCGACGATGCAGCGCTTCATGCCGACCTTCTCGCCCATGTTGCTGTAGACGGATGGGTGGAGGTGCGAGTCGGGCGAGAGGAAGACGCCGGACGGAGTCGAGGTTGGTGGCGGTGATGGAGGGAGGAGCTTGAGGGCCTGTGGATAGTAATCAGACGCGCGCGCGAGTGTCAGTAGCGTTCGAAGCGGAGAGCGGCAGGAAGCGAACGCACCGCCCGGTTGATCTCGACAAACCCGCCGACCGAGTTTCCCCTCGCTGCAAACCCATCCGCCTGCTTCCAAATCACAATCTTGCACCCTCCTGCACCCGCTCGTGCGCTCGCCGCACTCGTCTTCCGTCCGCCCAGTCCCGCCGCCCATTCCTCCCCGGCTCCTGCGTCTGCTCCAAGATCAGGCCTCCACGACGCTCGGGAGACGAGCGCAGGAGTATTTGCGCCGGTTTGAGGGATCGACATCTCCCCTCCCGTTCCAGGCGCGACGATACCCAGATCCTTCCTCGCGATGCCCGCAGGTCTCTGCGTCGTGCTCCGACCCATCGCAAGCGCGTCTTCCCGTGTCGATGAGCTCTTGAGTGATGAAAGCGCGCCGAGTTGGTCGCGGCCTTTGTGGCGCCAGGAAAGGCGGGAGAGCCAGCCTGCGAGAGTGGGGAAGTCTTCCATGTGTCGCAGGCGGCGGGAGTAGTTGGGCGAGGTGAGGATTGGGAGGAGGAGGGAGGAGCAGATGTAGAGCTGGGTAGGGAGGAGGGAGGTCGTCAAGGTCGGCGAGGGGAACCTGCGAGGGCAAGCGTGAGCAATACGCTTCGCGCGAACTGGGTGGAATGCACGCACTTGGCAAGCAAAGATGTCCGCAGAGAGATCTCGTCGTCGTCGTAGTCGTCCATCTCGCGCACGTCCAGCAGGGTGGATGTCTTTCGGTCGTAGATCGTCAAGATCTCGGGCGGGCCTGCACGACGGGATGTAGTCAGCGATTATTCTCCCCTGAAGCAAAGCGTGTCGCGCACCGTCCTTGCGCGCTTCAGCAACATTGCCCGCTGCCCGTTCCGAGAAGAGGGTGGTCAAGAGGTTGTCGTCCGAGCGATGGCGGTCGAGAAGCGAGGCGAGCGAGATGGTCGGGTTGTGGACGTTGGCGGGCGAAAGGAGGAGGTCGCAAGGAGCGAGGATGAAGTCGGTCTGCCCGAAAAGCAACAGTCAGCGGGCGAAGCTGAGCAAGATGAAAGTCGGGACGAACGGTAATCAATCGCTTCTCCGCCGCCCACATGAGTACCCGCACAACGTTCTTCGCCGCGATCTCTTCAGGAATTTCCTCCAGCTCGACTTTGGCGGAAGGGCTGGAGGTGTTGCTAGTCGAGGGAGCAGAGCGGCGGGCTCGGAGGTGGTGTGCGACCGGCTTCAAGATGGAAGTCGGGGCGAGTACGAGGATGTCTGTGCGAGCATGATCAGCTTTGACGCTCGCTCGACGCAGCTGGACGAGTACTTACCAAAGACACCCGCTTCCTCGACCCGCTCAAGTACCCAATCAATCATCTTCTTCCCCGCAACCGGCAAGAGCGCCTTACTCTGCCCATGTCCCCTCCCATGCGAGCGCAATCCAGCCGGTTTCGCGTCCTCCTCGTCCGATGTGAGGTCTGCAGCGGGCTCGACGAGGGGAAAGAGGTCGACACCGAAGCCGCAGGGGATGACGGCGCGGAACTGCGCCTTCGGCAGTTGTTCCGGCAAGAGTGGGTTCGGGAGCATGGACATCCTGGCTGGCTGGGAGGGGTTGTCGCGCTGTGGGAGACTTTGGTCGAGGCGAGAGCGATGAGGATGAGGGGGTCGTTCTACGGGCGCTGGACGGTCAGTGCGAGTAAAGCCGCACGTCTGGGAGCTACTCACTGCCTACCAAAGCCCTTCTAACCCGAACAAGCCAGCGACAGCGACACGAGGAGTCAAACCCTCTGCTCCTCGTTCCTTCGCCCAAGCCAGTGCGCTCGCTCTCGACGGGAAAGGCCCACTGAGGCTCGAACAGACTCGCTGGGATACTCAGACGAGCGTCCGTAGCCGCCTGGCTTTCCCGGCTTCTTTCCGGCTCACTCCTCCTCCTGCTAACAACGCGGACTGAAGATGCGATTCTCAATGCTACAATGGCTGATGTTACGCTACAAGCACTCCTTCCTCCACACGCTCCTTCCCCAGTCTGTCCATCACACCTGGCCCGCGTCATGCATCAATTCGAACACCTGGTCCGCAAACTCGCCGACGTATTCCTCGAGAGGTTGGTCTGCGAGTGGCCCACTTCACCAATCAGTTTCGTCGCTGCTGAGAGAGAAAAAAGAGAGTATCGTCGGCTCGCTGACGCACACTTGAACCCGAGATCCCTCTCGACCCTCCCGCTCTCCCATCCGTACTCGCCTCTCGCCTCTCCACCCTTCTTCTCCTTCACCAGCTTCTTCAACTCCGGCCTCTTCTCCCCGACAATGCGTGCCACCTCGTCGAAAGAAGCGCGGTGGCCGATCAGGAGGTAGCGTTTGCCGTTCGTGGTGTGGGAGAAGGAGGTCGCGGCGAGAGCGTGGGCGTGGGCGACGTCGTGGAGCGAGACGAAGGCGGGCTACAAGGACCTACACTGTCAGCTTATGCGAGAAAGAGGGTAAGGGGGCGGACGTACAGGGTTGAGCTCGCCATCGCCGAACAAGACCTGCGCTGCTGCCGCGACGCTCGAGTGAAGCTGCGAGACGGTCTTGACGCCGGGCGTGCGGTCCCTTCCGAGCGCGACAGCGGGTCCGAAGCTGTTCGCCAAGGAGCGTTGCTTAGCGCTCCTCCGATTTCCGAAGAAACGTGCGCGAGCGCGAACGAGGACGGGACTCACGTGCAGAACGTCATGTCGGGCTGCTTCTGCTCGATGTAATCCCAGCACGCGCGCTCAGCGAGAGCTTTCGAGGCGCCTGGGCAGCATCCGTAAAGCGGAGTCAGCGCGAGGAGTCTATATGCGACTCGCTGCGAGACTAGGTAGCGAGGGACGTACCATAGACGAGACTTGCGCGGTGCGGAGAAGGTGGAAGACGGACAGCTTGGTCGTACTACGGAGCGAAGACAAGTTGAGCTAGTGTTGGAGAGGGAGAAAGCGGGAGAGAACGCACGGTGATCTTGTTCCAGCTGTCCTCCGTCAGCGTCAAGTGCGGGTCACGCTCGAGGTCCTGGAGGTCGACGAATGCGGACAGCCTGCGATCTGGTAAGCATTAGCCGCACTTCTCATGCGGGAGAAGCTGAGGACGCACGAAGTCGTGAGGACGAACGACTGGACTGAGGCGGACCTGGCGGCGGAGCGGAGGATCGAGAGGGCACCATTGATCGCCGGCTTGAGGATCTCGTTCTCGGGGTCGTCCTGTCGACGCGTCGAGCAGATGGTCAGCCTTCCTATCCGTGTCAAGCACCTGACGCTTCGACAGGCGAAGCGAGGATGGCTGACGGACCTTGAGCGTTCCAGGCATCGGACTCGCCGCATGCACGACCGCATCGCACCCAAGCACCGCATCGTCGAACGCGCCCTCCTCGCTCATGTCCCTCTCGAGCGTCCAGTACTCGATCCTTCCCGGCTCGTACATCTTCCCATACGTCTCCTCCCAGTCCTTGATGTGCGTTTGCTGTCGGAGGGCGAGTCGGACCGAGTGTCCGAGCGAGAGGAGTTGCAGGGCGATGGAGGAGCCGATTAGCCCGCTGGCCCCGGTGACGAGGACGTGGCGGGGCTTGTGAGGGAGTGCGGGCTGTGTGCCGGTCGAGGTGTGGCCTGTGAGTGGCATCGTGCAAGTCGTGTGAGCGGGGAAGGGAAGAGAGAGCGGGGAACGGGAGGGCAGGATCGCCGGGGAGGGTCGAGAAGGTACAGGCGGGACGTCGCAGTGCGAGATTGAGCGGCAGTAGAGGAGCGGGAGAGCTAGAATTTTGTCCGGAGTGCCTTGAAGCGGTGTTCGACGCGCGAGAGAGCGAGAGAGTGCGCGAGACGTGGTTTGAGGGCGAGGGGAAGGGTGGGACCATCACTCGCGCCCGTTCGCAAGGAGCCGATGAGCCTACTCATAGACTTCTGAAAGCATCGAGGTGCCTGTCAGCGCCGTCCAGCCCCTTGTCGTCGAGAGCGAGTCGAGTTGAGGGACGGGGAGAGAGCGGGCGAGACGGGCGACGACAGAGGAGCGGGGCGGGTTGGACAGCATCAGCAGTATCTGGCTATCAGTGCCGTGCTCTTACTGAGCGTTCGCGGCCTCTCGCTCGAGTTGAGCGCACCGAGGCAACCTGGCGAAGGTAGAGAACGCGAGAACGGGTTTGCGCCTCCCACACCAGCTCGTTCGCCGCAGAGACTCGTTCGAACAGCTTTCAAGAGCCTCAGTAGCCTCTCTGCTCAGCCTGTCGAAGCATCCGTCCCGCCAGCGCCCGTCTCGCTCTCCCCCACCTCCTCATCGCTGCCGACTCGCAAGAATGCCCTCACTCGCCCAATCGCCCGAGCAGCACCTCGCCCAGCTCTCGAGCGCTCTCTCGACTCTCACACGCACGCGCCAAGCAATCCCCTCACTCGTTGCATCCGTCTCAGCTCCTCTCGCACCCCTCGACCGCGCAAACCTCTACCGCTCAGCATCAGCCGAGTGTCATGCGGCTATCAAGCAGCTTGCTGAGGAGTTGAATCGGCTCGAGGATGTATTGAAGGTGGCGGAGGAATCGGAGAGGAAGGATCCGCAGGGGATTGTCGTGAGGCCGGTGTCGAAGAGGGAGCAACCGACGGCTGTCAAGGGCGCAGATCCTTGGCAAAGGGTGGGAGAGATACTAGGAGGAGCGGCGGGGTCGGCGGACGCGAAGGGGAAGGGCAGGCAGTCGTACCGACCTCGCTTCGACGTCCCTTCCTCACCTCAAGCGCTCGCCGACCTCGCTCGACGATGGCAGGCGGAATATCCGCGAGTTAGGATTGAACTGGTGGGCACAGCGAATGCGGAACAGCGGCAAATGACGGTCACGCTGCGTGGCGTCTTGCGGGCAGTCGTTAAGTTGCGATGGGAAGGGCGAGAGCAGGATTTGCGCGCGTGTGAGACAGACTGGGTCTGCGTCTACAGCTTGAAGGAGGATGTGAGTCGCTCCGAGCACATTGGATCGAGCGAACTGCAGACTGACGTTTTCCTCCTCCAGCGACCGCCGTACCTCCCCTCCTGCTTCTCCCTCTTCCAGTCTCTCACAAACGACGCGACGGACATCATCGACCGGTGTCGGCAGCGGCGAGCAGAAGGCGAACGAGTCGCGAGCGTCGAGGAGTTGCTAGTGCGTGGATCCTCATCCTCCACCTCGCGAGTCTGGCTGACCGCAAGGGAGCAGGCTTTCTTGTCAGACCCGCCACTGCCGTTCTGAAATGCTCGCGCCACTGTACCTGCCACACAGTGCTGCAGCCGCGCCCGAATCACCCGCCCGTGTCTGCCAGCTCACCCGATCGCGCTTTCGCCGTCTTGCGCGTGCGCCTCTGCCTGCGCCATCGCCCAACACGACACGGCGACTCCGACGAGCATTCGCTCCCGCTTCGAATCCGAAGCGGCGAAGGCGGAGGTCAATACAACCAGCATTACCCGCCGCCCAAGTAATGATCCGATAATCGTCGGAGTCTGCTCGGCCGAGTTGGGTTGATCTCCCGCCGGCTATCCTGCTCACTTCGCTTCTCTCCCTTCCCGCTTTACTTGCTCTTTCTTCGCTTCTCACACCTCGTACGACTCGCCGCGCCGAAGAGTCCCGCGCTCACGGCCTGCCTCTCACCTGACCCTCTTCCGCCTGCCTCTTGCTTCACACCGATAAGCCCGCAACTCGCACCCACCATGCCTTCCATCGCTCAAGCGCCTCTCTCAGTCCCCCGTATCAACCTCCGTGACTTCTCGGCCCGTCGGGAAGAAATCAAGGAGCAGCTTATGTCTGCGGCGAGCGAGATCGGGTTCTTGTGAGTTTCCTTCGCTTTTGCTCTTCGGCAAGAGGGAAGGGCTACTTGCTCTCGCTCTCCTTGAGTAGGTGACTGACCAGGTAGTGCGCGCAGTACGCTCGTCGGCCACGAGATCTCGCTCGAGGAGGTCAACAAGGCGTTCGGGCTTGCCGAGCGCTTCTTCGACTTGCCCACAGAAGTCAAGCAGAAGTACCCGTACGTGGCCCTCTCGCTCCCTCCAACGCTTCGAGTCGAAGGTTAACCGCTCAACCCGCAGCTGGTCTCCCCGCAACCAAGGCTACGAGTCCAACCAACAGATCCGGCCCAGCACCGGCTATCCCGACCCGAAAGAATCATACCAAGTCGGTTTCCAGCGCACGGAGGAGCAGGAGGCGCTTTGGCCGACTGAGGAGGACTGCCCAGGGTTCAGGAGGGAGACGGAGGAGTTTATGCGCAAGGTGCAGGGGTTGAGCGTGAAGGTGATGGAGTTGTTTGCCGAGGGTCTTGGACTGGTGGGTCTCGCTCGACCCCCTTCATGACAGGCATTGCAGCTGACGAACGCCTACCCCGTACCTAGCCTGCCAACACCTTCACGGAGGGAACCGTCGCGCCGGAAGGAACTGACAAGGCCGACTCGATGTCGACGCTGAGGCTGCTCAAGTACCACGACTGCGAAGGGAAGGACTTTGGCGAGGGCTACATGCGCGCCGGGTGCGTCCGCTTCCGCTTTGCTCGTCAAGTCTGCCAGCGCGAGACTGACCTGCCGTCCTTGCAGCGCTCACGCCGACTTTGACGTCATGACTTTTCTCTTTCAACGCAAAGGTCAGAGCGGACTCGAGCTCTGCCCCGGGCGAAAGATCTCGACCGAGTTTGGGTACGGCGATACCTGGGTGCCCGTCGACGTCGAGGAGGGCGCGATTGTCATCAATGTCGGGTCCGCCGCGTTCTCTGAAGTCGCACTAGGGCGAAGCTCATCTGAATTCACTTGCGCAGCGACCAGCTGATGAGGTGGTCTGACGACCGCCTGAAGAGGTGCGTTCCAGCTCCTTTCTCTCGCACTCACCAATGCACTGCAGCTGATCATTTCTCGACTATGCAGCACCTTCCACCGCGTCCGCTGCCCTCGTCCAGGTGAATACCAAGGGGCGCGCTACTCGATCGGTTTCTTCAACCAGGCTCGCCGCGACACCGTCATCCAAGGACCCGCCAAGGCGTACCCGAAGATCACGGGCGGCGAGTTTATTGCGCAGGCGATGAAGCGCAACTTTGAGGCAGCGCAGGCGAAGGCCAAAGCGAAGGCGTACGAGATCTCGCAGGAAACGATCGAGGCGAACAAGGGCTTTGAGGTGTCGGGGACGGGGTTGGCACCGGTCAAGGCGGCGGCGTAGCACTAATAAGGGACGAGGGATCGCGAGTGTAGGTCGTGAGGGGCAGGAGGAACGGAGGAAGGCTTTCCCGCCTTCGAGTAAGCTGGCTGCCGCTTCCTTCGTAGGGTTTCGTTCATGTACTGGTACAAGCTGTCGTTCCAGTCAGTCGTACTCCCATTCGTCCCGTCTCCGTGCGAGTTGATAGCCATCTCACCCTTCCGATAGCCTTCGCGCTCTCTCTCGCCTCGTCCGCTATCTCTCGCTGTTCTCGCTCGCTCGTTCTGATGCGCTTCGCTTTCTACGTCAGTGGGCATGGCTTCGGGGTACGTCCACCGCTTCCCAGCGCCGGACTCGCTTCTCCCCACTCCGCATCGCCAGCTCACCGCGCCGTTCCCACACCGGTCACAGCACGCTACACGCGTCGCAGCAGTCACGACAGAGCTCCTGCAGGCAGGACACGAGGTCACAGTCGTGACGAACGCGCCCGAGATCCCCTTCGCCAGCATCCTCCCGCCATCCGCGCTTCCGGCCGCCGCTCGGGACGTCGCGAATCCTGGTCCCTCGAGCGCGCCACTCAAGCGGTACGCCACCTACAGGAAGAGGAACGTCGACGCGGGAATCGTACAGCCTAAGGCGTACGATGTGGACCGGCGAGCGACGTACGAAGTGTTGAAGCGCTTCTTGGACGCGAGGGAGGAGACGTTGGAGGAGGAAGTGGCCTGGCTGAAGGAGGCGGGCATGGACGCTGTTCTGAGCGACGCGACGTTCCTTGGCTGGTGCGTCGCTTCTCGCGAGAAGACGCCAGGACGAGCTGACCCGAACTCTCGCCTCTCGCAGTGCGGCTGCCGCTGGAGCTGGCATTCCAGCGATCATTATCTCTAAGTGAGTTCATTCGAAACTCATGCGCGGCGGGCTCAGATGGCTGATCAACGGTCCCTCCGCCAGCTTCACCTTCGATTCGTGCTATTCCTATCTTTCGCATCCCTCCCTTCCCTCCTCGACATCCGCCGAAACTCTCGAACCGCCTCTTGATCCTGCGATACTCGATCCTCTCGTCGACCAGACTATCGCCGACTACGCCTGCGCCTCGCTCCTTCTGCGACTACCAGGTGTCATCCCCTTGCCCGCCTTCGATTCCGACGTCCCCATGCCTTCCGGGCGGTGGGTGAGCGACGACCGCACGACATTCGTTCCAGAGATAGAGGCTATCTTGTCCCGCCCGACTTCGACTATCCCTTCCGCTCAACGGGGGCGCACGGTCGTCGACGTTCCCCTCATCGTCCGTCCTCCTTCACCCAGCGCAAATATGCCCGAGTTCCGCCAAGATTTGCTCTCTTCAATGGGCGTCCCCGACTACCTCCTTAACTCGAAGGTCCTGCTTGTCTCGTTCGGCGGCCAAGCCATTCCTCGACCACGCTCTCGGCCTCCCTCTCCCCTCTCCTCTCCAATTCGCCGTTCCACCTCCGCCACCTCCAGTCTCTCGCTCGACGTTCCGCAGAACGAGCGGAGAGAAGCAGGGCTGCTGCCGAAGGGATGGATCGCCATCGTTACCGGCTTGAGCGGCGGCGACAACGCCATTCGGGATGACTTGCCGTACGGGTTCTTTGCGAGCGAGAAGGACGTCTATGTGCCAGACCTGACATGGGTAGCGGATTGTGTGCTCGGGAAGCTGGTGCGTACGAGTTCGCCGTCACTCGAACGATCGTCTTGCTCACATCTTGCATGCGCAGGGCTATGGCACCTGCTCCGAAACGCTCTCCTGCCGGACTCCTTTCATCTACGGTGCGTCATTGAGCTCGAGTACCGCCGGACGAGTCATGCTGACACTCTCGCCCTCTCTCTGTTGCAGTTCCTCGCCCGCTCTTCGTCGAAGAGTTTGGTCTCAAGCGCCTCATGCAAGCACGCGGCATCTCTCTCGAGCTCGACCGCGCAGACTTCGAGGCAGGACGGTGGGAATTCCACATCGAGGAGGCGTACGAGCAAGGCAGGGCGGCGAAGGAGGAGGCGAGGAAGTTGGGTTTCGTCGACGAGCGCGCGGGAGAGGTCATCAGGAAGGAGATCGAGGCGTTTATGGAGCAGTGGCAGGGGAAGTAGAAGCAGTAATGTATCTAGACGGATTGATACACCGTCTCGCAGCCGGTCGAGGAGAAGGTGAGTCTCGCTCATGCATCACGTCTTGCTGGCTTGTGTGGCTCGCTCGGCGATTCCTACGACGCTGTTACACTCGTCTGGCTGCCTCAAGCTCGCCTCGCTGCTTTCCTGCGGCGCCGTCACACCCGCCTTGACCTCCGCGGCAGTCGAGAGTCCCGCTCTCTCCCTCCTTCGGCTCACTCGTACCGCTCATGACGACTCCGATGGCTCCCTCCTTCTTGCGCAAGACTTCTGACGGCTCGCCCGCCACGCCTGAGCGCTTCCGCTGCGCCGTCTTCAAGTCGCAGGGTGCTCCGCTCGAGTTGACCACGGTCGACTACCGCAAGCCTGGCAAGGGCCGTGAGTCGCCTCAGCGCCCTCCTACGACGCTCACTGACGCTGTCGACACCCACAGAGCTCGTCATCAAGGTCCACGGCACGGCGCTCTCCAACAAGTTCGTACTTCCCCTCGTCTCGCTTCTGCGTGCAGCATTGACGCTCCCCGCCTGCCCGCAGCGACGCCATCTCTGAGCACGGCCTGCTCAACATGTACGCGACGTTCCCGAGGACGCCCGGCATGTACGCGGTCGGCGAAATCGTCCAGCTTGGTCCGGGAGCTGTCGAGGGCGGTTCGACCGGCGGCGTCCTCTCGGCGCTCCTCTCGAGGCTCACGATCGGCAAGACGAAGGAGAAGGAGGGCGAGGAGCCTGCCGTCCACCACCGCTTCAAGACGGGCGAGAAAGTCATCAGTGCGTCTTCCCCGCTTGACCTTCTCAACGTCGACTCGAGCCGACCCTCACGCTTGCACACGCACTCTCGTTCACTCTCGACAGTCTCCGCCACGCACCAGTGCTTGGGCGAGTACTGCACCGGCCGCGCCGAGTCGACCTGCCCGCTCATGGACAACTGGCCCATGTTCGAGCAACTCGTCGTCGCGACGTTCGGCGGCAAGGTCCTCGACGCCTACGAGCGCCACGCCGAAGAGTGGGACCGCAAGTCTTCGGACGAGCGCCGCGTCCTCGACGACAACAACGACAGGATCGGCTTCGCCGGCGACGGCTGCATCGTCGTCCTCGGACAGGGCGGTTACGCCAGCCTTGCGTACCACCTCCTCAGGGCCGAGGCTCGCCGCGACGAGCGCATCGTCCTCGTCTCGACCTCGAAGAAGCACCGCCCGGACGACTTTGGCATGCCGTCGGAAGACTACCTCCTGGTCGGCCAGGAGGGTCTCGTCGACGCGCTTCGCAAGATGGGCGGCATCAAGCTCGCCATCGCCACGGACCAGCCGCACGAGGGCGCCGTCCAGATGCTCGACGCGATGCGCTACGGCGGCGAGATGGTCCCGCTCACGCTCCACGAGGACGGCAAGATCGAGCGCCCGATTGCCCACCTCATCGCCCGCTCGCTCGTCGTCCGCGGCCCCGTCGACCTCCACAGCTCGTCGATGCACCGCGCCCTCCGCATTTGCGAGAAGCACGGCCTCGACCGCCACGTCTCGATTCGCAAGTTCGCCTTCACCGAGGAAGGCGTTCGCGAGGCCTGGGATGCGACCAAGAACCAGAGGGACGACTTCTCGGCCAATGTCGTCGTCTTCGACACCCAGGGCGAGTCGAGGCACGCCGCCTGAAGGAGGACCGATTCTGTGATTCGCTTGGACTTCTCGTCTACTCTCCCTTGCTTGCCTATTCCTCCGTTCCCACCCGCTTGTACTCGCTTGACTACATGGAATGCAATCTGTCGCCTATACTTTCGCAGAGAGACCAAATCGAGCGGAAGCCAGCTCTTGCCAGCGTCTCGCTTCCTTCAGTTCGCCTTCATCGAGGAGGGCGTTCGCCAGGCCTGGCACGCGACCAAGAACCAGAGGGACGACTTCTCGGCCAACGTCGTCGTCTTCGACGCCCAGGGCGAGTCGAGGCACGCCGCCTGAAGGAGGACCGATTCTGTGATTCGCTTGGACTTCTCGTCTACTCTCCCTCGCTTGCCTATTCTCTGGTTCCTCTCCCGCTTGTACTCGCTTAACTACATGGAATGCACCCTGTCGCCTGTACTGTCGGTGAGAAACCCAGTCGAGCGGAAGTCTGCCTCGTGCCAGCGTCTCGCTCCCTTCTCTCGACGTCTCGCGAAGGTGTGCGTTACTTCCAATACATGATCCGCAGATAGAAACCTCAGTACGCGAAGGTACCGGCGTCTCCGCAGTCCACGAGGATTGACTTGCCGCCCATGCGCTTGTACAGGTTGAGAGCGGCCACCTGGGCGTTCTGCACGACGGCGCGCACGGCGGGGTTGGCGGGGCACTGAGCTTGGGTGTAGACGGTCTGTGTGGAGGATAAAGCTGGTTGGGAGTGGTTCAGAACGAGGACGCGAGAGAAGACGGACCTTTTGAGCACACGCGGTCGACTGAGCGAAAGCCGTGCTGGTAATCGTCGTTGTCGGGGTGGCGAGAGTGTTCGTAGAGAGCACGGTAGACGTCGTGAGAGGCGTCGGCGCGTTCTCATACACCGTCGCAAGCGGAGCGGCCGCGGCGTGGTAGACGGTGGAAGCGAGGGTGACGAGCGGCGTAGGCGCGTACTCCGTTTGGGTGTCCGTCACCGTCGCGAGAGGAGTTGGCGCATCGTTGGTGACGGTTACAGTGTCTCCAGCCCTGCGTCGGTAGGCAAAGATCAGCGGAAGTTCGTGAAGAAGGATCGGCTGGATTCTACGCACGTTACGGTGGGTGTAGGCGCTTCGTCGTAGTAGGTGTCCGTAACGTCCACCTCAACCTCGGGCTGCGCCAACGTCACGGTCTCGAACTGGGTCACCGTGGACGTCGCTTCGCCATAGAAGAGGGTGTAGTCCCGCTTCATGCGGTGACGGCCAGGGGTCAGGCGAGTCATGGAGGTGTAGGTGTTGGGGCAGCAGCTGGCGGGGAAAACCTGTTGCAGAAGGCCGAATATCAGTGAGAGGAAGTGAAGGGCAAGATGAGGCTCGCCTCACAAGGCGGAACGTCGTGCATGCGGCGTAACCTGCATGCGGAACGTAGTATGAAGCGTCAGGTATAGCACTCGGTATCCTGTGGATATGCAAAGGTCGAAAGATCACGCACCGGTCGAAACGGTCTGCACCGCCGTCAAGGTGCTTGTCGGCGGCTCGTCATTGACGACCGACGTCTCGAAGACCGTGGAAAGGTCCGGTGTTTGTGTAATGGTGGCCGTCTGGGTGGGAGGCGTCGTCGTGACATCCTGCACGTTGGAACCGAAACGGGATGGTCAGCAAGGATGCTTCCACTCCTCGCAGACGGGAGACTCGCCTCAGGCGTGTAGAGCGTTGAAGTGTCAGGCGTGATCGTCTGCGTCGCCTGGACGTGGATCGTCGAGGTTGCGCTGTGGACGGAAGCAAGGCAAGAAGGCGAAGGAGCCGAAGAAGGAGGTCAGCCGGCTACGATCCGTGCAGGAGGATGGGCGGAACTTACGGCGTCCTGTAGACGGTACTCATCGGTGGAACGGTCACGGCGACGGGAGTCGTCGTGCCGCCGTCGACTTCGAAGTACTGCGTGAAGTAGTCGGGCCCGAGGTCGATGTCGACCTCAACGGTCTCGGTGACGATGCGAGTGGTACTTGGCACCGTGACCACGACGCCTCCTCCGCCGCCGCCGCCGCCGCCGCCGCAATCTCCCTGCGCCTGCCGGTAGCAAAGAAGAGGTGCTGCTTGAGCGAGACCGACGAGAGCGAGGAGCGCGACCTGGCTGGCCATCGTGTGGAGAGTGGAGTGAAGGGATGTAGAGAGAGCAAGAGAGGCGAGGGGGAGCAGGAAAGCGAATCGGAAGCGAAGCGGCACTTGACCGGACTTCCATCCGACGAGAACCCGGCACGCGATCGAGTCCAACCCGCGAGATGCGATTGCGCCACGTTCGAGTGCTTGGCAGGCCCAGTGCGTGCAACTCCCGCTCGAACTTGCGCCTGGCCTGCTGAACCGCTGTGCGACGGCTTTGCGGACGAAGGGGCGTCGTCCAATCGCGCGATGGCGGATCTGGCGGTTGCTGTCTTGCCTGCGCTCTAGTCGCCGGCATGAGCCGGGGCCTGCAAGCTCCGCCCGAGTCGGGTGGTCCCAGAGTGCCAGTCGAACGGAGGTGCGAGGGAGCGGGACGACGGCGAGGAGAGCGAGCAAGGGTGCATGCGACGCGCGATGCTGCTTGAATGGCTCAGCAGCGCAGGAACGAGCGTTGTCAGCGTCTGCACAGCTGGTGCATCCTTGTGAGCCGGATCGAAGCGTGTGGCCGAGGTCACAGAGGGTCGAGGAGGAGGAGAGCGACTTCAACCTCGCTCACCACGCTCTGGCTGGCTTGAAGCGCTCTTACGGGCTTGCGTGGGCTAGCAAAGAAGCTTCTGAACCGGTCGTCATTTCCCTACAACACTCCCTTCACCCCCTCCTCTTCATCACCTCCTGTCATTCAACATCAAAGCCCACTCGACGTCGGCATCCTCGCCGGGCTCGTCAGACCGCCTTTGCAACAACGTGACTGTACGGGGTCGACCAGACCAGCCGGCATGCGTCGACGAACTGCCGCCTCAATTGCGCTCGTTGCTCTCCTCGGCTCCTCGGCCCCGTCAGACGAGTGGACAGGCATGTCGCAGGGTAGCAGAGGGCGAAGAAGAGCGCTTTTCGGATGGACGGGAGCGACTGCGCAGACTACAGGGCTCACAGGACGGTGCGCAGAAGCGGTCTCTCTCCCCCCGACTCCCGCTGACCTCGCTCCCTCTCCACAGATGGTCACAATCTTCCGCCCTTCTCTCGCCAGACGACGATCCAACACTAGTAGTCGTCTCGGGGAAAGAGACGGTCGCCGGCCAGACAGTCTCCTCCACCCCGTCGACCTCTTCTTCCCTCTACCTCAACCTCTCGAACCCAATCACCGACCTCTCGTCTCCACCCTGGCAAGACTTTGCCACCGCAGCACCTATCGCATCCTACGCATCTCTCGTCCCACTCTCCTCCTCTTCGGCCCTCTTCTTCGGCGGCGACGCATCGAGCGATCCTACCTTCGCCGTCCAGACCGGCAACGACAGCTCCTGGCTGCTCTCCCTCACCTCGACCTCGACTTCCCTCACACCCTCCTGGACGCACGAGACCGCCGATCTCTGGCCGAGCCAGCCCGAGCGACGAGAATCCGCCTTTACCGCCTCGGCGACGAACGGGACTCTCACCCGAGCATGGGTATTCGGCGGTCAACGCGCCGATAGGTCGGGAACGACGTTTGGCGAGATGTGGGAACTGCAAGTGACGGTGGATGCGAAGGGTGGAGTGTCCGCACCGCGCTGGGCGATGTGGAGCGGGACAGGCGGTCCTCCGCCGACCTACGACGGGACGGCCGTCCTCGTACCGAGCACGCAGTCAAATGTGATGCCGAGCATTCACCTCATCGGCGGCGTGCAAGTCGTCGACGGCTCGTCAACTCTCGCGCCGCTCGACTCGGTCTGGGTCTTTACCCCGAACGCAAGGCTGGGCGGCGGGTCATGGGAGCAAGTCAAGATGCGGAATGCGCCTAACGGCAGGAGAGGTCACGTTGCGGTTGAAGTAGGAGCGGGCAAGATCTGGGTTCAAGGTGGACGGAGTGCGGATGGCTCGACGGTCATGAGGGACTCGGCGCTGCTTGACACGCAGAAGAAGACCTGGACGAGGACAAAGGCGGGTCAGCAGGTATGGGGACAGTCGGTGGCCATGGTTGGCGAGACGGTTGTGATGGCTTTCGGTGCGCTCGCCTGTTTCCTGCGACTCTTGCAGTCTTAACGATGGTGCCGCTCACAGGCTATGGCGTCAACTCGCCCGCTTCAACCGCGCTCTCGGTCTACGCTCCAGCCAACGACACCTGGCTCACGGCCTACTACCCTTCCTTTGTCACCATCCCGCCGACCAACCCGAAAGCTTCCGGCCAGACGACGCCCGCCGCTTCTCCCGCCGCGTCCTCCACTCCGGCTGCACCTTCCGACCCTAATACCTCCCCGTCAGACTCGTCATCTACCGCGCCCGAATCAGCGTCTCCCGGCGCGGGCAGCTCGTCCGACTCGTCTTCCTCCTCTCAGTCCAGCTCGTCCAGCAACGGGTCAAGCGGCGCGCCAGAATGGACTGCGCCAGGTTCGGCCGCGTCCCCTTCATCCGGAGGCGGCGACTCAAGCAGTGGCAGCTCCGCGGGAGACGGCACCAGTAAGCCCTCAGGCGGAATTGTCGCGGGCGCAGTCGTCGGTGGCATCCTCGGCGCGCTCGCTCTCGGCGTAGCAGGCGCCTTCGCAGTCCGCCGCTACCGCGACAACTCGCGACACTCTTACACAGGCGACGACGACTTCTACGCTCGGCCGTTCGCGGGAGGAGCGAGCGGAGGAGGAAGCTTGATGGCCGAGCACCGCATGAACGGCGGGTTCGCCAGCAGCGAGGCGTACAACCTCGGCAAAGTCGCTCCTCCTGCAGCCGCCTCGGCCGGCGTCCTTGGCGCTCTAGCAGGGTTCCTCAGCCCGAGGGACAAGTTTACTTCTCTCGCTGGCACGAGGCGGAAGCGCCGCTTTGATATGCTCAAGGACGAGGAGAACGACGATACGTGGGACGCGGGCATGAAGGAAGGGTGGGTCCGCTTCGACGAGGACGAGCCGAGCGGACACGACAGGACTGGATCGGCGTCGTCTGCGTCGCTCAAGGGTCGAGGAGGGATGGCGATCTGGGATGGGTTTGGCGGGATTGCGCCTGGTGTTGGGCGCTTTGGAGACTCGATCAGGTCGTCGAGGTCGTATTTGGGCGGAGCGCTCGGCGGGTTCATCGGCATCGCAGGCGGCGCGGCGGCGAGACGAGCGGGTCCTGCGCAGGATGAGGAGCTGGACGAGAAGCGCTCGCTCGATCACCATTACGGCGGCATTGCGCGCGCTGGACTCGAGGAACAGGCGGATCCGGCATTGACGCCTATCGCCGAGTGGGAAGAGGAGGATGCCCGATCCGAGCCTGACGATTCGCGGACGCTCGAGAGCGGCCACACGCACACGACGGGTACCTACGACGCACCTTCATCGTCGACAACCCATCGCACCGCCTCGACACGACCGACCAGCTGCGAGATCAGCCCGACCAAGGCGTCTCGCATCGTTCGTCCCTTCTCCCCTGCATCCGTCACCTCACTCTACGGGTCCAACTTTGCATCTCAGTACGCCGGCGGGCCTGCTTTGAACCGCACGTCGTCCAACCAGAGTCACGCCAGCAGCCGCTTCCTCTCGCGCAACAACTCGTCGTGGTGGAGCCGCCTCAACTTGCAGAAGGCGCATCAAGGCGGTGAAGTGCCGACTCTTACCGCCTTTGAAGCCATCCGCGACCCAGCGCCTGCACCATCTCTCGCTACGATTCCGGACGACCCGTTCGTCGACCCGTTCGTCGACCCGACTCCTTCCCTCCCGCCTCCATCTTCCGAATCTGCCGTCCCTTCCGCCGCCCCACTACGGCAGCTTTCGGCTCGCGTTACCCGACCAGACGAACATGGCCGCTTCGACAGTCGTGTCGAGCGACTCGTGCGAGGCGAGCACGACCGCTCCGTCTCGTCCAATACGTCGGACGTGACTGCCACTTCCTCCGTCCTTGAAGAGCGACTGCGAGGAATGGACGTCGTGCAGCGTGTACGGACCGGAAGCGGCGGCGACTCGTCAACAGAGGTTACCCCAACTTTGGGACACACGGCCGATGGTGCTTTCGGTCGTCTGCCTGAGGCGTTGACATCGACCCTGCATGTTGTGCCTGCGCCCAACCCTTTCGCCGATCCTGCGCCTGCGCCTCCACCCAAGACGGGCGCAACACCGTCGAGCAGTCCTCGCAAGCCCGTCCTTCCTATCTCGATCCTCCCGCCTACCCCGACCTATGCGCCGCCCGACTCGCCTCGTCGCAACCGTCTTGCCGGTCCTCGACCACAGCCTCTCTCCCCCTCAGCCGCGCCCTCGACGTTCAGCCTCCCTCGGTCCAACAGCGTCAAGGACCTCGTCGCCAACATCGAGCGTCGCAACTCGCAGCATTCGCTCGCTTCGTTGGCCGCTCCTGCAGCTCCCTCGCCGCAGAAGAAGCGCGCCAAGGTCGAGCACGGGCTCGTCAAGAAGCAGCAACTCTATATTGCGAACCCATGAGGAGCGGCGACCTCTGCACAGACACTTTCGCCTCTTTCTCTGCACAATAGACCACGGACCCTCTCTTCTTGTATCCTGCTGTCGAACTTAGCAGCCGTCGCCGGCGCTCTTGCAATTCTTGTCCTCCTCACCTTCGCACTTCTGGCCGCAGCACACTCTGCTCTCCAGCGGTTTGTACGCTGGCTGAACTGCCAATCAGACTAGCCTGCAGGCCGTACGAAGGGGCGGAGTCGCGGCTACTTCGATTCGCACCCTTCTCTCCCTCTTCCACCGCTACCTCTTGCTCTCTTTCCCGCTGGCCGGCGCATTCTGAGCACACACACGCTCCCTGTGACTCCTCTCGCACCGTGCACGCCTTGCCAATAGCGACCTGACGGCGATTCCCTTTCGTTGACGGACCTATTCCCTTTCCTTGCCGACACCCGCTACAGCCTTTCTCCCTCGTTCTCTTCACTCGCCCGCTTTCCGACACAATGCTGCTACCCGCCTCCGCCCGTACCGCTGCGCCCGCACTCGCTCGTGGCCTTGGTCGCCGTGCCGCATCCTCATCAGCTGCAACGGTGAGTGGGGCCCAGCCGTTCGTCCTCGAGTCCTGGGCAAGCTGAGGGACGTCTGTGAGACCGGGGAGGGTCGGGGGAGAAGACTGCGAGTGTGCGGCTCCGGCACGAGGCGGCGAGACGGCAAGCTGATCCGTCTTCTCCTCCCCAGGTCAAGCGAACGGCGCTCAATGCCTTTCACAGGGCGAACGGCGGCAAGATGGTCGAGTTTGCGGGATGGGACATGCCTCTTTCGTACGAAGGATCGGACAAGAGCAAGTGCCCGGGTGGACCAGGTGCGCTTCCTTCCCTTCCTCCTGTCGAGCGTTTCCGTGAATCTGCGTCTGCTGGAAGCGTTTCGTCGGGTATGCTTGTATGTATGTACGTGAGGAAGCGCTGACGGTCACACTCGCAGTTGCCGAGCACCACCAGGTCCGCAACTCGTCCGGCTTGTTCGACGTCGGACACATGGTCCAGTCGACGTGAGCTCAGCCTGCCTTTCCTCGGCCGAGCTCCCCCTTTGAAAGCTTGAGCTGACCTTCTGGGACGTCATCCAGCTTCAAAGGCCCCGGCGCACTCGCCTTCCTCTCGCACCTCCTCCCCGCCTCTCTCGCAACTCTCCCCATCCCCGGCAAAGATGCGCACCGACCCTTCGGCTCGACCTTGAGCGTCCTCTTGAACGAGCAGGGCGGCATTCTCGACGACTGCATGATCACGCGGTGGGGGAAAGACAGGTGAGGAAGCCTTTTGCCGTGCTCGCCGTCAGCCGCGACGACTCACAGCGATCTCCCGGTAATGCTTCCTCGCAGCTTCTACCTCGTCACGAACGCGGGTCGTGCGGATGTCGACATCCCTTGGATCAGCAAGCACGTCGAGGAGTGGAATGCCGAGAAGGGAGAGAAGGTCAACTTCCAGGTCCTCGAGTCGCAGGCTCTCGTCGCTCTGCAAGGTGAGCGAGTTCTCAGCCGTAGTAAGCGTACTCAAGCTGACGACTCGACCTTGTTCAGGCCCTAAGTCGCACGTCGCCCTCCAGCGTCTCCTTCCTTCCGGTCTCTCCGTCCAGAAGCTTCTCACCTTCGGCCAGTCGCTCCACCTCTCGATTCCTTCGCTATCGTCCTCTTCTACCGTACACATCGCTCGCGGCGGCTACACCGGCGAAGACGGCTTTGAGATCTCGGTCCCAAACGCGCAGGCGGAGGGCTTTGCTGGCATGCTGCTCGAGCAGGAGGAGGTCAAGCTGGCGGGCTTGGCCGCGAGGGACAGCTTGAGGCTTGAGGCGGGTCTCTGCTTGTATGGGCATGATTTGGACGAGTCGGTCGGTGTCGGCGAGGCGGGTCTGGCGTGGGTTGTCGGTGAGTCCAGATCGCGGAACAAGACGTTCGAAACCCGTTGACCTCCCCCGCTTGTAGGCAAGGACCGTCGCACGCCGGGCGCCTTCATCGGCAGCGAGCGCACGCTTGCCGAGCTCAAGAAGGGCGGCACGACCCGCAAGCGTGTTGGCTTGACGGTCGAAAAGGGTGCTCCCGCTCGCGGTCTGTCTCGCTCTCCCCGCTTCTTCCGCTCGCAAAGAATACTGACCGTGCTGTTCACAGAGGGCGCGCTGATCTACTCTTCGGCCGACGCATCCACCGAGCCCATCGGCCGCATCACCTCCGGCCTGCCTTCGCCTACAATCGGCCAGAACATCGCCATGGGCTACATTTCGACCGCCGATGGCCTCAACAAGAAGGGCAGCGAGGTGTTTGTTGAGGTGAGGAAGAAGATGCGCAAGGCACAGGTCGTTGGGATGCCGTGGATCACGCCGGGATACTACCGTGGCGAGTAGAGCGGATCTGCGGGATGTGTTTTGCGGGACATGGACAATGCAGTGCTTTACAGGCCCGGGAATGCTCGAATGAGAGGAGAATTCGTCGCAGGCTACGCCAACTTTGCTCGCGCCTTTTCCAGCTTCTGGCTCGCCTCTACACGACAGACCAAGTCAGTTCAAGCGACACCGGGTCAAGGAGACGATGAATACGCACCAGTCTTGACCGTTCCCGTTCCTAGCCGCACCGCATCCTCAAACGCCTTGACCGCTTCCTGCGTCCGACCCAATCCTTCCAAAGCCTCGCCTCTCCGGACGTAGCCCTTCGCCCACTTCGGCGCAAGAGCGATAGCGGCGTCTGCGTCGGAAAGGGCGGAGGAATAGTCGGGTGGAGAGAGCTTGAGAGACGTGAGGGAGCGGTTACCGAGGAGGACGAAAGAGTTGGGCTACGCGTGCGCAAAGGATGTCAGCTCGCTGTTTCCGACGTGTGCAAAACAGTGGACGCACTGCAAGCTCGATCGCCTTGGTATACGCAACCTTGGCCGCTTCGAAATCGCCCTTCTTGAACGCCGCGTTTCCTTCTTCTTTCGCTGCTTCTGCTTCAGGGCTCAGGGGAGGGATGGGAGGGTTCGGGCCGGCATGGGTGTAGACGAGGCGGTTCAAGGCGGCTGGATCTGCGCCCTTCAGCTGCAAGTGGGCGAAGGAAAGGTCAGCTTCGTCAGAGGGGAGAGGGGAGTTTGAGGCTTACGGTATCGACGACCTTGCCCGCCTGGATTGCAAAGAACGTCGGCATTGCCGTCACCTTGTACTGCGCAAACGGCAGCAGATGTCAGCAATGACAGACAGACGGAGTAAGGGCTTGTTCGCACCTTCTGCGCGATTTGCGGCAGCTTGTCGACGTCGAAGCGGACGAACCTGATGAGACGGATGTAAGCTTATGCATCTGGGGAGACGACGGAAAGAACAGAACGCACTTGACCCAGTCCGCCTGCTTCGCCAGTTGGTCAAAGACCGGTGCGATCGTCTTGCAAGGTCCGCACCATGTTGCGTATGCGTCGACGATGACAGTCTGCCCCGTTGCTGTCGCAGAGCGCAGTGCGTTGTTCCAGTCGGAGACGGTGTGGACTTCGACGAGGCTCATGGCGTGAGGAAGCGAAGATTCGAGGGTGCGGATGATCGAGGGTAGTGTGCAGAGTCTCGCTGTTGGAGAGGTTGGCGAACCGAGTGCAGTGTTGGAGGACAAGAGAGGGAGAGAGATGCGTGCTCGCAAGCCAGTCGACTGGATCAGTCACGCTGACCAAGCCGGTTCGGTAACAGGAGGAGAAGGTTGTCGAACGGGATGCTGACGGCGCAGGGCGGGGTGGCGTTCGTCCTAAGAGCAGTCTGCAGCCAGGCCAAGTCCTCCAAGCTTCTCAGTAGTCCAGCTAGTGCGAGCGAGCGACAAGGACAGAGGCAGGCCTGCTCGTCGACGGATCGCTTCTCCCCATCAACTCGCTCCTGCACAAGATGGCCGCCCGACTCACTCGTTCTGCATCAAAAGCCGCACAGACGGCGACCAAAGCTGTTCCCGCTTCTCCCGTCGCCTCGAAGCGTCCTCGCCCCACTTCATCAGCCGAGGCCGCCACAGAGCCTCCCACGACGCCCAAGCGGTCCAGGACAGCCGCAAAGGGCAAGGCGAAGGAACCCAAAACGCCCTACGTTCCGCCGACGCCCAATACCCAGAAGGTGCTCGAGAAGGAGGCACACGAGGCGGAGGAGGTTGGCGAGAAGGAGGGGGCCGTCTTGCTGCACCCCAAGCCGACGTTCGACTTCGAAGACGCCCGCAAACACCTCACGAGCGTCGATGCACGGTGGGGGAAGGTCATGGCGAGCTTGCAGTGCAAGCCGTTCGAGGGCGAACAGACGGATCCTTTCAATCCTTTCCGGTCGCTCGTCTCGTCCATCCTCGGCCAGCAGGTCTCCTGGCTTGCTGCACGGTCTATCCAGCACAAGTTCTGTCGCCTCTTCTTCCCGCACCTCCCGGAGAAGGCGCCTCCTCCCGGTACCCCTGGCATCACTCCTTTCCCAACGCCGCACCAAGTCGTCGACCTGCCCGACCGTACCGCCACCCTCCGCTCCGCCGGTCTCTCCGGCCGCAAGGTCGAATACATCGTCGAGCTCGCCGAACGGTTCGTCGATGGCCGCCTCGACGCGAAGTCTCTCTGGAGCATGAACGACGACCAACTGATGAAGACGCTCGTCGAGTGCCGCGGAATCGGCGTCTGGACAGTACACATGTTCCTCATTTTCTCGGCGAAACGAGGCGACGTCTTGCCCGTCGGCGACCTCGGGATCCAGAAGAACCTCTGCAAGTGGTACTCGCACGACCCGTCCATCGCGCCCTCGATTCACCCGCGCAAGCTCGCTCCTCCTTCTCCAACCAAGCTTGGCTCGACGTCTGCCGTAACGCCAAAGGGGAAGAAGAAGGCTGAGGGGGAGTATGCTAGCGCGGCATTGCCTGAGGGTGACAACGAGGGAGAGGGGCACGGGCTGGGCAAACTCGCAGCGCTTGGCGGTGCCGAGGTGGAGCAGGAGCAGGTGATAGACCTTGACGAGCCGGTGAAGGCAAAGGAGGAGGCGGAAGTTGACGGCGGCGAGTTTGTCTTCCCCGAGACGAGCAACAACTTGACGCCGGCAGTCCTGCGGAGTCGCCTGAACGGCAAGAAGCTTAAGTGCGTTGTCAACACTCGTTGGCTACCGGATCTGCGCTGACGATCTCGTTCGCAGAGGAAACATCTACTTGACGCCGCAAGAGATGGAGGAGCTGACAGCCGCATGGGCGCCCTACCGCTCCGTAGCGTGCTGGTGAGCTTCCCTTCACCCCAAGCTTTGCGCTGCACACCATGTTGACGTTCTCTCGCTTTCTCAGGTATCTCTGGTCTCTCTCAGACGGAACAGGCGACCCGTAAAGCTGGATGCAAATGCAAAGATGTGCGTGCGAAGTGAACGATGTGCGGTGCGAAGAACGAGAGGCGTGCGAGGGAAACGAGTGTGAAGACCAGTAGGATTGCGGAAGAAGGACACGACAAGGGGACCAGAAAAGAATGAGAAACTAAGTGTCTGTTGTTATGCCTGACTCTAGTTCGCCGCTGCGCTTTTGCCGTCTAGAGCGGGCCCTTCTTCTCCTCATCCACCGCCGACGACAACCCCGGCACCTGGAACGGACTCTCGCTCCGTCCAAGCTGCGGCAACCCCTCGAACGCCGTTGGAGTCCTCGACCTCCCCATCGACGGCGCAGGCGAAGCGACACGCATCGCACCTCCCGCGCCTGGCGCGCCGCGCGGAGCGGTCGAGACGAGGTGTTCTTCCGCTTCGGCGGGAGGGACGGCGCGAGATTGGGCGGACCATTGAGACTGGTACTGCGGTGGACTGGGAGGGTACTGCATCGCGCCAGCATTGACGAACGGGTCGTACGAGCGCGCGAAGGCGGCTGCGCCTCCATCGACCAGGGCGAGTTGTTCGTAGGATGCTTGGCGGGAGTGGGTGGTCGGGAGGGCGTACGGGTCCGAGAGGGAGGGATAGGGTGCATGGCCGTGGTGAGAAGTCGAGAGGAGCGTGGCGTTCGAAGCGCGACGAGGGTCGTTACCGCCGACGGCCATATAACTCATTCCCGCTGCGCCTCCGTCATACACGGTCTCGCCGTCGTCTCCCACACCGTGCGCACCGTTCGTACGATGCGTGTCAAGCGGCTTAAGTGTCGAAGTCGCGTTGTCGCCTTGCAACTCGGGCCACTTGATTTCCTCGAGGTCGTCGTTGTCGAGACTCGAGAAGCGGCGCTGAGTCATGCGGTAGACGATGAAGACGAGTGCGGCGACGACCACGACGCCTCCTACGACGCCGCCGACGATGCCCCAGGTCTTGCCGCTCGACGAACCGGACGAGTCGTTCTTAATCGGGACGGACGAGGGAGTGAGGACCGTCCCGGTTGAGGTACCGACAGAGCCGTCAGACTTGGTGTAGAGCGACGTGTACGTGACGAGAACGGATGTCAAGCCTGCGAGAGAAGCGGGAAAACCAAAATTGGGAAGGTCAACCCTTGTGCGTCGAGAATAGGTGCGCCGCGAGCGCGAGGTTGTCGGGAATTCCGCGAGAGACTTACGGCTAGACGACGCGGCGGCGCTACTTTGGGAAGACGCAGACGGAGCGCTGGTGGGAGCCGAAGCGCTCGACGGCTGAGAGGCGGCAGGAGCAGTGGTCTGCGAAGACGCTGCGGGCGCCTGAGTCGCGCTCGTCGCAGCAGAAGTCGTTGGCGAGGCTGCCGGCGTCGTAGTGGCTGCGAAGAAGAGCGAACGAGGCGGAGTCAGCCCGGCAAGGCTCCGGTATAGCGCGACAGGCGGTGACGAGCATTTCGCGCCGTCTAGCTCGGGGGCAGAAGAGAGGACGGCCCCGCCGACGCACCTGCCTGAGACGTCTGCTCTGTCTGCGTCTGCTGCTGCTGCGTCGTCTCAGCCGGCTGCGTCGTCTGCTGCTGTTGAGTCGTCGTCGCCTGCGCCTGTGTCGTCGTAGTTACGGCCCCTTCTCCCGCCGCACTTGTCGTTCCAGCTGCTGCCGCCGCCGAAGTCGTCTCTCCTGACACTGCCGTCGCTTCCGCTCCTGTCCCAGCATCGGTGCCCGCTGCCCCTACTCCTATCGCGCTCAAGCCGTCCGAAACAGCCTGCCTCTTCCTTCTCGCGAACCTGGGCTTGATCGGTGGTGCTGGCGGGAAGTAGAAGCTGTGTAGAGAGCTGTCTGGTAGGCTGGCGAGGTCGGTGGGTGCTGTTTGTGTGTCGAGCGAGTTGGTGGGTGATGGTGAGGCGGTGCTGACCGGGATGAGGAGCGGGAGAGAAGCGACGAGGGCGAGCGAGCGTGTGCGCATCTGGACAGCGGCACTGGCAGGTGTCCAGCTGGGCCTCGAGCGCGGACAAGGAGAGTGCGCGAGTTGAGAACCACCGTGCTGGAAGAGGTCAGAGCGAGCGAGCGAGACTGCGGGAGAACCGCATAGAGTCAGCCTGTGAAGTCGTATTGCGGTTGGATTATGCTGTAGCTACCTCTGTAGTGCTGCAGTCAAGCCCGCGAAGCGAGTTGGCGGGAAGAGATGAAGCCTTTTGTGCTGTCGGGGGCGACGACGAGGAAATGCTCGCCAGCTGGCAACCTCGCCGCTGAGTCAAAGAGTCGCAGAGACGGCAGAAGTACTCGATTGACAACACAGCATTAGCCCGAATGAAGACAGCACAACGAGAGACACCCGGAATACAACCTCCTCGTCCTCTATCTTCAGACCAACTCCACGCTCGCAGTCCCGTCCACCTCCTTCTTCTCCTCATCATACACGCTAGCCTCGCCGTCCTTGTGCGACTCGACTCGTCCCTCGAGCGCCGCAGGTTGCTCGAGCATCTCGGCGTCTGTCGGGACGGGGACGGGGAAGAAGTAGCAGAGGAGGGTGTAGACGAGTGCCGAGACGGAGAAGCCGCAGAGGAAGGAGAGGTCGTAGACTGCACGCCGGGGCAAGGGGTCAGCGAGAGAGCGAGTGTGAAGGGGAGAAGAGGGACTCACTGCGCTGGGCGGCGTACGGCACGGTCCGGCCAATCGCGCCTGCGAAACCGACGACGTTGATGAGAATACCAGCGATGTCTGCAGGGGCGACAAACGGTGTCAGCGAGATGGAGAGGCGGGAAGAGGGGAAGAGCGGAACGTACAGGCCGCAAAGGCGCGCAAGTTGAACCCGTACATGTACCGATATATACTCTCATGCTCGAGGCTGTACAGATCAGCCACCTTGACGCGTCGGCGGGCGACGAGGTAGTAGTGCGCGATCATGACGCCGACGATGCTGGAGAGGAAGACCGAGTAGGCCGAGAGGTAGGTCGAGAAGTTGGTCGACGAGCTGAGTAGGTTCCAGGGGCACATGACGAAGCCGACGAGGGCGGCGATGTAGCCTCCGCGGCGGATGCTGCGAGCGGAGGGGGAGTTAGCTTGAGGAGTAACGGACCTCGAGGAGATGGGCTCCGACGCACTTGATGAAGCGAGGGAAGATGCTGGTGAGGTCACAGCCTGCCGAGAGCGCATTCGCTGCGATGTTCGTGCCGAGCTGGGCGACGATGAACCCGAGCGAGATGAAGGCGACGCCCGCCCTCATCCCGTGCGACGCTCCTCCCTCGACCGTGAGGAACTTGGCCATGACGTCGAGGGGCGACCAGACGAACTCGCCAAAGATGACTTGCGAGGACGAGCCGATGAAGATGCCGAAGAGCGAGGTGAGGGCGAAGCAGAACGGCATTGCGACCAGCTGCGGTACGACGACGTTCGAGGGCTTAGAGGCCCTGCTAGCGAAGTCAACTGAGTTTGTAACGAGTGTGGCCATGTTACTCAGGTTCGCTGGGGACGCAGAAGGTCAGGAGAGCCGAGGGAAGCGAGAAAATGTCGAGGAGAGGTTCATCGGCCGACTCACACATGACCTGCGCCACGAACGCCCATCCAAGCGTCGAGCCAGTAATGCTTGCAGGCTGCTTGAGCAGCGAGCCGCCCCCGTGAGCCCTTGTGAATGCAAATTGCGAAGAGGGCGATGGCGGCGATGGGCGACACGATCGCTTTGAGCGTGAACAAGTGGCGGATCTTGTGCATCGGGAAGTAGATGGGGACAAGCGAGACGAGGGAGAAGAGGAAGAAGCAGAGGAAGTGGGCCGTGTCGGTGCCGGAGCTGGGGATGCCGTTCGGAAGGCGGGCGAGGGAGGGGAAGATGGCGAGCAAAAAGGTGTAGACGCAAGTTCCGCCAATCCACGACTGTACGCCGTACCAGACGCATGCCATGAAGGCGCGGTTGAGGGCGGGCCACAGGCCACCGAGGACGCCGAAGGAAGCGCGGATGTAGGCAGGGAAGATGATGTGCAAGACCTGGGCCGTAGAGGTCAGCTTCGTCGTCTCTGTGTTATACAGAACGTCAGTGGAGAACTCACGGCACCGGCGTAGGCGTTGAGGACGAGGAAGAAGGCGGCGATACCGTATCCAACCCAGACGGCCAGCCAGCACTGCCACCAAGACAGGCCGAGCGAGATGCCGCTGCTGGCGATCATGAACGTCGACAGGTTGACAGAGTCGGCGCACCTGAAGAGCTGGTCGTCAGTGATGAGGAGAGGGAAGTCGAGGACGAGGAGGGACGCACCAGAAGGCCCAGTAGTTAATCGCCGTCCACTGGCGCTCCTCTGGTGGCACAGGAAGCAGATCGCGGTTGACGAGGAAGCTGGCGGGCTTGCCATCTGGCTGTCGGAGCTCGGTGGAAGAGATGAGGCGTCTGAAGAGCGACATCTCGGCGGCAGGCAATGATAGTATCGCGCTGAGGTGTGTCAAGGCGCAGAGAGATGAGGGAGGAGAGAGGCAAGGGAGGATCGGCGAAAGAAGCTGAAGTTGCGAGCGATAGCCTGATAGGAGGTGAGGCAGAGCAGGAGAAGAGGGGAGGGGGTGAGCGGGGACAAGGCGCGCAGGTGATCAGCTTCACCGCTCGCTCCGCGCGCGAAAAGATTACCGCTAGCGGCGACAGCGGAGAAAGAAGATAAGCGTGCAAGAAGTCGAAGGGGTTGGAAGTGGAACGTTGGCTTCTTGACCGACGATACCGTTGGATCTGCACGGGGTTCCTCCTGCGTAGGCAACGAACGAGAGCGGCAGCGGACTGTCGTGCAGCGATGGCGATAAAGGCGCGAACAAGACGTTGCGACCCGCTCAGAACGCCCCTCCGTCTACCAAGTCGCCGCCAACTGGTCCAGCAAGCCCGCCTCGTCTCCGCCTGGACTCGTGAATGTCGTTGCGGTCCAGTCTTCTGACGCGAGCGTGTTGAGGAAACTCGAGTAGTCGGGCCCAGCCTCGAAGCCGTCCATGGGCGATGCCGCGTCAACAGAGTCGAAAGCCATTGGTGCGCGAGCCATGGCAGAGGCGGCGGCCTGGGCGAAGGAGAGGGCGGCATGGCCGACAGGCGGAGCGGACGTAGGCTGCGAGAACGGTGCGGGCGATGCGGCGTAGTGAAAGGGCGTAGCGACGGCGATAGGCGGTCGCTCTTCTGCCGCAACTTGGCGCGATACCCGCTTGAGGACCTGCGAGACTGGAGAGTGAGTAGAAAGACAAGCAGAAGTCGAGCGAGCTTTCTGCGCACTTGCGAGAACGTCTCGAGCGGCGGTAGCGGAGCATCCGCCATGCCGTGTGCGGCGCGAGTCGTCCGGCGGTTCTGCTCTTCCGCAAGCAACGAACTGCGAGCGACTCATCAGCACCAGTGCGGGATGTGCCGCAAAGCGCACGCACGCGAGGATCTTGCGGCCCTCCTCGACGACGACCGTCAAGGCAGGCGTCGCGACCTGCGAGTCGTAGATCAGGCGCGCCTTGTTCAGGGTGTAGCGCCTCTGCGGACGCCGTCTAGGGCGTCAGCTTCTCGTGTTGGTGCAACGAAGGCGACTAGACTCGCCTGCTTGATTTCGCTGTCGGACAGGTCGTTGTCAATGGCGTGGAAGACGTCCATCATCAGAACGATAGCGCTCGCAAGGGTACCGGTGTACACTGCGCGTTCGAGCGAGGTCAGTCATCGACAAGAGTGGGATGCAGGACATGACGCACTCCACCACCTGCTCGTCTCGAGCGCGAGCATGTCATAATTGTTCTCGATAAGCTTCTGCGCCGCCTCGATGCACTTGACCGTCGAGGCATGGTAAGGCGAGTCTGGCAGGTACCCTCGGCCGAGCAATGGGCGGTTGAGGCGGACGATGCGGGAGAAGACGTCTTCGTGCAAGCATGCCCGCTCGTAAGCAGTCCTAGGCGAATCGACGATCTGCGGCGGGTCGGCAAAGACGGCGGGGACGGCGTCAAGGACTGATCGCCAGCCCTTGTCTTGCTCGAGGACGGCGGGGTAGCTGAAAGAGTCGTTCGAGAGGACGAGCGTGTCGAGCGCGCGGCGGATCTGCTCGGTGATTTTGCACTGGATTAGCTGGAAGGACGCGTCGGTGTAGACTGTCGGTGAATGGGGAGGAGGCGTGCGCCATTCGGTGCGGGAGAGATCGCTCAGGTTGAGGTTGAGTGGGCGAGCGGTGTTGTCTGCGAGTAAATGAAGATCAGCAGCGGCCCTTCGGTGGAGTCGGATCGCGAGACGGACATTGCGACGGATGGAGCATCTGCAGGACCGAGAGGGTCAGCTGGAGTCTGGCCGACGCAAAAAGCGGAGCACTCACGTAGCAGCGGAAGCAAGGCGAGTCCGACAGCCACGAATCGATGTTGACGAGGTGGTGCCAGAGCCTGACCGCCATCTCCCTCTTGAGACTGTTGCATCCAGGCGGCAAAGCTGGGTCGTCGGGCGGCATCTTCTGCGGGTCGGACCCGAGGCGGTGGAGACCCATCCGCTGGGCGACGCGAAAGGCGGAGGCCGCCCAACCGAGGAAGCGGCCTTGCTGGCCTGACGAAGAGGAGATCTGGATGTCTGCGCAAGGTCGAGGCGAGTCAGCCACGAGCGAAAGAGCGAGGGAGGGCGACGCACACTGTCCGAGCAGGATGCAGCACTGCAGCGTGCGAATCCTAGGCGTCCCTCCCCACTCGCCCAGCTGAAGTGCCCTCAGCGCCGCATCGTGCCACACGCTCGGCAAGTCGCGCAAGTCTGCCTCCTGCAACCCTCGAAACAACCCGAGATCCTTCATCCCGTTCGGCCGCGACCAGAAGCCCTCGAGCGAGAGTGCGAGGACCATGCAGAAGACGGCGATCCAAAGTGGGTCGATGAGGTCCTGCCGGCCTGACGAGAGCATCTCGACGTATCGCGAGTGCTCGACGGGAAAGGCGACGGGGTCGAGGACCCGGAAATCCCACTCCATCTCGGCGAAGTACTTCTCGATGAGGAAGCGCGCGATCGTCTCGTCCGGCAAGACGGCGAAGATCTGCGCGAGGGCGTCGTGGCGGACTGCTGGCAGTTCGGAGGTCGGAACGGCAAGGTCCAGTCCGAGACGAACGGCGCTTCGAGGTCGTCCGTCCTGGTCGAACGAAAGCGGCTCGGCGAGGATCGACGTCAAGCAGGTCGTCAACTCCATGTCGGGAACCTTGACGTAGTTGTACCGCTTGACGTTCGATTGCGCTGCAGCCGTAAGCGCACGAAGGACGGGGACGCGGGCTCCGAAGGTTTGCTCCTCCAGGTCTGCGACGGCGTCCTCCGTGTCTGACGGCGTCGCTTGACGGTCATCGCGTTGTTTGCCATTGCCGTTCGCTCGGGAGATCGGCGCATTGCTTGAGGCAGGAGGAGGGAGAGAGGCTGAAGGTCCGGGAAGGTGTGAGGAGAAGGAGGGACGGGTGGAAACGGAGGGCGAGGCGTGGACAGAGCTGTTTGAAGCCGACGCAGGCGAGCCGACAAAGGCGGTATGGGACGAAGAAGCGAGGTGAGGGTTCGCCTGGTGGAAGAGTTGCTCGAGGTGGGCGAGTCGTCGACCGATGGCACGGACGTCCGAGTTGAGCGCGTAAGGCGAGTTGGCGTCCTCGTCGTCAAAGCTGCAATAGTGGGTCCGTTTCCGCCTCACACAAGCGGAGCAGGGCATCTGCCTGTCGCACTTGATCTTCCTCCTCTGGCATTCACCGCACGACAACGGCTGCCGCTTCTTTCGCTTCGCCTCGGCATCGTCGCCCGCACCCGTCGCAACACTCTCGCCATCGTCGTCGTCCGATTCTGCACGCTTCGCCCGCACACCTTTGCCCTTCGCACTGGCTCCGCCGACGCTGGTCCTCGCCCGCTTCCTCGATCCGCTCGCCGGTCCCGCGTCTCCAGCAGGTGCGCCTATGGAACTCGCAGTGGCTGGCTGGTGATGCTGGGCCTGTGAGGTGGACGGTGTGGGATACGGATAGGCGAAGCCGGGTGGAGCGGGATAGGGATAGCCCGGGTACTGCATGGCAGCGGTCAAGCAGTCCTGTCAAGCCCGCTGTAAGTCGAGCAAGCCAGCACGAGCGATTCTAGCGAACAGCAAGCGAAATGGAGAGGTCGAAGCGGGGATGACGGAGGAGGTGAAGGTGTCGACCCGCGCGAGGGCAGGCACTTCGAGCTGGACGGGGCTGTAAAGCTCTTTCTCGACTCCTTCGAAGAGCCAGACCGCGCTCTGAAGTGCAGGGGAAGAGCAACTCCCGTTCCGCTCTCTTTCCCTCAACACGCTCTCGGTTTCCGCTCGACACAGCTTAGTTGGGCATGAGCGCACCCACAACGCCTCGCAGGACGCGCAATGTATCGGTGGACTCGCCGTCGAACACGCCGGTGCGCTCGCCAGCGCGGGCCGGGACACCTGCTGCGATCGCGCGGACGAAGGCGCCGGGAACGACAGCCAGTCCACAGAGTACGTCGAATGCGCCTGCGTCGAGTTACCTGGATGCTGACACGCCCACTCGTGCAGTCAAAGCCGCCCTCGCAGCTCTGCGCGCGAAGCGTCAGCCGACTTCTTCGTCTTCCAACATCGCCGCTTCCTCGCCTTCAGCAGACTCTGACGCGCCTGTCACGCCGGCGAGGGGTAGCAACAGGATGTCTCAGGCTGGTAGCTATGAGGAGCGAGCGAAGGACGAGGGTTCGATGGAACGGGCGGACCTCTCGCTCGAATGGGCTGTCAAGGGTGAGGGCAAACTGATAGAGGACGCGAAGCGGACAGGTATGTCCCGCAGCTCTACGGAACTGACGCCCGCGTTCTGACGAACCCCCGGCATATCTCCGCAGGCCGCTTGACTCTCGCCTCACGCTCCCTTTCCGCCGTTCCTCCTTCAGTCTACTCTGCCCTCCTCCCGCGCTCTTCCATCTTTCACCCCTCAAACCGACAACCCTCACACTTCCGCCGCGCACCAGCTGTCGACTTCACCATCACTCGCGCCGAGGACGAGGGGCGAGGCCCGGCGAGGTGGTTCGAGCAGGAAGAGTTGCGGTCGCTCAACCTTTCGAACAACGAGATTGACCGGTTGAGCGAGGAGATTGGCGGCTTCGAGGAGCTGGAGTTCTTGGATGTGCGTGTAATGCTGTCTCCGTGCCACAACCTCGATGCTGATTCTCGCATCCCCAGCTACACGGCAACTTACTGTCCAGCCTTCCCTCCTCGATCGGCTACCTCGAAAACCTGACCTCCCTCTCACTCGCTGCGAACGGCCTCTCGGCCTTCCCGCTCTCTCTTCTCAACCTTCGGAACCTGCGCGACCTCTCGCTTGCCTCGAACAAAATCACGACTCTCTGGCCCGTCGATTGGCGAGATGCCCTTGATAATGCTCTGAAGCCGCCCGAAGCGAGTCCGAGCGCGACGCCCGAGGCGGTGGAGAAGAAGGCCACGCCGTTCGCCCTCCCATCTCTACCTGACAACTTCCCGAAACCCTCATGCGCTCCGTTCCCGCGCCTCACCTCGCTTTCGCTCTCCGGCAACCCACTCAGCCACTCGACCTTCCTCGGAGACGGCTTCGAACTCCCGCCTCGCCTCGTCAATCTCGAACTCGCGTCCTGCGGATTGACCGACTCAGCCCTGCCGCCCTCCGTCTTCGGCTCGTTGTCCGACCTCAAGAACCTCGATTTGTCCCGCAACGAATTGAGCGACGAGCTCTTCTCGACCTCCCTCTTTCCCGACGACTCTGCCTCTCGTCTCTTCCCCTCGCTCGAATCCTTCGACCTCTCGCTCTGCCCGATCGACTCGCTTGAGACGATCGAAGATATCTTCACCCGCCGACTCCGTCGCCCAATCAACTACGTCGGTCTCGCGAAAGTCGTCGATAACCTGATCAAGAACGAGGAGCGCAAGAACAGCGGGAGAAGGATTGGCGTTCCTACGGACTTGCCTGAGGCAGAGGAGGAAGGACGCGAAGTGCAGGTGTTCGTGCGCGAGTGCATGTTGAGGCTTGAGCAGGGGAGGCGGAGGGCGAAGTTCCCGCCTACAGAGACGAGCATGGCGAGGGACCGCGAAAGGGTGGAGCCGGACAAGCCACCTACACATGACACCAAGAAGCCGACACCAACGCCTCGCGCACGGCCTTCCTCACCCTCTCCACCTCCGACGCCTTCGCCTGCCGCACCCTTACCGACAGCCGCCGCTCCTGCGCCTGGGACGCCATCCACCCCCTCGCGCCGCCGCCCCGTCACGCTCGAAGACTGGGAAGTTGAAGCTGCGGCTGGACTGTCCACCCCAGCTGGCCGACGCAAGGCTGCTGCGCTTGCGGCGAAGGAGAAGGAAGAGCGGTTGATCCGTGAGAGGGAGGAGGTTGAGCGCCGAGCGAGGGATAAGGTCGAGGCGGCTAGGCAGGCGAAGGAGGAAGAGATGCGAAGAGCGAGGGAAAACCAGGAGGCGGAGGTGATGGTCCGAAAGATGGGGGAGGTCAAGCTTGACGGATCAGTCGAGGCAGACAAGGCAGAGTCGGAGGGAGAGACGCCTGAGGGATTGCCACCGCCTTACTCGCCGCGGTCACCTTCACCTGCTCGAACATCTGCTCGCCAAGCGTCCCCGCCGGCGCTTCCATCAGCCGCATTGGAGGTCGAGGCAGACGCGCATGACGAAGCCGTCGCTCTCGTCGCCTCCGTCTACGCATCCGCGCAGGGGAAGACGACTGTCAATCTTGCGTCTCGCTCGCTCTCTTGCCTCCCTACGCCTACATCCGGATCGCCGCCGCCAGCGCTCACTTCGGCAACTCACCTCGACCTCTGCCGCAACCTTTTGACCTCCCTTCCTCTCCGCTCGCTTGAGACATGGGGCTGGAACCGGTCGCTCCGCGTTCTCAACCTATCCTGCAGCCGAATCGCCGCGCTCGAACTCCTCTCGACCTCGCTCGGACAATCGACCGCCTTCTTCCCCGCCCTCGACACGCTCGATCTCGCAAGCAACTACCTCCCCTCGACCATCTCTTCACCTTACGTCGATAGTGGCGAGTCTCAACCCCTCTTGTCGACCATCGCCTCTCTCGCACCTTCGCTCTCCACCCTCTCGCTCCGCCAGAACCGCCTCACCTCGCTCACCGGCATCTCCGCACTTCTCCTCCCCTCTTCGTCAGGCGCAAGGGGACTCAAGACGCTCGATCTCGGCGAGAACAAGATTGACGATTTGGGCGAGTTGTGCGAAGTTGCGGAGCGGGTTGAGCGCGAGGGCAAGAATGGGTGGAGGTGCGAGGAGTTTGACCTGAGCATGAACGAGGTCAAGCAGGTGCGTCAGAATCTGCAGGCGAATGTGACGGTCGAGCAGACGACGCTGACCATCGCATTCTCGCTCTCCCGCGGTGCTCACAGCTCCCGCCAACTCTCGGCCTCCTCCCTCACTCGCTCGTCATCCACCTCCAAGGCAACGTCTTCCGCTTCCCGAAGCGCGAGGTGTACGAGAACGCTGGCGCGAGGCAGGTCTTGCCGTGGCTGAGGGAGAGGCTTGGGCGGTGAGAGCGATAGTGAGATAGGGGGAGCAGCCGTCTCGTCCACGATGTATCTAGCAGTCTTGCATAGCATTCGTTTACAGCCATTCTCAGGTCGCTCGCCACGCCAGACGCGGAAGTCGTGGACAAGAATTCCGAGTTGTCTTTATTTCGGCGTAGATGGCTTAACCCCCGCCTGTTCGGCTGCCGCCTGACCCCCAGCAATCTCGTACACCTCTCCGCTCAGCTCGAGTGCCGACTTGCGAATCAGGACTTCGGACCAAAATCTGCGACGATGCGGCAGAAGTCAGCCATTGAAGCCCACGCAAGCAGAGGTCAGGAGACGCACCGCATGATCTCCCGCCACTCGTCCATCCCCCGCGGCATCGTCCCGTCCCTCCCTCTCCCGCCTTCCAGCCTGACCTCTTTGACATGCTCAAAGCCCTTCTTCCAGCTCGCAACGCCCACACTCCGCTCTTCCGCCCCTCCTCGCCGGTACACCAAGCACACCTTGGTCTTCGACCGCTTGTCGGAGGCGAGAGTAGGGTGGCTGAGCAGAGGTGCTGAGACAGCGACGAGCGAAGCGAGGTGCGAGGAAGGATCTGAGGAGCGGGAGTAGAGTAGGGCGAGCTCGGCGGCGCATGAGCCACCTTGTGCGAAGCCGAAGAAGTGGATTTGGGAGGGGTGCCAGCCGCAGCCGGTCTGAGGGGAGGAGGAGGAGGATGCAGAGGAAGAGGGTAAAGGGGCGGTCAGGTGGTCGAGGAGGGCGAGTAGGAGGGTCAAGGTCTTGGAGGGATTTGGGTTCGGTATCACTGCGTCGCGAACGGGGAGGAAAGATCTCAGCGAGAGTGCAGGAATCCCGCGACTTGCGAGAGCCCTCGAGGAGGAAAGGCTCGGAACTCACGCTCGCCAAGCGGGTCGAAGCTTTCCCACCACTGGTACGCCTCCTCCTCGAGCAAAGGGATCCGTTCTGGCGCCTGGAGAGAGAGCACGGCGGTCTGCGGGAGGTTGAGAGACTGGCCCAGATGTGCGAACGGTTTCGCTGTGTCACCTGCGAGCGGTCCGACCGCGGATCAGCTGAACCTCGCGAGACGACCCTTGGCATCGGAATGCACGCACCAAGACCATGGAAAAGGACGAGCAAGTTGGCATCGACGCCGTCTCTCGACGGAGTGTAATCTCCCTTGAGCGCGCGGTCGACTTTGGCGAGCTGTGGCTTCGGGTGCGTCGTCGTAGTCGCTGTCTGCTTCAGTCTGAGCTCTGGCTGCGCCATCTTGTGCCAGTGAGCTGTCGTCGTCGAAGCCAACGCGTCGAATCGCTCGTTTGACACCGACCGCTCGCTCGGCAGCCACGATGGACCAGCAAAAGGCGTTTGGGAGGATCACGAAGCGCGTTCACATCGAAAAGGCAGTCGTGCGTCGCTTGTCCCGCAACGGCTCGTCCTCTCGCTCGCTCACTCGCTCGTCGCGTCGATTCTCATCAACGAAACAGCTCACCTACCGCCTCGCCGCACGAGAGCTCGGCGTGTCTGTCAAAGATGCAAAGGCGTGCGTCTAGGGTCACTACGGGCGCGCGCAGGACGGCCCAGCTGACCTCTGCCCTTCTCGCTCGACGCCTTCCGCCCGCCTTCCCCTAAACAGACTTCTCGCCGCGTACCACGCCTCCGACGCGGCCAAAGAGCGCGAGATCAAGGCTGTGTACCTCTTGAGCGGCTACCTGAAGAAGGAGGAGACGGACGGAGCTGCGAAGGGGCAGGACGGTGAGGACAAGATGGACGTTGACGGCGAAGACGGCACGCAGGCGACGCAGCAGACGCAGGCGGATGGAACAGAGAGCGTCAGGGTCAAGACTATGGCTTTAGTGCAGGAGGACGAGCTCGAAGGTGCGCTAATCCGTTATCCGAAGCTCGCCTCTCAACCAAAATCGCGGCTCACCACTTGATGTCCCGCTACAGCCACGCGCTCCCTCTTCACCGATGACCCAGCTCCTTCGTCACACATCTACGCCCTCTCCCCCGCCCACCTGACCTCCCTCTCGCTCCTCTCGACAACCTCTCTCTCGCTCATCCCGCCCTCGGTTCGCGAGACCAAGTGGAAAGCCTCGCCCGACGACATCCCCGCATACGGCGGTATCGTCCATCCCGATGGCGAGCGCAAGCGCAAGCCTGGACAGGGCGCGAGGAAGAGCGCTGCGATGCCTGCTGCGCCGAAGGCGGGTCCGTCGAAGGACAAGGCGGCGGTCAAGAAGGAGGCTGAGCCGCCTGCGAAACCTGCGAAGGGGAAGGGCAAGGCGAAGGAGGAGCCGGCGAAGGGGAAGAAGAAGGATGAGCCGAAGGCTCGACCGATCGGACAGCTTGGAGGACTCTTTGCGCGCAAGTTCGAAGACAAGAAGGGCAAGAAGAAGGCTAATTCGTCGGATGAGGAGGACGACGATGAGTCTGCCGAGGAGGAATCGGAAGAGGACGTCAAGCCCAAAAAGAAGGGTTCGGTCGTCCCCGCCAAGCGCAAGTCGACTTCGCCCGCCGTCTCGCGCAAGAAGCCCGATCCGCCTGCTGCGAAGTCCAAGGCGGTCAAGCAGGAGGCTGACATCGTCATGGACGACGACGACGATGACTGGGCCATGGACGAGGAGGCGCTGCTCGAGGCAGAACGTGCAGCCGAGAAGCAGGCTGCTTCGAAGAAGACGGACGCTGCGACGAACGGCGGGGGTGGGAAGAAGGCGCCGGCTCGTGCGTTTCGCTTTCGCTCGCCGTTCCTGACTTCGGACTGACTCACATGAACCGCCAGTCTCGCGCACCTCGTCGTCCTCTTCGTCGACTCCGCAGTCAAAGGTAGGCGGCACCAATGCCAAGAACAAGAGCGCAGCGCCGGCGCAGCAGAAAGGCATCGGCTCGTTCTTCAAGAAGAATTGACGGGTTGGGCTGGTCGTGGCTCTCACTTGCAACTGCTTGCTCTCGTTTCTTGCGCAAGCTGCATTGGGCGAGAGACAGTACCGAAGGAATGAATTGGCCAACAAGGGTGGACGGAAAGAGGGATAATACGCGTGCGAGCCAAGTTCTACAGCAGTGTCCGTGTGGAACGAGAGGGAAAGGCTCATCGAGCAAATGCCGCCTGCCTCGCGTCGAACGACAAGTCGCCCTGCATGGCGTAACCGGCATCGAGCGATGCCCCGCGCAGGGTCTGCGGCGAGGGCAGAGGCGGAACATCGGGCGACGCCGTCTTCTTCTTGCCGAACGCGCCAAAGTTCATTGAGAAGACCTTGGACCGGCTGCGCGATTTGCGGACCGTCTGGCCATTGCCCGTTACCGTCGCGGACCGGTCGCGCCCGCCGTGTCCATCGCAGCCAAACTCTTCGACGAAGTTGCTTTGCGACGAGCTGGGGTCGAGCGAGTAGGCGGAACGGGAGCCCGCGTTGCTGGCATACGGAGCGTTGGGCGGCGAGAGAGGTGTCGAAGGGTCAGAGTAGGATTCGAACGGGCGGTTGAAGGCGGGTTGGCGGTTCATGGCATCCGAAGGGAGGAGCGGCAACGACTTCTGCTTCATGCCGGAAGGGTGAGGCGAGACACCGTTGACGGCGAAGTCGTGAGGGGTCGGCGCGCGCTCTCCATCGATCGCAAGCACCTCGGGTTCGCCGCTGTCGACGAGGTGCGGCTCAGAAGAACGCGAGCGAGGGAGACCGCCCGAGTTCGCTTGGTCGCCGAGCGAGTCCAGCGATGGCCTTCCATAGCCGTTCACCTGCTGCTGCGAACCGCCGCCGTTCATCGCCGGCTTCGACCGAGTCGAGATGTACGAGCCCATCGTCATGATGCTTTGGCGGTCTGCGGGGGCGCTGCGGAAGCTGCCGTGGTCGTTGAGTGGTGCAGCATAGCTTGTGCGGAACTGCTGAGCAGGGTGAAGAGGAGGCGTGTAGGGACCGAACGAGTCGATGGACGAGTTTGACGCCGAGCGCTGGTGGTATCGAGGCTCGTTGACGAGTGCAGAGAGAGGCGGCGGAGGCGCGAGCTCGTCGTCGTCGCCGTACGACCCGTCAAGCGCGAGACTGCCGTTGAAGCCCGCCCGCTCGGGCGCGGGCGAGGTGTTCACCTTCTTTCCGCCGCCGACGAGCTTGTTCAGGAAGCCCTTCAAACCCTTCTTCTTCTTCTTGCCCGTGCTCGCGTCATCGACAACCCCGTTACCGCCCGAGACCGCCAGAACGCGGTCCCGCTCGCGCCGATCCGCATGTCGCGCCACGGCTGGATCCGACATAGACGGGTAGGTGTCGTAAGGCGGGTGGGCGTAAGGCATGTGCTTGTCTTGCGACAGGCCGAGATGCATGTCCATCATTGAGCCGGATGGCGCGAAGGAGAGGACGGAGGCCGAAGCGCTCTGCCGGAAACGCGACCACATCGAGGTGCGGCGGTCGTCGCGGCCGACGCTCGTCCGTGCGGGCGAGATGCTTCGAGGCGTGCCGACCGAGCGCAAGTCGGTCGTACTGCGAGCGAACTTGGGGAAGGCGAAGCGATTCGAAGCGGTCGAGGCGGCAGGCGATTTGGGCGGCAAGTTGTCCTTCGTGCCAGAGCTCGAGAAGCGCCTTAGCTGATTGCCGAGCCAGGGCTGGTCGCCGGTCGAGTAGCTGCGCATGCTGGACCCGGAAGAGGCGAGTGCGAAGGGAGGTTGAGGCGGAGCGATCGAAGGCGGGAAGAGCGAGGCAGACGAGTGACGGTTGGTTTCGTCGACAAGCGCCACGCGTGACTGGCGTTGCGCCTTGGCAACGCGGGCTTGCCGTTCCTCCTGCTCGAGGGCGGCCTTCTCAGCCGCGAGCGAGGCGGGCGAAAGGAGCGAGGACGACCGATTGCGGCTGGACAACGCGGCGGTCGAGGCGGACTGAACCGAAAGCCTTACGTCGCGAGTATTGGCGATCGGAGGCGGCTCGATGTGGTGGATGCCGGCAGCCTCGCGGGCTTGTCGCTCGAGGTCGAGCAGGTGGATCTGGGTCGCGAGGTAGGTCTGCAGTGTTCGCCATCGGTGCGACGATGCAGGAGGGTTCTGCGCAAGCAATCGAGTCAGCAGCGCCCTAGAAGTAGTACGTGAGGCCAGCTCACCATCGTCGTCAAGACCTTCAGGTTCCCACTTGTCAATAGCTGGCCCTTGCCGAGTCTCCGCCTTCCGCTCATCCCGTGGTTGTTTGAACTCCTGCCGCCCACGCTCTCCCTGCTGTACGCCGCACCGCTTCCTCTTCTCCGCCCGCTGCCATGTCCACTCTCCAGGCTTCCTCCACCCGCTCCGCCCGCATGGTCTCCGCTCCAGCTCCCGTTGTCAGTCGGGTTCTCCATCTCCCACCGCATCTGCTCCTCAAAGTCGGCGTCGCTCGCTCGTTCCCACACGCCTGGACCTGTAACGTCGACATCCGCCATATCGCGATCGCGCATCATGCACTCGACGCAGATCTCAGGCTGAGGCGTCAAGTGGGGCGGAAGTGCTTGTTGGACAACTGCCGCTGGTGAGTTGAGTTGCGCGGGAGACGGAATGAGCGGGGCGGGAGAGGCGAGAGCGGGAGACGTGGGCGCGTAGGAGACGCCTGTCTGGCCTTGCTGGGCGGATGCAGATAGCGCTTGCTGAGACGCAGCAACGATTTGCGGCGACCGCACGGTGGGAGGAGGGAGAGAGCGAGGCGGCGAGAGCGGAGGCGGCGGGTTCTGCGAGAGTGAAGGACCGGTTGCGGCGGCGGGAGAGGTGGCCGCGCGAATGACCGAATTACGGCCAACTCCGGCCATGTCGTCTGGCATCGAACCGAAGTCGAACGCGAGCGAGCCCGGGCGGCCCATCTCAGTCGCCATGCCGTGCGGCTGAACTCGCGGTGCGGAGGTGGCCGGCCTCGCCAGGTACTCGCCTTCGTCGCCGTTCTGGCACGACGCAAAGGGGTCCTTCACGACTCGCGTAGGGCTTGTCAGGTGAGGCGGATAGGGACCGCGGTCGTCGACTGAAAAGGCGGGAGCCGGGACGAAAGACGGGATATTAGAGGCTCGCTCGGCTGCGTCGGCAGCAGCACGCGTCGAAGACGGCCCCCGGCCACCTGGCACACCCACAAAACTCGTGCGCTGCCGCAGGGGCGGGGGAACTGGGCCATTGCGACTGTCGACAGGCGAAGGCTGGGGCGACGGAGTTGCCGACGAGTGCTGGCCTGAAGGAATGGCGACCGAGAGCTGGTACGGGCGCGAGTAGTTGATGCGAGGGGTCGAATAGCCGTCAGATTGGGACGGTGCCGGGTTTTGCGAGGGAGGAGGCGTGGGTTGCTGAAGCGTGTTGAACCATTCCTGCGGCTGCGAGATGTGCGTGACCGGGATCGGCGGGTTGGGCAGCAGCATCGGTGGCCTCTCCATCGTCGAAGCAGCCTGCCAGCCCTGTCCTGTCGCGTGCACCTCTCCCCGCTCGGCCCCTCCTCCCATCGGCCCTCCAGCCGTGCTGCTGCCCGACGTCCCCTCCGTAACCGTGTCGAGACCGCTGCTCTGGACCCTTAGCATCCCAGGTCGTGCGTCGCCGTCTCTCCACGGCCCGTTCGACGCGTCTTGCGCCGCGCCGACCATTGCGGCGGGACCGCGTGACGGGAGGGACGATCCGGCTGGAACCGAGGCGTTCGGTCGGTGAAGGTTATCTGGCGCGTAGCCTGCACCTGGAGGAAGCTGGCGAGGCTGATTCGGCGCCAGGTGATGCGGTGACTCGCCTGGGGACGCTAGAGGGAGAGAGGCCGAGCGAGTGTGAGGGTTGGAAACGACAAGTCCGCTGGGACCGACGAGACCGGGTGACGGGGCGAGTGAAGGTGGTAGGGAGATGGACTGCGCGGTCGCAAAGTCGCCCCCGTGGTTTGCAGACGTCGAAGGGGTGGGTGTGGAGCGGAGAGGGCTCGCCATAACCCGCGCGAACGGCTCGTGGGCTGGTGCCGCGGTGTGAGCCGTCTTGCTGCACCACGTGAAGCCGGTCAGCACTCGTCTGCGGGCGTCCCACCGTGCCAGACGCCGTGTTGCGCCCTCGCGTGCTGATGAAGATCCGAGGCGCACCTGTGCCCGTTCAACCGCGTCTGGCGCGCTGCCAATGACGTATGGTGGTCGATTGTGATGCGCTCTGTTCAGCTAGCAAGCAGTGCGGGTTCCAGCGAGAGTTGTGAGAGCAAAAGTGAATGTCGCGAGGGAGCGAGCGAACGCGGCCCTCTCCCTCGACGTTGGCGAGCGCTCCCACGCTTCCCTGTGCGCTGTCCTTGGGCTGTAGAGCTCATTGCACCTCCACAGAGCTGCCACGGAGCCCGCTGTTCTTCAGCGCGCCTGCTTCCTCTCCCGCCATCCTGCCTCGCACCCTGCTCCCGGAGCACAACGTCGCCAGTCCTCTCCTGGGCGCACCGTAGACGTGGGCGATCTTGCTATCCGGCATCGCTGCCAACGAGCGAGCCAGCGATCTGGACGAGCCAGTCCTTCGCCTCGTCCCCGCACTGTTGCTGCGAGCGGGCAGGTCTCCTCGCCGCCAGCCGACGACGCTTCCGCCGCAAAATGAAAAGGAAGGACTGCGGATTTAGCAAGGCGGTACAGGCGATGGAGAGGACGGGCAGGCGTTGCATGGGAACAGGAGAAGCGGGATCAACGAGGCAGACAACGAGGCGAGAGACAGAGTCTAATAGCGAGAAAGAGAGCGAGAACAACAGACAAACCCGGGAAGCACCTCTTCACCGACACCTTTCCAGGAACCGCCGCCCTCTAGACCTCCGCCGGGTGGATACCCGCCTCAGGCTCGAGCTTCTCCGACGACGGCGTGAGCGAAGCCGTTGCCGACCTGCGCGCGAGGTGCTCGTAGCCCGGCACGCGGCCGTCGAGGACGTCGTCGGCGAGAACAGCCTCGGCGATGAGCGTCTTGTGATCCGGGAAGAGCTTCGAGAGGAGCGTGTGTGAGCCGGCGGCAACGACGATGCCGAAGATGTCCGCCATACAGTAGATGTCTGGAGCGCAAGTGTTAGCCTCTAGGACTTCGGAATGCAGTTGGAGAGAGATGCGGGCGCACACTTAGCGTTGCCGATGTCGACCTTCGAGTTGAGGGCGTTGATCATGCCCGGCAAGTTCGGCGGGATCGAGATGAGCAGCGCTCCGAGGGCGCAGAGGTTGAAGCCGTAGGTGTAGCTGCGACATCGATTCCGTCGTGCGAGGGTCAATGGGAGAAGCGAAGTGAAAAGGTGAGAGGCGACGTACCGGTAGATGCCCTCCCCAAAGTTGTACAGCTCGGGAACGTTGTACTTGCCGCGCTTGACGAGGAAGAAGTCGGCGCAGAGGATGGCGGCAATCGGGGCGAGGACGACTGTTGCGAGACGAGGACGGCGGAAGGCGAGAAGGTCAGGTCAGCACGGCTTCGAAGCGTTTCGGGCGCGGAGAAGCGTAGGAGGCTGCGATGGGAACGTGTTACTCACTCGAGTAGGCGCCCATGAAGGAGATGAAGGCTCCGGCGGAGGCGAGGACCTGCGGAGAAAGCGACGAGGGTCAGGACGGGCGACGACGAGGGGCATCATGGAAGGTGCACTAGCCTTCCACGGCGCAAAAGCCCACACGCCAATAACAATGGCAATCAACTGTCCGCGGAAGATCGAGATCCACTGCGAAAACGAGGGTAAGCAAGCGAAGCGAAGCGGCGAAGTAGTCGGGGCGAACCTTCGGGAAGAGCGACGCCATGTCGTTCGCCGCCGAGATAGAGTTGGCAGTGATGTCTGTACAACGAGCGTCAGGCGGGACGTTGGACGAGGAAAGCGAAGGACGCACTCGTCGTCATGTTGCCGACGCCCCAGGCGAGCGAGCAAAAGAAGGCAGCCGCCCTGCCGCCGTGCGACTCGAGCCAACCGCCATTCTCGATAATGTCGAAGGGCTGGAAGGTTGCGACACCTTGGTATCGCGGGATGACGGTGGTCATGTTCGCGGCGATCGAGCCGAAAAGTGCGCAGACGGTCCAGAGGGCGGGCACGAAGAGCATTTGCGTCCATGCCGCGGTCTCTTTGCGCGTGTAGCGTGAGAAGTCCGAGATGTTGCATGCCATGGTGCTGTGGGAAACGGATCAGCGATAGTCCCGGATGAAGAGATGAAGAGGATGCGCAACGAGCGGTTTGCGGAAAAGGAGGAATCGAACGCACGACCAAGTCCCCATACAAGCTGTCACGGCAGTCATGAAGGCGTACCATCCTTCGAGACCGTGGAGAGTCGGCTTCGCCTTGAGAACCACCGACGCCTGATCGCCCGCTTTGTGAATGGTCCAGCCCATCATGGCGATGGCGACGATAGGGAGGGTGATGGCTTTAGCGAGGAAGACGGGTCGAAGCTTGTGTGGGTGGACGAGGCAGAACGGGACTGCGTGGAGACGAAGTCAGCCGCTAGCCAGGGAGAAGCGGGATGAGGACGCACACTGGATCACCCAGAAGAGGAAGAAGCACAGCATGTCCGCTGATGTGACGCCTGCTGAAGCAGGCAGGGTGTTCTTGAGATGGGCGAAGGAGCTGTGGTCCCCCGTACAGTAAGCAACGTTCCGGAGATCAAACGAGGCGCACACGCACGGCCAGATGGCGGTTAAACATATCCTGACGGAAATCCCACCCTGAAATGTGTTCACCGACAGCCTGTACAGACGCATCAAACGCTGTTAGCGAAGCTCGAGATGCTAGGAAGAAGGTAGCGGAGAAAGCACGGCGTCTAACGCACCAGAACATGGCAATGACCATGCGCGAGCAGATAACGAAGCGCTAGGAGAGTACGTGACAGGTAAGCGGGGGCTAAAGTGCAGGAAAGGCGAACGAAGCGCGAAAGCGTACCGAGAGGTAGTAGCCGAACGAGGCACGTGAGCTGATGGCGAATGGAACGTGCAGGCGAGAGCCGACGATACCCTGCAGCGCAGCAGAGAGTCAGTCACCGTCCGTGAGACGAAGGAAGGCTAGCGAAGTCGAAGCTGTCGGAAGGGAGGCGGGCGAGGACGGGTCAGACGAGGGACTCACGTTCGCTACAATGACGATACACAGTAGCACGCCGCCCGTAAACGTCGCGAGGAGGCCTTGCCACCTACAAGGAAGACCGTCAGCGCAGTAAGATCGAAAGAAGTTCAACCGGACGCACCATGTCAAGCCGAGGCTAACGAACGACGAGATCTGCGACCAAGATCCGGCATTCTGTGCGAGTGTGCGAATATACGAGTCAGTATGGCTGTGCGGAAACGCACAGCACGGAAAGAAAAGGGGACGCACGATCAAGTCGGAGAACCAGTACGCTGCGAAGGTGCCCGACCCCCAAGTACGATGCTCAGGCGGCACAGGCTCCATGTCTGAGAGCCAGAACGCGGGAACACGTAGGAGTTGTCGGGAAAGAAGGCGGGCAAGGGGAGAGCGAGCGAGGGCAGATATCCGGTCGAGCGCGAGAGGTCGATAAGCGTCGAGGCGTTGTAGATCGAGTTGTGCAGCGATTGCGACGTATTCGAGAAGTCGGGGACGAGCGAGATAGAGATGGCAGGTCAAGGAGGATGGACGAGAAGGAGTAAGTCAGCCTCGTCTCGCGCAGCGATAGACTCGTGTACGCACCGTAATTGCTCCATCGTCCTTCAGGCGTGAACTGCAGGTCCGCACAACGGCCAGTGAGCTTGGCCACACATCACACGACCATCTGGTGAGGGACCGCAGCGTACCGCCGATTCAGGCTTGGGAAGAACCCAGCCGCTGACACGCTTCTTCGCGCGCAAGTCTGCCTTGATGTCTGCGATCCGGCTCGCCATGGTTGTGTCGCGTGCAGGACTTGGACGAGGAGAGGAGAGAAGAGGAGGAGCGGGCTGCTGGACAGAGCGCGACCAGATCGTCAAGATAGCGCCAGGCACAATTTGCGGAGGAGCTCGCCGATAAGCCACCTCGTTTGTTCCCTCGCTGGCCCACCCGCCTCTTGCGCTCGCTCCAGTTCGAGGGCGATACGATAGCTGCGGATAGTCCGATCACCCTGTTGTGAGAAGCCCGCCCCCGCCCATCCTGACAGCGACGAAGAGTCTGTTCGCGCGAGAGAGCGGCTGACCCGGGGCAAAAGGTGGCGGCGAGATCAAAGGCAGCGGGCGGAAGACCGGGTGAATGTACGAAGCGGGACAAAAGCGGGAGCAGGCGGCTGAGACAAGTCGAGGGCGAGAACGGAGCCCGCCAGCCAGGAGTCGAGGCAATGGCCAGAAGCGCCGCCACCATGCTCAAGGGCAGCGAGAAGGTGTCGCTCATGCATAATCCGGTCAGCTGCAGTGACCAGACGAGACTCAAGCGAAAGCAATCCGGCGCACGAAGCGGCCCTGTCATTGCTTCGCCTTCTTCTGCTTCTTGCCGCCGGCCTCACCCTTCCCACCGTCCCTCGACCGCCTCTTGTCCTTCTGCGTCGCACTCGCATTCCCACCGGCTGGCCACTCCTCATCCAGCTTGGCTCGCGCGGATCGCAAGATCCGTTTCTCCCCCAGGCGGACGATCACGGCCATGCGTTTCCGCTGCGGGAGCGTCGACTCCTTGAGCAGGGACTCATCTTCCTGCGATCGAGGCGAAGCATCAGCGAGAAGCGGCGAAAAGCGGACGAGCCGCGAGGGCGGCGATAGCGAGGAGAGCGGTCGAAGCGGAGGTCAGGCGCTAGAGCAGCTCTATACGCACCTCGATACTCGTCTTGTATTCGGACAGCCGCTTGTCGAGGATCTTGCGCGCCCAGTCGGCGGACGGGGCGTCGAGCTTCGGTTTGGGCGGGGACTCCTTCTTCTGCGCTTTGGCGTACTCTTCGGGCGTCAGGAGGAACGCCTTGATGGCGGAAACCATCTCTTCCGGAACCTTGTAGTTCCTCTCGATCGAGAAGGTGCTGTGCGAGTGCCAGAGGTGAGCAGGAGACTCCTCAACGCGACGAAAGGAGGACTCACTCGTCGATACCCATCTCGAGCAACCACTCTGCCCTCGCCTCCCGCCCCTCCTCCCCCAATCCCTGCGCCTGCCCTACCAGATCCACGACCGTCTCCAATCCGACCTCAACCAGATCCGCCTCGTTCACCTCGTCGACATGGCCGTACCGCCGTAAGAGATCCGAGTTGGGCGGGTCGGCGTACGTGTTGAAGATCTGCGATCCGGCTGGTATCCGCGCGGTTGACATCATGTCGAGCGTGTTCATCTCGAAGAACAGGCGAGCCTGCAGGGGAAGTCTGGTCAGTCATCGGGTTCACAGGTAGGGGATAGTGAGCGCACGTTGTCGCAGCCGCTCTTGGCGTTGAGGATGTCGGCGAACGGAACCATCGCGACATCGCCCACGTCTTCCCGCTCCTCCTCCTCCTCCTCATCGCTGTACTCCTCCTCTTCCTCCGGTTCCTTCGCATCAACATGGAAGCTTCGACTCAGGACGAGGCTGCCCATCCGGTGAAAGAGCTCGGCGGTGTAGTCGTCCGGGTTACCAAACACATTGGCGTGCTTTGCGACGAACGGCTTGACCGTCTGCTCGAACTCTTCGTCTGCTTCGTCGCGCCCGACTTTGTTCAGCACCGTGCTGCCCTCGAGCTCCGCGAATTCTTCGGGCGACCAGAACCTGCAACGCACTCCGAGTTAGCTGACGCTCGAACCAAGAAAAGCGAGCCCAGCGCACATGAGCGAGTCGAACTGAGTCGGCAACAGCGAGAAGTACGGCGTCCAGCTCGACGTGCGGAGGTACTCGTATATCATCGAGAGGATGAGCGGGGTCCAGCCGGAGAGGGAGGCGAACTCTTCGGCGGGCAGGAGGGAAGGGAGGGCGGAGGTCGAGGTGGTGAGGAGGACGGAGCGCGGGATCGAGAAGAGAAGGGTGTCGGGCTGCATGAGTACCTCATTTGTCAGCCCTGCGTCCGTGGATCGCCCCTCAGCGAGCCTGCAAGCCCACCCACACTTCCCTCAACCTCCTCAAGCCATCCGGACGGTAGAACTCACCTCAATGTCCTCGAGCGCTACGCAGCCCCTACCCATGCCCTCGAACTGCTTGAAGGCGACCGCAGGATGCACCGCCCCGCCCTTCTCCTTGAACCAGTCGAGGAATTTCGCTTCATCAGTTGGCGAGCTTGACATGTCGAAGAAATGGTGGAGGACAAGCTGAGGCGGTCAAGCGTGTGCAAGGGATACAGAAAGTGTCAAGCAAGCGTGCGATACGAGTAGCGAGTCACGCGAGGCGGATTTGTCGGGCGAGCGAAGGCAGAGAGTCTGGGGAGGCGGTGGAGGGTTGTCGTGGACGGCTTGGACAGCTTCCACAGCGCTTTGCATGAGTTTAGGACTCTGAACGGTGTCTGATGACCATGGGTGCAATGCAAGTGACTACGCGCCGGTACCCGCGCGAATGAGGTCGAGGAACGACGCCTTCGATAGACTCGACACTGAATAGACGCGGGAAGTCAGCAACGCCAGGTGAAGTCGCACATTGGAGACCACTCACAAGCCTCGTTCTTGCCGCGGGCACCCAAGACGTTCGGCCGCCGGCTGACAGTCGGTCCTGCGCTCGCCAACCCGTTCTCTCCTGCTGCGATGCCAACCTTGACAGCCAGCTTCTTCCGCTTCTCCTGCTCCTCGACGTCCTTGTCCTTGCCCACCGCTCCCTGCGCTGCACCGATCGCGTTGAACAACCTCACGACACCCCTCTGTGCGAGCTTCCGCAGACGCTTCTCCCTCTCGGCGCCCGTCTCGTCCTCATCCAACTTCCCCCCTCGCTTGGCCTGCTCAAAGTCGCGCGCAGCCTGGCTCTCCCACTGACTGAACGGCAGGGGAGGCCTCGACCCCCACCCGCCAATCACGTCGCGAACATGGCCGCGAGAGAAGTGCTGGGCTTTGGTTTCGCGGATGACGGAACGCGCGCGGCGCTCGAGTCGGAGAGTGGCGGCGGAGGGAGGGGCGTTCTTTGGTACGGGGTTGGAGGCGGTCGCGGGGAGGGACAGGAGGTGTTGCAGCGAAGAGGAGAAGGAGGTTGCGGTCGTTGGTCGGAGGGTCGTGTGTTTCAGCTCTGCGCGGCGGTTGCGGGCGAGTTAGCTAGTACTTCGTAGCTTGCAGAAGTACACGGAACGCACTCTTGACTGGCCGCTCCTGCCCTTCCTCAAGCATGTCCCGGATCGCATCCTCGTCGTCCTCGCTCCCCTCCTCGTCCTCGTCCGATCCGACCGAGAACTCGTCTTCATCCGCCTGCAGGCCCTCGTCTGACTCGTCCTCGTCATCTTCCTCGTCCCCTGCATCCGCGGTCACGTTAACGGGCTCATCCGAGATGGGCTGCCCGGGCGCGATGGGCTGCTCCTCGACTTCGGGTTCGACGGCTGCGCGGGGGCGCTTGAGGATGGATTTGGGCGCAGATGGTGTCATAGCGCAGTCTGGAGAGCTAGCAGGCGAGAAGAAGCGAGAGTGTCGAGATGGAAGCGGGGCGAGGAAGCAAGCTCAGGAGGACGACCAACTCGCGCTCGAACAGGATGCACTCGGATGGGTTGCAATGCAGTGCTGCAGGGTTTGACAGTCTAGCTCTGCCTCTACAGCCCTTCTGGCGATGTCGTGAGGGCAATCCGGTGCGTGCATACACCGTCCTCCTCCTCTTTTTTGTCGATGAGCGAGAGCGCGTTGGTCTCGAGCTGACCTTGAGAGACCTTGTCGTATGCTGGGTATGCAGTGTGGGCGGACCCCTAGTCGAAGTGTCGCCGTTCAGCTGCCTTGAGGAGGTCCAACGACGGCAACGACTCTGCGACGACCCAATGTCAGCTCGATCTGCCTCGCTCTGCCCGCCAGACGACGCAGCAACTCACTCTTGACGCTCGTGCGGGCGCGAAACAGCCAGCGGACCCTTGGGCAGTCGTCCACCCGCGTTCACAGTCGGGGTCACCTCCGTCATGGCCTGCTCGTTCGCCATCCGCACAAAGTTCCGTACGAAGGGCTTGCAGGCGACGCTCCTCTCGACAGCATTGTAGACGCAGGTGTACTGTGCGACCTGTGGGCGAGTTGAGCGAAAGCGAGATGGGCCTGAGCGGGGGGACGAGCGGTGGAAGAGCGACGAGAGCGCTGGCGGACCTGGTAGTACTCTTGCTCTGGCTGTTTCGACGGTTCTGAGCGTAGCAGCATGGCTTATCGAGCGAGCGCGCGAGTTCAAGGGTTGCCGTGGGTCGAACGAGGGACCCGCGCGTGGCAACGCCTCTTGTCCTCCCTCACCCACCTCCTCACTCGTGAGTGCACTCTGGAAACACTGCTAGAGTATCAGAACTGACTGCTTGACCCTCCGCAATCACCGCCGTCGTCCCCCGATCTCCCGTCGCCTTCATCGCCCGTCGCGCTGGCACTTTTGAACAGTCTCCTCTACCTCACTCCACACGCAAAGATGGTCTACAAGGTGTACGTGCAGGGTTCAGTCAGCTCCCACGATGCGCTCGCTGACCTCGCTTTGCGCCCTGCAGTGCCGACATGTGCGTTTCCACCTCTTCTCGACGCCCCACGTTGTCCCCCCGGAACCTCGCGATCTCGCGTCCCGCTTCGCACGCGCTTGCTGACCTGCGCACTTGCATGTCGACGTCTACAGCTCCCTCGCCGCTTGGGGCCGCAAGGAGATCGTTCTCGCCGAGAACGAGATGCCCGGACTCATGTGCGTTCGGGTCGCCGTTTTCCGCTAGTCGTGGTCTTGGAGTGGTGGATCGATGTTGACAAGTTGTCCTGACTGTCTCTGCACCCTGCAGGTACCTCCGCGAGAAGTATGGTCCCTCGCAGCCGCTCAAGGGCGCTCGCAGTACGTCTCTCCGTCGTTCCGATCTTTAAGCGTCCTTTGCTCACGCTCTTGCGCGTTCCTGCAGTCGCCGGATGCCTCCACATGACCATCCAGACGTGCGTATCCGTTCCCCAAACGAGAGGAGTCAACGTCCGCTAACACAGCGTTCGCTCTCGCAGCGCCGTCCTTATCGAGACCCTCACCGCTCTTGGTGCCCAGGTCGCCTGGTCGTCGTGCAACGTGCGTCCGCGCGCCCCAGTCTCCCGCGAAGGAAGCGGGTATTGACTCGTCGCGACCGCAGATCTTCTCGACCCAGGACCAGGCCGCCGCCGCCATCGCCGCGACTGGCGTCCCCGTCTTCGCCTGGAAGGGCGAGACCGAGGAGGAGTACCTCTGGTGCGTCGTGCCGGCGTCGAAAATCACGCGGAATAGCACACTGACGCGATCTTTGCGGACCAGGTGCATTGACCAGACCCTCAAGGCCTTCCCCGACGGCCAGCCGCTCAACATGATCCTCGACGACGGAGGTGACCTTACCGCCCTTGTCCACGACAAGTACCCCGAGCTCCTCGCCGGTGAGTATTGTCTGCAAAACCCTTTCCAGCCGAAATTGACGAAGCTCGCTCGCAGGTATAAACGGTGTCTCTGAGGAGACCACCACCGGTGTCCACCACCTCTACAAGCTCCACAAGGAGGGCAAGCTCAAGATCCCCGCGATCAACGTCAACGAGTGAGTCGCGTGCGCTCACCTCGTTCCGCACCCGCTCATCCTCGTCCCTCGCAGCGCCGTCACCAAGTCCAAGTTCGACAACCTCTACGGCTGCCGCGAGTCGCTCGTCGACGGCATCAAGCGCGCCACCGACGTCATGCTTGCCGGCAAGGTCGCTGTCGTCGCCGGTTACGGAGACGTCGGCAAGGGCGTGCGTCCTCATCGCTCCCTTTCCTCCCACACGCACTGACACAGTCTCTCGCCAACACAGTGCGCCGAGTCGCTCCGCTCGTACGGTGCCCGCTGCATCATCACCGAGATCGACCCGATCAACGCCCTCCAGGCTGCCATGGCCGGCTTCGAGGTCACCACCATGGAGGAGGCCGCGCCTCAGGGCAACGTCTTTGTCACCACCACTGGCTGCCGTGACATCATCCGCGGCGAGCACTTCGAGGTCATGCCCGAGGACGCCATCGTTTGCAAGTGTGTTTGAGCCCTTTTCCTCTCCTCTCGCGTTTGTTGCTCACCTGCCTTTTCCCTCTGCGTGCAGCATTGGTGAGCGCAATCCATATCTGCTTTGTCCCCACGCGCAGACCGTACTGACATGATTTGGGCTTCCCCTCCTCCCCGCTTCGTTCCCTGGCTTCTCCCGGCCTCCCACGACCTCCCCGGACCTCCCTGATACTCCCTATTCACGTATGACGGCCATTTTGACATCGGTCGGTCAAATTTTCTCGGTGACAATAGGCGCCGGGGTCGTCGAGACTGACCTTCGCTCCCTCCTCCCGACTCACAGAGATCGACGTCGCCTGGCTCAAGGCCAACGCCGCTGAGCATGTCAACGTCAAGCCTCAGGTTGATCGCTACACCATGAAGAACGGCCGCCACATCCTCCTCCTCGCGGAGGGCCGTCTCGTCAACCTCGGGTCCGTTCTTTGCTCCTACTTTGTCTCGCTCGCCCGACTGACCTCCTTCGCTGCAGATGCGCCACTGGCCACCCGTCGTGGGTCATGTCGTGCTCGTTCACCAACCAGGTCCTCGCCCAGGTGCGTGCAGAGAGGCGCGAGTCCACCGGGACCACTTTCGCTCACCTCCTTCTCTCGCAGATCGCTCTCTGGACCGACATCAAGTCGTACCCTCTCGGAGTTTATGTGTTGCCCAAGGCATTGGACGAGGAGGTCGCTCGCGCCCACCTCCAGTCCCTCAACGTCAAGCTCACCAAGATGACCAAGGTTCAGGCCGACTACCTCGGCCTCCCCGTCGACGGCCCCTACAAGCCCGAGCACTACCGCTACTAAGCGCAGTCTCTCTTTCCTTTCTCTCCTTCTCATTGGGTTCAGTTCTTCCTAGATGGACGGCGCGGCCGTCCTCAAAATACCGTTCGGGTCCTCAACGGGCTTATACCACTCTCTCCCTCGCATCGCGCACCCTCTACCGCCTTTTGTAACCTCCCTGCATGACCACAACCTCGCATCACCCTGCAACATCAACTGTTCTCACACGCTGGCGCTGGTCGCGAGCGAGAGCAAGTCAGCAGGGAGTGAACTCGCTCGGATTCAGTTCGCGTGCTTCGCTTCTGCTCAAGCACTACTCTGGTCGTCGTTTGCCAGCTTCTGGCACGCCCACGGCGAGTTGAGATGAACCGTCCCTCGCCAACCACCCCCTCGCGCACCTCGACCTCCGCAACTCGCTCGCTACTCTCGCTCGACGCTTGCACGGTCTCTCGAGCTACTTGTGAGCTACCCTCGACTGCCACAAGCCTTCGCGCGACCCGCGCGGGCCGCCCAACCCCTCCCACTCGACCTCCGCTTCCTCATCGCGACACTCGACCCTGCAACGGCCACAGGGATCAGGGCGGCTCGCGGGAGGGCGCTTGGACTGAGCGGGGTACTAATACATGGCACGGCTTCTTGCGCGCAGCTGCACACCGCTTCGAGTCGACTTTGACCTCTCCTCATCCTCCGACCTCTTCATCTTCTTAACTTCCCGCCAACACTTCCTGAAGCGCCATGGCCAACCTCGTGAGTCCCACTGCAGCTAGGGTTGCTTGCGGCGTGCCGCCGGATATTCTATGAGCAGCACTAACGGTCTCGCGCCTTCCTCCTCCCCTCTTCCACCGCTGCGGGCCTGGACCCTCCTGGGATCGTTCTTGATGACCTGGGATGATTATTCTGCAAAGGGCACTCCGGTACGACTGTTGCACGAAGCGCTCGGTCATGTCGTAACTGTCGAAGGGAAGAACGGTGTTGTCCGTCTCGATTTTGGCGCAATCGCAACGACGTGAGCTGACCGTGTATGTGCAGGTCTACCGCGGCAAGCTCTTCGAAGGTGCGGAGTCCTCCAGATTCGAGATGGAACGATGGGAACCGTCGTTGAGCGAGATCAGATTGGACGGCTGATCTCTTCTCCATCGCAGCCGAGGACTCGATGTCCGTCTCCTTGACCAACTGCACCGTCACGCACCGCGATGGCCGTGTCACCCAGCTCGACCAGGTGCGAGGAGGCGCATTCTGCTCGCAGGGACTTTCCGCTGACTTGGCTCCGTCTCACAGGTCTACATCCGAGGAGCCGCCATCAGGTTCTACGTCGTTCCCGATATGCTCTCGCAGGCGCCCATGTGCGTTCCACCGTCGCTCTCGTCAAGGAAGCGAGTTAAGCTAACTCTGCGCACTCGACAGGTTCAAGCGCGGCATCGCTTCGGGCGGCATGAAGGGTCGCGGTATCGGCACAGCGCGTGGTCGTGCGACCATTATGCGTGCCCAGTCGAGGAGGGGCCGCGGTGGCGCTGGACGGCCGCCCATCCGTCGCTAAGTGGAGGATCAGGAGGAGGAGCTCGCTTGTTGAGGCGGACCGAAAAGCCGCGTGGAATACCCTTGTACCATGTTAGTCGTGCTCTTGAGAGTCTGTCAGAGGACTCTGAAGGCGCCGTCGCGTTCATCGAAAGTTGTCAAGATTCGACTGCACGGGTTCGACTCGTTCCTCCTCGCCTCTTCGCTCTCTTTGCTCTGTGACGCGCCCGTACCGCTTTGCTGACGGTCTATCAGCCACAAGCGTCAGCTGGACGGCGTTACCAGGCGTCTCGCAACTCGCTCTCCCATGTCCTCCCCACCTCGCTTCGCGCCCGGTTCGACCTCGCCCACTCAGTCAAGACCGCGTGCGACGCCCAGCAGACCGACACAAGGCCCTTTTGCGACCCCTGCACGTCCGGGCGCAAGCTCAGCGGCGCACCAGCCCGACCCTTCAACCTCGACAGCAGGCGCCGCCTCCCTCCTCACCTCTTCTCCGCACTACACGACTTCTCTGCGCTCTCGACACTCGCTCTACGGCACAGAAGACCGTGTCGTGCTCGATCTCGGGTCGCGGATATGGAAGGTCGGGTTCAGCGGGGAGCCGCAGCCGCGTGAGTGCAGGAGCGTCGTGAGCGAGTTGGCGAAGGAGCGGGCTGGGCGAAGAGCGGGGTCGTCTACAGGTGCACGAGGGGAGTATGACGAAGAGGACTGCTTCTGGACGCTCGAGAAGTCCGAGCCGAGCGAGGATGAGTGGTTGATTCGCGAGGAGAGGGTGAAGCGACTACTGCGTGAGATCTGGTTTGAGTGAGTCCGTGTCCCTTTCTCCCTCCTCGTCAGAGCTGTCCAATCTTGGCCTCGGCGGCGCGGCATGCTAGCAGCCACCGACGGCCGAGACGAGCCAAACCAGTCCTGCCGCTGACTGCTTTCCCGCGCAGAAACCTCATAATTGATCCAAAGACCCGCAAAGTCATCGTCGTGGAGAGCCCGCTGCTGTCGACGCGCGTGAAGGAGATGATTGCGCGGGTGCTCTTCGACAATCTGCAGGTGAGTCGGGCCCTGCTTGATGAAGTCTTTCGCCCGTACTGATCGCTTCATCGCACAGATACCTTCGCTCAGCTTCGCCTCCGCTCCCTTGCTCGCCTTGATAGCTGCCGGCACCATGACCGGTCTAGTGGTCGACGTCGGAAACCTCGAGACGACTGTTCTTCCGGTGAGTCCGCCTACGCCTTTCGTCATCTCACGAGCTCCAGCTAACGTAGAGCTACTACAGGTTTTCCACGCCCGTCCGCTCTTCCCCTCGCTCACCACGACTCCTCGCGCGGGCTCTCGCCTGAACCGCCGCCTCTGCTCTCTCCTCCTCGCATTCGGTTCCTACGCCCCTCCTCCCTCCTCGCTCAACTCGATGACGCCTCCGACTATCGGACGGATACCGAAAGAGCTCCTGACGGAGGAACTCGTCGAGGAGATCAAGACGCGGCTATGTTTCGTCGGCGAGGAGGTTCCGCTTGGGGCGAGTCGGGGCGAGCGCGAAGCGTCGACACTGAGCGGATCGGTGATGAGCGTCGACACGGCATCCTCCGCGCGAGACGACTTTGACGACCCATCCGACCCGGACTCACCGCTACTGAAGGACCTCTACTCGCGCTTCGCCTCCTCGTCGACCGCCAAACCCGTCTCCTTCCGGGTACCTGACTTGTCTCAGCCGTCAACCGCGAACGGGACAGGCCGAGGGTGGATCCAGGTGCCGGGCTGGATCAGGGAGCGCGCCACCGAGGTCTTGTGGGAGGCGGATGGTGACGAAGACGAGCGCGGGCTTGCCGCCGTCGTGCTCGATTGCTTACTGAAGGTGTGTACGCTCATTCGTCCGCTCGAATGAGCCTCTAGCTAACTCGGTCTTCGTTGTCTCGCAGCTTCCCCTCGATCTTCGAAAACCGATGGCCTCCTCCATCCTCCTCACGGGTGGCACAGCCATGCTCCCCGGCTTCTTCTCACGTTTCAAAGCCGCTCTGCTCGCCCAGCTCGACTGCTCCCATCCTCCCTCACCTCCGCCTTCTCCGCCCCTGCCAGCAGCATCCGTCGAACCTCCGTCTTCCGACACTGCCGAAGCCATGTCGACAGACACGGCGGCTTCACCTGCACCCTCCCGCTCGAGCGAAGCGAATGCAAAGCGGCGGCGAAAGCATGCCCTCGCCACTCGCTTGCACAACCTGCGGCATTCGCCTCGATACGCCCCGCTTGTCCCACTCGCTCGACACCTCGCCATCTTGAACCACCTATCTCCGAACTCCTCGGCATCGTCGACGGCGCCCTCGTCGACCCTCGCACGGCAGCGCGAAGGATCGGCTCCGTCTTTCTCGCCCGCCTTGCAAAGCTGGATCGGAGGTAGTCTCGCAGGAGCGCTCAAGACGGGCGGGCCTGAGATTGCGAGGGAGCAGTGGGATGCGGGACTGCGACTTGCAGAGGCAGAAGAGGCGGAGGAAGAGGAAGGTGAGGAGTTCGAGGAGCGCGAAGTGATCCGGCCGGCTCTGCCTGACTGGACGAGGATCGCGTAGGGTGCTGGTGTATCATGCGTATGGCCAAAGCAGTTCTACCGGCGAAGAGGACGATAGAGAGATACAGATGTGAGGGAAAGAGGGAGAGGTTGCGCCAGCTACGTCCGCCTCCTTGGGTTCAACTCCCGCCCTTCCCCGTTGCTTAGCCCTCTCCCCTTCCTATCCATCTCTTCGACCTTCTGCTCGCCCTTCAACCCCCGCTGACGCGCCTCGAAGTAGAGCTGGTCTGCCTCTGCAATGTCCGCCAACTTCTCCCTCCGCCGTTCAAGGTATCTCGCGAGCTGTTCGAGGAGGACGAGTAATCGCAGAACCCGCTTCGGAAGTGCGCAGGGAGGTAGGGCGAGGATGGTGAGCGAGGCGTAGAGAGTGTCGCCAAGGAGGAGGTGCAGGAAGGGGAATGGGTAGTTCGAGGGCGTCTGCAAGGCGTGAAAGGGTCAGCTCGCCTGTTCTGCCCCTCTGATGAGTGTCGCTTCATAGTCGATGCTCGATGGTGGCGCCGAACAAAGAGCGTGAGCAGCGAGCGAACGTACCTTCTCTCCCTCGTCCTGCGGAGGTCGCCGGCCCAGTTCGTTCGAAGAATACGGCAGCCTGAGTGGCTCGGCAGTGGCCATTATGCTCGGGCGATGTCGAGGAAGAGCAGCGGGAGCAAGAGAAGCGAGCGAGGCTGTGGAGGCGCGAATGTCAAGACGAGTTGACAACGCGAGAGGCGTGTGCGCAGGTGACTTCGAGCATCGCGAGTCGACGAATCCGGGTACACTTAAGAGCGTTCGAAATGGGCGAGGTTGCAGGAAATCTTGCCTCGCAGTAGGACTTGTGGACCGGCGCAGAGGAACCGCTGAATTGCGGGTTGAAGAGTCTAGCTTGAGCGCGTACAGTCGCCTGGACAGACGTCACTCCGTCCATTGTGCTGAGTCGACTTCTGCAGATCACTACCTTGTGAGTACGCTGGAAAGAGTTCGAGAGCGGAAGAAACGGACGAGCGCTTCGCTGGGTCGCGAGGTCAAGTCGGGTATGCCGCCGTGAGCTCTGAGTTCAGAACAGGTAGCCATTCCTGTCAACAGCTCAACGTCAAGCTTGACTAAGGCGCAAGAGAGCGAAATGCGAACGCGCCTTGCAGGCAGACATGCTGAGAAGCAATGCCAAGTCGACGACCCGGGTCGCGAGGACGTCTTGTTGGCGGATACGACTGCCCGTTCATCCCAGCCACGACTTGTCATGAGTGCGCCTTGCCCTTCTCTGCCTTCCAACAGCGGCCTTGCCCACCTTTCCGTCCGCACTCGCTCCGTTCGCTCCTGCACCCGACACGCCGGTCTTGGCCGCCTCCTCCCTCCTCTTCTCCCAAAACCCCCTCCCATAGCTCACACATATCTCCGCGCCCTTCTCAACCCCATGCGGGCCCGCCCACACAGCCATTCTCACGCCCTTCTTCCCTCCCGTCCCAGGTACCTCCCACTCCCTCAGCTCAAAGACCGCGTTGGGTCTCTGGAAGCCCGGTATGCCGCGGTAATCGTTCACGAACCGCGATTCGTTGCCCATCTTCGTCGCGTCGCAGCCAATGACTTGAACTCGCTGGACGAGTTCGCCCGTCTCTGGGTCGAGTTCTTCGACCACAGTCCGCTCGAGCGAGAGGTCGTAGTCCGAAAGCGGGTCTGCCTCAGCCTCAGCATGTACGAAGCCGAGATAGTCTCGGATCCAAGTTCCGCGAGGAATCGGTTTGTTCGAGGCGTTGAAGAGGCCGCTTTGGCCGTGCGCTGGGTGACATGGGTCTTCGATCTTGCGGATTGCGACGCGAGGAGGTGGATTTGGGAGAGAGGAAGGAGGGCAGGGAGAGCAGAAGGTGACTTTGTGGGCGGGGGAGAGCAGGGGGGAGGCGGAGGGCGTCGTGAGGTACTGGACGCTTGGCGGGAAGTGCGGGGGCGGTGTGGAGGTCATTTTGACGGTTTGACGTCTAGCAGTGCCGTGTCTGAGCGGCATCAGGAAGTTGTCAGCTCGAGATGATGAAGTTGAGAGATTTGTGAGCAGGACGTACGGGAGGGTGCGAAGGGTCAAGGACGGTCGAAACAGCCGTTTTGAATTGTAAAGAAGCGCTGGACACCCCGCCTGAACGGCGGAAGCGAGGCAGCAGTGAGCGGTCCGTCGCGAAAGGTTCGCTCGTCGACTTCGCGCAAGTTGGAACCCTCATTCTCGCTTTTCAGCCCTTCAGGTGTGATAGAAGCAATGTATGTATGGATGCAACCGTCTGTGACCCTTTGACGAGCGCTACGATCCCCTCCCCTCCTCCTCCCTTCCCTCTCCTCGGCTCGCAAACCGCTCAAATCTCCAACCCGAACAACTCGACCGCGTTCCCGCCCATAACCTTCCTCCTCTCTCCCTCTCCCCACCCCGCCACGCCCGCAATCGCATCGAGGTTCTCGTCGACCGATTTCCAGCGTTGTTGAGACGGGTCGGACGAGCCTTCGAGAGGCGGGAAGAAGGGGTGGTCGGTGCCTGCGCGTAGTTGTGCATGGTTGGTAAGAGGGTAGGAAGGGAAGGGAGGAAAAGGGGAAGGGACGAACCGAACATGATGCGCTCGACGCCGGGGAAGACGCCTTCGGGCGCGAGGAGGTCGGCGCGACCGTTGACGCGGTCGACAAAGGCGAGTTCTGCACGGGCACATGCGTCAGTGCTCGTCTCGTGACTCTTGCGCAGGGAAACAAGCTTACGGTCATCCGTCCCCTCGTAGTTGTTCGCCCTCGACACCACCCTCTCGACAAGCGCCAGCTCCTCAGGCCCATACGTAACCGCATCGTACCACAGCTGACCCAAGTAGTACCTAAAGTCGTTCTGCAGGCGGTCTTTGACGTGTGGGTCGTGGATTATGCAGGAGGAGAGGCGGGAGGAGAGGGCGGGGAGGGCGCCGGCTGAGTGGGCGAGGAGGAGCTTGAGGGTTGGGTGGCGGTCGAGGACGCCGGAGAGGATGAGACGCGCGATGGCCTGCGGGGAGGGGGATTGGTGAGACGAGGGCGAGCAGGAGAGAGGGAAGACTGACGCACGATGGTCGTCTCGAAGGGGAAACCGAGGCCCAGTGCGAGCGCGTGGCCGTTGTCCTGCTCTCCAAACGCGTTCTCGATACCGTAGTGCGGGTGCTGCGCGACGAGAGTCAATCCGTCAGTCCCGCATCGCAGCCAGACTCGGGCGCAGAGCCAGCCAAACGCACGACAAATACCACGAGTCCCGCTTCCACAATCGCCGCATAGATTGGCTCCATCGCCGGGTCATCCAAGCCCTTCCCGACGCCCTTCGTACCCATTACAATCCCCCTCAAGTGACTCAACTCCTTCACCTGTCTAACCGCCTCAAGTACCTCCTCCGTCTTGATACCAGGTACAAGGGGCAACGACCCAAACGCAAAGAGGCGTTTCTGGGTCTTGGGAGTGAAGGGTTTGGGTGAGGAGGAGGGGGCGGAGTAGGTGGAGCAGTAGGATTGGAGGTCGACGTTTAGTTCGTGGGCGGCGGAGACGGCTTCGGCGGGTTCCAGAAAGTCGAGCCAGGGGTTGGCGAGGGAGACGACCTGCCAAAGCGCCTGTTAGCGTGGAGGATGAGTGCTGTGGACAAGAGCGAGGACGGACCGAGACGTCGATCCCGTGCGCATCCATGAACTTGATCTTCTCCTCGCGTTCGTAGTATTGCCTGTCGCATCTCCTCGTATCAGCACATCGCATCAATGATTGACGAGCGAGCGCGCAACTGACGGTCCAACCGGTCGTCCCTTGCTGTTCGCGCCCTTCCCCTCCTCCTCCTTGAGCAACACGACCATCTCGTTCCCCTCGTTGTTCTTGACCACTTTCGGAATCTGTTCTCGTCGCCGAAGGAGGTTCATGTAGGTTGGAGGGTAGCTGAAAGACGAGTCGGCCGGGATGACGGGCAAGGGAGGGAGTGAGACCAGAATCAGCTTCATTTGAGCGAGGCGAGGGGCGAGTGGGACGCACATGTGAGTGTGGACATCCACGAGGAGCGGGCGGGTCGATGAGGCCATGTTGGGCTTGTCGGGTGTCAAGATAACGCAGCGGTGGAGGGGAGCGGGTGCGAGAGATGCCGGCTCGGGAGGATGCTCAAAGTAGTCGGCCACTGTCAAGCGTGTCGTCGTGAGCCCAGCAAGTGGACTGGACAAGCAGATAAGCGTGCGAGCGGGTGGAAGGAGCGCGAGACGGGCGAGCCGGTGCGGGAGGAACGGCAACGAGACGGCGACCCGCGGGAGTCGTTCCAGCGAGCGGAACAGGTTACGAGTGGCTCTTTGAATGTGATAACGTAGCCACGCAAGCCGCAGTTCGAGCGGAAAGGAGACGAGCGAGTTCATCGCCGCGGTGTCAGTCTTGGGAGAGGGGGAAGCCAACACCAGCTCGCTCGTCGTGGTCGAACAACAGCTTCATCCAGCTCGCAGACGACGAGAACAGCTCGTGGACGACGCACAGCGTGCTCTGGCAGGCGACTCTGGCCGAACCGTTCCCCTTCCTCGCTCTGCGTCCCCTCGGACTCCGCGACATCGGCACCTCGCCAGCATCGGCCGCGCTGTTCTCCCTCTCGCTCTTCCAGGACGACTGTTCTCTTGCTGTGACTGCACCATCGAGGACTGCATCCTCGGCCAACCAGCAATTGCAGCGACCTCGTCTCACTCGTCCTCGAACGACTCCCCACAACTCCCTCTCGGTCTCCCTCTGCTCGCACAACCATGCCACGCCTCGAAGTCCGCGTAGGCTCAGACCGCTTCCACACAGAAGTAGCCTGGGTCAACCACACCTCGCGCCCAACCGAGATCGACACGCCCCTCTTCGCTGGGCGAGTACTCGTCCTCGTTCGCAACTTTGACGGCGTGACACCTGACGGGTCGCCGCCGAAACGCGATGCAAAGTACTTTGAGGGACGCAGCAGGAAGTTTGCGATTCTGATCGAGGGGCGGTTCAAGCAGAGGGAGGGCGTACCGCTTTATACAGGCGACGAGGTCCAGTTCGGCAGCGACTTTGACTACCTGCCTGCGTCCTTTCCCATGGGGTGAGTCGCCGCGTTACCCAGTTGCTCGGCTATTCGCTTGGCGCTGCAGGACGACCTCGGCAGACGTACTGAGTGCCTCTCTTCCGCTCGATCCAGCCCTTTCAATCTCGGCATGAAGATCTCGCACGCGATAGACCCCGCTACTTACTACGAGTGAGTCCCTACGCTCCTTCTCTCTGTCTGACGAGCGCAGGAGTGACCTCTACGGTTTCTCGCAGATTCAAGCCTCCGCACGGACGGCCGTATATCATGTCCCCTTACACAGCTTGCATGAACACCTTCTGGTGCGCTCATTCCCCCCACCTCATCCTCTCTCGCTTCTGAAGCTGAGACTTCCTCCTCCACGCAGCGCCTACCCCTCGCCCTCCGCCCTCTCCCGCGCAGTCGTCCTGTCCCACCACTCCAGCACCGACCCACACGAAGACGGCCAAGAGCGAGGGTCGTTTATACCGACCGAGGAGGTGAACCAGAAGAGGAAGTGGGTTGAGAGGCCGCATTGGAGTTTCCTCGGGGTGCGTCCGGTCTATCTCTCTTTTCGATCGAGGGATGGGGCTGACTAGGGATGTATGAGCAGTTGAAAGGAGACCCGCGAGTAGATGCATTCCTCGCTTCGCACTCGCACCTCCTCCCTCCCTCCGGAACCGCCACGCCCTCTTCGAACGGTAACGCCTCCCACCTCGCCCCTCCCTCGCGCCCAAACCTCAACCAGCAACCCTCCTCTCTCGCACTCGGTACGCGTCCCAAGTCCGCGTCAGACGAAGGAGGCGAGACCGAGACGCCCGTCAGGTCCGAATCGCCCTCCCCGACCGATGGAACTAACGGCGCCGAAGCGATCTGGGGCGCACCCGTCTTCGCCCAACACGACTCGCAACACGCGTCCGGCTCGTCCACTCCCTCCGCTGACAGCCCCGCTTCCGCGACCTCGAAGAAGAAGAAGAGCGGCTCAAGGTTCTCGCTCTCGTCGCTCATGGGCGCTTTGGACGTCTCCGGTTCTGGCTCGTCGACGCCCAAAAATGATCAAGAACACGATCACTTGCTGATGGCGGACCAGCTGGCGTCGCCTGTTGAGGGCAGAAAGAGGGCGCAGAGCGTTGGGGTGCAGTACAAGCCGAAGGCGGAGGTGCAAGAGGCGCTGGGGGAATGGAGGTTCGCAGACGAGGAGATCGATGTGACCGAGGTGCGTGGCCTACTCACCCTTTCTGCGGTCCTGAGCTGCGGCGTGCTGATGAGGGAAGTTGAGATGCACGCAGGACACCAGCTTTGTCTTCCTCGACCCGGACCACCCGCGCTCGATCGCCCAGCGTCGGAAGCACTTCTGTGTCGACAACGGCAAGCACAGGAAGGAGTTTACGTATGACCCCGACATGTGAGCCTTGCGGATCCTTCCTTCCCTTGTCACCAAAGTCCCGCACGAAGATGCAAGCTCAGTGATGTTGCCGTGGCACGCTCGCAGTATCTACACCGCATCCTTCTTCGTACCCTACTTCGACTTCAACACCTTCGACCTCAAGTCCGTCCTTCCTCCCATTCCTCCTCCTCGCTTTCACGCACTGACCCTCTCCGCACAGGCTCGGCCCAATCGGCATGAACGTCGGTTCCTACTTCAAAGACATGCCCGTGCGGTACACGCTGCGCTCTACGCGGATGGCACCCCGGCCGGATGGGAAGGAAGGGCCGATGGAAGAGGAGGTGTTTGCGACGATTTCGTTCAGGCTGGTCGATTGAGCAGAAGGGAGGGGGGCTTAGGGGAAGGACGGGGGGAAGGACGTGTAGATAGCAACGATGTTGGCAAATTTGTGAATGATTGACTCCCGCTGTATCGCTCTCCTCTCGCCCGCTTGGACTGGCTCAGAGTTTGTGGTTGTCGAACGAGGTCTTTTTACCGCCGTAGCGCACGCAAATGAGCCTACGAAGCCGTGTGGTCCGCTCCCAAGCCTCGTCAAGTGGTGCTCCTCCTCGCCAACGCTTCTCTGCTTCATTCCCCTCGCTCACCTCGCTCGTCTGCCAGCTGAACACCTGCTGCCGCCGTTTTTCAAGTCCGGTTACGAAGCCACGCCCTGCTCTGCCCGCCCCAAGCTCTCCCGACCTTCCACCAACTCTCATCACTCCGCTTTCGACCCGTCCTCGTCCCGCACGATGCAACCCCAGCCGACATACGGCACGGCGCAGATGGTGTCTCCAGCTCAAGGCTCGCCAGTAGCCGGGCCGAGCACGCAGCAGGACGGGACGGTGGATGGGAAGGGGAGGAGGTTGCCGCGAGTGTTGTTGATGGGGCCCAGGAGGTGAGTGTGCACTCCTGCGTGGAGGCGAGCGGGCTATCCGACCATCCAAGCTGTTCGCTGCCGTGAATCGACACGGCTGCCGACTACGCGATGTTGTGGACGCTCGCGAGGACCTCAACTCGCTCGCTGAACTGATTCTTCCGTTCGCAGCGGCGGCAAGTCGAGCATTCGCAAGGTCGTCTTCGAGGGAATGGCGCCGAACGACACGCTTTTCATCGAGAAGACGAACAAGTCGAGTTCGGACGATATCAAGCGAGTCTTCCGCTCTTGCTTGGCATTCGCCCTGGAGTCCGACTGACTTGTTTTCGTTCACAGCTCCTTCCTCTCGATGCGGATGTGGGACCTCCCCGGCGGCCAACTCGATCCGGAGCAACTGAATCTCTCCTTCGAAGACACCGACGCCGTCATCTTTGTCCTCGACGCCCAGAGCACGCTGCATGACGTGATCCGGAAGTTGAGCGTGACGATGCACAAGGCGTATACGGCGAACCCGGGCATCCAGTTTGAGATCTTCCTGCACAAGGTGGATGGCATGTCGGAGGACTACCGATTAGGTGAGTGGCCGCGCGACCATCGAGACGAGGCGTTCCGACTCACCCTTGCTCCCGCACAGACACGCTCCAGAACCTGCGGGATCGTCTGACGGAAGAGCTCTTCGACATGTCGCCGGAGCTCGAGTCGAACATGAACGTCTTCTACCACCTCACCTCGGTCTTTGACACGTCCATCTATGAGGCGCTGTCGAAGGTCATCCAGAAGCTCATCCCGGAGCAGGCGATGCTCGAGCGACTGCTGGACTTGCTGTGTCAGGTGCGCCGACCTCTGATCGAGTTTTGGAAACTCGCGCTAACCAGTCGTTTGTCGCAGCAATGCTCGATGGACAAGGCGTTCATCTTCGAGACGGCGTCCAAGATCTACATTGCGACCGACTCGGCACCGCTCGACAACCAGACCTACGTCATCTGCGCCGATTACCTCGACCTGGTCGGCGACTTTGCCCAGCTCTACGAGTGCGTCGCGGCCGGATTCAGCTTCCTGAGCTCGATTGACCTCCGACGTCTCGCAGAACGCCCGCTCTGTCACTCCCGCCCGCACAAGGCGACACCTCCCTTTCGCGGGCCGGCACTCTCTCCCGCTCGACGGGCCGCGACGTCTCATCCTCTTCGACCCCCTCCGCCACGGGCAGTCGACGCGAGTCCTCTACAGCTGCCTCAAAACCATCGTCGGCTATCTCATCCCCTGCGAAAGCGGGTGCCGGACGACCAGTCAGCGTTGCGAGCAGTGTTGGTGGCGGATTGGAGGGGAAGCGGGTGACGAGGAGGTTGCCGCATAGCAAGGTGAGGCTGGGAACGGGAGCGACGATTGCGCAGTGGAGCATCAACGAGTGAGTCGCGCAAAGCGTCGATTTGACCGGAGCTGACCTTGCCTTGCGTTCGGCCACAGGAACCTTTCGCTCGTCGCGCTCCTTCGACCGCACACGCAAGACCAACACTCGGCGATGATTGACTACAACGTAGCGACGTTCCGCCAAGCCGTCCTCGCCATCTTTGGAGTCGGCGTGAGCGCTCCCATCGGTTGAGCAGAGGGTGTCGAGGCGGATTTCGCATGCTCTTTCTGTTTCCGTTTGTTCACTCCGTCACTGTCTGTTGTAATCGTAGCGCAACTCGCAAGCATCTTCAGGCTGTTTCTACTCGGGAGGAGAAGCAAGCAGCGATGAAGGAGGCTCTTGCTTTCTCACGCATGCCGACACTCACGCGAACGACCAGAGACGGAACCAAGACGACAGCTGTGCAAATCAATACTACCAAGATGTCCGTTCACCAAGCGGCTTGCGCTTCGCCTCCTCCTCCTGTCCCCCCATGAGGCGGCGAGTCCTCCTCCGCCCCATGCGAGATGTACTTGTTCGCCGCCGCCGCACTCCGCCTCGACCGTTTCGGGCTCGGACTCGCATTGATGAAGCTCTCCCATCCGCCGTTCAGGCTCGGCTGGCGTTGTCGACCTGGTGTACCGGGTGCGCCGATCCCGAGCGATGCGGCGGAGGTCGACTTGGACGGCTCAGTCGGTGTCGAGAACGGGTCCTCGAGCGCCCCTGACGACGATGCAGTCGAAAGACTGTTCAGGTCCCCTCCAAAGACAGCACTCGCGCCGCCGTCTCCGCCCGAGAACAGCCTGCGACCTTTCATCCCGTCGCCCATCGTGGTGTTCGGCACCGTCTTGCGGCTCTGTACCGGCGAAGGCGACGCGGCGAGGTAGAGCATGAGCTCGGCTGCGCCTTCGGCCGCTCCGTCGCCGCTGCCGTTGACGCCGGGCGCGCCAGGCAGTTTGACGACCTGCCGTTCGGGCGTTGATGGACGAGGAGGCGGGTGCTGGGCGTGGCCGGAGAAGGGGTCGACGCTGCCGTTTGCGTGAGGCTGGCTGCCGCCTTCGTCGCTCCCGCTGCCAGCAGACGGGTCAGAAGGCGCCCTCGCCATGCCAGTCAAGGCGGTCGCGGCGTCGACGAAAGACGAGAAAGTCGGATCGTTGGACGAGAGAGGCTGCTTGGCGGGTGATCCGCGGCGAGAGGAAGTGCGGGTGCGGGTTCGAGGCGAGGCAGAGACGGCGGGAGAGGCAGACTTGGCTTCGGCGTGGCCTGCACGGCGACGCGACGAGGACGCTCGGCCCTCCTGCGCGTGTTGACCGCGCGGCGTCGAGGTCGACGAGTGCGAGGCGGACAAGGAAGGTTTGGGTTGGTAGACGTTGTCGGTCGCGTAAGGCGAGAAGGAGTAGGTCGGCTGAGGCTGCGGCGCGTAGACAGCGTCGCCGCTGTACAAATCGCCTGAGCGGCGTCCGCCGCCTGCAACGCCGTCGAGACGAGGACGCTTGTTCGGGTGCGACGAAGGTCCTGCGCCTGCGTTGGCGTCGAGGACGGCGTCCATGCCGCCGGCCATGTGCTGCTGGTACTCGGGGACGTGGCGATGACCATGAGGAGGGTGCTGGATAGTCGGAGGTGAATAGGCGGGCGCGTAGGCTTGCGGCTGGCCATAGGAACCGACACCTTGCGCGATCTGGTGCTGCAAACTCGGGTCGATTGGCGTGTTCTGCATCTGCTGCTTGCGGCGCAGCGACTCTTGCTGCATGTGAGGCTCGATGATATCGAGCTTGACGTCCTGCCATCCACGCTGCGTCTTGAACGAAGCGAGAGCGAGGCGGTTGCGGAAGTTGCGCGCGAGCTGCAGGAGCAGGAGCCGCGTCAGTCCGGTCGCGTGAGTTTGCAGGAATATGTAAGCGTCGCAAGCTCACCCTAGACGCCTCGGCACGCTTCAGGACGCGCTCGACCTTCTTCTGCCGCTCCTCCTCGTCCCCCTCGCCCTCGAGGCTCGTTTCGCGCGCAACGCCCTTTCCCTTGTCGAGCCTGGCGCCGCCCATGCCATCAAACATACCGTTCCCTTGCATCTCAGCCGCAATGGAGCCCCCCGCGAACGAGTTGCCTCCGACAAGATGCGCGAAGGGATCGACGGGCGACAAGCCCACTCCCGGTGTGTCCCTCGCCTGGTGCGCCGCCATCCCTGACCCCGTACTGCCCGCCGAGAGCGGCGCAGGCGTGTTGGTTCCGCTCAGCGGCATCGGCGAGTGCGCGCCCGCTGTCCCAAACGCGGTTCGGTCCGCCTGACCCATCGAGGCGTGCTGCGCTCCCGCAAACGGCGACGCGGATGGTGAGCCCGTCTGGAACGGCGAGTCTGGCTGCTGCATGGGTCCTACGACGTCCTGGACGGTCCCCCAAGCCGTGAGAAGGCGGGATGGCGCGCGCGTGCTCGACGCGTGAAGAGCGAGTCGTGGCTCGTCGACGACGAGAGCGATTTGGACGGGGCTGGCGGGGCTCGGTGCAGACGTGCAAGAGCTTTTCGTCGAGTGTGCACACGCAGCGAGCGCGTCCAGCGGCGGCGAGAGCAAAAGTGAGCGAGTTGCGTCGGCGAGAGGAGGCGAAGCGCGGCTGCAAGGGGACGGCGGCGACGACAGACTCGCTCGAAGGAGGGCTGGGACGGCATTGTTGAATTGCCAGGACTGATGCAGGGGAGATACTGAACGATACTTTTTTGGGACTGAAAACGACATGTTGAATGCGAGCGAGGCGAGGAAAACGAGACCCAGGAGACCAGAAGGGTATCAAAATCGACGAGCGACCCGTTTAGGCGTCCGACCAGACAGCCTTGGCCGTCTCGACAACGAGCCCGAGCTTGGTCGCGACCTGCGCAGGGCGGACAGACGAAGGAGGTCAGTTCTGGTCGAGGAGATGGAGGAAAGCCTGTTACACGTACGTCGTCGTAGCTGCGGAAGGGATGTATGTGTCAGTGATGCTCTGGAGTCAGTAAATGCTTCTGTACGCACGAGACGGGGTTGCCCTCCGCGTGCGAGGCAAAGCCACACTGGCACGACAAGCAGAGGCGCTGGAGAGCCTGCTCGCGAGTCTGGTTCGAGCTCTTGGCGACAAAGTCGGCCGCCTCGTGGATGCGCTTGACGAGGTCGTCCTTCTTCTCGAGCTGGGGGAACTTGGAGGTCAAGAGACCGAGGACGACGGTCTTGTTGGCCGGGAGGTCGGCGAGGGGCTGCGAGGGCGAGCGGGTGAGCCAGCGCTCGACTGCCGGTCGACGGCGTGCGCACCTCGAAGCCACCGGCACGCTCAGTGTCGTACTCGAGGTAGTACGCGTGAGCGTTGAGCTCGTTGAAGATCTTCTTTGAGACGTGCTCGTAGCCGCCCTCGGAGAAGTGCATGCCGTCCTGCGCGACGTGAGCTTCCGTCAGTATTGGTGCAGCTGAGACGCTGTGAGATTATCGGCGCACCTTGAAGTTACCGCGGCACAAGTCTGCCCGGTGCAAGCGAGACGAACAGCAAGTCAGCCGATGACCACTTGGCACCAAGAATCGCGCGACGCACGGAGACCGATGGTCATGTCGGACGGCGCATCCCGGATACAGTCGTTGTAGAGCTTGATGTACTGGTCGAGGACCTTGGCGGGGTCGGTGCCCTCGGCCTTCATGCCCTCGAGCATGGAGGTGGCGCACTGCGCATTACAAACCCGTCAGACTCTGCGCAACTAGGTACAGGAGCATCAGGCGGACTCACGAAGTAAGCGAGGAGAGGGTCGTCGAACTGGACGTTGCGGCATCCAGCCTCGTAAAGGTCGGCAAGCTCCTCACGGTACGCCTTGGCAAGGTCACCAAAGTACTCCTCGTCGGTCTTGTAGACCTCGCGGTTGTACGCGTGCTCGCCGTGGCGGAGGTGGTACCACCTGAGCGTGACGTGACGAGCAGTTAGCTTGGGAAGGTCAGAAGCCGAGGAAGGGCGTACTCGGGCGCAGCGAGCGTCAACTTGATGTTCTTGACGTCCTCGGGCTTGACGAGGGTCTTCATGAAGTCGAACTCGGGGCTGTATGGCGGAGAAGCGGGTCAGCGAGAGAGCCGAGCGTTCGAGGCTGGAATCGGCGCACCGGTACATGGGCTTGTTGCGGACGAGCTTGCCAGTGCAGATCATGGTGTCTCCGGGCTTCTCGGCGTGCGACTGTGCCGCATGCGACGTCAGTCTCCAACCGAATTGATCTAGCAACAAGCGGAACTCACCTCGAAGAACGCCTTGACGTCGGGAACGTACATCTTGAAGAGCTCGCGACCGGGGTTCTTAACAACAGTCATGCCCTCAAGGTTGTTGTGGAAGCCATCTGCGGACGGCGGAGGGTAGACGTCAGCCAAGTCAGGAGGGAGAGAGGAAAGGGAAGCGAACGCACCCCAGAACATGTGGCGGCGGAACTCGCCGTCAGTGACAGACTTGATGCCGAGCTCCTGCTGGCGCTTGACCTCCTTGCGGATCATCTCGTCCTCAACGGCCTTGAGCTCCTCGCGGGTGCACTTCCCGGCGTCGTAGTCGGCGCGCTTGGCGAGAAGCTCGGCGGGGCCTACGCGGGAGGGGAGTCAGCCTCCGACCGCTGCGATGAAGGCTGCGATGAAGGGAAGAAGTGGACTCACGCTTGAGCGAGCCGATGTGGTCGGCACGGAAGGGAGGGAGGACGTGGGCAGACATGCTGTAGTCGAGGGGGCGGTCGAGAATGACATGCGGACGGAGAATAGAGTGTTGAGCGGCCGAGGAGGTTAAGCGGTAAATGGCAGAGGAATAGGAATGTGCGGAGAAAGCGACGAGGGGGACGAGGGAGAGGACGGTCAGCAACGCTACGAGGAGAGCGGGAGACAAGCGGATGAGGCGTCAGATGTCGAGCTCACCTTTCTGATGGCGGCAATGGGCAGAACGAGGTACAGGAAGGTCAGCAACAAGAAGCCGCGTTCCGCTCGCTCAGGAGGAGGAGAGGTCGACAGCGCTGGACGCTGGCATGTGGGCGCAGAGCAGCGGTGCGCAATGCTGTGCTAAGCCACTTTGGGGTCGGTACGGCCCGTGCGCACCTGTTCAGAGGGTTGTAGGGTGAGGGAGGGAAGCGACGAGGTCCTCCTCGCGAGGCGTGGAGGCCAGGTTCGCCCCGCCAGCTTTTCCCGCTCGCACGTTTGGCTCTTGTGCTGCCGGTCGTGACCGACAAGCACTGCTGCTATTGCCTGGGCCAACTCCCGCAGCCGCCCACACCCTCTGTCGCCTCTCGCCTCGTCCATTTTCATCAGTCGATGCGGTCGCAAGTCATGCACGCTCCATAGCGAGCTGGCGAAGGCGAGACCTGGTACAAGAAGGCGACTGGGATAAGGGAGGCGCAGGAGAACGCAGCTCGATTCGTGATGCCCTCTCGCGCCAGCTTCTCCCCCTTCGACTCCTCTCGACCTCCTGACGGCATCTGCTGGCGTGACGGGGACGGAACGTTCTGCACTGCAATGAGGTCTAAACAACGACAAGACTGGAAACTAGGAACAAGGAGAGAGTGAAAGGCTACAGATAAGGGGTGAATGAGGTCCATCTAAAGAGTCCGTGAAGCGCTGTGTACGCAGAGTTGCTGTTGAAAACGTCGTGCAGGAATCGAATCTAAGCGTCGGGCCTCGCGACGTGCGGCCAGTACCTGCGAAGCGGAGCGACCGTTAGCACACACGCACTCGCGCATGAGAGCGAGACCAATGCACCAGAACGGCCCGTTCGGTCCTTCCTCGCTCCGATCCGCACAGCTCCAGATCCCAAGAATGCCCATCTTCGACTTCGGTCCACCCGGCTGCACGCCATTCATGCTCCAGCGGTCCTCGCCGCCATAGCGGATGACCATATTGTAGCGCGCGCACTGGTCTTCCTCGATCCATTCGACGGTGCCCCGGACCGAGCGGTCGCTCAGGGGACCATGTCCGGCGTTGGTGAAGGTTCCGCGGAAGGCAAGTGGCTCGGAGGAACCGGTGAAGGCGAGTCGAGGACGGGAGGGGGCCTTCGAGGGAGGCGTGGTGGAGGGGCGGAACGTGTTGGTGAGGCGAGTCGGCGGCGTGAGAGGCGAGAGAGGCAGTGGCGGGAGAGCGCGGTCTGTGTAAGCCGGGTAGGGGGAAGAGTAGAGGTTCGAGAGTTGCGAGGCGGATAGCGGAGGAGGCGTGCTCGAACCGCTGTTGTCATCCGCCTCGTCCTCCGGCGGTGAAGTAGGCGGACTCTGTCGTTGCGATGACTCGGCGTGCGCGGCACCCGTCTCCGTGAAGTACATGTCGCCACTCGCGTCGCTCGACCGGTCACCGTCCTCCCCGCTCGTGCTCCCTCCGCCCTCGCCTAGCCAGTCCTCATCGTCCTCATCGTCGTCCATCACCTCCGCCGCCGCCTCGGCGCTCAAGTCCGCCACATCAATCTCATCCGGCCACTCGCCCTCGGGCAAGAGCTCGAACAAGAGACTCATGCAGTCGCCGACGGCTTCGTGTTCGTCCGTCAGCGACTGCGGCCAGAACGACGAGCGGTGGTAGTTCCACCGGTGGTAGGTCGGGTAGTGGAGGAAGGCATAGGTGCCGCGGTATTCGTGCGTCGTTACGCCTGCCCAGTCGCGAGGGTCTGCAGCGGGCTTGTCCACGCGAGACGTGGTGGACGGACGACGTGCTCCGTGTGCTTGTGCGGTTTGGTGCTTGCGCGCGTTGAAGATGTCGGGCTGGCCTGGACCGGCTGAGAGAGGTCTCGTCGCTCCCCAACCACGCGGGACGACCGTCTCCTCCTCCTCGAGTCCTTCGTCGTCCTCAGCTCCATCGAACGGGTCCGTTCCCCACCCAAGCGCCTGCGCGTCCTCGAGATTCGCACCCATGACTATCGCGATCGCCTCGACTTTGCGCCAGTCGACTCGGCCCGACCCGTCCCCCATAAACGGTCCGAAGAAGCTCGGGCGGAGGTAGTTGACGCGTTCGTAGACAATCTCTTTTGCTGAGCCGCGGATCGAGGGAGAGGCGTAGGCGAGAGGTGAGGGAGTTGCGAGGACGTGGAGGTGCGAGGCCAGTTGCGAAATGAGGAGGGACTCGAGCGTCGAGGAAGTCTTCTCCTTTGAAACGCTGGACGAGCGAAGGTTGCGGGCTGAGGGTGAGTCGCGAGAGAAGGAAGGGTGGATGGCGAGAATGGGTTCGCCAGGTCCTGCGGCTGTCCAAGAACCGGGGGCGGACAGGACTCGCTGGAGCCATCGCTCGTTGAGCGAGTCGCTCGGCTTTGACGGGACCACAAAGTCATCGTCCACATTGTCCTCAGGTACTGCAAGAGCCGCGGGAAGAGGCGGCCGTGCATGTGCTGCGTCGACTAGCGTTTTGAGGAGAATCGCGAGGTCTGCTGGTGGTATCGGTTCGCCCCTCTCGCACAGCCGGTCGAGCAGCGTCTCTGCCCTTGTTCGCTTCTTCGTCGCCTCTGCAAAGTCGTACGCTGCGGTCGATGGCGAGCTGGGTTCGGCATGCGAGGTGGGGGTCGGCGAGTCGAAGAGCGAGTTGTGCAAGGCCCGCCAAAGCGTCGAGCTCTTGCACAGTGCGTGGGCGTGTTGGCAGGTCTGCGAGAACGCTGCTGCTGCCTTTGGATCGCCCAGCGAGAGTGCGTGGACGAGGATCTGGCGCTCGAGGCGTCAGCGAGTCCGAGTGGAGGGCAGAGCGAGTGAGCGGACGCACCTCGGGTGGGAGCGTGAAGATGGGCGGGCGATGCTGTTCCATAGCGATACAGTCGACAGCAAGTAAAGCCAGACCAGCCAAGCGAGGGCGAGTGAGCGGTTGTCAGCGAACCCATCTCTCGCCAGCAAGTGTCACTGCGCTCACGGCTGAGCAGCATGGCAGACGTCCACAGAGCTCCCAGCACCATCACCATCCTCAAGAAGCGGCCCGCATCGCACGGAGGGGCCGCCGACGAGTGCTACTTCCGCAAGACAGCTCGAGGCAAGCTGCAGCGAGGTGAGTCGCCGCTTCCTCGCGGGCCGGGGCGGTGGAGACGGACTGCGGGTGGTCTGCTACGTTGTGCAGCTGGATTGACACGCTCGCACGCTGCCCGCAGTTGTTCGCGAGCACTACCTCCGCCCTGCGAGCGACTTCCCTCCGCCGCCCAAACTCGCCGACGGGCTCGCCTGGGTGGTACCAGACACGAACGCAGTGCTCCACCAGTTCGACCTGCTCGCCTCGCCCGCCTTCCCCGCCCCGCTGCTTGTCGCCCAGACTGTTCTCGACGAGGTGAGGCATCGCAGCTTGCCCTTGTACAACAAGCTCCGCACGCTCGTCGACGATGACTTCGAGATCCCCGGCGGAAAGGGCAAGATGAAGCGCGGGTGGACCGTCTGGAACGAGGCGATTGAGGAGACCTTCCTCGAGCGCAAGGACGGCGAGAGTCCGAACGACCGCAACGACCGAGGTGCGAAGCTTCTTCCTTCAGGCCTTCGTTGACTTGAGCTGACGGTCTGAACACACGCGCAGCCATCCGCCACCTGGCGTCGTACTACTCCGCAATCCTCTCGTCCGGCTCATCGAACGGTCCCGCTGCGAAGCGCCAGAAGACATCGTCCTCCCGCCCCGCCCTCTCTGCTGCCGACATCGCTTCAGCACCCCTCATCCTCCTCACCGACGACGCCGCCAACCTGTCCCTCGCTCTCGCAGACGGCCTCGTCGCCCTCACCGCCAAAGACTTCGTCTCCTCCCTCCCTGCCTCGCAACAAGAATCGCTCGTCGACCTCCTTGCCGTCTCTGGATCAGGTCTCGACAGGGATGCTGCGGGAGCCGGGCGGAGAAAGGGCGCGGCGTTGTATGCCGAGCATTTGCCGACGAGCGTCTTGCAGGCTGGCGTCAAGGCGGGCAAGTTTGTTCAGGGACACTTTAATCCGAGCCAGTACAACTTCCGCGAGGTACGTTACCTTCTTGCCCTCCTAGGCCGACCTGAGGTTGACGAGCGTCTCTTCTACAGGCTACGGTCAATGCCGCTTCTCTTCCCAAGCCCATCCTCCTCGCCGGCCTCGAGTCGATGAACCGAGCTGTCGCAGGAGACCTCGTCGTGGTCGAAGTCTTGCCGGAGAGCGAATGGAAGAGCATCGGCGAGGAAGTTGTGGACGAGGATGGTGCGTTCGGCCCATCCCCTCTCCTGCGTTCATCGTTTACGAAGCATCCCTCTCGCAGCCAAGGGCAACGACCCGGATGCCGACCCCGTCGCCGAGTCAGGCGACTCGACTACTGCACCGACCGAGGGCTCGCTCCACCGCGCCGCCGCACCAACGACCAAGCCGCGCGAAGTACAGCCCACAGGCAAAGTCGTCGGGATCCTCAAGCGCGCCTTCCGACCCTACGTCTGCACTCTCGACCGCGCCTCTCTCCCTCCCTCCGCTCTCACCTCTTCCGCCTCCGTCACAGTCCTCGCCTCTCCCGTCCAACGAACCCTCCCTCGCATCCGCCTCCTAACCCGTCAAGCCGCCCACCTCGCCTCGCAAAAGTTCCTCGTCTCAATCGACAGGTGGCCTATCACGTCGCGTTACCCTGAGGGCCACTTTGTCCGCGTTCTCGGACAAGTCGGGAGCAAGGAGGGCGAGGTGGAGAGTTTGTTGGAGGAGTGGGAGGTCCCGTATAGGCCGTTCTCGAGCGCTATCTTGAGCTGCCTGCCGGAGGAGGGAGATAAGTGGGTTGTGCCGCCGAAGGGAGAGGCGGACGTCAAGAACGTGTGGAGGGCCAGGGAGGATCTGAGGGACGAGATTATTTGCTCAATCGACCCGCCAGGTGCGTCTTCTTCCGCATACGTGCACTCATGTACCAGCGCCTCTTTCTCGCGGCGAAGCGCCCGGTGCTATGGGCCGATGAGCGGTAGACTGACGCTCTTGCGACCTCCCGTTTGCAGGCTGCCAGGACATTGACGATGCGCTTCACGCCAAGCGTCTCCCGAACGGTAACATCCAAGCTGGCGTTCGTGCGTAGCGTTTCCTCCGCCGCCCAACCCGCAATGCCCCCCGACTGACTCTCACTCTCGCAGACATCGCCGACGTCTCGCACTTCGTCCACCCCGACAATCCCATGGACGCCGAAGCCGCATCGCGCGGCACAACCGTCTACCTCGTCGACAAGCGCATTGACATGCTGCCGTCGCTGCTCGGAACAAACTTGTGCTCATTGAGGCCGTATGTCGAGCGATTGGCTTTCAGCGTCATCTGGGTGAGTCTGCCGTATCGTCTGCTTCGCGTACTGACGCACAACGCTATCGTGCTATCGTTACGCGTGGCGTCTGCGTTCAGCTGCGATTCAGGAGCTGAACTCTAATCCCTCGCGGACTCGTAGGAACTCGACGACGACGCCAACATCGTCGACGTCCGTTTCACCAAGTCGGTCATCGCGTCCAAGGAGGCATTCACCTATGAGGCTGCGCAGCGACGAAAGGACGACAAGTCGCTGAACGACCCGCTGACCGAAGGCATTCGCCTGCTCAACTCGATTGCGATCAAGCTCAGGGCCAAGCGCATGGCCGCTGGCGCGCTCAATCTCGCTTCGCCCGAAGTCAAGATCCACCTCGAGCAGTCGGAGCAGTCTGGGCCGGTCGATGTCGAGCACAAGGAGCTGTTCGAGACCAACTCGCTCGTCGAGGAGTTCATGTTGCTCGCCAACATCTCGGTCGCCGAGCGCATCTACAAGCAGTTCCCGCAGACCGCCGTGCTGCGACGACACGCACCGCCGCCCAAGACCAACTTTGAGGTCTTGCAGGACGTGTTGCAGAAGCGGAGGGGCATGACGCTCGACGTCTCGACTTCGGGCGCGCTCGCAGACTCGCTCGACAAGTGTGTGGTGCGTTGCGAGTCAACCAGCCGTTCGTACGACGGTTATGCTGACCAGATGCGCTCCTGCCCGAAGGACCCTGCCTTCCCCGCCTTCAACACCCTCGTGCGCATCATGGCGACCCGGTGCATGCTCTCCGCCGAATACTTCTGCTCCGGCTCGCTGCCCGCATCGCAATTCTCGCACTACGGACTCGCCTCGCCCATCTACACGCACTTCACCTCTCCCATCCGTCGCTACGCCGACGTCCTCGTCCACCGCCAGCTCTCCGCCGCCATCTCCGGCTTGCCACTGCACACGGGCTTGCAGACGCGCGCATGGGTGGACAAGACGCTCGAGGTTGTCAACAAGCGCCACCGCGGTGCGCAGGGTGCCGCGCGCGCGAGTATCGAGTTTTACGTCGCGCTGGCGATTCAAAGGAGGGAGGAGGACGCGCAGAAGCAGGCTGGGTTGGGCAAGGTGGGAAGCAAGGTCCGCGCCGAGGCGTTCGTCATTCGCGCGTTCAGGAACGGATTGGCGGTCTTCGTCTCGCAGTGCGTGCAGTCTCCCTCTCCTCGGAGGCTCGGTGCTCACGCTGCTCGTTGCTAGGTTCGGTCTCGAGGGCCTCGTCACGTTCAAGCGCGACAACGACTACGACGCCGACAGCTACGAGATCCACGTCCCGACGCCGTCCGGCAAGAATGTCACCATCGGCGTATTTGACAAGGTCGAGGTCGAGATCAGTGTCGAGAAGGTGTGACCACGCTGCCCTCTGCGTCTGGGAGTGAGGCTGACCAGCTCGTCGTCTCGTCGCAGGACAAGAACACGCAGCGCGGCAAGGTCGTGATGCACCTCGTCGAGCCCGTCGACTCTCGCGGCGTGTAGATCAACGACGACTGCGTCCACAGCAGCCTGCGCTGTAGCCCTATTGCATCACGTTCGAGTCCAGTGTGCGTAGCAGGCAGAGGAGGCAGCCTCCGCGGATTGCCCGAGAGCTGTCGCGGTCGAACCGACTCTTCCTCCCACTTCCACTTCTTGTCCCGCCGCTGCTTTTTCCTGGCTCCGCTGCTGGTGCTCGACGGCGCGTTGGACGCGCTGGCGGAACAACTTCGTTGCGGCCGGCGATCGATCTCCTGAATCCCCTCGGATTCGGCACCGGACGAGCCATCGCGAGGGGGATTACACTTGATTACAATTGGCTTTGTATTGCTTTCGTAGTCCTCGATGTATGCGGAAAGGAAAGCCGCTCCGGTAGAACTTTGCGCTGCCGTCCGCCCCCACTCAGTACAAGATCCGCTCGCCTCGACGCCGCTTCTCTCGTCGTTCTGCACTTTCCTACGCTCTGCTTTCGTCGCTGTGACCCGCTCTACCCAGCCCACGCACCAGCACAGAGCCCGCTTGACTTCTCCCGCTCTCCCTCCACTTCCTCATCTCCGAACCGAACGCAATGGCTGCCACCGAGGCTTCCAAGGCTGAGATCCGCCCCGAGAAGGAGTACGAGTGAGTCTGCATTCCCTACAACCCTTTTCAACCTTGAGGAGCACGAGGAGGAGGAGCGGAATCCGACGTCGTCGCCTCGCTTTTCGTCTCGTGATCCTCTGCTGCGTCGATGGGAAGCGTCCGGGGTCGAAAAACAGCACACATCGCTATCTTAGTAACTGACCATCGTCTTCTTCGTCTCGCAGTGTCATCATCGTTGGCGCCGGGCCTGCGGGTTGCATGGCCGACCTCTGCCTCACGACCTACGGTTTCAAGGTTCTCCACGTCGACAATCGTCCCAAGACTACCGAGGCTGGCCGCGCTGACGGTATTCAGCCCCGAACGCTCGAGGTGCGATGGCGCTCAAGCGCGTCTGGTGCTTTACTCGAGCAGAACCTGATCCTTTGCTGCTCGACAGGTCCTCCGCAACATTGGCGCTGTCCCCTACGAGGAGGGCAAGGCCGGTCTCGCCAAGCGCATGATCAACCAGGGCGTCCGCGTCCAGGAGGGTGCGCAACTTCCTCTCGCTCGATTCTCTGATCCTTAGATTGACATCCTGTCGCTCTGCAGTCTCCTTCTGGGACCCTACCGAGACCGAGAAGCTCGCCCGTACCTCCCGCGCTCCTTCCTGCCCCGACTTCATCGATGTCGTCGACAAGTGCGCCTCCTGCCACTCGTATTCCTGAGCGCAACCCGTCCTGACTTCTTCCACCCTGCAGCTACACCCTCCTCCTCCACCAGGGCCTCATTGAGCGCTCTTTCCTCGACGAGATCGAGGCCCGCCGCGCCCTCCTCCCCGCCAACAAGAAGGCGCCCGCCCCTCACGGCAACGTCTTCCGCCCCTACGAGTTCGAGACCTGCTCGACCGACGAGTCGCAGGAGTACCCCGTCTCGGCCACCTTCCACCACGGCGAGACGAACGAGCAGTTCACCGTTCGTGCAAAGTACCTCCTCGGTGTCGACGGCGCCAAGTCGCTCGTTCGCCGTGCCATCTCGGGCGGACAGGTCGGTGACGGCGAGTGGCAGGGCAAGATTCGCATGCTCGGCGACGCGTCCGACATCATCTGGGGTGTTATGGACGTCGAGGCGTGAGTTCTTCCTCTGGCCTTCCCAACTGTGCTTTTCTTCGGCGAACTGACCCATCCGCTCCCCTCTCACAGCAAGACCGACTTCCCCGACATCATGTCCAAGTGCCTCATCCACTCTCGCTCAGACGGCTCAATCATGGTCATCCCCCGCGAAGCCGGCCTCGTCCGCCTCTACGTCCAGCTCCAGGCTGAGGCTGGCCCCGACGGCAAGCAGAAGCACTACGGCCGCGACGCGACTGAGGATATCTGCAAGTCCCGCGCGCGCAAGATTTTCGAGCCCTTCCAGCTCGAGTTTGGCAAGACTGCTTGGTTCTCCGTTTACCGTGAGTCGCGCTGCCGCTTCTAGCCATCTCGCTCTGATGCTGACTTCATGACACGCTCAACCTGCAGAGATTGGCCAGCGCATCGCCTCGAACTACACCCTCGACCACCGCGTCTTCCTCGGCGGCGACGCTACCCACACCCACTCGCCCAAGGCCGGTCAAGGGTGCGTCTGCCTCTGGCTTCACTCCTGAGCAACTCAAGCTGACGATGACCTGTTCCGCAGCATGAACATCTCGATGCTCGATATGTACTCGCTTGCGTGGAAGCTCAACATGGTCGAGAAGGGCGTCGCGAGCCGCGACATCCTCCTCCCGACCTACGAGCAGGAGCGCAAGAGCGTCGCCGAGGAGCTCCTCAAGTTCGACAAGGCCTACTCGACACTCTTCTCCGGCCGCTCGCCCAAGTCGGACCAGCTCACCGCCGACGCGACCAAGGCCAAGGCTCGCGGCGCTGTCGACCCCGAGCTCTTCATCGAGACGTTCAAGAAGAACGCTTTCTTCACCTCGGGATGCGGCGCCATCTACTTCGCCAACCAGCTCAACGCCCTCCCCGACTCGGAGCTTGTCAAGAACTACCCGAAGAAGGGCGTCTTCAACCCCGAGGGCAGCAACCTCACCGCCGGCCAGCGCCTCCTCCCCGGCAAGGTCACTCGCGCCATCGACGCCAACCAGGTCCGCATCCAGCAGGAGGTCAAGATGAATGGCGCCTTCCGGTGCGTTGCTACTGGCCGTCGTCTCTCCTCGATCCTTTGCTGACACTCGTGCATAACCAGCATCCACGTCCTCGCCGGCGACTACGACAAGTCCAAGTCGAAGCTCGCCTCCTTCGACAAGTTCCTCGACTCGTCCTCCTCCTTCTTCAACATGTACCGCCCCAAGAATGGCGTCTCGTCGTCGATCGTCTTCAACACCCACGAGACACGACACATCGAGCCTGAGCGCGGTTCTCGCGAGGTACGCTTGCTTTCGCGGCATCACTTCGCAGCTCAGTTGCTGACTTCGGCTCCCCCCTCCGCAGCCCAACTACAACCCCTTCTTCGACTTCCTCTACATCTTCGCGACGCCGCACACCGAGTGGGACGTGAGTCGCAGCTCCTCGCCCATTTTGCCCGCGACTCCTGCTGATCCGTCTCGCATGACCAGATCGAGGCTCTTCCCTACAACGCACGCATCTACCGCGAGCACATCTACTCGGACGACATCTACGACCGCCGCGTCGGCAAGGACGCCAAGGCTGCCCTTCACGCCAAGTACGGCATCTCGACCGACAAGGGTGGCATCGTCGTTGTCCGCCCTGACGGCTACGTCGGTGCGGTCGTCAGCTTCGACCAGGACGGCTTCGAGGCGCTCAACGCGTACTTTGCCGGGTTCATGTCGGGCTCGCAGCGCGCGAGCCTGTAAGCGTCGTCGCACTTCCGCTCTCTCCCCCCTCTCTTATCAGTTCATAGTATCAGCAGCATCTCGCAGGCTTCCTCTTTCGTCTCTCGCATCGTTGTAACTTTAGCGATCAGTTCTCAGCCATCCGCGACTACTCGAGAGGCTTAAATGTCTACAGCTCCTCCATCTCGAGGCTGAGCCAAACGGGCCAGTGATCTGACAGCGCACCCTTTCCGACGCTGTCCTTCGGTGGCCAGAACTGCCTCTTGACCTGCGGAAACTGGAGTAAGCTCGAAGCGAGGCGAGGAGGACCAGGACGTCAAGCCCACCTCTTGCCGGATCTCGCACTTGCGGACGTTGTGCAGGAAGCGCTCGGAGACAATGAAGCCGTCCACTGCAAGCAAGAAGCGTCAGCCGCTTCCAAAGGAGGTCAGGGGAGAGAACGCACGACGCCAGCCTCCGACCTTCTTGCTCGAGTGCCTGGTGATGCAGCGGGTCAGCTCCGTCAAGCGTCAAAACAGAGAACTAACGCACGTATACTGCCGCCATTTCTCGCCCTTGATCAAGCGCCACACGTCCACGAACTTCGGACCAGGCCGTCTCGGGTTCTCAAGCCATGGCTGATCGCCCAACAGTCGCTCGTGCGCATCGCGCTCGAATTGACTCGTTCCTGAGTACTTGCCGAACACCTGCGCTCCCCACTGCAAATCGTTCGACTCGGTTGTGTCGGGCGTGATCGTTCGAATCACGTTGAAGTCGCCTGCGAAACAGGGAGCGTGAGCTACGGCGGCACGAGAAGCGCGAGGCGGCACGCATCTGTCCAGATGACCGGCTTTTTCGCGTCGAGGCTGCGGATGTACGGCTCGAAGTCGGCCGCCCAGTCTTTTCGCTTGTCGAGGCTTTTGAACTCGGCGCCAGCGTTCACGACGTAGGTGGCAAGCAGAAAACACTCTTTGAACTCGAGCGTAATTGCGCCTGTGCCGTTCACAGGATCAGCTCGGCGAAAAGCGAGACGAACACGCAAGACTCACGAGCGCGCGCATCCTCCGGATCGTACTTCTTGCCTTCGGGAAAGCCGTAGACAGGTGGAGCGAGAGGCTCGAGCTTGCTGACAACGGCGACCCTGTGCGACCAGTACCGGTACGGATATCGCGCTCGGAGAAACTCAAAGTTCGGATGCGACTCGAAGACAGCCTCGGCGTCCTTCTCGTTGACCTGAAGGCTTTCCCGTCAACAAGGGCACGCGTCAAATGAATAGAAAGAGGTCGCACCTCGGTGATGGCAAGGATGTGCGGATCCTCTGCCTCGACATACAAGCGGAAACCGAACTGCGGCGAGAGGAACAGGATGTCAGCAGACTCCGACGTCGGCGATGGAGGAGACGCACATTCCACTTCTCGGCGTTGCACGACTCGAGGCCGGCGACATTCCATGTCGAGATCTGGATGGTGTCCTTCGGTTCTCGGTAGAAGAAGAGAGGGTTGCCAGGCAGAGGGTCGACGCGGGAGCGCTTCGGCGGACGCTGTGCGGCTTCGGAAGGAGGTTCAGGTCGTTTCTTCGACTCGGCAGGCATGGTCGAGGAAGCGGAGAGCAGTCGGCAGCCTGGATGAGGAAGGGAGGAGTGGGAAATCCAGGACGGGGAGCGGCGCGAGCAGTCGTAGCCGATACAGCAGACTCGAGCACTACGTCTAGCAGGCGGTACGAGCTCGAAGAGCGGGAGCGAGGGTGAAGTCGCGGACGAACCTGCTGCTGGACTCTGCCAGCAAAACCCTCTCCCCGCCAGGATGGATCGCTGGACTCTAGACTACACTGCTACACTGTGCGCACATGCTGATACCCTCGCCCACGTCGTCCGCCGTGCTGACACCCCGTCGCTCCCCCACCAGGACCTCGAAGACGGTCAAGGTCGCGGATCCGCCTGGCTTTGCGCCTGCACTGGCAGTCAAGGTGCGAAGGAGGTTTCTTGAGCTGCGCTGTGCCTGCTGACCGAGTCTCGCCGCTCGCAGCCGTCTACGAAGAACGCTACATCCCTCATCAAGCCAAGTCCCGTCGACCTCGACGCGTTGCGGCAGCAGAAGGCGTGGGAGCTCGCGTTTGCGCCAGCAAAGAATGTGCCGATGCAGGGTGTGTCCAGCCGACTTCGCTGCTGCGGGCGCTCGCTGACCTCGAACTTCCCCTCCACACCTTCTTCTCGCTCGACTCCCTTCGCAATCCACGCTCTCCTCCAATCGCCTTGTTGCCGCGGTAGCCTTCATGATGTACATGACCGGCGGCGGCATCCAGATCTTCAGCATCATGAGCGTGTGGTTCCTCTTCAAGCAGGCGTTTGGCGGCATGATGGGCGTCCAGCAGGGTCAGTCTCGCCTTCATATGTTCCCTCACTAAGTCGACGTGAAGCTCACTCCATTCCTGCGCAGTCTTCGCACCGTTCGATGCGGCGGTCAAAGCCAAGGCGGCGCACAGCAAAGCGGATCCGCCGTCCTTCCTCTTTCAAAAAGTCGTCTACGTCCTCTGCCAGTTCGCCCTCGTCGCCGTCGGACTCTGGAAGTGCCGCTCGATGGGCATCCTACCCGACTCGGCGGCGGACTGGGCACCCTTGCTCGGAAGACCCGTTGCTCCACCCGTCCAACCGCTTGGCATCCGCATCGAGCCGCTGACGCCTGGCGCGGCCGGCCAACCTCATGTAGAGCTGTAGAGTCCACCGTAGACCTTCTCGCTGTTGTAAGATCACGTTCAAGCCAGAGTCGAGACTGCTCCGCGGTGAGTTCTGCTCTCGCTGCCCTTGCTCTGCGGCGAGCGCCTTGGCAACAAACGACACTGCCAATGCAGGGAGACAACTCTAAAGCGATTAAAACCGAGGGAAGAAACGAAGACCTAGACACAAGGGAAAGCGGAGAAGGTTGCTGGAGGCGATCAGACCGCAGCGTGCTCAGTCGTGGCAGGAGCAGGCGCCGCTGCTCCCTCGCGTGCCGAAGTCTCGGTGACTGCCGCGGCGGGGGTGTGGTGCGCGGTCTTCTCGCTCGAGTAGTGCGAGGGAGTGCGCGAGAGGTCCTTCTCCGAGTACAGCGGGCCGTCCTCGAGGTCTCGGCGGATCGAGACGTAATCGTAGCCGTGCTGTGCGAGGAAGCGAGTCAGCGCAAGGTCTAGTGGAAAGGAAGCGAGAGGGGGCTCACCTCGCCAGTCTGCGACTCGTCCATGCCGATGATCTCGTCGTCCTCCGAGCAGCGGACCTTGAAGCCGGGGATGTGGTCGACGATAAAGATGAGGATGTAGGTCATGACAGCGGTGTAGGCGAGGATCGAGGTTGCCGAAGCGAGTTGCCAGCCAAGCTGGACGTAGTGGTGGTTGATCCACCCTCCGGGAATCGCCGTGTATCCGTCGAACTCGACAACGCGAGAGTCGGCGAAGAGACCGGTGAGGACACTGCCGACGTAGCCGCCGACGGCGTGAAGAGCGAAACCATCGACTGCATCGTCGATCTTGAGGAGGACCTTGAGGCCCGTCGCGAAGTTGGCCGCAATGGCGGCGACAGCACCAATAGCGAGAGAGGCGGGGGTGCCCACAAATCCTGCCGCAGGGGTGATGCCTGTCCAGAGAGTGTGTGAGCGCAAGGCGAATCGAGAAGGTCCGGATGCGAAACTCACCGACGAGACCGGCGAGGATGCCAGAGCAGAGGGAGACGGCCGACCACTTGCGAGTGTAGATGCTGCGGTAGCAAAGAGTGCGGTCAGTACAAGCTGCCAGAAGAAACCCGGGCAGCAAGGAGAACGCACAAATCCATGATCATCCAGGTCATTCCGCCCATAGCGGCAGCGACGTTGGTGACGATCGAAGCCTGAACCGAGCGAAGGTTCATGGCGACCTCAGAACCGCCGTTGAAGCCGAACCATCCGAACCAGATGAGGGTCGTGCCGAGGATAACGTGCGAGACCGAGTGAGGGCGGTAGGCGAGCTTGGCGGTACCGTACCCGCGACGACGGCCGAGGTAGAAGGACCAAACGAGCGATGCGGTGCCGGAGGTGATGTGGACAGGTCCTCCGCCGGCGAACTGTAAGGATGGATCTGGTCAGTTTCGTCGCAAAGTTGGCGGGACGAGCGAGGAGACTCACGTCAAGGACGCCATTGATGTAGCCCCATCCAGTCGGGTTCCAGGTCCAGCACGCGACCGGGTTGTAGACGATGGTCGCCCAGAGGAAGCTGACGACGAGGACGGGGAGAAGGCGAGCGCGCTCGGCGACACCTCCGACGGCCTGCACAACGCAATGGTCAGCATGTGACAATTAAGAGGATACTGACAGCACTCACAATCACGGGAGTGAGGGCGGCGAACATGGACTGGTAGAAGGCGAAGAGGAGGGCGGGGATCTTGCTCGAGCCCTGCGACGGCGCGTCGAGGACGTTCATGAGGCCGAAGTGACGGAGGTCGCCGATGAACTTGGAACCAGTCTCGGAGAAGGCGAGGGAGTAGCCCCAGAAGAACCACTCGATCGTGATGAGCTGCAGGAGGAGAGAAGGTCAGTTTGCCGGGTTCGCACGCTTATCGGCGAGAGCGGACGCACCGAGTAGACCGCCATCGCCAAGAAGAGCATCGAGAGCGCATTCTTTCGTCGCAGGAGACCCGAGTCTGCGACAGAGAGGTCGTAAGTCTCCAGTCCAGGCGAAAAGACGGGACGGCAAGGAGGACGGACAGAGGAAGCCAACGCCGGGCGCCATGATCATGACGAGACACGCAGCGACGAGGATCCACGCCATGTCGCCGGTGCTGTCTGCAGAGCGGGACGCGAGAAGGTCAGTATCGGGCGATCTCGCCTCGAGATAACGGCGTCGAGACGCACAAGTCGCGACGCCAGCAGTGCCCGCTGATGGGTCCCATGTCGCGACGAGCGAGCCGTCCGGTGTGTAGGTGACGTTGGGCATGGTTTAGCCGCACTGCGAGCGAGGAGCGAGGGAGAGAAGCGGGTTGTTAGCGGAAGATAAGGGCGCGCGCCTCGAAGGGGAAGGCGGGCGAGGCGAGCTGCACTCACGAGAGGGGTTCTTTTGTCGGGTGTCTCGAGAGTAGGAGAAGGAAGATGCAGTCGCAAAGCAGGGTCCCAGGAGGCGCACGGAGGTGAGGAGAGGAGGAAGAGAAGAGGAGCGAGTGTCGCTGCAAGGCAAGGTCCAATCGGCAGCCTTGGCCCACGCTCCAACCGCCGAATCGCCCGCTCGAAAAGATTTGTCCCTCCCCCGATAAGGGCTCGCGTCGAATCGGCAGCGTCGTCCTCGGTGCCATGCCTTCCCTCCGCGAGTTTCGGCTCGAACCATTCCGCCGCAATGGACGCAGGCTAGCGCCGTCGCCATGCAGAGACCGCAGCGGCGCTAGGCAAGCTTGGCCAGTCAAAGAAGAGTAAGTTAGCTCCCGGTTTTGCAGCGAAACAGAACAGCGGAAAACATCCTGAGAAGCTCTTCCGTCCTGCCGTGATTCTCCTTCTGCGGGCCCTGAAACGAACGCCCTCAATTGTACAATCGGTCGCGCATTCGCCCGGATCGGCACGCATGCGAGCGGTCCCGCTCGAATCACCCTCTCCTTCCTTTGCTCCCTCCGCTCCGCAGGATGAATCGCCGTTCGCGCTGCCGGCGCGGTCATAAGCAATCATGCGTGCCATCAGAGCATCAGAGGACGACGTGGGAGATCCGGCGAACATGAAGAGCGGATGGAAGAGGGCGAGAGTCGGGGAGACCGTCGTCGGGTACTCGGGTGCAAGCAGGTCCGCGGACTCGTGCATCGTCCGCTCTCCCTCGTCCAGACGCTCGCAAGCGACGTCACAGTAAGCCCAATGCCAGTGCGATTGCGATCTATGCGCGAGAGGTATGGGGAAGGAACGAGTAAGCGCAGGAGAGAGAGGAGAGAAATAAGTCACGGAGCCCCCCGACTGCGCCCTCAATCCCGCCGTGGTGTCCGCGCCGCCGCGCTCATATCACCCTTGAGCGGCACATCAAAGCTATCCCGCACCGGTGCCGCGCCCGCCTCCCCACCAAACAACCTCGCCTCCTCCGCCAAATCGTCTTCCTCGCTCGCACCGGCATCGTCCGACTCCCACCCTCCATACCCATTCGCATGCCCATTCGATGCCTTCCCAGCCGCCGTGTGCGCGAACGTCCGTGGTAGACCGGACTCTTCGTCGAGCGGGATGGCGGAGGACGAGGCGCGCGCGCGGTAGGGCGCGACGGGCGTCGTAGGGTGTCGAAGCTCGTCGGGCATCTTGCTGAGGTAGTAGTAGAAGAAGGCGCAGGTGAGAGAGCCGCCGGCGACGAGGTCGATCAGGTAGTGGTGCGTGAGATACTGGGAGGAGAATCGTGTCAGTCCTGGAGAACAAGCTGCTAACGCCGGAACGCGACTTGCCATCGTGCTCCAATACAAGACAAACACGTATAGCCAGTAAAACGGCCTCCCTTTGGGGAAGAAGTGGCTCAAGAAGAGCGCCTCCATCGTCGAGCAGCCAGCGTGCAAACTCGGGAAGGCGCCGAAGGGCACTGGAGCACCTGAGAAGGTCGTCTCGTAGCCGTGTCCACCGAAGAGGGCGTCAATGCGCGCAAGACCGCCGGGCGAGCCGCGCATGTTGTAGTTGGCGGGGACGAGGCCTTCGCGAAGTTCGTACCCTGCAAGACCGAACGAGTCAGCAGAGTTTTCGAGACCTCCGCAATCCTCGTACGCACATGGAGGAGCGCAGGGAAAGACGATCTGGATGATGACGCCCGCGAGGTTCATGTATCCGAAGGCAGCAGCCCAAAACTTGACGGCGCCGGGCGGCGAAAAGACCCAAAGCAAGGCGGCGACGACAAAGGGCGCGACAAAGTGAATGACTCCATACGGGATCCACGCGAGAAAGTCGAGAGCCGGGTTCGTCCACCGCGTGAGGAGGTCCGAGATGTTGGCGCCGTAGAGGATCGACTCGAGTGTCGGGAGGACCGAGACCCAGATGTGTGGTCGGTACGACTTGGGGATGAATTGGGACGAGTAAAAGAGGAGGAGCCAGGAGAAGATGGGGGTTGCGGGGAGGAAGAATTGAGAGGTGAAGGGGATGAGGAGGGCGGTGGTGTAGGCCGCGACGAGAAAGAGCTTGAAGAAGACGGGTTGCGCCATCACTGTGAGTGATAGCAGGGCTAGCTGCATGATGGGCAGGAACTGTCAGCGCTGTGCCTCGTTTCGCTTTGCGAAGGAGAGGTCGTGGTTGCTGCAAGACGCTGCGCGACTTCCACCGTCTCGCAGGACCGCATATCATCTCCGCCTAGACTCCTTTTCCTCCTCGTACGAAGGGAACTCCATTCGCCAGCCCCGCAGGAAGCGAAACCCCGCTCCTCTCCTCGCCAAGACCCGCCCCCTTCCCTTTTCAACCCGTACAAGCTCGAAAGAGAGGAACCAAAACGCACCGCCAGATCCACCGCATACTCCCAATCCCTGCTCCACTTCCACCCATACCTTCGGACCCGCTTGAGCGACACCTGGACGTCAAAGCTGATCTCGAGGCGGGAAATGGCTCCGAGGAGGGGATCGCGTATTGCTGAGGGGAGGTAGAGCCGCATCTTCGCCTCTCAGGGTGTCGCTCGCCGCCCTCGAGTGGGTGGTGACGAGGTACGGTGTTGTTGAGCCGTGAGGATGAGCGAAGTGGTGGGAGGAGGGGAATCGCGTATGGCGCGACTTGGGTGGCCCAGGTGGGCTCTACAGCAGCTGTGTGTGCTACTCAGAGCGCGTTCAGGCGAGCAGAGCGTGTCGGTTGCGATGAGCACTTCGACGACTGCTCTCGGCGAAGGAGGGCTCGAGCCGTCTCGCGACCTTCGATAAATCTGGCGAGGCTGCCAGTAATCCTACGAAGGAGTACGGAGTAGGCTACCGCAAAGACCGAGGCGGACAAGCGAGCGGAAAGCAGAGTCGCTCGGAACTGGATGAGCGTTTCCTCACAAACCTCGCTGGGAGGCAGACTATGCTTTGCAGCCGCTAGAATGTACAATGTGCACTACTTTATTTCTTGATGGTAGTTCGGGACAAGCGTGGGTGCGGGCGAAGGTCGTTCAAGCCTGCGAAGCGGAGGAAAGGGTTAGCGACTCGTTCTGCGACAACATTCCAGAGAGTAGTTGAAGGCGACTCGCCGACTCCATCTGTAAGGCGGCGGAACGAGGACCCAGTCAGCGAGACACGGGAAGAGGGCGAGAGATGGAACGCAGGCGCACCGAACGGCGAGTCGCCTCCTCGTCGGGGAGGTCCTCGATCTTCTCCTTCGGCTGACCGGCGGGACTCACGCTCGAGGTACCGTCTCCACCCTTCTTCGACTTGCCGGCCTTCTTCTTGTCGGGCAAGGGGTCCTTCTTCGTCCGGTCGGCGTGGACCGTCTCCTCGCTCATCGACGGGTTCTCCAAGTGGTCGTGTCCCGATTTGCCCGGGTGCTGGGCAGACTGCTCCTCGACCGGCTTCGAGCCCTCGTTCGATGTTGCGCCCGTGCGGCGGACGGCAGACGAGTGGTAAGAGCGCTTCTGGCCGGTCAAGGTCGACGCGGCGTCCTTGACGGCGTTGGCGGCCTTGCTCGCGGCGTCCTTGACCTGCTCAGCGGCGGACGACGCAGCGCCAGCGGCACCTGCAGCCGACGGGCCCTTCTTGAGGGGGTCGGCGGCGTCGCGGTCGGCGTGGACAATCTCCTCGCTGAGGGAGGGGTTCTCGAGGTGCTCGATATCAGACTTGCCCGGGTGCTGGGCACTCTGGTGCTCGATCCCGACCGACCCCTCGTTCTTGGTCCCGTCGCGCCTGACAGCGCTCGAGTGGTATCCGCGCGCTCCGCCCGGCTTGAGCGGGTTCGCTCCCGCCTTGGCGTTGAGCGAGTCGCTCGCGGTCGAAGGCTGGCCGCGCGAGTGCGCGGCGACGCTCTCGTCGCCGGCCTTGTTCGGGTGCGCCGGGTCAGCCTGGTCGTTGACGGCCGACGAGGCAGAGGTGTTGGTCGTCTGGGCGGTCTTGTTGAGGGTGGGCTGCTGCGCGCCCTCCTCTGCGTCGACGGGGAGAGACTTGCCGCGGTCGGTGCCCATCGACGATTCGGACGTCGTCGGAGGGAGACCGGTGTCGGCGAGGAAGCGGGGCGAGGAGTGGAAGAGGCGCTGGGCGGCAAAGCTGTGTGCAACAAGGTGAATCAGCATTCCTGCGTCTCCCGTCTTACCCTGCCATCCCTCGAACGATGCCAGACGGCGCAGGGACTCGGGTCAGAGACTGACGGAGCGGGAGCCTGGCGGGCAGCGGTGCGCGCCGCGAGCTGGCGTGAGACGGTGAAGGCGATGTTGCGCATTGTGTGTAAGCGGTTGTTTGCGAGTGGTAGCAAACTGGCGAGAGCGAGAGAAAGAGACGAAGCGAGCGATCTGACGAGCGGAGCGCAATATGGACACACGCTCTGACCTTCCCAAAGTCGGATTCCCTCGCAATACAACGCTCTTTAACCATTAACGCATACTGTACTGCAGTTGACAGCGCGCAACACTCCCTACGACGAAGAGAGGGCAACGAAAGCGCTCGCATAGCTGACGCTCGAGTCGGCCAACCTCTTGACCCTGCTGCTCTGCTCATACCGCACCCACTCGCACCTCCACGCTCCCTCGGCGCCGTCCTCCTCGAGCGCCGCAACAGCCCCGAGCAACACCCCAATCGGGTGTCTCCCGCAAATCGTGTTGCGCGTCTGGCGCAAGTAGGCCGCAAACTCGTCGTGCGCCTGTCCCGCCTTCTTCGTCCGCCCGTCAAACGAGATCGCCTCCATCCCGAGCTTGTCGAGTTTCTCGATCCCCTGCCAGACTTCCCCGCCCGACGAGCCGACCACGGAGGAGAAGGTGCTGCTCGTGAGGGACGTGCCGAGCGTGAGGTCGTCCGTGTCGGGCGGGTGGAAGTGCGTGTACCGGAAGCGCGTGCCCCAGTGGCAGAAGTCGGACGAGATGACGAAGAGAGTCGATGGGTCCGAGAGATAGGGCGCGAGGAGGCGGCCGAAGGATTTCTCGGATGCGGTCGAGATCGAGCCGACGAGGATGGGGACGATGCGGATGTCCCGGCTGCAGCACAAGGAGATCAGCAAGCTTTTGTACTCTCGTCGAGGAGAGTAGCGCACCCTTCGAAGACCTTGCGGATGTACCTGCAGAGAATGGCGAGTAAGCCGCCGATCGTCAGGAGGCGAAAGAGCTGCGCTCACGGGAGATGCATCTCGATGCTGTGAGAAAACGATGCACACGCCCATAAATACGTCTGTCCGAGGCCAGCTAGACGGCGGCTGATGGCTGGACCCGCCGACTCACCTATGCTCCGCCTCATCCGTATCCTGGTCCATCAGCTCAAACTTGCCCGTCTTCTTCAACTCGTCAATAGCTGTAACGCCATCCCTTACAAGAATCAGCACTTGTTCACAGGCGCGAGTCGAAGCTGAGTAGAAGAGACGGCAGCGTACTGTCCAAGTCGAGCGGGAGCTGCCCGAAGGGCGTCTCGTAGGTCTTGCATTGGCTCAGCGCGCAGCCGTCGAGGTAGACGTGGTGTGACGGGCCGAGGACAAAGACGCGAGAGCTGAGGGAGGAAACCGAGTGTGAGACTCGTTTGAGGGCGCTCAGGCGAGCGAGCCGATAGCTGGCTCGCCTTCGCCCCGCCAAGACTCACATAGATTCGACGTCGATGCATTTGTACGCAAAGGCCGCCGCAGGACCCGAATACGAGTACCCAGCGTGTCTATCGCCTCGACCGGAGCCCAAATCAGCCTCTTTGCGCGACGTACGAGCTGGAGAACCCCACGCACGGCCCGATGATCGCCTTGCAGCCCTTGACAGGCGCTTCTCTCAGCCCGTCGCCTTCCTCCGGACTCGCAGTAGCGTCCAACCATCCGCTCAGCTGCTGGTCGAGCTGTTTTCCTGCGATCCGAGTCGTTCGCCCGTCAGCGGCGCGGAGAGACAAGGTGGAAGGGAGGACCGCACCGTTCGAGGAGTACCAGCTTCCTGCGTGGTCGGCGCGGCGTGATGACATGTCGCGGGAGACGAGGTGGGGCGCGAGCCGACGAGGAGGACGAGCGAGAAGTGTTGTGGGCTTGTGAGAGAGTCTGAGCGATGGCAGTGGAATGCAAGCGCTGGAAGAACGAATCGTGCGAGTCAGCAGAGCGGTGAAGGGAGGAGGCGAGAGAGACGTCGTCCGCTCAAGTCCTCGCCGACCAGGAAGCGAAATTCACGACTGAGTTTCCAGAGGTGGCAGGCATCTACAAGATATCATGAAGTGACAGTAGCCTCGTACCAGCCGCAGAAAACGACGCCTGAATTCCGCTAAGTCCGCGGCGGGCCGTCCAGTCCCAGTGAGGGCTTAACCTCCTCGTCGTCCTCCCTCACCCTCTTCCGCGCCTGCGAACCGACAGACACGACCAGCACGACATTCAGAGTACACCCACGTAGCCGCCCCACGTCTACCCCTGCTTCTTACCGCTCCGCGCACCCGTCTCTCCGCGCTCACCGGACTGGGCGAGGACGATGGAGACCACGACCCTCACACGCACCGCCCTGCCGCCAATGACCTCCCTCCCACTCTTGCCGACACACCCGACTCGCCCGCCAACCATCTGCCCGCATCTCGCGGCGTGGTGTCAGGCCAACCTCGAGTCGGCTGTCGAGCGTCTCGAGGGCGCGATGAGGGCAGACTACGGCCTGGCAGACGGCGTGCTCGTCAAGGTGCGTTCTTACAGCTCACTCCGAGGTACCGCCGAGCTGACCTGCTCGTTGGAACGAACAGGGGACACTCCCTCCCTCGTGCTCGACTTGCCAGACGACCCCGCTTCGACCGGCTCTCTGCCTCGCATGCGGCGTCTCTTCCTGCCTCTCTCCCGGCGAACCGAGTCACGCCCTCGACCACTCGGAGAAGGAGAATCACCAGCTCGGTACGTTCCGAATCCGATTTTTCAGGAGCCGAGAAAGGTCAGGAAGAGGGCGGGGACTGTCGAGACCGCGAGCTGACCGCTCTGGCACGTTCTACACTCGACAGCCTGGGACTTCCGTGCACGAGGTATTTACTGCTTCGTCTGCGAGGGCTACGTCCGACACGCGGCGGTCGAGCGACATGCCTTGGCGGAACGAATCGCCTCAAGGGAGGCTGCTGCGAACGACGGAGAGGGTCAACGAGGTGCGTCGTCTCTCCACTTCCTCGGTACAGTGTCGGCTGACTCTGCCGCCCAACAGCAACCAAGCGCAAGCGCGTCAGCGTGCAGAAGTGGGAGCTTACGACGCCGATCCAGTCGACGCCTGCTCCGACCGCCCTCGCTGGTTCGTCTGGCTTCTTCTCCAGTCCGAACAGTGCTGATGGGTCCTTCACGCAGTGCGAGGCATCCGGAACCTCGGCAACAGGTGCGCCATCTTTCCTCGTTTCCTCCCAAATCCGCGAACTCACTCATCTTCGCACGAACAGCTGTTACATGAGCGTCATCCTGCAGACCTTCCTCTGCAACCCATTCCTCCGCACCTACTTCCTCTCAGACCGACATAATCGTCTCGCCTGCACCAAGACCCTTCAAGGCGAACCTTGCCTGTGTTGCGAGCTCGACTTGCTCTTCTCCGAGGTATGGTCCCTCTCTCCTCCCGTCCTCGCTGGGAATGCGAACTGACTGTGTAGTCAATCGCAGCACTACTCGTCCGACCTTGCGCCTCTCGCTCCGACTCGCTTCTTGCATTCGTTCTGGCAATCAAGTGCTGAAGCAGCTGGCTACGCTCAGCAAGATGCCCACGAGTTCCTCATTTCCGGTTCGTGTCCTTCTTACATCCTCCACTCCAGCCAAAGCTAACCGTAGACTCCGCGACTCAGCGCTCAACCTCCTCCACTCCTCCTCTCCCTCTCACCACGACTCCCCCTCCCTCGGACCCTGCCGCTGCCCAATCCACACAACCTTCTCAGGCGAGCTCCGCTCAAAGGTGACCTGCGGGAGGTGTCAGCACCAGTCTGAGACGGCTGAGCCGTTTCTCGACTTGAGTTTGGATCTGAAGGATCGTGCGACGGGATTGGCGGGAAAGACGTTGGGGGATCGTTTGAAGAGGTGCGTTTGCGCGGTTGAGCAGCCGTTTCGTTCCGAAGCGCTGGTAACGGGAGTACGAGACTGATGAGTCCTTGTTTGGCGCCGCACAGCTTTACAACTCCCGAACAGCTCCCGTCGACGTACAGCTGCGCTGCATGCGGCGACGGTGTTCCCTCCGCCTCGAAGCGTCTGAGCCTGAAGACCCTCCCTCCAGTCCTCTGCATCCAATTCAAGGTGCGTCCTCCCTCTCCCTCCTCTTAATTCCTCCGCTGACGTTGCTCGCGATGGAAACAGCGCTTCGAGATTACGAACCAGGCGCAGAAGCTCGACACGCCGATTCGGTACCCGCTCAAGCTCGACATGAGCCCGTTTTTGACGAATCACCTCGAGTACCCGACAAGTTACAAGCCGTGCGTCGCCTGTTCTTGCTCAATCCCTCCGACTCAGGTTGGCTGACGAGCTTCGTTGCTCATCGGCGATGCGTAGCTCCATGGCGCACTGGTACAACTTGGCGGCGGTTGTCGCGCACGAAGGGACGCTCAGCCAGGGTCACTACACCGCTTACGTCCGAGGCGTTGACGACGTGGGTTGTGACTCACTCTCCCGCACCCATTCACATCCCCTGACGGCTGGTCCCGCGCAGTTCTACGCCATCGACGACGAAAAGGTCCGGCGGGTCCGGATCGCCGAAGTCCTCGCCGCCAAAGCCTACCTCCTCGTCTATTCACGCATCTAGCCCACCTCACCACCCTCATGACCACCAGTATCCTCTCTGCGGCAAATCATCGTTCTCGCTCGCCTTATGCTTCCTTCGCATCGGCTTCGCCCAGCCTCGCATCATTCGCCTTCGCATTCTTTTCGCTCCAGCATCGCTTCCCTTACGACCGTTCTCGCGCCGCACTTACTATGCATCTATCCCTCGCACTTCCCATGTACCCCCATTGCCCGCCTTCAGTTCTCAAACTCGTTCGCAATATCTCGTTTGACTTCTCCTTGCATCGCGCTCGTTTCTCTCGTCTCTACGGCGTCCTTGCGAGTGACTTCGAGTGTACTGGGCGGGACCAGAGAGACGCAGAGAGATCTAGCGTAGCAGGGAGAGGAGACGGAGTAACGATTGATGTGCACATTCTACAACCCTTCATGTCCTCGACATACAAGAGAGACATGTCACCTAGGAACAGAACCAGACAGACGGAGCGAGCGGAGCAACAGGCGAAGGAGACGGACAACAGGATGTGGGAGGGAGCGCGCAGAAGGTGCGGATTTTTTGGGGTGTACGAAGAGCCAAGTTCAAGGGTCGCCGCCGCGCTGAGGCTCTTCGTTCTCGTGCTGCTGATGCTGCTGCGGTTGTTGCTGTTGCGACGAGAGATGGTGCTGCTGCTGCTGCTGCTGGCCGGGCCAGCCGTAGTGTTGAGGCGGGTAGGGCGAGAGCGCGTGCATGTGCGGCGAGTGCGTCGGTGCGGAATGCGAGGGGTAAGCGCCCGGGTTGGGCGAGTGGATGGGCGGCGGGATGTGCGGCGAGAGGGTGCCGGCTGACGACATTTGCGGGTACGGGAAGGGCGAATGGCTGGGCGCGCGCGAGTAGTCGAAGCCGCCGTGCGAGACGGGAGGGAGTGGCGAGTGCGTCGGAACAGGCATGGGCGCAGTAGCGGCTGAGTAGCCGCCTGCAGCCGAGTACGGCATCGACGAGGGGAAGTAGGAGTTTGTGGAGGGCGGAGGCAGAGATGGGGAGGGGTATTGCGGGGCGTGCGCGACGGTCGGAGAGCCGACATGCGAGTATTGACCGGGCATGCCTGGCGCAGTGGTGTGGTAGGGCGTGTACGGCTTTGGCGTCGGGTGAGACGGGCCGCGAGTGTAGGCGGAGACGAGGTCGTACTGCGACCCGGGCATGGGCGACGCTTCTTGGCTGTAGGGCGTCGAGCCCGATGCCTGCGGCGCATCGTCGCCGGTGACCGCCGAAGCGACAGCAGCCGCCTTGCCCTTCTTCTTGCCCTTCTTCGGAGCCACGCCGCCGTTCGCCGCGATCTCCGCCTGCTTCTTCGCGCGGGCTACCGACCGGGCGTAGCGGAGACCTGCATCAGAGACGGGTCAGTAAGGCGATTTCGCGAGAAGTGAGGTATAAGACGAGCTCACCGCAAGCGTTGCAGAGCGTCTTTGCGCCCGTCGGTCCCTTCCTCCACTCGGGACTGTTGACTGTCCCGCAGCTCTCGCACGCCTTCGGGTTCGGCTTGAAGACGGGTCCATCAGGCCGCTGCTTGGGCGGCTTCTTACCCGACGAGTTTGCCGGCGCAGGAGGGACGGGGATGCTTTGAGCGAACGTATCAAAGTCGGTCTGGGAGATGGTGTGCGTCGTCGGTGAAGGCGTTGGCGACGCGCTCGGCTGCACGTTCGGTTGCGGGAGGTCATAGACAGGTTGGCCGGGCGGAGGGTACAAGCCGCGACCGTTGTGCGCCGAGGCAGGTTCGTGAGGCGACTGCGGGGCAGGCGGGAAGTAGCCACTGTGCGATTGCGAGAGCGGGTGAGGCGAGTACTGAGCGTAGCCGGCCGACGCAGTCGGGTAGCCGTGAGCGGGGTGGTGCTGTTCGAAGGGGTGCGAGTTGTAGAACGCGGCGTAGGAGGTCTGCGCAGGGCCGGGACCATGGAGAGGCGGAGAATGGTGCACCGGTGCATCGCCCAGCGAGCCGAGGATGGCCGACGCTGAAGCAACAGTCGGCGAGATCCCGCCCGCCGTGATCGTGTCGACATCCAGGTTTTGACGGAACGACCGACCGCTCGTCGAGATTGAGAGGCCGTTGAGGTGCGAGTGCGACTGCTCGTGCGGCGACTCTGGCTCGGCGGCCGGCGAGGCCGCAACCGTCTGCAGCCTAGGCAAGACTGGCGGTCCGTCGGCGTCGGCCTTGAACCGCTTGTTCGGCTGCGACTGGTCGAGCCCGTTCGAGCCCTCGAATCGCCCATCAAGCGACGAGCGCTTGCCGTTCGCAGCGGGTCCACCAACCGTCGGCGTGTGCGGGACGTCCTCGAGGGCAAAGTCGTGCGCGCTCGCGTTCGAGCCCGTCAAGTCGCCGCTGGTGACGAGCGAGAGACCGGCCTTGCGCGCCGAGCTGAGGTAGACGCCGCCGGTTTGGAAGCAGGCGAAGGTGATCGCGCCGTACATGATGACGACCGATTCGATGGTCGTGAGCGTCCCGTCGCGCATGCTGCGAGCGTTCTAAGTATCAGCACCGCTGTGTAGTCGAAAGCGAGAAAGACCGGGTTACTCACACAGGGTGTTTGCTCCTGTACCTTCTCGTACAACTCGTCCGACTCTGCGCCGCCTCCCTCGGCCTCGCCATCACCTCCCTCGCCAGCGCCGAAAACCTCTCCGCATCGTACGCCCTCCTCTTCCTCCCTTCCTCGCCCGTCCCCTCGCTCTGCGGGAACGTGATGATTGGCCTTCCGGCATGGTCGAGGATCTGGAAGACATGAGGAGGGGGACCGCTTGCGCCTTTTTCGTCTGAGCGGGTCCCGTCCTCGTTCAGGACGGAGCTGAGTGCGCCTTTGTGGTCGTCTGCCGAGGCGGGCGAGTCGACGGACGAGGAGGAAGAGGGTGAGGTGAGACGTGTGAGGGCGGCGAGGAGGTCGTCGCATTGCTGGGGAGTAAGGTAAGGGCCGTAATCGAGCGAGGCGCCGCACCAGTTGCTCCACTCGGTGCGGTGCTGAGGATCACTGTCGTGAGCCGGGTCTTTGTCTGTGCGTCAAGCGGGAAAGAGAAAGTCAGCTCGTCAGCAAACGGGTGAGCGAAGCTAACGAAGGAGCAGTACGCACCCGTCGCGACATGCCAAAACGCCAACACCGCTCCGTTCGGCAATCCCTCCTTACCCTTACCCTTCCTGTCTCCCGCAATCCAGCTCGTCGTCACTTCAAGGTTGAGGTAGTCGTCGTCGATGGCGTAAAGTGCAGCATCGGGCGGTGAAGGAGGGTGCGGGCAGCCGAGTTCGCGCATGATGCGGGTTAGGCGGGAGTAGCGGCATCTGTGGGTGCGAGAGTCAGTCCGCCGAGTCTCGCAAGGAGTAATGTCGCGATGACGCACCTCGTCACACTGCCAAAGACGCCAGTCGACTCGACTCCCGCGACGGTATCCTCCTTCGGCAGCAAATCCTCCGCCAACTGATCCCTCTCATCCGGATGGACCCAATCGAGCACGCTCGTCCCAACAAACTTGTCCTTCCACGCTCCGAGATGCGTGTCCAACACCGGATCGAGGTAGGCGTACTCGAGCTTGGAGGAGAGGATGGTCCAGTAGCATCGGACTTGGCCGATACCGGGCAGTGCGGCAGATGCGTGCGCGGGAGGGAGGGCGTGCATCGTGCCTGGTGTTGGGTAGGCGGAGTAGGGAGTCGGAGGATACGAAGGGAAAGGCGCGGGGTGGCCGTAGCCGTTCGAGGCGGGCGGGATGAGGGGAGGGAAGGGGAGGCCGTGGCCTGGGTGCGGGTTCATTGAGGACGACGGCGCGCCCGTGTTGGAGAAGAAGGTAGAGACGTCGTGCGTCGGATCGAGCGCCGAGGGCGGAGGGAGGGACGACGATAGGGGTGCTGAACTGACTTGGGCGAGCGAGGGGAGGTGGAACGACTGCGTCGTCTCAGACGCCATGCGCTGCGTATGCTGTAGGTAACATCGCAGTCAGTACAGCTCTGCGTCCCGTCGTCGCTCAACTTGAGTCCGACACCCTTCCCCTCACTAAGCCCAAGGGCAACAACCTGCACGCGTCCGGCACGAACCGCAGACGCCAAGAGCGTCTCGCCAGCCACCCAGTACCCCACTTCAAGTGTATCTTGGTCTCCCTAGCCCATCCAGCTGCCTTGATACCCCTCCCGACCCTGTCGGCTTCTCGTCCGACGACTCCTCCCCGTCAACGCGCACCGAACGCAGCGGACCTGTGCGAGCTCACCTGCAGAGTCCCAGTGGTGTGTGTGGCCCAGTCGCGCGGTCAGCGAGGCCTCGCGAGCGTGGTCGGATGGCCCGGAGGTGAGTGTGATCGGGGGTCGACGAGAGGGCGAGCGAGATGGGCAGGCGACGAGCGAGCGCGCGAGTGGCAGCGAGTGTACGTGCTAGAGAGTCTCACGAGCAGCCAGTCACACAGCCAGCAGCAGTCCAGCACAGCTTTGGAGCGTGGTCCGGACGAAGCGGAACAGGCGAAGTCTTCTCCTCTCGATTGGGCGATCTCGACCTCAAAGTCGATACAGGTTCCCATTGCGCGCCGTCGTCTATGATCACCGCAAGAGATAAGTACACTCCTACTCCATCAGAATCCGCCAGCTCAGGCAGCGGCGGCGGCGGGAGGCGGCGAGGCGACAGTCGTTGGCGACGGGTGCGACAAGGGAGCCGGCTCCTCCGTCAAATCGGGCAGCGCGACGGGCTGAGGTGCACCGTCGCCGTTCGAGGAGTCGCCCGCGACGCCGAGCGCGTTGGCCGTGCTGGACGGGGCGGGAGGAGGCTGCGAGGCGGAGGCGCCGTTCGAGGGCTGCTCCGGGGTAACGCGCTCGTAGAAGCTGTTTCGAGCGAGAGAATCAGACCCAACAACGAAGGGGGATGTCGGGAGGGAACCAGGACGCACAGCATGTACGCTTTGCTCCGCAGGACCTCGGCCTCGGTCGCGGCGAGCACCTCTTCGTCCGAGCAGAACAACCACTTGCGCTCGCTCGCCTTGCCGTGCCGGTTCGAGAGAACGTACGACGCGTAGTGACCTGCGAAGAGAGTACCGAAGAAAGCCGTCAGCTTAGCCCCCGTCGAGCAAAGGACAGTCGCGCAAACGTACCGGTATCGATCGTGCCGTGGTGGACGACCACCGCGTACAGCCTGTACCGCGCATTGTGAACCTCCTTCTCGACCTGAATCGCATCGCTGACCTCCGTCCCGCTCGAGTCCGGCCTGTCAACTCCTCCATTTCTACTGGTCTTACGACTCCTCCTCTCCTCCTCCGCCTCGGCCGACCCAAACGCATTCGGGCTGACACGCGGCGGCTTACCCGCCGGTGCCAAGAAGGGCGTCAAGTCCATCTCCTTCGGGAACGAGACCGGGTCGTCGCGTTTCTTGAGGTTGACAAAGGCAGAGCCGAAGAGGGACGACTTAGACGTCTGCATGAAGCGCTTGAGGTGGATGACGAGGACCGGGGGGAGGTCGGTGGGCGAGATGAGGTAGCGCTTGTGTGCGCGGCGGAGGATCTGCCGCTGCTTCTTGGGCGGAGGCTTGGTCGGGCGCGAGTGGCCGTGGAGCGGCTGGAGGGATGGCGACGCGCCCGAGCCAGCGGGCGGAGGCGGAGGCGCGAGAGAAGCGGCGGACGACGGGGCAGGCGAGGCGGCGAGTCCACCAGGACGCTCGTTCTGCGGGACCGCAAGCGAGCCAGTAGACGGTGCGGTCGATGCCGCAGCGACAGCCTGGACGTTCTCGACCGTAAGGGGCAGCTTCTTGCCCTCCGTGCTGGGCAATGCGCCGAGACTGCCGCTCAGACTTGCGGCGTCATCGAGGCCGGGCGATGTGTTGTCCTCCTCGTCTGTAGTCGTCTCGAACGCTTCAGACGAGATGCCACCCTCGTAGTCTGTCGAGATGGAGACGGCGTTCGAAGTCGCGGCAGACGAGATGGAGAACGAGCGCATCGGAGCCCCCGACTTGGCGGTAGTGGTCGTCGGAGAGACGGGAGGAATCGAAGTGCCGTTCGTCGAAGAGGCTGGGACGGCTGCCTCAATCGGCTGGATGGGTGGGATCTCCTCGAGCGGGGCGAAAGCCGGGACCGCCTTGGGCGAGTGAGCTGGCGTGTTGCGCGCCGTGACATCGGCCGGGTCGCGCTCGTCATCGCTGTCCTCGTCTTCGCCGGCGAGCGCGTGACCATTCTGACCCGCAGCGTGACTGTCGCCGGCAACGAGTCCCTTCTTCGCCGCCCTCCTCGCCCTCCTCCGCTCCTCCCTCTCGCGCTTCTTCCTCGCCCGCTGCTCCTTCCGCTTGGCCTCCAAATCCGGGTTCAACCACTTCCAGCAGTTCCTGCACGCAAACGAGTTCTCCCCCTCGAGCACCTCGACGCTCGTAAACTGCCTGAAGCACTCGAACAGGTCCGTGTTCTGCCAGTCAACGGCGGGAGCGGCGATGCGCAGCTTCGACAGCGACGATGTGGTTGAGCTGATCGAGTCCTGCGAGTGGGCGGGAGTGCCGGTCGGTGCTGGGACGGCGGGAGGCGCAGAAGAGCCGGGAGGACGGGCGACGCGAAGACCAGGCGGGAGACCCTGGGTGGCCGTGGGGCCGGGGATGTCGACAAGAACCTTCTTGATGTACGCGACCTGCTCAGGCGTAGGCTTTGGGATCTTGGGCCGGCGGTGGAAGTGGAAATGGTGGTGGTGGGCGTGGTGCGAGGAGGACGAGTGCTGCGCGTCCTTCTCGCCCGACCCGTTACTCAACATCGAAAGCGCCCGTCCAAGCGGCGACGCATCGCGCGAGCTGGTCCTCGTCTCGGCGCTCCGCTCGCCCGGTACTTGCAGCGACGCGTCCCTCGCCGTCTCACGCGACAACCTCGACGGGTCAAGCGAGTTCCGCCTCGACCTCGCTCCACCTCCCGCCGTCCTGTCCATCCTCGGACGGATGTGGTCCTCATCCGTCTCGTCCGCCTCGGAAGGAGACGCACTCCCCTCGTTTTCGCTGAGCGAGACACGCTCGCGACGGATGCCGTTCGGTGCGGTCTTGATCGAAGGGGGCTCTTTCGAGCTGCTGTCGTCGCCTGAGCTTGCAGTCGACTTGCCCGACTTGCGGGAGAAGAAGCCGGCTTGAAGGGTACGACGGATCCGGTCGCGCTGTAAGACGCGAAGTGGATCAGCAGTCGGGGGTTGAAAGAAGCCAATGATGACGCACCTTGCGCATGCGGTTCGTCGTCTCGTCCTTCAGCGAGAGCGAGATGTCCATGAAGTCCTCCTTCGTGAGCGAGACTGCGTCGTGACTTGCGTCAGCTACCAGCGACGAGCGGAGAGAGACGCTGCACGCACCATTCTTGCACTCGTCGCAGATAATAAAGCTCGCAAGCTTGCCCTCGAAGATGCTCCCCACGAACGGTCTCAACGTGCGTTTCTTCCGCTGCCTTTCCGTCAACCTCGTCTCCTCGACATCCGACTCCGCATCGCTGCTGCTCGACGACGAGCTCGACGCAGAAGACGCGTCAGACTCGTCGCCCGAGTCTTCTTCGGACTCGGAGACGATGGCTTGGTCGGGAATGGGTGTGGAGTGGTCGGATGGGCGGACGGTTTCGAGGCGTTCGTGCATCGATGGGCGGTGAGGGAGGGTATCGGGAGTCGCTTCGAGGATCTTCTTGATGAGCTGTGCAGCAGCAAAACCATGGCTGATGATCAGTTTCTTGCCCTTCGCTTTGGAACCGACCAAAGTGCGCAACTTCGCCGACGCACATCCTGTTCCTCCATCATGACTCCATCAATCACATGCCTCAGCAGCTCATGCGAATCCTGCTGCGTCGCTTCCGCATACTCCTCGTGCTTCAAGCTAAGCTGCCTGAGCAAGCTCTTCGGGTTGAACGCCTTCTTGCCCTTCGGTTTCGCGTCCTCGTCTTTGCCTGTCGGGTCGAGCTTGTCGAGCAGGACGAGGAGGGCGGCTGTCATAGGCAGGGGCGAGGGGAGCGCGTCGAGGTCCGGGTTGTAGGCGGGAGAGGAGGGGGAGAGGACTTGGAGGGCAGGAGAGGAATCGGGCGCCGCATTGATGATGTCGCTGAGCGGCTGAGTGGCGGAGAGTGACTGGACAATCGTGTTGTAGAAGCAGCTGCAGCAGGACGAGCGTGACAGATTCAGCAAACGATGCTCGACTGCCCGCCACTGTCTCCGAAGTCCGGATCCCGCAACACCCAGCGAACAGAAGCGAGCAAGCCGCGCAGAGTGTACTCACGAGTTGCCCAAGTTGACGAGACCGACGCTGCAATGCGGGGACCCATGTCAGCGTCGGTTCATGCGCTCAGTCAGGAGCGGACAGTCCCCCCAGCCATGGCGGCGCAAGTCGGGCGGGTATGAGGATCCAAGGGAGGCGCGAACGCACTGGAATATGTCGCGGACGATCTCGTCCTTGACGGACGACGAGGTGCTGGCATTGGAGCCGCGCCTGACGCCGAAGGAGGGGAGTGCGATGGAGGAGCGACGGCGCATGGTGATCCGCCCGCCGTGCGCTACTGGTGTGCGGCCTGGACTTCGAGAGTACTGGAAAGTGTCAGTAAGCTGCGTCCACGCCCAACGAGCGTCGTCTCGCCGTCCGACAACAATCCCGCCCGTTCGAAGCGATGAAGTCGTCCTCGGATTCCCCGCCGCTCCGCTGGAGCCTTGCAAAGACTGGCATGGCTGCACAAAATTGACTCGAGTGCTTACCGAGTGTACCGGTGTCGCCCTGAGCTGTGCAGTTGACCTCCGACGAGCCGGGTCGAGAGGAGAGCGGCCGAGTGTGGGTTGGGAGGTGGTTGCGGAGAGTGCGGCAGTTGTGGGTGCTTGCCGGTCTGACGGGAGGCTAGCAAATGCGGCAGCAGTCGACCAGCTCAGCAGAATCGCAGCAGCCGCGAGAGTGCGTCAGCGAGAGAGAGAGAGCCAGGCGAGGAAGACAACTCGCCAACTCTCGCAGGAGACGGCTGGCTGGGCTGACTATCTCTCGAACTACTTCAGGGCCAGATCTCAAACTCAGCTTTCAATCAGCGAGTGTTGGCTCGGACGATGTCGTCGTCGTTGCGGAGGAAAGGCATCTCTTGCTTCGTCCGCTCGCTCCTTCAGCAGCTGAAGACCGTTCCTGGCTGCACCAAGGCCCATTTACTTCACGTGAACGACCCACTGCTCAGCCAGTCTCGCCCACGTCCCTCCCGCTCCGATCCCCCGCTTCTCCTCTTCGGATGCCTCTCCTCTCGCTCGCACGCCGGCTGCAACGATGACACAACGCGAAGGAGACCCCAACTTCCCTACGAATCTCGACATTGCACCGTCGACGCCTGGCGCGCTGAGACTCGGAGGTCGAGGGAGGGGAGACGAGGCGGAACGGAATGAGGATGACGGTGAGTATGCTCGAGTGCCTCAGCATTGATCTCTGACTGTTAGAGGCATGCGTTGATGCGAATCTGAGCGACGCAGCCCCGCAGGACATCGAGGGTTTCGGGATCGCAGGAAGGTGCGTACTTCGAGGACAGGCTTGCCTGCTACCATCTTCCACTTCTGAGGTCTAGGTGGCTGCCGCTGACCTTGGAACATCCACAGAACCTGGGAAGCCGCCTATCTCCTTCGCGCCTACCTCACCCCTCCTCCGCCAGCCGATTCGCTCTCTTCTTTCCTCTTCGACCCGCCTTGTCCCCTCTACTCCTCGACTGAACCCGGCTCGCGACCACCCGTACGCACGATACTCGAGATTGGCTCCGGCACAGGCTATCTCTCGCTCGCACTTGCGCCTCATCTCGCTTCGACGGATACGCTCGTCGCAACGGATCTCGACAACGTCTCTCCCTTACTCGAGAAGAACCTCGCTGCTGCACAAGTTCGATGGCGTTGTCACAATCAGTCAGCAGATCGAGCGACAGTCCTTGTCCGTCCGCTACCTTGGGGCGACTCGTCCTCCCTCGCCCGCCTCATCGCAGAAGGCCTTCACCCCTCGATCATCCTCGCCTCCGACCTCGTCTACTTCAAGTTCCTCTATGCGCCGCTGCTGCGGACGCTCATTGGCTTGACGGGGAAGAGGGAGGAGCGAGTCACGGTGATCTTCTCGTATAAGGTCAGGAGTCTGGTCAAAGAGCAGCCGTTCTGGGAGGCTTTCGGTGCGTGTCGCGAGAGCTGTCCAACCCGTGAACTAAGCGCTGATCCTGCTCGAGACAGGACGATGGTTCAGGCTCGAAGCGGTGCAAGTTGGCACTCGACCCTCGCCTCCTCCGTCCGAGTCGACCACTCTCTCCGACACCGCATCTTCCACTGCATCGCCTCCATCTCCCCCTCTTCCGCTCGTCTGGACCCGCTTCGGCGCCGCCACGCCCTCGTCGAGTACGCCGAACGAGACAGACGAACTCTACGTCTTGATCTGCCACCGACATCCGGAAACGGAGCAGATCGGGATGGAGGATCTCGACAACGTGAGCGACAACGACTTGCTGCAGGGTCGAGGAGCGGGGCGAGGAGTTGAGGAAGGAGCGGGACAGTTCGAGGAGTTGCTGCTGAATGGGCTCGAGTGGGACTAGGCAGCTTCGAGGTCAAGCTGGCTCTCAGGTTTGAATAGAACCGCGACAACAAGATAGATTCACAGCACTGCATACGGATTTGCGAGTGATACAAGCACTGAGCGAGAACCAATAAAGAGGGTTCCGGGATACATTTGCCTCCTCCTCACTTGATCTGCCTCTTCCGCGCCTCGGCCAGCGAATCCTTGATCTGGTCGATGTACTTGCCGAGGAGACCGCGGGTCGCCTCGATCTTGGCGGCGGGGATGGCGAGCTGCTCCTCCTCCGCACGCTTCCACCGCCCGTTCGCGAACGTGTCCTCCCCGTCCTCGTACGCCTCGTCATCCTCCTCGGCATCGCGGTACCCATCCTTCCTAACCTGCGAGACGTTCGACGACCGCCTCGACAGCTTGCGACCCAGCATCGCGCCGCCAATCTTGCCCGCCGCAGGCTTGTCCTCCTTCTCGACCTCGCGGTACGCCTCGCCCGCACTCTCCCGGTGCGCCTTGACGACACCGACCTTGTCCGCAGCGCCGAAAACGTCCTTGCCGGCCCACCACGCCCATTCGAGGTCTCCACCCGGACCCATCCGAGTCTCCAGCCCCTCCGGCTCCCTGACAACCTCCTCCTGCGGTAGCTGCGCCAAGAAGTCCTGCCACAGTGCCTCGCGGTCGAGCTTCCACTCCCACGACTGCTTGCGATCGCCCGCGTCGGCCTGCAGCAAGTCGATCCGCAACTGCATGTCGGTTTGCGCCTTCTTGAAGCGCGTCCATTTGACTTGCGACCGCACTTCGCGCAGGATCTTCTCGCGCTTCTTCGGGTTCGAGGGGAGGAGGGCGTCGAGGTCGACGCCTGCGCGCTTCGAAGGCGAGTCGTGCGAGGCTGAGCGCGAGGGAGGGATGCCGGAGCGGATGAAGGAGAGGCCAGAGCGCGACCAGTCGAGGAGCGGGTCGAGGAGGTGCTCGTTGCCCGTGGCCTGCGTGTGGATCTTCGTCAGCATGCGAGCAATGATCGGGGACAGTATTCGGCACGCACAAGCTCGCGGACGAAGTAGTAGACCTTCTCGTGGTGCCGGCGCGCGAGGTTGATAAAGTCGGCGCGCGTCATCTTGCCCGTCTCGCAGCACTTGATCATATCGTCGAGGAAGTACTGGATGTCGCCAACTCGCTCGGACAGCTTGGAGGCGTTGGCGACGTCGTGGATCGTCTGGTAGAATGTGGCGATCGAGGCGTGCAAGAGGCGAGGCGTGTTGGCTTCCAGCGCGATGGCGAGGACCTGCTCGCGGTCGCGGTACCGGTAGTAGGCGCTGCACGTGCTAGGCTCAGTGTCTTGCTTCTCCCTTGAGACCGGCGAAGACTCACGCGAGCAGCTCCTTCAGATCAGCGAAGCTCTTCGCGCCACTCGAGTGCGTCGGGTCGCCGCCCGACTCGACAAAGTCTTCGTGCCAGCCCTCCACAAGCTCGTAGTCTCGCTGAGAGCCGCGTTCGCGAAGGATGGTCAAGACGATGTCCTCGTCGCGGTCGACTGTGAGAGAGCGATATGTCAACGACTCGAACTGTTCGAGAGTGCATCGGTCGATACGCACGCGCTTCCTTCTTGGTCTTCTGGCGCTGCACATATCCCTCCTGGACGTGCGCGTGCAAGGCGTCGCAAATCGAGTCGTGTCCGAGCTGCTTGCGGAACTTTTCGATGAGCTTGCGCTGGTGGCGGTTGGCGGCGTTGCAGACGATCTGCCAGATGCGCTGGAAGAGCGAGAGCTGGCCGGCGGGTTGGCCGAGGAGAAGCTGGACGATCGCTCGGATGGCGCTGCGCAAGGGGCGAGTGTCAATCTAGCTGAGTGAAGCTCGGCGAAGGAGAAAGAACGCACAGTGTGGGGTTGACGAGACTCAAACCAAGCTTGATCGGTCCGTAAGGGATAAGAGAGTGGAAGCTGTGAGGCAGCAGGTCAGCTTAACCGCCCGTAGAGGTCGACTTCGGAAGCGACGCGCCTCTTGAGGATGTTCAAGATTTCGGGACCGTTGACGGAACCCGCGAAGATGTAGCTGCGAACGGTAGGACGTCAGCTACGTCTGTCGAACCGGGCAAGCTAGAGCGGGACGCACTGCAACATCCCGGCGACCCAAATCGTCGCCCACTCCTCCGCATCCCGGTATTCGGCAGGAAGCGACGACGTCTGCGCGACCCTCCTGACCTGCGCCATCGACTTGTCGATCTCGTCTGTCGCCGCACACGAGTTCATCAGCAATCGCTCGATAGCGAAGGAAAGACTAGGCGCCACGCACCGCCCTCGATCAACGCCTTGCGATAGTTCGCCCATGTCGTCCTCAACTTCTTGACCTTCCTACCCATCTCAACCCACCTGACATGCTTCTTATCGTCCTTGTCCTCCTCTTCCTCCCCGCGCCTAACCCACTCGGCCAAATCCCGTCCCGAAATCTTCTGGTTGCTCGACGAGCCGAGAAGGAACGATTCGAGTTTCTCGCGGGCGGAAGTGAGGGCTGGAGAGCCTTCGAGCGAGGGCGGAGGCGCGGAGAGGGTGATGACGAGGAGGCGGAGGTAGCGCTGGATTGTCTGGCGGGAGGGAGGAGTCGAGGAGGAAGCGTGAGGGAGGAGTGGGAGGTCGAGCCTGTTCTGCGGATCGAGCGAGGCGAGCGACGAGGCGAAGGACTGGATGGCAGGCCAGGATTGAAGGGCATGGTAGAGGGGCTGTCCCGGCGCGACAACGACGCGCGAGACGATGCGGAAGGCCTGTGGCATCTCAAAAGGGTCAGCGCGAGGAATCGCGCAAGCACAGAGAGTGAACGCACCGTCCCTCCCCTCTCCTCCTTCTCTTGCACGACCGCAACCCACGCGTTATACCCGACCCTGCGGTCGGGGAACAGGATCTTCCACATGTTGTCCATGCTACCGGGTACGAGTAGGTCGATCTTGCGCATCATCGAGATGGTCGGGCGGGCGGGCGCGGAGGGACCGAGAGGGCGGTAGCAGGTCGAGTAGTAGGTGCCGAGGACGCGGACGAATCCGAGCGAGAGCATGCGTCTGTCAGTGGTAGCGTTAGCTTTACTCGGAGGAGGGGGGAACACCAGACGCACCGCTTTGTCACTTCACCGCGCTCGACTGTCGAACTCAGGTCGCGCTCGGCGAACGAGTCGAAGAAAGGCTGGATGTTCTCTTGCCAGTACTCGAGCTTGGCGTTGCGCAGGCCAGGCATGTTGTAGAGGAAGCTGCGGGTGGAGAACGTCAGTCCGACGCAGGAAAGAGGGAGAGAGCGAGGGCAACTCACCGCCAGTACAGGTACTGACAGATCGGGCTGTCCTCGACATCCTCCTCGTCCCACCTGTACCCCTCAAACGCCGGATCACGCTTCTCCGCGCCGCCTCCGAGCAGCCCAAACAACCCTCCCTTCGCCTCCTCCGCTCGTCGAGGCTTCGAATTCGGACCCGTCGCGACCGACAAAAACGGGTTACCATACCGCGTCAATGTGCCGACTTGCGAGAGGGCGCTGAACTCTTTCTGCATCTGGAGGTTGATGAGGATACGAGAGAGGTAATGCCTGTCTTGGGGCGTGAGGGAGAGGGGGTCCTCGTCGTCGTTGCGCGAGGGAAGGTCGTTGTTGTACGGTCGGGAGGAGGACTGCGAGTAGGGGCGAGTCGGAGGAGAGGAAGGAGCAGCGGCAGGAGGAGGAGGAGAGGCAGCGCTCGTGCGGCTGCGACTGCGCGAGCGAGTCCGACTGAGCGGTCGCTCCTGGTACTGCGGCGGAGGCGAGATGTAGCCGTCTCCGCTTCTCGACGATGTCGGCGAAACATGGTTGCGAGGCTGTGAGTGCGCCGCCCCGCCGTTCACGTTCAAAGCAGCCATCTCCGCTTCAAAATCGCGAGCCGACTTGGACTTTCTGCGGACGAGTTTGCGAGGGCCCGAATGTTTCGGCGAAACGGGTGGCGACTTGGGCTTCTGGAGTGTCGGAGAGACGGGCTGTTTGGCGGCAGAAAGGGAACTGCGGCGATGAGGAGCGGAACGAGGAGGAGGTCGGTGGTCTCCTTCTTCGTCGGCGTCGTCGTCGTCCTGGTCGTCAAAGTCCTTGACGGGGATAGCAGAGGGCGAAGGAGGGGCTTCGAAGTCTTCGGTGAAGGTCGAGGACTTGGGTCGAGCGTGGCGAGAATAATCGACGATTTGGGGGCCGTTGCGTCCGTCGAGCGGGGACGCTGCCTGTTAGTCGGTCGTTCGGATGAGTTCTGCGTGCAAGACAGAAGAACCAGAACGTAGATACGCACGAGGAAGTGCCTCTGCCCGGTCTCCTCAACGTCGCCGCTCTGTCCGTTGACCTCCCCGTCCTCGTCCTCCTCCGCCGTCCTGTACCGCGAGCTCGAGCGAGACTTTTTGCGTGAAGGGCGTCGTGGCGGTTGCAAGTGCTGCTCGTCTTGGTCGTCGTCTCGGGGTAACCTCGCCGACTTCACCCCCACCTGGTCGTCGCGGTCTTCGAGCGGCGGCGAGTGCTGGGGAGTCGAGCGTGCCGACTTGATGGGCTTCGAGTAGTCGATGAATTCGCCCATCTCGGCGTCGAGTTCGGACGGACGGAAGAGCTGGCAGCGATGTAGCGGAGGGGAAGAGGAGAGGCCGAATGGAATACAAAGTTGAAGATTACGATTTTGTATTCCCGTGTTTGTATTCCTTTGTCTCTCCCTCATCACTTCCCCCTGTCCACTGCGTCGCGTCGCCTCCTGGATTCTGGCTGTTCTCCCCCCTCACACCCACGCTCGAGCTCACCACGCCCGCCATGGCTGGCAGGAAACGCGCAGCATCGCCCTCGGCCTCGCGCTCGCCTTCGCCCAGCGCAGAGAAGCAACCTCGCTTCCACTTCCCCTCCGTCCGCCGCAACGAACCCCTCATCGACTCATACACCTACCACTCGGTCGACGCAGAGCGTGAACAGGCGGAGGGACAGGCTGGTGCGGGCGAGGACGCGAACGAGGTGGAGGAGAAGCGGGACGTCGAGGGCGAGTGGATGCTGGGCGTCGACGAGGCAGGTCGAGGACCGGCGCTCGGTGAGTCGGCAGTCCAGCGCACTCGCAAGGCTGTCTTGCAGGCTAAGGAGCCAGGCGATGATCGAACAGAACCCAGCTGACTCCTACGGTTTCTCCTCGCAGGTCCGCAAGTATACGGCATCGCGTTCTGCCAGCTCTCGTACGAGTCGACGCTGAAGGAGATGGGTTTTGCCGGTGCGTTCCCGTCCTCCCTCTCTCTCAGGACCATCCCTTTCGCCGAGCTGACCTCTCCCCCTCGTCACCTCGCGCAGATTCGAAGACCCTGACCGACCCGCTGCGAGAAGAGCTCTTCAAAGACATCCTAGAGCACAATGACGACGTCAAGTATGCGGTGACAGTCATGAGCCCGAACGACATCTCGATGGGCATGCTCAGGAAGGTGCCGTACAACCTGTATGTTGCGGGCGCTTTCTCTCTCGTTCGTTTGCCGACTATCGAGAGTCGCTTGCTGACTCTCTGGAACAATCCCTCCTGCACAGCAACGCGCAGAGTCACGACGTCACGATCAACCTGATTCGCGAGGTTGTCGAACGAGGGTACAAGGTCAAGCAGGTGTGTCGCGCTCTCAAGCCTGTCTTCTCGATCCGCGACACGTACGCCGACCGCTGACATCGTCTTGCGCGTGTTCGTAGTGCTTCGTCGACACCGTCGGACCCGCAGCCGACTACCAAGCCAAACTCTCCTCCTTCTTCCCCACCATCAACTTCACCGTCACCTCGAAAGCCGACGCCCTCTTCCCCATCGTCAGTGCCGCCTCGATCGTGGCAAAGGTCACGCGTGACCGGATACTTGAGGAGTGGTGTTTTGCGGAACCGGGGTTGGGAGGGACGGGAGAGGGAGAGGATGGAGAGGGAGATGCGGTGAGGGTATTCGGCAGTGGGTACCCGAGCGGTGCGTACGAATCCTCACTCGCCCACACCTGCGTCAGAGATCGGTCGCAAGGCGACGATGCTGACTCTCCGCTCTGCGCCACCACAGACCCAAAGACCGTCGCCTGGCTGCAAGACAACTTCAGCCCGATCTTTGGCTTCCCCAACGTCGCGCGTTTCAGCTGGGCGCCCGTCAAGAACGCGTTGCTCAAGAAGGGCGCGGCGTCGAAGTGGTACGTTCCGTCTTCTGTTCGCGAGTATCGTTGAGGGAGACTGAGCCGCTCAACGCCCATGCGCAGGGACGACGAGCCTGCGAGCATCCAGAAGTACTTCACGGGCAAGCCGGCAGGTCCGGAACAGGCGCCGCTGTGGAAGGACTTCAACCTCCTCTCGGTCGGCGAGTTCTGAGGGTTGCGGCATGATGTTTGGGCTCGTCAGCTTCCGCGGTCGGACGGGCGTGTTGTAAGTCCTGTTGTATTGCTACTCGCGCGCTTACAACCCTCGAGACGCCCTCGATCAGTGACAAGCTATGTGGGCACTTCGACTTGACCTTCCCAAGCTTGACTTCGCCTCGACTACTGCCTTGCCCGCAGCGCTTTCACGCTCAGTCAACGCCGCGTAAAACTCATGGAGCCGGGTGTGACGAGACGCACGCGGTATCGCGGTTCCGTCCAGTCACAGGATCGTCTCCTCGCGCACTTTCCGCCTCCCTCTCTTCCTCCGCCTCATCACCTCTTTCCCTTCGCTCGCTTTTCTCCATCCCGCGCACGCTCGCCACCGATGGCTAACACCGACGCGCCCGACGTTGCGCACACGCAGCCTCCTCCGCCCGTCAGCGCGCTCTCCCAGCTGGGTCCCTTCGCCCGCTTTCAGCGCTGGCTCGAGCAGAGCGACACGCTTGAGAAGCGGCATTTCGGCCTGATTTGGTGTCCCAACTACCCGTCTCCAGGTGAATGCCAGCACTGTGTCCTCTTGCATATGGGCGCACTCTCAGTCTACATCGTCTTCATCGTACTCGCCGGGACGACGGATCCTGAGCGTTTTCAGATGCTCCTTGCAGGTCCATGGGAGCTTACGGCGGCGCCCATCGTGCGTCTTATCGAGCTGGGAGTCCGGGCAGTTGCAGGAGCCCTCCTTTACATCCTCCTCATGCCGCTTACCCCCCTCTTATGGTGTGCTGTACTCGCCCTGCTCAGCTATGTCCTCTACATATACTTTGTTGTCCCATTCCTCCTTGTCTCTACTCTGTACTCGTGGGGATACTTGACATTCAAGATCCCCTACCTCCCGCCGCGCTTCCAGCGCGTCTTTGACGCCCTACTTCTACCACATGCGGCCTGGATTCTCGCTCAGCTCGCGATGCCCAACTGAGTCCGCCATCGCGACAGGCGTCGACCTCTGGCTCAAGTACCTCGCGGTCACCGCGCTCTTCGACGTCCACGTTCTTCCTCGCCTGCTCAACGCCGCCGTGGTGCTCGAACGGTGCCTTCAGACGACACAACAGAGGTAGCGTGGGTCGAAATTGCCGGTGTTTGGAGATTTGACAAAGTAATCGCCTTCCTCCCGCCCCTCCTTCGCCCTTCCTGTCCTTCCTCCGTCCGCCCTCCCTGTCCTGCGTATCACCAGCTGCCCTGTCGGCCCTCCAATTGACGTCCCAAGTACCCTAGCCGCCGGCACGCCTTGAGGGAAAACATTGAATGCTTCTTCTGCCTCGCAACCTTGCCAGACTTGAGTCTTCCACCGACTGTCAGCAGCGCAAGCGAACCTTGACCGCCTCGGAAAGGAGGAGGACAGCAGAGCGCGCACAAGCTCGAGCGCGGAAGTGTCGCGGTTCCGTCCAGAACGGTCACGCTCCCGCCTCGCCTCGTCTCTTCTTGTCCTCTCACACACCGTGCTCCGCTACACGACGCGCTATGGGACAGACTGCTCGAAAGCCCTCCGCTACTCCTGCTTCTGTGCCAGCAAACGCTCCTCCGCCGGCGACTCCCGTTCCGGCGTCCGTCACCTTGTCGCCTACCGCGGGCTTCTTCTCTCAGATCCTGAGATGGCTGGAGCAGCACAACACAGTTGAATGACGATGGCATGCGGTGCTGGCTGTTTTGGACACCTTGATGAACGGAAAGGACGAGGCGGACTCAGAGTTGCTTCTGGCTCTCCTCAGTCTGACCGTCCTACTCGCAATCATTGCTGGGGTAGTCTGCTTTGTTGATTCAGGCGCACTCACAGACTTCGTGGGCGGAGTCATCTCCTACGAGTACTGGGGCAACTTCGGCGCACCGCTCACCGCGGCCATCGAACGCGGAGCTGGCACGCTCCTGCACTACCTCGTGTCTGTGCCGCTTGCTTGGATCATCTGGTCAGTCGGCGCAGCGGTCCCTGGAGCCCTTTTCCTTGTGTACGGCTTTGTTCCCCTCTCCCTCCTCATCTCGGCCTATTGCTTGGGCAACTTCGCTCTCCCCTGCATCCCTTTCCTCCCTCTTCCATTCCAGCGCGTCCTCGACGCCCTCGCCTTTCCGTACATCGCTTGGAGAGCTCTCGAGCGCTTTGCACCACTCGCCCCGTACAAGTCGTATACGGATCTCCTCCTCTTCTACGTCGCCTTCACAGCCTTCTTTGACATTACCCCTCTCTGGGACCTCCTTGCTGCTGCCGCTGATCGCGAAACCAAGGCGGCGCAACTGGCGGCTGTCAAGGACTTGGCGACCGAGGCTACGGAAGAAGGAGTGAAGGATCGCGGAGCTGTGAATGTCAAGGCCTCCAAGACGGACCCGGCAGCTGCGAAGCTGCACACTGCCGGTAGAAAGGGCGCAAGCACTTAGCCTTGCGCTCCACTCCTACAGCACGCAGCGGTTTCCTCGTTTCTCGACGCCCTCTGCACCTCAAAAAGCCGTCTCCGTTTCCTCTGTCCAACACACACCCTTTGCAATCACCCCGCCTCTAGTAACATCCCTATCAAGACGCCTCATGCCCAATCAACCTGCACAGAGACGTTGCTCAGCTGCGAATCGCTCAGGACAAGTCGACCTTCGCAACTTGCCTTGGCCCGTTGCAAAGACTGTTGCAGAGCGTCCGAATTGAGCGAGCGGCTGTTAGAGAGGTCAGAAGAGGATGTAAGGGAGGGAGGCGGCTGGTCGCAGTCTCGTCCAGCGAAGATCGTCGACGAGTCCCGCCTCCCGCTCCGCTTTTCGCATTCCTCTCTCCGTCTCTCGCTCTTGTTCCTCCTTCTCGCGGCATAAGTCTAGTTCCACACTCTACGACGACCATGGCAGGCAGCTACGCCCGTACAGACACCGCATCCGCGACCTCTGCATCCAACTCAGACGACGCGGTCACTCCGCCCACCGAGCAAGCCGTGGCCTACGCCTGGAGGCTAAAGCGCTGGCTTGAGCAGAACGACACGATGGAAAAGCGCACTGAGCGACTCGTCTGCTTCCTTCACGTCGAGCCAGCGGAATTGGGTTTCTCTCTGTTCATCTCCGTCTGCTGCAACCTTGCTTTCGCAATTGTGTTGGGCGTAGGCTGGGCCACAAACCCAGAGTTCCGGGACAGCCTGCTGCAGCTGACTTGGGAAAGGGCCGCTCTTACCATACAGGACGGCCTGAGGCGAAGCGTCCTCTTCCTCCTCGACCGGATTATCCTCCCACAGTTCCCGGCTCTCGTCACGCTCGCCCTCGCACCGGTGGCACTCTGGATATCGTACTGCGCCATCGGTATCCCTACCATCCTCCTCTGCTCTGCATACGGCTTCGGCCATCTCACCATCCCCTTCCCTTTCACCGGACCTGCTCCCCTCCAGCGCGTCTGGGACGCCGCCTTTGTTCCTCTCGTTGCCTGGCGCCTCCTCGTCCTGCTCGAACCCCTCGCACCTCTCTCACTCTACGCCAATACCCTCATGCTCTACCTCGCCGGCACGGCCTACTTCGACGTCCAACCCCTCGCGCGACTCCTCGACCTCGCTATCGAGCTCGAGCACCACTTCAAGAACGGCAGGCTCGGGAAGGGCGGTGATGCGGCGGCGAAAGAGTTGAAGGAGGACGAGCCGGATGGCAAGCTGAGACAGCTGGAGGCAGAAGTCGCCTTCCTGAAGACGCAGCTCGCGGTCAGGACGGCGAAGGATCCGAAGGCGAAGAAGGGTAGCGCGAAAGCGTCGCAGTAGGCGAGAGGCGGGGCGGCGAAAGTATCGAAAGTAGCGAGTAGCGAATTGTACCCCTCCTTCCTCCCTTCGTAGCATCCCTGCAGTGAGCTGAAACAACACGAGTTACATCCCAACACCTACAGCGTGATGACTCACAGCAACGGATTCTTGATGGCCCTGCGCGTGAGTCTCCGCCGCCTCGACTGCGCCCAAACCGGTCCTTTCTCGCCCTGCACGAACGGGGTCGTCGAGCGTGTGCCGTCCAGGTGGAGGTAGGTCCATCCTTCTGCGCGCGCGCGAGCGGGGTGTCAGCGAGAGACAGGAGAATCGAAGGGAAGTGAGACGAAAGCGCACCCGTATCGACCGCCCCATCCGAAGGCGTCGCGTCCTCCCACTCGCCCAACCACCTAAACCCGCTCGGCAGTTCTCCTCCCACAACCGCCTCGACTTGCCACGCCGCCTCGACCGGCGCCCCGGGAACCCTCGTCTCGACCTCTATCCTCTGCACCTCCACGACCTCCATCTCGAGCTCCTCGTCATTCAGCGCGTCGTCCTCCAACAACTTGCGTACGAGCTTCGAGCGCTCTTTGGACGAGGCCGAGAGGTAAGGCGCGAGCGAGGCGAGGAAAGTTTGTACGATTGGGTGGCCGAGGAAGAAGGTTGATTCGCCTGCGACGAAGAAGACGAGGCGCCAGGGTACGAAGGGGGCGGCGAAGGCGAGGACGAAGGAGGAGACGATTGCGAGGTGCAGGGCGGCGCGGGTCAGGCGCTCGTCCCGCCAGGTCAGGAAGGGGACGGTCGAGCGAAGGAGGTCGGACAGGTCCGCGACGCGGCCCATCATGATCTGGATGTTTTGCTGCGTGCCCGTCATTGCATCCGTAAGCTCACCGCCCTCTCTCCTAGGTCTCGGCACGTCCCTCGGGAGCGTCGACTCACCAAATTCGCCAAATAATCCACCGACCCCTCACTCGGCGGCTCCCTCGCCAACGCCGTCGGCCCCTCCTGACTCTCCGGCGCCTGTCCGGTCGCCCTCTTTGCCTGATACGTCGCGAGGAGGACCGAGACGAGCACGACGTTGGGAAGGAGGATAATCAAGGAGGGCCAGTAGCCTGCGCGCGACTCCCCTTCCCGGTCAGCGTGCAAGAGTGAGGGAGGAGAGAGAAGGAAGGAACGCACAAAGGAAGCCCCAGCAAGCAGCGAAGAACAACGTCTTTGCCGGATCTTCCCACCTCAAGACACTCTCGACCGCATCCTGCGCGACAAAGATCGGGCCCGCCTTCTGGACGAATCTGCGCGTCCATCACGTAGCAGAGTAACCGTCAGCAGCGTCCTGGAGAGAAGGAGCCGGGACGGCGAAGTGGGGAGCAGCAAGAGGATGGACTGGCACGCACCGCCTAAAGTTGACCGAAGTAGTCTGCAAGCTCAGCGCCTCCTTACTCCCCTGCACTGTTCACCCTCCCTCCTGATCAGCGCGCGCAAGGGGAGAGCGAGGGGAGGAGGGACGCACCCGTTGTCGGCGACCCGGCTTTGAGGACTGCGCCGACGAGGAGGTCGTCGAGGTTCGTTAGGGAGCGGAGAGAGGGGAAGGTAGGGCCTTTGTCGGGCGCCGAGGGTGCGGCAGGCGCGGCGGGGGCTGACATCGCGCAGTGAGCGGAAGGAGAGAGCGAGAGGAGGATGACCTCGCCGAAGTTCACAGTCGCTCGCTCGCTAGTCTCGCGCGGACAACGATCAAGGTAGGAGAGAACGCAGAACGGTCCATTGCCAAGAGCGCGAATTAGGTACACAGAAGAGAAGAGAGAGAGAAACAGAAGGGAAACTATCTGTATGAAGAAGGGAAGCGGAGCGACACCGAAGCCTTCCGCTAACCCTGACACGCGCACTTGGCCGCCCTCGCCGCACCCAGCTCGCCCTGCAGCGCCTCATTGAGCTGCTTGAGCCTGTCAATCTCGTCCTTCAACTCCTGGATGTACGCGGCCTTCCTCGCGCGACTCCTGCGCGCCGCAAGCGTGTTCGAACGACGCTTGAGCTCGATCGCGGCCAGCTGGTCGTCGTCGAGGTTGTCTTCGTTGATCGGCTCGGGCTGGGCTTGAGGCAACTCCGGCTGAGGGGCGGGGGTGACGGAAGCTTCCGAGCGAGCGCGTTTCGAGACGGACGCAGCGACCTTGGCCGACCCAGCGCGCTTCTTGCTCGTCGCCGACTCGGTGAGGTAGTTCTTCGGCAGCGTCGGGGCGTCGTAAGCGACCGGTGGTTTCTTCGTGTTGCGAATGCCGGTGAACTTGTCGCGCTTGAACGGCTTCTCCTCGAGCGACGCCGCGGCCTCCTTCTTGATCTGCGCAGCGGTTTTGCGGCGCTGAGCGGCCGTCTGGGCGGGAGTGGACTCGGCCGAGGGGACGTCGAAGAGGGTCGACTCGGTGCGTGCGAGCTGGACCGGCGACGACGATGACGACGGGATGACGGGCTTGATGTCCTCCATCATCGGCGCGGGTGCAGGCGCGAACGACGGAAGCGGTGGGAGCGACAGTCCAATCGACGACGCCAAGGCAGCGAGGTCGATCCCGCCTGCGCCGGCGAAAGCGGCCGACGGCGCGGGCGCAAAGAGGCTCGGCATGTCGTTTGCGACGGACGCGATCGGGTACGACTCGACGAGGGGCGAGTCGAACGACCCGTCGAGGAGGGGCGAGGTGAACTCGGACCCGGACGATGCGGGGTTGCCAAAGTCGAACGGCGAAGTCGCGAACGACGAGGCGGGCGAGAGCTCGAGGTCGAGAGGCGAGTCGAGGAGCGAGTCGTCGACGGGTCGGAGGCCCGAGAAGGCGTTGCTGAAGGCCGACGAGGGTTGCTCGTGGGCGGGGACGGCGACCGACGCGTCGTTGGTCAACGACGAGAAGTCGAGGAAAGCCGAGAGGTCGGCGGCGGCCTCGTCTGTGGGGAGTGAGAGATCGCAAGTGAGTCAACGAGCCGAGCGAGCGAAGGCCGGGTGGAACTCACCGAAGGAGCCCTTCGACGGGGCCTGCTGAGGGGCAAACAGTTGGGTGTACTGGTTCATGGATCGGGGCATGTTGCGGGTGTGGGTGGCAGCGGCCTGTGCGATGGTGGGCGAGTCTAGGGTTCGGATTCGGGGGACGGGCTCGAGGGTGCGGGCTGTTTGGCTGGCGGTTGTTGCTCGGGGAGGTTGGGGGTGGTGGACGACATCTCTACGACGTTGTTACTGGGTTGGTAGGCTGTTGTGTGGTGCGAGGGGGTTCCTTGATGGGGACTTGTTGTCTGCGAGGAGGTGATAGCGAGGGAGAGTGAGCGGGGGTGTGTGCGTGCGAAGTTTTCACGGGGGTAGGTGGACTGACTCGTTCGTTGCTTGTTGTTGTTTGGGTGTGTGCGCGTGTTGACTGTGGCTGATTTAGAATGCCATGGTTGCTCGGGTGTGCTGGGTGTAAGTGAGTGAAGAAGAAAGAGAGAAGAGAGAGGCGAACCCGCGCGGTGCGAGCAAAGATTGCCCTGTGCCCGCTCGAGTGACGTGGCACAGCCCAGTTTCGCACGGTCCCCACTCGCTCGATCGCCTCCAAGCCGAACACTGTGCCGCGCGAGTCAACCAGCTCCGCCTGCTAACACCGCGCAACCCACTCGCATGCTAACACGGCTCATCTGCGCACTCGCACTCACCACAACATGCCACACTCACCCACTCGAACACCCCGCCCAACTCACCTTCAGTCGCGGTGATAACCCACACACCGCTCAGCAACCCGACGCATACCCTCCCACAGGCTCGGACTGGCCATACCGCCCGCTGCCGTGGGGAGACGTAAACATCCTCAGCACAACAGACAGTGCGTCCCCAGCGCCCACCGACGAGACGAGCGAGCGAGTTGAGCGTCGGATCCTCCGTTCGCTGATCATTCGACTTGCGCTTGCTCTGCGCACGCACAGCTCATGGCTGGCTGCTGGGACACTTGCGCAACGAGCCGAGCTTCAGCGGAGACTGGGGCGGTGAGCTCGCCCACTCTTCTCCTCCTCGAGTGTGCACGCTCAGCTCGCTTACTTGCTCTTCCTCGCCTCCTTGCTTCATACGTGCCTCGAATGCCCGTCACGCTACAGACTTCTACTCGTTCGTCCAGCGAATGAAGCACGAAGCGCGGCGGAGGTGCGCTCCCCGTCTCTCTCCTTCCTCGCTTTCCTGCTCCGCTCACTCGCAGCTCGTTCGTTCGTAGGGGCGTCGACCTCCTCCTCGTCGACTCGGGCGACCGTGTAGACGGCAACGGACTCGTCGACGCCGAGCCTCCTCCCCGCCCAAAGGGCTCCTCCGCACTCGAGATCTTCTCCAAGATGCCCTACGATGTCATCACGACCGTCCGTCTCCCTCCCTCTCTCTTTCTCCCTTTTCGTGGCTGACGGTGTTAATGAGCAGGGCAACCACGAGCTCTACAAGTATCCCGTGGCGTCGTACGTCTCTTCCGCCCTCTCGCGCGCATACGGCGAAAAGTGGGTCGTCTCGAACGTCAACATCACCCAGACCGACAAACGAGGGGAGGCGAGCGAGGTTATGATGGGGAACAGGGTGAGGAAGTTTGTCACGGAGAGGGGGAGGAAGGTGACTGCGATTGCGCCGCTGTTTGATTTCAAGGGTGCGTTGGCATGGTCGCCTCCTTCGCGTCTTCCTCTCCCTCGGGCAAGACTCGTGGATTGACGAACAACTTCGAAATGCGCACAGCCCACGCGCCGGGTATCACCGTCCAGTCACCCTCGCTCATGGTTCAAGAACCCTGGTTCAAAGAAGCCATCTCCTCCGCACCCGACTTCTTCCTCCTCGGTGCGTCACCTCCACCTCTCTTCTCTGCCTGACTTACGCACCCCCTCGCAGTGGGCCACATGTCCCTCCGCACCGAACCCGACTCGCAATGGTCGCTCATCCTCTCCACCATCCGCGCCGTCCATCCACACGTACCGGTACTCGTCTTTGGAGGACACCACCACATCAGAGATTGCGTGCAGGAGGACGCGTGGAGTTTGGGTTTGGCGGCGGGACGGTATTTCGAGACGGTTGGGTGGGCTAGTGAGTCTGCATTTTCCTTTGCGCGCACCCTTTCCCACGGCGGAATGACCTCGAACGCGATCGCAGGCGTCAGCGGGCTGAACGACTCGACGAAACCGCCCGTCTTCAAGCGTCGCTACCTCGATCAGAACCGCCAGACCGTTCGTCCTTTCCTCGTTCTCTCCTTCACCTCGCTAAACCGCTCATCGCGCAGTACGCCTATCACACCCAACCGGACTTTGACACGCCCGAAGGTCGCGCAATCTCGGAGGAGTTGACGCAGACGGCGAGGCGGTTCAACCTGACCGACCGGTTCGGGGTCGCTCCGCAAGGTGCGTCTCCTGCCCCCTCCCTCCTTCCCAGCTTTCCCGCGCTAACGTCGCAAGCGCGCACAGACTACTACCTCTACCGCTACCCCCCTTCATCCCCACACTCGATCTTCCACCTCCTCACAACCAAAGTCCTCCCCCTCCTCATCCGCCGAACAGACAGACCTTACGAGCCTTACACGTTGTTGAACACGGGGAGCGTGAGGTTCGATTTGTTCAAGGGCAACTTTACGAGGGGTGATCAGGTGCGTTTTCTTGGCCTTCGCCAGCTCGAGAGGGTAAGGATCGGAGCTGATGGCTTGTGCGAGTGTGCAGTGGATCATGCTTCCCTTCAGTGCGCTCTCCAACCTTCTCTCGCGCTCACTAGAATTGCGCAAGCTAATTCTCGACTCGCGCGCAGCCAATTCATTCCTCTATATCCCCGCCGTGCCACTCGCGCTCGCCTCCCGAGTCCTGCACTACCTCAACATAGTCGGCGAACACGGGCTCGTCTCCTCCTCTCCCTCGGTGCCTGAGGCGCCGCCCCATAGGCTTGCGGGACCGGATGCGAGAGCGGCGAGGGACGCAGCGGCGCTGGAACATGCACATCGCCGTTCCCTCCTCACGCAATCCACGGCGTTCGAGCGGGAGCAGGAACAGGACGACGGAAAGTGGCGGATGAAGCGTCGTACGGAGGGGTACGTCACGCCCGACTCGTGCGGCGTCGAGTCGGACGACCCCTCAGAGGTGCTGGGGGACGACACCCTCCACCGGCCCTTCCGTTCCTCCCTCCAACCCATCTTCGTCTCCACCGCGCTTCCTCAACACGAAGAGAAAATCGATGTCGTCTTCTTCGATTTCATCACGCCTGACGTGCTCGGCGCGCTTAACGTTCTCGGCGCGGCGGGCAAGGGAGGGAAGAAGTATGGAGCAAGGGACGTCGAGGTTTATATGGGGAACTTGACGGCGAATACGTTGATGGAGGAGTATGCGAAGAGGGAATGGAACTAGTCTCGCTCGTTCGCTCGCTCGATCGTACACACTCGGCTCGCAATGGTCATTCTCCTTCGACCAGGCCGTGAGCGAGAAAGACGTTGTGCAAGTGCAGCTCACGCTTCAGCAGGGGCCGCTACCGCTGCCGCCGCCGCCTCAGCCTTCTTCTGCTCCTCCTCCTCCCTCGCATCATCCTTCCTCTTCTGCGCCGCAATCTCGGCCAAATTGAACTTCTTCCCCCTCCACAACCGTCCCTCGACGATACTCAGCCCATAGACGTTCTTCAAAACGGTAGCGAGGAGGACGAGGTCGGGGTTCTTCAAGTCGGCGCGGACGGAGAGGATTGGACGCGAAGGGACGGGAGAGGAGACTGTGGGTGCGGAGGAGAGCTTGGAGATTTGCGTGCCGAGCAGGGGGAGGAGGAAGGTGCGTGAGAGAGGAGCCGTGTGCGACCGGACAGAGGTGTCGATGGCGTACTGCGGGAAGGGCACAGTCAGCGGGAGTACAGGATGAGGGCAGGATGAAACGTACCGTCACGCTTGTCGTGTTGTGCGCTTGTGCCCAGGTCGTAAAGACTTGCTCGATGAGCCGGGACGACTGCATCTCGACCTGCTCGACCGAGAGCGAGTGGCAGGTGAAGCTGGTTGGCGTGAGGCGCTGGACGAAGCTGCGGGATGGATCTGTCAGCCTAGCGCTCGTAGTACTATGCGAGTACACGCACCGTGTGCGGGCCTGACCCGTCTCCTGGACCTCTGAGACGATGGCTTCCGTCAACTCGACGGGGTCGTGCGGCCAGGCCGTTGCAATGAAGCACACTGCGGGCAGTCGCATCAGCGCTGCAGGTCGCGGGAAGTCTAGAGGTGTACGCACAACACTCGGTGTCGGTCTGAATGCTCTGGAAGCGCGGCCGCTCCTTTGCCTTGCCCTTGCCCTTCGCGTCTGCAGCCTCCTTCTTCACCAGCCCTTTCGCGCCTCGTCCCGCCTTGAGCGCTGCGAGCTCCTTCTCAATGCTCGCCTCGATGTCGTCGTCACCGTCGTCGTCAGAGTCGACGGGAGGCTGAGCTTGAGGAGTCGCCGTCGAAGCTTCGCCCTCTGCCTCCTCGCCATCCTCGTCCATCGGCGCGCCTTCCTGCCGCATCTCCTTCAAGCGTGCTTCCCGTTCGTCCTGCAAAGCCTTGACCCGCTCAGGAGGGTACAGCCGGTCCGCAACCTTTCGAGCGATGAGAAATGTCAACTCGCGAGCAGGGTCAGGAAGCGGTCATGGAAGCGCACCTCGTCGAGCAGGTCGTAGATCTCGCCCACACAGCGCGCCTCCTTGCCCCGCATCGTCGTCACGAAGATGCCCTTGCCGCCGACAGGTCGCTTCGAGGACCAGTTGTGCCCGCCCTTGCCCTTGCCTCCCTTTCCTCCTGCAGCCTTGCCGCCCCTGCTAGCTTTGCCAGATCCTCGAGAGCTGTTGGTCATCGCAAGTACGCAGTCAAAGCGAGATGTCGAACGAGGTGCAGGATCGCAACCCTCTCCCCACCTCTCTCGACCAGGTACCACAAACTCGCTCACCGCTTGACTGCTTGACTTTGCTATGAGCCGCAAGAGGACAGAACGAGACTTCATTGCTGCCGACGACGAGCCGGTCTCGGGCGAGGAGCTGGGCGAGGGAGACGAATCGGACCTGGAGAACGACTATAGCTCGGATGAGGGACTGGGACGCATGCGGGGCGCAAGGGGCGCAAGAGGTGGAGCAGGAGCGAACGGCAAGGGCGTCAGTACGCGGTCAGCGAGCTCGAGGGACAAGGGGAAGGGCAGGGCATGGGAGGGCCAGTTCGAGCGGACGTGGGATATGGTCCAGGAGGACGAGCGAGGGACGCTGGAAGGCGCAGTGAGCGATATGCTGCTGACGAGCAAGTCGCGGAGGTGGGTCGAGACGGTTCTCGCGCAACTCCTTCTGCTCACGCTCTCTCTCCTCAGGGTTCTGCGCGACACGGCTTCGATCCAGCGCGGCATCATCCGACATGTCTACCTCGTCATCGACTTGTCGAGCGCGATGCTCGTCCGAGACTTCAAGGCGACGTGGCTAGACCTGACCCTGCAGTACGCGCAGGTACGTCTGGCTCCTCTCGTTCTTGCTCCTCTGCCGTGCTTACCCCGCTTTGCGCTCGTATAGGACTTTGTCAACGAGTTCTTCCAGCAGAATCCGATCGGCCAGATGGCCATCATGATCACGCGAGACGGCCTCGCAGAACGACTAACGCCCTTGAGCGGCAAGTCGCCATGCTTCTCCCCATCGTGAGCGGTGTTACTGACGGAGAAAGCTCACAGGCAACCCGGCGGATCACCTGAAGGTGCTGCAGAACAAGAAGAAGCTTGAGGCGCGAGGGTCGCCTAGTCTGCAGAACGTCCTCCAGCTCGCGAAGACTGGCCTGTCGTGCGTCTCGCCGTCTTCGTCGAGCGACTCATCGTATGCTTACGCTTTGCATGCAGACACCTCCCGCCACACGGCTCGCGAGAAGTCATCGTCATTCTCAGCTCGCTCACGACGACGGATCCGACCAACATCCACCAAACAATCGCCGAAACCGAAGCCGAGCGGATACGAGTCAACATCATCGGCCTGAGCGCCGACATGAAGATCTGCCGCGACATCTGCGAGCAGACGAACGGCGTCTATCGAGTCGCTCGAGACGACCTCGCCTTCCGAGACCTCCTCTTCGAATTCGTCCTCCCACCGCCTACCTTCGCCCCGTCTAAGTCGCATGTCCTTGGCGGTCCCTCGCCAGCAGCGCCGACGTCGTCGGCAGACCTCATGCAAATGGGTTTCCCTGGCCTCATCAGCTCGACCTTCCCGGGCGTCTGCTCGTGTCACGGCAAGCTCAAGACGGTCGGCTACAGCTGCCCGCGGTGCAAGGCGAGGTTGTGTGACGTGCCGACGGAGTGCCGAGTGTGCGGTCTGACGGTCGTCAACGCACCGCAACTGGCTCGAAGCTACCGTCACCTCTTCCCAGTGAGTGTGACACTCCGTTCCGTCCTGCAGCTCTCGCTGACCGCTCCCCCATGCAGGTCACAAACTACGAGCGTGTGATGCAGTACGTGCCGCCGCTTGACCGGAATCCCCTTCGCTGACGAGTCTCTCGCGCAGACCCTCAGACGACGATGCCCCCTCCTGCTTTACCTGCGCCTTCCCTTTCACTACCCTTGCACATGCCGTCCAGTCCGCACAACTAGGCGACCTCTCTCCACTCGGCCGATATCGCTGTCCCAAGTGCACGCATCACTTCTGCCTCGAGTGCGACAAGCTCGTCCACGATGCGCTCGGGTTCTGTCCGGGTTGTTGCGAGTAGGAGATGATGCAGTGCAAAGTGGATACAACAGACAAGGTGATACGACTTCGAGCGATACTAGCGAGCGGAGGATAGAGAGCGGAAGAATCTGCGGTCTGGAGGTCAGTATTCTGAGCTGCTGTCAGCGTGTGGGTAGGAACGCACTCTGAGTAGGCGTTCTCGACGTCGAAGAGCATCTGCGAGGAGCGACCATCAGCCTTTGTAATGCGAGAGAGGCGGAGGAGTCGCCTCACCTGCCTCGACTGGTCCTCTGTGATCTCCTCGCTCGCCCGCATCTGGTTGAGCGTGATGAGCCAATGCAAGATCTTTGGTCGGCCTTCCCACTCGTTGCTGTTCTTGAAGCGTGTGTAGCCGGACATGAGGTCGGTGAGGAGAGGGTGGAGTTGGTCTTTCGCGCGAAGCTTGAGCTTGAGGGCGTCCATGAAGGTGATGAAGTTCTGCGTTCGACAACTCGTCAGTCAATCAGCAGACGTCCAGAGGTGGTCAGCAGCTGAAAGCGCCTGCGAGGCAGAACGAACCTGTGTCGTCTCTGCGACCCATTTCGCCATCTCTGCGCCGCCTGACCCGCCTTCTCCCGCGCTGTGCTCGACGGTCGCTGGTACACCAACCTTTAATCGATGTGCCGCGGCAGTGCAGTCCATCTACGGTGCAGAGAGCGAGGTTAGACGAGCTCCCCAGGACAGGAAGAGAGGGAGCGCGCCCGGTACTCTTGCATGAACGCCTCGAGGCTTGGCACAGAGTCTCCCACAAGCTTCATGATCGTCTTGTATTGTGCAAGCAGCCTCGTACATGCCGGCGCATACCTGCAAACGCTCGACCCCCACATCCGTCCGTCAACGAGGAGGACTGGAGAGGCGACAACGACATCGATTACGCACTGGCTCGCCGTGATAGAGTCTCGCACGTATGCCCGTTCCAGCCCATCCAGCGACACGATCAGCGAGTACAGGTTGGCGAGCTCCTCGATGCGTTCGCGGTCAGCGTTCGAGGTCGCGAGGCGCACTTCCTGAGGGTGAGGCGGTCAGCGGGGCGTCTCCTCATGTCATCGAGTCGACCTACCTCGTCCAGATTGAACGCCAGAGCCGCAGTAGCCATTGCGAGCGAATATGATGAAGTCAAGAGACCGCGACCTGGGTTGGCGACGACACAGACACCGCTCATCGCTGGATTGACCGCCTGAAACGCTCTCCCTGCCTCCCCGGATCTCCTGAACCGCCCTCATCAGTCACAGGCGCGCCCGACGCCGCCTACACTCTCGACGCCTCTCAGGTCGCGGGGAAAGTTGAGCCGGACAAACAGCAGCGGGACCTCTGCAGAGTGAGTAGCGGGCAATCTGAAGCCCTCCATTGGAGCCACAGAGGGCGCTCTCCTGCCGCACAGTCATCGAGACGCGCTGACCTGGTTGTTATCGTAGGCCTCTCCGTCCAGGATGGCGTCTGTCTTTGTGCGTTGGGCAAGGATAGGTGCACACGTTGCGTCGTTCGCACAGTGCATCCTGTACCTACCCTTGACGCTCGACATCGCCGGGAAGGAGAGTATGCGTGCGTTGTCCGCCCTTTCTTCCCGCTTGCCTTCTCGCTGATCCAGAATCCTCGCGCCTGCAGTCGCGCTTTCTCTTCTCCTCACCCTGTCCTTCGGCTTGTCGGCGACACTGCACCTCATCGTCCGGACTACACGCCTGCGGCTACTCTCGACATCGTTCGCCTGGCTCCAACCCCTCCTCATTCCCTGCCTCCTCCTTCTCACCCTCAACCTGTATTCGTCTTCCGCCCTTCCTCCTCCTTCACTCAAGGAAAAGATCTTGCATTCGGCGACGGCGGCGCAGCAGCTCCCGACGACACCCTCATCCAATTTCTACGCCTCCCTCGTCTCTCTCGCTCGTGCCGCCCCTTCGTACTGGGAGCGCTTCCTGCGCACCTCGTCACCCGTCTTTGTCATCCTCGAAGGCCTGTGCACGCTCCTGTGCATTCAGGCGGTCAGCAGGTTCACCATTGCGCGCATCGAGGGCTCGAGAAGTCCCGACCTCCTCAAGATGCTCGTCCTGGTCATCTCGGCCGTCCTCTACGTCGGCAGCGCCTACTTCCTGTGGGAGAGCTACGGCGCTGTGCCCGATCGCATCTCCGCGACACTCATCGGCGTCGCCGTCACAACGATCGTCTTTCTTTCCGGCATCTCCTTCGGCCTGCAGAAGGGCAATGTCATCGAGACGAGTCTGATGCTCGCGTGCGTCTTTGTGGCGGATCACTCGTCGGCAATGAACTAACGCTTTCGTCTGCAGCTACGCCGTGTTCCAGATCTTCCACCTCTCGTCGCGACCTCAGGTGCGTTCCCGTTAGGCTTCGCCTGCGGAAGGCGACTCACGAGACGTGGTTTTCAGATGTACACTGGAGGTCTGCTCAAGCACGTCTTGAAGGCGCCCGGGACAAACGGTCACCCGCCCTTGCCGCCGGTCGTCCTGCAATCGTGAGCAAAGATTGCCAACGCCTCGTCCTCCTGCTTCCACTCACTCGTCTCTCTCGCAGCCTTGACGCAGTCTCGAGCGCCGTCTCGCAGACTTTCGGTGCCGGCGTCGAGTTCGTGATGGCCGCGTGCGGATCTCCTCATCCGCTCAGCTTGTTCATACGCTGACCTGATTCCTCCGCAGCTCATCCGCCTTGCCGTTCTCTGTCCTCGTCACCCTGTTCTACCGCGTGGCCGTCCTCTACCTCGCGACTCGCATCGTACTTGCCTTAAAGCGCCAGACGGGCGGCTACGAGGACAACCGCAAGCTGAGCGAGGAGGAGCCGGTGCGTTCGCCTGACGATCCGTGATTATACGTTGATTCTGAGCTGATCGTTTCCACAGGCTGCACGGGTCATGACGATCGTCCTCGCCTACGCGCGCTCGCTGCTCGTTGCCGGTCCGTACGATCCTCCTGAGCTCTTCGCCGAACACTGCTGACACTTCCACCCGTCTGCAGTCTACACTCATCTGCTACTGCTGTCCGAGTCGAACGACCAGGTCTTCTGGCGCTGGTGCAACGTTTTCCTCGTAAGGCCTCCCCCTTCTCCTCCTCTCACCTTCTCGCTGACTCCACCTCGTCCCGCAGGTCCAGATTCTCTGGGCCATCGAGATCCGCCTCGGCGCTCACATGGACGAGGACGCGACGGTCGAGGCGCGGTGGAAGACAGAGTGAGGAGGAAGATTCGCATTGTACCGCTCGCTCGCATCCGCTTTCGTTCGCGTCGGTTGTATACCCCTTTACGATTACTGCATTCCCACGGCATACACACCTTCTGCTTGCTCTGCTCTGCGAGACTTCAGCTTCCCATCGAACGACTGTCGGCAGAGGGCGCGTGCACACTTCCTTCCTTCCACCACACCGCTTCTCTTTCGTAAGCTTGCTCTGCACGCGCATTCGAGGCTATCCAGCGCTGTTAACCCGCCCAGACAATCTCGCTCATCCACCGCCCTCCAGCAGCTCCACCTCGACATGTCTTCGGCAGAGAAGCGCGACCAGTTCCTCGCCGTCTGGCCCGCGCTGGCGGACGAGCTTGTGCAGTACATGGAGGGCGAGAAGATGCCCAAGGAGGCGGTCGACTGGTTCAGGCGGGTGAGTCGTGCTGTCCTCCCTCTCGTTCGAGCGATGAGGACAAAGCGACTGATTGCACTCGTCCCGCGCCGCAGAGTCTCGACTACAACACGCCTGGAGGTGCGTACACGCTGCCTGCGCTCTCAAGACGTCGCTGAGCCGGTTTCCACGCGTCCTGCAGGCAAGCTCAACCGCGGTATCTCCGTCGTCGACACTGTCCAGATTCTCAAGGGCTCGGAGCTTTCGGCGGACGAGTACAAGCGTGCTGCGATTCTCGGATGGTGCATTGAGCTGGTGGGTTGCGGCGGAAGCGGCTGGATGTTGAGGGAGGGAGCTGACCTCGTCTTTCACAGCTTCAAGCGTACTTCCTCGTTGCGGACGACATGATGGACCAGAGCATCACTCGCCGCGGCCAGCCGTGCTGGTACCGTGTCGTGCGTCCAGTCTTCCGGCTCTTCAGGCGCCGATCGCTCACCTCGCCCTCGCTTCGCAGGAGAATGTCGGCAACATCGCTATCAACGATGCGTTCATGCTCGAGGCGGCGATCTACTACCTCTTGAAGAAGCACTTCCGTCAGGAGAAGTACTACGTCGACTTGCTGGAGATCTTCCACGAGGTCAGTTTCCGTTCGTCGTCGTGAGTCTCGCTTCGTCGGCTCACTAGCTCCTTTCGACGATCCTCGCACACAGGTCACCTTCCAAACCGAGCTCGGCCAGCTCATCGACCTCATTACCGCCCCTGAAGACGTTGTCGACCTCAGCAAATTCTCGCTCGAGAAGTGCGCCTCGAATCCTCCCTTGCTTTGGACCGTACAAGTGTACTAACGCGACCCGGTGCGCAGGCACCACCTCATCGTCGTCTACAAGACAGCCTACTACTCCTTCTACCTCCCTGTCGCCCTCGCCCTGCACATGGCGGGCGTCTCCTCTCCCTCCGCCTACCAAAAGGCGCTCGACATCCTCATCCCGATGGGCGAGTACTTCCAAGTCCAGGACGACTACCTCGATTGCTACGGCACTCCGGAGCAAATTGGCAAGATTGGGACGGACATCTTGGATAACAAGTGCAGCTGGCTCATCAACAAGGCGCTGCAGAAGGCGTCGCCCGAGCAGCGCAAGGTCCTCGATGTGAGTCGGCGTGCGATGTTGAGCGCCGGTCTCGTTGCTGAGCGAGTCGGCGCTGACTAGATACGTGCCCCGCATCGCAGGACAACTACGGCGTCAAGTCGTCCGAGTCCGAGGCGCGCGTCAAGGCCGTCTTCAAGGAACTCGAGCTCGCGCGCGAGTTTGAGCAGTACGAAGCCGACTCGTACAGGCGCATCAACGCGCTCATCGAGGAGATCCCCGCCGAGGGCTCGCAGGACGGGCTCAAGCGCGAGGTGTTCCAGTCGTTCCTTGCCAAGGTCTACAAGCGCCAGAAGTGAGTCCCAGCTCGTTCCCTCCTCGTTGCGCCTTGAGCTGACTCGCTTGGACGCGCAGGTAAACGCTCGACGCTCGACAGTGTCCCAGCCAAAATCTCGGATAGACGGGTTCTTTCGCCGTGCGGATTATCGCGTAGAATCGTCTCTTGTCAAATCACCAGCAGCAGCATTCGATACCCTCGACACGCGCGCGGTGGACTCGGACGACCTCTGAAGCGCCCTCGCCGATTTCCTTCGCTGTCGTCGCGTGCGCCCGCTCAGGTGAGCAACACAGCACGTATTTTCGCTCTCTTCGACAACCTGCGACCGCCCACAGCTGAGCCTGGCAGAGGCCGACGGACCGGCGAAGGAGGACGCTCTGCGACGTCAAGCTGTTTCTGTTCCGGCTTGAGCGAGTGCTCTGTGAGGCTGCCGCTTTTCCTTGCCAGCCACCGCGCAGAGTTGTCCGGTCGACGAGTTGCTGCTCAGCCAGAGTGCTGGGACTGCTGCCCTCGTCGTCGCCGTCGCCGTCTTCGTGAAAGGCTCGAGGGCGGGTGTGCGAGTGCGCCGTTAGCCGGGTGCGGTGTTGATGCCCGTTGAAGTGGATGCGGGTCACATGGCGCGGTTGTCCTGCCTGTCGCGGAAAGCGTTCGATTGCACTCTGTGCCCCCACCTGTGTCCCGAGGAGGGCCTCGCTGCTCTCTCGCCGCTCTCCCTCTTCCCTCCCTCCCTCTCTCTCTTCCTTCCTTAACCCTAAGCAAAACACTCGAAAATGCGCACCGTCATCGCCATCGCTGCCGTCGGCGCCGCCGCAACCCTCGTCTCGGCCCAGGTGCGTCTCTCTCTCCGTCTCCGCTCCTCCTCCCGCCCCCTTCCGCATCCCGTACCCTCCCCTCGCGTGCCTTCGCGGGGTCTCTTTCGCCTCGACGCACTCGACAGCACTCACTGCTGCCGCAGACCACCTCGACGGACGCTGCGACGCTGGCTCCTCCGCTCTGTCCCCCCTTCGAGACGAACGACGCGGGCGGGCTTGTCCCCGTCGCTGAAAGTTCGCTCAACACGTGGGCTGGACGCACACCGCTCGAGCTGGCTCCTCTGCAACGCTGCGCAAAGCACTGCATCGACGAGACTTGATGCTGACGATCCCCTCGTGTTCCGTCCTCGCAGGCGACTCCTCGTGCGCCCGCCTCCCCCGCTTCTCTCCTCGCGAACAGTGACTGACCCGGTGACGCCGCATCCCTCGCAGCCGCTTGCTTCTTGACCTGCTACCAGCAGTCGGCCGGCTCGACCTCGTGCGGCCTCACCGACATCGCCTGCTTGTGCTCCAACACGGCCTTCACCCAGGCCACCGCCGCCTGCATCCAGTCGACCTGTGTGCGTTCCTTTCGCTCTCCTTCCGCTACGAAAGTGCACTGATGAGCTCCACGCCTCCTTTCCTTGCGCCTCTGCTTGTTTCTCCCGCCCGTCCTGGCACTTTCGCTGTGTCCCGCAGTCGGCTTCTGACGCCGCCGCGGCTGCCGCCTACTCGGCCCAGGCTTGCGCTGCCGTCGGCGTCACCGTCAGCACCAACGCTCCCTCGGCCAGTGCGTTGCCGACGCCTCCGTTCCAAGTGCTCGCCTGGGACTGATATTCCTCCCTCTTCGCTCCTGCAGCCTCGGGCGGCTCGTCGTCGGCTGCCGCGTCCGGCTCGGGTTCCGCCTCGTCCTCCGTCCCCGCGTCGGTCTCGTCGGCCGTCCAGTCGGCCTTGAGCAGCGCCTCGGCCGCTCTCTCGTCCGCCCCGTCGTCGGTCCGGTCCGCCGCGTCGTCCATCGCTAGCGGCGCCTCGGCTGCTGCGTCGTCCGCTGCCAAGACCGCCTCGGGCAGCGCTGCTGGCGCTTCGGGCTCGTCGGCTCCCAAGGTGCGCTTCTGATGCTTTCCTCGCTCTTGAGTATCTCCTGACGCCTTTTCGCGCGTCTCGCAGAGCGGCGCCACGACCGTCAAGGCCGGCACTGCCCTCGCCGGTGTCGCCGCCGTCGCCGCCGTCGCCCTCGCGCTCTAAACAGCGTCGCAAAGAATCACGGACTTTGCTCCCTCTTCCCTTCCTCCTTTCCCTCCCTTCCTTGGCTTTCCTCGCCCTATTGATTGGTATGAGCAGTATCATCCTTCTTTGTCGTGCAACCACCGACGTTGCCTATGCCTCGGTGCGCGAAGAGCGGACGAGACTAGCGAGGACTTTTGCTTTTGGGCTGCGGAAGTGCTTCTTGGCTGCCGCCTTTCGTGCTCGCTTTCGTGGCTACGGCTGTCACTCAAGACGTGCGAGTCTTGACAGCCAGCAGGACGAACCACGAAGCTCGTACAGGACGAGAGGGAAGAGCTTCCACCTCGCAACGCAATACTCGTTCTCACGCCCGCATGGCCTCCGCGCGTCCGCTGTGCAGCGTCGGCAGTACCAGAACAGCCCTCGCAGGCCGCCTACGGTACCCGCAGCCCCTGTCGCGCGAGTCGACTTCTCGTCGCTCCCGCTTTGGCCTTCGCAAACCCCACTCTCGCCTCGACCGCTCACTCGCTCGCTCGAAAACCGCTGCGCCGCTTGTGAGTTCATGGCTATCACTTCTCACGAGTCTGGCGAGGGCGTCGTCGAACCGGCTCAAGGCGCGGTTGCGAGGGAAGGTGCGTTCTTCGCCTGATCCACTTCCTCGTTCGCGCAACCAGTACACGCTGGATCCGCGGTCTCGCACGCTCGAGACGTTGGCTGACAGCCTTCTCGACACGTCCGCAGATCCGCACGACCCGGCTCGCCTCTGCGACCGCCTCGCACGACGAAGACGTCGAAGAGCAGGACATCAGCGACTCGACCTCGGAAGACTCGTCCGACATGGACCAGGAGCGACCTCGTCCGTCCCTTTGCTCTCTCTCCTGCGCTCAGTGAACACGCTGACTTGTCTGTCCCGTTCTGCAGCGCATCACCACGCCTGGCCCGCCCAACTCGACCACCCGCTCGCAGACGTGCTCATCGCGGATGGAACCGACGGGGTGGCTCTGGGGTCGCCTTATTTGCCTTATTCGCCAGCGGAGCAGGTGAGGAGGCGCATGGAGGCGAGGACGAGGGAGGGAGCGGACGCAGGAGATGGTTCGGAGGTGGAGGATGAGAGCGGCGAGGGTGAGGGTGAGGAAGGGGAGGGCTCGAGCGGGGGTGATGACGAGGGTGAACTGGAGAACGAGGACGGAGAGAAGGAGGAGACAGAGGGAGAGGAGGCCGGAGGTGAGTTGTTGGACCAGGCTCGTTCCCTCTCTTTGGACGACGCTGAGCTCCACTCTTGCAGGGTCCTCCGGCAATGAGTCTTGAGGGCGCAAGTGTGTGTTCGCTTGGTAGGACGTCGAAGAATCAGCCTCTCTAGGCTCGCTTGACTGTGTGACAACTCAAATCTCAGTCGCTCGTACACCTTGTCCGCCCTCTTTCTCTTACTTGGCTTGTAGAGGCAGCGGAGCGCGACAAATGCTGGTGACGGCTTCGATGCTGCGCAATCGACGCGCACCGCCGACGACCCACTGTTCCTCGCTGCCTCGTGCTTCCGCGCGCAGCAACACTCACCTTTCTCCCTTGTGTTCCCTCCGCGCTTGCTATTGCGCACTGCCTTCTTGTGCTAATTCGCCTGATGCAGGCCGCAAAGGATGGCTGTACAGCTCGCTGAAGAGACGGACTTGGCTGTTCAGGTGAGCGCGGCCTTCTCACCCTCTCCATCCTCCCAATTGACTTGTTCGTCCTTTGTGCAGCTTCGGAAGCTCTCTCAGATATACAGAGTGTGCGCAGACGCCGGGTGCAAGCAAGCGCAGTGCGGGTGAGGCGAGAGGAGACGGGAACTGAGGCAAGGTCTCCCCTTCTGGCTTCGCGCGAGGCTGGAGGCTGTCTGTTCTCGTACTGGGCAGCAAAAAGCCCTACGCGGGACTCGAACCCGCAGCCTCCAGATCACAATTCGGTAAAAGGGCCGAGAAAGTAGAAGTCTGGCTCCTACCAGGGCGACGCAGCAGGCTATTTTTTGAGCTCTATTGGCCCCGCAGGGACTGCCGCTCGAGTATACAGCACACAGCAGTTACGTGCATCCAGGCTGGGAGCAGAGTGAGCAGCCTGGCGAGGAGGAGCGAAGGGAGTTTGGCTGGCAGTCTGCTGGGCTTGGTTGTGGAGACGTCAGAAGTGTATGCTAGCGGTTTCTTCTGTTCGTTGAGGTGTTGAGAATCATTCTCAATCAGCAGCAGGAAGAGTCAGCGCAAGACGGCAGAGAAAGCGAAAGGGAAGCTGGATGGGCAAGGTAGCGAGTCAAGTTGCCACCTTGGGAGCTCGCAAGTCTACCATTGTGACACTATACTGATAACAATTCGCTCAACCCTTCAAGGAACCTCGCTTGCCAGGAGCTCAGCTCTATACGATCCGAGCGAGCTAGATCATATCTCTTCTCCTCCTGAGCCTGAAAAGCAAGAGGCCAAGAGCAAATTGCTTGTCCCTGCTTTGTTTCAACTTCAGGCCCCTTGTCAGCGCAGTACACTTGCAGCGCTACAATATGGCAGAAGAACTGAGTCTGCAGCAGACAAGAAGCTGGCTTGTCCTCCCTCTCAGAGTCTGAGTCCGTGGACCAACTCGTGAAGGTGAGACTGCTCTGTGGAGGAAATGAGACACTCTTTGAGCACTACTTTAAATAGTACTGGGTCTGTGGAGCAAAACTTGAGCCTGCAGCCAGCGGAGGAAAAGGAGGAGTGATAGTGATGGGTCTGCAGCTCTGCCTCGTCCTTTGCTTCCTCAGTCTCCCACCACCGGTCCTACTGTACCCTGTGACAGCTCTGGAGGCCAATGGGAAGCATAACAGAGTCAGCGTAGAGAGTCAAGGAAAGGTGAGAAGGTCACTCTCACCGAAAGCTTGCCTTCCTCCTCCTCAAATTGATACCGCTCCCTTTCCAGCAATCCTCTGATTCTCTGTTGCGCCCACACCACCAGACCGGACTAGTTTCAGCTCGGAAGACGCGAATCCGCTGAGCCTCACCTGCACCTTCTCCCCTGTTCCGCCGAACGCAGCTTGAATGGCCCATTACCACTTCCACAGCTTTCAATAGACAAAAGTAACGGGTTTTGACCTGCAGGAAGCACAAATGAGCAAGAGAATGAGTGGAAAGGAGGGAAGAAGCTGGAGAATCAAGGAAGCCTGTCAACTCACGAGCTTGCCGCCTTGTATGCACTGCCCTAATAACATTCAGAACGCTCTCTTGGAGGCCGGCCAAGCAAAAGCTTGCAAGCCAGCAGCTGCGGTAGTGAGCAAAGTGGAGTGGGAGAGGGAGAGACTGTTGTGTGTCTGCCTCTTTGTCCTCCAAGTTCCGCCCTAATTCACTGGCTTGATGCTCTTCAGTCACAGGAAGCCTGTCAAAGCTGTGAAAGCGGACAAGGAACAGTCTCATAGCGAGAAAAGGTGAGAAGGTCAATGTTGCCTGGCAGATCCCTTCCTCGCCTGATGCTCATCCGCTCGTGCACAATGCGCGCTTGCGCAGCACACGGCGGACACACTGAGAAGCCTCGCACTGCAAAAGCTACCGCCATGACCACGAAGGGCGGGTGAGGCGAGAGGAGACGGGAACTGAGGCGAGGTCTCCCCTTCTGGCTTCGCGCGACGGCTGGAGGCTGTCTGTTCTTGTACTGGACAGCAAAGTACTGGGCAGCAAAAAGCCCTACGCGGGACTCGAACCCGCAGCCTCCAGATCACAATTCGGTAAAAGGGCCGAGAAAGTAGAAGTCTGGCTCGCTACCATTGCGACAGCAGGGCTATTTTTTGAAGCTGTCTGAGTCCCGGTGAGCGTTCACAGCCCGCACACAGCCAAAAGGACGGCCCGAAGACCAAAGTTGGTCGAGATTGCGCCGAGGAGGATGAAAGAGGAGACGCCTTGCCCAAGCAAGAGCTTGCGCTCTTGCTCGACAAGACCCTGCTGCCCTCGTAGATCCTGTGCCAGGGTGGGAGAGCCCCAGGGACAGTCTCCAGCCGCGATGATCAACCGGCCTCGCGCAAGTTGACATCTCCTTGACATCTCTGATCCGGCTCGCCGCCCTCTCTCTGGCTCAGCAGCTGCGCTGCTGAGCACTGCTGAACTATCACTGTAAGAGACGGTCCATGACAGTAGGCAGCGCCGAAAGCACGGAGACAAGCAAGGGGCAAGCGGCAAGCCCCTCGAGTTCCGAAGCTTCAGCCTTTTGCGCGCGAGCTGCCACACTCCAGCACATCTTACCACACCCAGTGAGCTTGCTTCAATGCTGGCCGCAGAGACGGAGAGCGTGATTCGACAGAGGGATGAAGGGAGAGTTGCGAGCATGCGAAGTCTCTTCCTCCCGCACCTCAATGAGGGCGACAAGCATTGTGCCTCACGAGAATGGTCGTGATAACACTGATACAAACGTGATGCACGGATAGAGGACCAAGGAACCGATACAGAGGCAAAGGGAATAGGAAGGCAGAACAACGAGGGAGCGAGTTCTAGTAAGCGAGCGCGTGTACACGGTCGTCGAGGTCGTCTAGTACCAGCCGAGGTAGCTGCGCCATGCGGCAGGACGTTCGGCGCCGGTCCACTTGAAGTCGCCGTAGTTGGGGAAGGTGCACGAGCGCCAGAAGTGGACTTGCGACCAGGGATAGAGCGTCTGCGAGAGCGCGAGCGAGTATCGTCAGCATTGGCGCAGGACAAGGAGGGGCGAATGAAAGCGACGGCAACGAAAGAGCAACTCACCGAGCAGAGACCGGTCGCCTTGTCGACATACCACGACACGCCGCCGTCCTTCTCCCACACCTTCTTCTTCATCTCCTTCCGTACCTCGGCGTAGAAGCGGTCCTCGGCCTTGGTCGTGACCTCGACGAAAGGCGCGGGCTTGAGCAGCTGGACCTTGCGGAGCTTCTCGACAATCGGGCGGATGAGGTGGAAGGTGAGGGCGAGCTGGGCTTCGGAGGTGAAGAGGACGGAAGAGTGGCCGGTCGCAGAGTTGGGTCCCATGATCCAGAACTGGCGGGGGAGAGAAGGTCAGCCGAGGGATGTCACGGAGACTGCGACGGGACGCACAAAGTTGGGAAACTCGGCGACGAGCGTCGACTGGTACGTCTTGATGCCGTTCGCGTTCAGGCGATCTTGCAGAGACTCGCCCTTGTCGTTGTAGATCTTGAGCGGGAAGAGGACTGTCGCCCGGCAAAGAGTCAGCTCCGAGTGCTGCGAGAGTAAAAGCGGCAGACTCACAGTCTCGGACCTTGAAGCCGGTAGCGAGGACGATGATGTCGGCGCGGCAGACGCGGCCGTTCTTCGTGTAAACCTTGTCGCCCTTGACGGTAGTGACGACATCGTCGGCGATCAGCTCCATGTTCGGCGCGTTGAGAGACTCGTAGTAGCCGCTGTCGAAAACTCGGCGCTGTGACGATTAACGAGGTCAGTCCAAGAACTCCCCTGAAGCGGTTCCAGGCGCAGACAAACCTTCGCCGCGACGTCAAAGTCGGGTCGCAGGACATCCCAGTATTTCTTGGGCGCGGTCTCCTCGATGCTGCGAGCGAACGAGTGCGTCAGCGTCGGCTCGGGGAAAGCAGAACTATAGCAAAGCCGAACGCACTACTCGTTGATCTCCTTGACGGTCTTCCTGCGCTCGCGCTCGCCCTTCTTGATGTCCGTAATCTTGAAGAACGACTCCATGACGAAGAAGACGAGTGAGCGAACGATGAAGCCGAACTGCAAGCGAGCCGATCATCAGCCAAGTGGCTCATGAACGGAGGGGCCGGGCGACTCACCCCGGGAATCCAGCGCATCAGGAAATGGAGGAAGGCATTGTCGGGCGCCTTGATGCGGCGGATGATGGACTGCCGGGAGCGGGCAATCTGGGTGACGGTGGCGGCTTCGTGGACAATTTCGGGAACGATCTGGGCGGCGGAGCAGCCTGTCGAATTTCGCAAGTCAGCTTCGTCCGCATCAAACGAAGGACGTCGCACGCACCGTTGCCAACGACGACAACATCCTTGCCCTTGAGGCTGACGTCCTCGCGCCACCTCGCCGAGTGGAAGACCTCGCCGGTAAAGTCCTCGCGCTTGAACGGCGGGTCGTTGGGGATCGTGAGACCGCCGAGGCACGAGATGAGGATGTTGCAGGTACGGGTGCGGACTTCGCCCGTCTCCTGGTTCTTGACCGAGAGGTGCCAGAGTCCGTCATCGCGCGAGAAACGGGCGGTCTCGACGGCGGTGCGGAAGACGATGTTGTTCAGCTTGAACTTGGTCTGCACCTCGTGGAGGTCTGCAATGAGGTGCCGTCAGTCTAACTCAGCTTGGATAGCGAGCGGGCGCGACACTCACACTCCAGAATCTCCTTCTGTCCGGCCCATTGGCTCGAGGCGTGGTAGGCGGGGTAGAACTGCGCGCGTCGGGACGGTGAGCCCTTCGTAACAATCTCTATGAGATGCATGGAGACTCACGGAGAACGAGTAGAAGGTGAAGGGAATGTCGCAAGCTGCGCCCGGGTATCGCTGGAGGAGAACAAGGTTGTCAGCACGAGGCGTATACTCAGAGGACGATGTGGAGCTACTCACGTTGACGTTCCAAGTGCTGTGAACGGATCGTAGAGGCAAACAGCGTCAGCAAGGGCAGGATTGCGGCGGTCGGCGACTCGAAGGGGAGGATGGCGACATGTGGGGGGAGTCGCGAGAAAGCGAGCGTGACTGGCGAGACTCACCCTCCAACATCGCTAGTCTTCTCGCTGTAGGACGAGAGAGCTCGGTGAGCGAATGAACAGGCGCGCGAAGAGGGAAACGCGGGAGGACGCACTAGACGAGGACGTCGTCAATGCCCATCTTGCGGCGGAGCTGGATTGCCGACGCCATGCCAGACAGGCCTGCACCCATCACGATGCTGCATTCGCGTCCAGATCAGCTCGCGTCTTGGAGGAGAGGGAGAGGAAGTCGAGCGCACCAGGTGTAGTGGTCCTTGGTGTCGGGCGCCGAGTGCTGGGTGAACGGCTTGGGCTTTGGCATGAGCTGGTGCTTCTCAGAGTGTGACATTGTGGGCAGTCTGTGAGTGGGAGAGAGGTGGAGGGAGCAAAGGAGAGAAAGTCGCGAGCCGATCGAGGACGAGCCGGCGAAGTCGAGTCGACCTCGCCGCGCTCCGAAAGGAAGCACCGACGGAACCGCTGCCTCCGCCCGGCTTGCTTGGGCGCCGCTCCCGACAGGCGACACACGGCCAGCTTCACAACGCCGCAATCGCCACTCGGTACGCTCGTCGGCGCACACCTATAGCTGGACCGAAGAAGCGCGAAGGGCACCTCACCGAGCAGGACAAGCTGGAAGTCTGCAAACTAGTCACTGCAGATAATGGGCCAAAGGTGGCGATGGCGCGCTGCGGCTGTTCGAGCAGGGAGCGTAAGCAGGACCTGAGCAGCGAGCGAAGCGACTCGAGACTGAGAGCTGCCGCCACTCTTGACGGGGCGTCGTCGAGGGCAACGATGGAAGAGAAGTCCCCAGCGCAGACATGCCAAGCGTGACTGTTGGCGAGGCGCCAAGCGAGCGCGAAGCAGATGTCGAATCGCGAAAATGAGGAGCAGGTCACAGCGCCAACAGCGGCAGGCAAGGCCGGGCTTGGGTCGTAGCGGCGAGGCATGCATGCAGTCTGCATCTGCCCGACGTCCTCACTGTGCACGCCTGGCGAATGGATGACCGAGGGGCAGCAGTAGATGTCGGAACGAGGAAATTCCTGGATGAAGCCTTCGACACCCGCTCCCGCTTTGCCCGCGCCTTCGAGACCGTGCAAGCAGAATCTCCCGACCCTCTGCGGGCATCCGCATGGCTCCGCGGCCGTGTGAGCCGGTTGTCGAGGTCGCGGTCGAGTTGGCGTTGAAGACCCAAGAAGCGGGTAGACGCCAGCGGCGGGTGCGCCCTCTAGCGCGAGCAGGAAATGAGACTCCGTGTGCTCTTTCCGTACGCCCACAGACCAGCCGGAGTGTGGAAGAGCGTTCGGAGAAAGAACGAGCGTCGGAGGATATGGCGGGTGAGTAGGGGCGGTCGAATTCAGTCGGTGGCGCTGCAACCTTCAGACGGCTGCGAAATTGCCTGCGCCGTGAGACGATACTCATTAGCACATGTCAGGAGAACTGAGCATGGCAGAGAAAGCGGGCGCACCTGGGCAGAGTTTCTCTAGAGCCGTTTCCAGTGCGGAGGGTCCGCCGTACTCGTTGATCACCTTGACGACAAGCTCCTTCGGGGTCGAGGATCCGCAAAGTGGTCGCGCGGGTCTCGGAGCTTTGCAACTCCCCGATCGTCGCTCAACCTATTCGCAGCGACCCAGCACATCGTCGCGCCTGGGGAAATGTTGCGACGCATGAGGTATGTGGCGGTAGAGAACTTCTGCTCGAGTTCGGGTCCAAGCAGGTCGTAGAATGGCGAGAGGCGCTTATCCCTGCGAAGGCTTTCGGGGACGTCCAGCCATCAGCTGCCTGTCAAGAGGACACACAAGGTCAGTGACCAGGCATGCTGCACGTGAAGCGGACAAGGCGTACGAGTCTCGAGTTTTCACCAGTGCCGGTTGATTGTCGCCAGCTCCGCCTGCGTGAAGTTCGAGGGAGAACGGACGCGATCTTGTGCCGCTGACGCGCAGAGAGCGGAGACGAGGCCTTCGAGGATGAGGGCTGTCAAATCAAAACGGGCTCGTGAGCAAGCAATGAGCGGGAGAGACTGAGCGGGACAAACCTTTCATTGCGGTGCAGTAAGCCCCCACTTGCATGTCCCTCTGCCGCTCCGCCTGCCGCTCTTGTGCCGCACGCATCAGCAATGACACCTTCTCCTCGAGCTCCGCCACGTCTTGCTCGAGGTTGACCACATTTTGCTTGACGTTGACCACGCAGTCCAGATACTCGTTGCTGCGTTCAGTTTTCGCTTCTGCTGCGCGAGCTCGCTCGGGGTCGCGTTGGAGGATCTCGTCAACTGCGAGGGGCTTCTGCGAGAAGGAGAACGCAGGGCGGGTGATAGGATCGGCGCGAGGAGAGTCTTGAGGCAGGGGCCGCGCGGGGAGGAACAGAGGGTACGAGTGACGAGCTTCCAGTGTCGGCAGTAGAAAGGCTGGGACTGATCGCACAGCAAGCCACGGATCCACGGAAACCGGGAAAGAGAAGAAGTGAGGGGATGACCGGCGCGAGAGCGGGCGGTCGAGAGGACGGGTGTGAAAGCTGTGGCGGGCAGCAGAGAAGAGGCGTGCGCAGCGTGAAGCGAGCAGAGAGACGCTTCAGCATGCTGTTGCGCTCAAAGCGGGAGATCAATGCGAGTGGTCGAGGTGGAAGATGCGAAGAGCGAGCGAAGTTGGGCGACGACCACAGCTTACGGTGGCACAGGCTGAGTCTGGACAGGCTGCCAGAGCGCGCTAGACCGCGCACAATAACGCTCCAACTCGCACTCGAGCTTCGTCTGCTCTTCCTCGAGTCCTCGTCTCCCCCTCCACTTCGTCGCTGAACCCGCAGAGCGCATTGCCCACTCACTTCGGCTCAGAGCTCGCCCGCTGCTGCCGAGGCAGGACAAGCATGCCATTGTCCAACTCGGGCGGCTCGTCACCGAACAAGGGCGTCGCGGCGGGGGGACTTCGTTCAGCGTTCAGCCATCTCCACCCTCGCAGGAGCAACTCGACCCGCTCACTCTGCTAATCTGACAGGATGGCTGAGACGCTGACCAGGATGCTCTGCACGAGTAGCGCCACTCTGTCACGCTTCTCTCTCTTCTTCCTTTCCTCCACTGCTCCCCTCGTTCGCTCGCATCCACCTTAGCGACGGCATCACCAACATGGTCCACCTCCCCCTCTTCGCTGCCTGCGTCGCCGCAGTCTTCTACCAAGCCACCACCTGCGCCGCCCTTCCCCTCGTCATCCGTCCCTCGGCCACCGCCATCGTCCCCGTCACCTACGCCTTCAACCCTCAACGGCCTTTCGCGCGTCTCGCACCCTCCCCTCGCCTGCACGTCGTCGACGACTCATCCGATTCCGAGGATGCTACTCTCGCACCATCATGGATCGCACCCGAACCTTTCGCCGCACAAGCTTCGCTAGCTGCCGCTGTGAACGATGACAGCCTCTTCAGCGATGCTCTTTACCCCTACGCTGCGACTGCCAGTCCGACCGGTATCGAGGCGAGCATTGCGGCTGTACTGGCGTCGAGGCAGCTGCAGGGGGTCGAGAAGTGGCAGCCCGACGCGGGGTCGAAGGAGAAATTGCACAGGAGGAGCGCGGTTGTGCAGGCGTCTGTCAAGTCGGCGCGGACGACGATGCGGGACAGGAAGACGCAGAAGGCGGGAGGCCCAGGTCGGAGGACGATGGGCTCAGTTCGAGCGGAACAGGCGGTCGAAGCCCTGCCCGTCGCTCGGCTCGCCTAGACAGCGACTGGCATACCTCAACGACGACCTACTCGCGTGAGGCTCCCTTGCTGTCGCAGGTATACCTCGATACGCCCGCTTTCAACACCCCGGAACTCCCCAAACGGCACATCCGCTTCGTTCCGCCTACCACCTCTCGACTCCCCATCCTTTACGGCCATCACAACAGCATCCCTTTTACGACTTCTCTCGCATAACGGTTATCAGCATACTCGGCAAGATTTACAACGCCTGGCGCATTTCATCCTCTGGCTCGAGCAGCGCTCGCCTTCGTCCACCCTCCCTCTTCCACCCGCCGGGCTTGCCCGACTCCCCCTCATCCTCCTTCGTACCTTCTTGGCAGTAGTCCTAGCGACCCTGCCTTTCGTTGTTCTTTGCGCGCCCTGCGGGCTGTATCTTGAAGCGTTTGAAACGCCGATTCCTCTTTCCGCCGCGTCTCGCTTCGGTTCCTGCAGCGTAGAGAAGTCCAACGCAGAGCGAAGCATCTCTCTAATCAGTCAGAAGGCGCTCGGACAACGAGCACAACTTCATCTGTTCCGGCATCTTTCGCCCGCACTTCCTGGCACCGTACCGCTCGCTCGCCTCGCTCGGAACGCTTTGCGGGATTGTCAGTGAGTCATACACAGCTCTCGAGTAGCACACGAGCTGACCGCAATCGCCCCCCTGCAGCCTGCGATGCCCTCACCTCGCCTCGTCTCCTCGAGTCGAGCGCTGCTCTCGACGGCAGCAGCGCAGCAGGGCCTGCTGGACGTCTTTGCGCCAGCCGCCTTCGCATCACTCTCTCTGCACCCTCGCTCTTACTCGCAAGCCCCGAGCCGCCCTCCTCCCCGCTCCTCCGCCCCGCCCTCGAACAATCCCTCTCGCTCACAAGACCGCCCAGCACAGCGTCGGGATAGCTCGCCGTCTCGTCGGGACGGGCCACGAGCTCCTCAGGGTCGCTCGAGGCAGCTGGCGCCGAAGAAGAAGGAGCAGAGTCTCACCGAGCGGCTGAGGATGGCTCGACAGGACACCTCGACTACACCCTCTCCTTCGACCTCGAACGCGCCTAACCCCGCCGACCTACTCTCTGAAATCCGTGCCACCGCTCACTCCCGTCCATACGCTTCCGTCTCGCACGACGACGACCTTTCGACACTCTCACCGGTCCAGGTGCAGAACCAAGCTGTCCTGAACCTCGTCAACGCCGTCAGTACACGGCTGCGCAACTACGACCTGATGTTCGTCAAGGGCTGGAAACCGCTGCGAGAAGCGGGGCAGATCGGGAGGATGAAGGAGTCGGACGTCGCAGAGATCCTCTGGGCGGCGCTGGCAAAGATTCGCGAGACGGGAGCGGCTGGCGAGGGTACCCACTGGCACTGGAAGGAGATCCGCGAGTTGGCCTTGTGGGTCGCGGGCGGGTCGGAGCGGACCATCGTCACGGAGTGGGCGTGGCAGAACGTCTATCTCGGCTACGAGGGATGCGAGCGGGTGATCGACTTGTGGGAGGCTATCTGTCGCGGAGAGGCTGCAGCGCTGCGACGGGCACCGAACGGTCCGAACCACGCGTTCAAGCCGGCGATGCAGGCGTTGCGCGAGGACGGAGCACCTGAGCAGATCAGGCTGCCGGTCGGCCTCTTCAACCTTTCTTGCGTTGCACACGCCCTCTTGCGCGCTCGACTCGATCCTTCAGAACGCCCCCCCTTCGCCTCGATGATCCCCAAGGTCGTGTCGCCGCATCTGCGGGGATTGAAAGCCATCACGCCCGAGTTTGGCATGGTCCAGCGCCTCGGCATCCTCCGCACCTGCGCCGTGTACAAGGTCGACCGAAGCAACGCAGTCGTGCCGTCCGGCATCGTCGCGCCTAGCGTTGTCGACACCGCCGTCATCCCTTTCCTGCGACAAGTCGGCCTCGCTCGCGACTGGTACTTCAAGAATGAGCCCCCCGGCGCCAGGGTCGTCAAGGACATCCAGGCGTTGCTCCGAGCCGGCTCGCAGAAGCAGGCATGGAAGCTGTGGAACCTTCTCCAGGAGGCCCTCGCGTCGCCGGATCTCGCCTGGCTCGGCACGGACGAATGGCTCGAGTCATCCCGCGCCAAGATCCTCGTGGCGGACGAGGACGGGAACCTCATCAACGCTTCGCAGCCCAACCAGGGTGAGTTGCCGCCCGACAAGCTGGACCCGAAGGAGACCAGCGCCGAAGCCGAGTCTGAGGAGGACGCCGTCGACGAAGACGCCGCCTTAGCAGTCGAGACAGTATCGCTCGCTGTGCCGATCGAGCCCGCCCAGCTGCATCAGCGTCACATCGGCGGCATCCTCATCGGCTTCGTCAAGGCCAAGCTCATGGATCACGCCAACACGATCTGGGGCTGGCTGGCTGAGCGCGGACTCTCGCCCGGTGTCGCCTGCTGGACAGGTCTCCTCAACGGCTACGTCGCCAGCGGAGCCCTCGCCTCGGTCGAAGCCGTCTTCCGCGACATGCAGCGCACGCCCGGCCTTGAGCCCGACTACTACAGCTGGATGGCCCGCACGAGGGCGCACTTTGCGGCGAAGGACCCCGAGGCGGCGATGCGTTGCGCGCGCGAGATGATGCGGGACAAGCACGTCCTCGCCGACCTGCAGCGGAGCGGACTCAAGACTTTCCCGGTCGTAACGTGGGACTCGCTCATCGACGGCTTGCTCAGCTGCGGTCGAAGGCTAGAGGCCGACTCGCTCTTCAATGAGATGCAGAAGTCGGGCCTCGAGCCGAGCATGCGCACCTTCAACACCTTCCTCGCCTACTGCACTCGCGGGAAGAGGCCCGACCTTGCGACCATGATCCGCCTCCTCCAGCAGATCGCCGAGAGGGGCCTGGAGCCGGACGTCTACACCTTCACGATGGTCCTCCACGCCCTCCTCGCCGTCGGCCAGAAGGACGCGACCAACCGGACCATCGAGATGATGCAGGCTGCGGGCATAAACCCGACTCGCGCGACGTACGGCGCCGTCATTCACAACCTCGCGTCGTCGGGCGAGCCGGAGAAGCTCTCGGCGGCGCTGCAGCTGCTCGACGAGATGGAGTCGAAGAAGATGGAGACGAACGAGATCATCTACACCTCGCTCATCCAGAACTTCCTCCGCGCGATCGGCACGTCAGGGTCGGGCCACACGACGTCCGAGGGTCGCCACCCTTACGCCGACGCCGCCATGATGCTCAAGAAGCGGATGGAGGCGCGCGGGAAGCACCTGAACCGGATCGGCTACAACGCCCTCATCGCCGCCGGCTTCTCGCTGCAGAGCGAGTGGGGCACCGACCTCGCCATGCGCATGTTTGCCGAGCTCAAGCGCCGCCCAAACACGCTGCACAGCCCTCTCACCGCTTCGCAGCGCAAGGAGAGCGGGAACACCGACCGCATGCTCGTCAACGGGACGTACTATGTCATGCTCGACGGCCTCGTGCGCAACGGCGACTACAGCACCGCGAGGAACATCCTTCACGAGATGGAGCGGTCGGGCTTCGAGGTGCGGTCGAAGCCGCTGCAGCGGCTGGTGAGGCAGGTGCAGTCGGGCTTCCTCATGAACGAGTAGCGGGCGCCGCAGGTAGATCTCTCGCCACTCTTACACAACTGTTGTCCCGTAACGCATCTTGCAACGCATCCATCCACTCTAGGCGACGACTTGGGTCGTCTTGCCGCGGTCCAGCAAGGGAGGCGCCTTGCGTGCGGACACGAGTCCTGTCGACGCTGCCTGCGCCCAGCCCTTGCGGACTCTCTCGTCTCGGGCAAAGTTCTCATTGGCGAAGTCCGAGAGGGCGAGCGGCGTGGGGGAAGGAGTGTTCGGCGAGAGAAGATCCGGCCGCTCCTCCGCGACGTCGACTGGCTTCGTCTCTTACAGCGGTCCATCGCGACGACTATACACGATGCCGTGCGTTCTTGACACTGGCAGTCACTGCAAACGACCGCTGACCTCGCTGCGTCGTCGTTGCACTCACATCTCTCCGCCCCGCAACCTCCACCTCCTCTGCGATTAATACTCCGCACCTTGGCCTTTCACGCTCTCCTCTTCCTCCTGCTACACACGCGCGCAACCATGAGCAGTTCTGCCGATTCAACCTCGTCTCAGTTCCTCCACGCCGCGCCTCTCCCCGGCCTCCTCAACGGCAAGCCCTTCCACGGCTCCGCTTCGTACGTTGTCAAGGACCCGCACAACCCGTCCAAGACGCTTCACCAGGTCTCGTCCATCACCGTACAGGACGTCCCTGCCGTGATTGACGTCGCCCAGAAGGCGTTCAAGTCGTGGAAGAACGTCAGTTCAGACTCCGCTCTCATCTCCGCTTTGCCTCAACATCCGCTGATGCGACGCTCCTGCAGTCGTCCGTCATCGAGCGACGCAACATCTTCATCAGAGCTGGACAGATCCTGCGCGAGCGGATCCCCGAGCTTGCCAAGATCGAGTTTGAGGAGACGACGTCGAGCGAGGGATGGGCTGGGTTTGAGATGACTTTGGCGGCCGACTCGTGCGTCCAGGTCGTTCTTTGAGCAGCTCTTGTGCAGGCAAAGGCGGCGGCTAACATTTTGGACGCGCACAGTATCGAGGAGACCGCTGCCGCGGCAACGAACGCACTTCGCGGCGAAATCGCTACGACCGACTCGCACCAGCGGGCGTACATCGAGCGATGCCCCTACGGTGTCGTGCTCGGTATGGCGCCGTGGAACGCCCCGCTCACCCTCTGCCAGCGCGCTGTCCTCCAGCCCATCATGGCTGGAAACACGGCGATTCTCAAGACTAGCGAGATGAGCCCTCGCACGCACATGATTCTCGCCGAGGTCATGCAGCAGGCTGGTCTTCCTGCCGGTGGTGCGTGCCGTTGTTACCGGAACGCGAAGACCTCGCTTGCTGACTTTCTCTTCGCCTCCTCCAGTCCTCTCGATCGTTCACGTCGCTCCCGAAGATGCGCCTGGCGTCGTCGAGGCCTTCATCAAGCACGACGCTGTCGGCAAGGTCAAGTGCGTTTCTTTCTGTCTCCTCGTTTGGAGAATCTCCTTGCTCACTCGCTGGTCCGCAGCTTCACCGGCTCGACGCGTGTCGGCTCGATCGTCGCCTCGCTCTGCGGCAAGTACATCAAGCCTGTCGTCCTCGAGCTCGGCGGCAAGGCGCCCGCGATCGTCTGCGAAGACGCCGACCTCGAACTCGCCGCAAACGCAATCAAGTTCGGCGGTCTCTTTCACTCGGGCCAGATCTGCATGGCGACGCAGACGGCAATCGTCCACGAGTCGGTCGTCGACAAGTTCCTCGAGCTCTTGACCGACAAGTACCCTCGCGCTTCTGCCGACCCGACCGACGGCGCCGCCCTCCGTGGCTTGTTCACCACCGTCAGTGCAAACCGCGTCAAGGAGATTGTCGACGACGCACTCAGCAAGGGCGCAAAGATTGTCGCGGGAGAGCACAAGGTCGAGGGCAACGTTGTCCAGCCGGTCCTCCTCGCGAACGTTACCGAAGAGATGCGTGCGTTCCGATCTTCTTTATGCTTCTTTCGCTGTTCTCCTTGTACTGACGACTTTGTGTGTGCAGGCGTGTACCGCGAGGAGATGTTCGCGCCCGTCTTCAGTGTCCTGACCTTCAGCGACTACGAGAAGGCGATCCACTACGCCAACGACCACGACTGTGCGTTCTGCTTCTTCCGCGCGTCGTACTCCCTGCATAATGTTGCCTGCTGGCAAGTAGCGAGACCTGGCAAGTCCCGTGGCTGACCGGCGCTTCTCCTCCCCGACAGACGGCCTCGCCGCCTCCGTCTTCTCCAAGGACATCGACCGCGCCTATAAGCTTGCGAAGGACGTGAATGCTGGTCTCGTGCATTGTAATGCGCCGTCCGTGGCTGATCACCCAACCATTCCGCACGGGGGTTGGAAGAAATCGGGCTTTGGGCGTTTCAACGGACTAGTCGGGATTCGCGAGTTCTGCCAGGTGCGTCGACGCTTCGCTATCACTGGTAGACCGATCGCGCATCCGCGAAGCGGCCGGTGGGCGGCTAGGAGATGTTCGGCCATTCCTGCTGGCGCAGTCCCACCTCTTGCCTCGCTTAGCGTGCGCCGGGCGCTTCCCGCTGACTCTTCCACGCCCTTCACAGCTCAAAACGATCACTATTGATGAGAAGGCGACATACCCTGCCCCTTCAGCATGAAGAACGACCGAGAACGACCGCGACCGTCGCCGATTTCCCCTCCGCCTTCTTTTCAGGTCTCTCCGTCGCATTTCGACGTCGTAACCCTCATTGCCACATCAGTGTGTCACTTTAATGCCTTTAAGACTTTCTCATAGGAGCACAAGCACCAGATTTGTGGGCTTTTCGTAGCAATCGTCAGGAGGAAAGCAAGACGAAAGCGAAATTTTCCGCCAGCCCGGCCTTCCTTTTGGCTCACACGACCTGGAACAGGCTACTGAACGACTCAGCGAGTGCTAAAGGGGCCTCCTGAAGGCGCCTCAGGCCGCGACGCCTGCCAAACCCCTTGGAGGGAGCCTTCCCCTCCCTCGTCTCCCTCAACCAGCACACCTCGCCGCTACAACTCGCTTCAGACGCTTCTACAGCACAGCAGCAGCAGTATACCGACCCATAGACGCCATCTGAGCACCTGCCCACCCCTCGCAGGCCGTTGAGCGCACACAAAACCTTCATCAGTAACCCTCCTTCGACCGGGAGAATGGGCGACCCACGTACGTCGAGGCGGGTGCACGCTGTCCTCAACAGCCATTACCGAGCTCACACAGCCCACCCCGCCCGCAGCTCCCGATCCCGCCATCGTTTCGAGCACCAGGCCGATGCTGGTCTATTCGCGTGCAGAGCTCCTCGCGCTGTATACGAGTCCGCTGGTCCCGAACAAGCTGGAGGGCATGAAGGAGCTGTCTGAGTGGCATGGGTGCGTTCGAGTGCCTGCCCCAGGGCGTCTCTCGAGCGGACGAAGCTGACCTCTCCCTTGCCCCGCACACCTTGCACGACTCTCCCTCCCCCTTCATTTGCTCCACCGACGTTCGCAGCGACTTCAACGCACCCCCTTCTCCGCCCCAACAGCGCCACGGCCTCCCCTCCCGCCCTGCTGAGCGATCGCACTCTGAACGCAACCGCCGCCTCAACAACATCGACTCGTCTCCGTTTGCCAACTTTGGCCGCTTCGGCGTCGACGGCGGTCTCGGAGGTGAACTCGAGGGCGGGAACAGGCGGAGAGGCGGGCGCAGCGGGAATCCTCTCGCGGAGGGCGACCGAGACCAGGCGCCGCACCTCGGCGGCGGAGGCGGGCGGGACAGGCGAGGCGAGCCGAGCAGTCCGACGAAGGAGCGTGGCCTTGGGTTGCTGAACGAGCGGGAGCGCGGCGACAGGCTCAAGGCGCGGATTGGTCGAGGCGAGATGGACGGGAAGGGCGAGAACGACAGGGACTTCAGGAGGCGGGAAACGGACGCTGCGCCTGGCCAGTCCCGGCGGGACCTGCGGCGAGGAGTCGGACCGGAGGACGAGGGCGGGTGGCGCAACGTCGGCATGTCACGCGAAGGTGCGTTGCGCATCAGCTGCTCGCAGCAGCAGTACTCACCTCATAAACATCCGCAGAACGCGAGAAGCGCCTCTTACGCGCCCACCCATCTTCCAACAACGTCAACGCCGACTCGAATCGCCGCGACCGCGACCGCGATGCTCCCTCACGTTCGGGTCGTCCCGCCTGGATGGACGAGGATTCGCCGCCCGGCACGTCTGGCTCGTCAGCGCCCGCATGGATGGACGCTCCCGCGACCGGTGGCCTGTCCTTTGGCTCGGATGGTCACGTCCTCGAGGACGCCGCACCGAAGGATGAACTTCCTTCAGGCGGACTCGCTGCTTTTGGCGCGGGTGCTGGCGGCAAGGGCGGGATGGACGGCCTGCAGGCTTGGAAGGCTCAGATGAAAGAGCGCGAGAAGCGGGACCGCGAACGGGAGATGCGCGCAGCAGGGATCCCCGCAGAACGGGAGGAGGCGAGTCCGCACGAAGAGGCTGCTCTCCAGGCGCCGCCGCCAAAGTCGATCTTCGAGGATCTCGGCATCAGTCGCACGACGGGCGCCCCGCCCGGCTTCGACTCCCCGGGGTCCGCGCAAGACGGCGGTCGCTCGTCACGCTTCGCCAGGTTCTTCGACGCCAAGGCTCCGCCACCGCCTGAACCGGCCTCGCCACAGACCGCAGCGCAGCAGCCGGCGGCGAGCATCTTCAGTTCGCTCATGGGTGGAGCGGCGAGTCAACCGACGAGCGGCAGTCCCGCACCGAGCAAGGAGGATGCGGACAGCATGGCGAGGTTGCTGGGCATGCTGCAGGTGTCGGGCGCGAGGTCGTCGTCTCCGGCTGTCGCAAAGCAGACCTCGATTGCGGACATGCAGCTGCCGCCTCACCAGCTTACACCTCCAGCAGCGGTCTCTCCGGCGGCGACGAACGACTCGTTCAGGACAGCAGACGACGCCCGCTCGACTAGCCGCTTCCGCTTCTCCAGCAAGTCGTCGACCGCCTCGCCGAGCGCACCGGCTCCTCCCTCGTTGGCGTTGCTCCAGTCACCCTTCCTCGCAGGCGCGATACCGCCTCCCGCTGCGTCGACAGCAGCATCTCCCGCACACTCGCACGGCATCAAGTCTGCCGTCGAACCTCGGTCGCCGCAGCAGCCGCAGCAGCCTCAGCAGCCGCAGCGCTCGCCCGACGTCCGGCGCGAAGGCGAGAACGGCCACGCCTCGTCTCCTCCTCAGCACGCCTTCTCGCCGCCGCCTCCCCCCGGCATACTTCCTCAATTCGTCAGCGCCGGTCCTTCGCAGAACGGCATCCGCCTTCCACCAGGTATCGGGAGCCAGCTTCCGCCAGGCGTACCGCCTCCTCCTTTCGCGTTCGGTCCTGACGGCCGACCGATTCCTCCTCTACCCCATCCCGGACTTCTCCCTCCCTTCGGCCTTCCGAATGGCATGTCTCGCGGCGGACCCATGCCAGGACCTGGGGGACCTCTCTCGCCTCCGCTCGTCAGCCCGAACGGAATGCCTTCGACAGCAGGACCAGCCTCGCCGACTCAGCACGCTCGCTCGCCAGGTCAAGGTCCGCCGAATGGCCAGTCTCCCTTCATGCCGCCTCTCCCGCCGCACATGCTTTTCCCGCCCGGCGGTCTCCCACCTCCAGGACCGCTCGGCTTCCCTCCTCAACTCCAAGGCGGCCCTCTACCTCCTCACCTCGCCGGTCGCCTCCCGCCCATGCCGCATCCTCATCTCGGCGGGCCAGGCGGTCCCGGTTCTCCTCCACCTCCGCCGATGTTTACGGCGGGCAACAACCCCGGCGCCGATCTCATGGCGCTGCTCAACTCGGGCTCAGGCGGCCAGCGCATCGGTGCCGACGGGCCACCAGCGGGCGTACAGGTCAGGCAGGGCTGATGAGGCAGTCATTCGTTCGCTTCCACCGCTTTTGTACTTTGTCGTTCGTCAGATGCTCCGCCCAGCTCATTCACGCGAAGAGGATTGCGAGAGATCGTTACAATTGCGCTCCGAGTGTCGCGAGACTATGCTACACATTCCGACAAAGACTTGCGGGTGCGAAAGCGTTCAAACCCCCTCCGTCAGCGTCCTCGCTGTATCAAGCCGTCGCTGCCGATGCTGCTGACGACGTGCGCGGCGGTGGCGAAGCCGCACTCGTCGGTACACTCCTCGGCGGTCCTGCAGTGACGGTTTTTGTCGAGGCTGGCAGAATCGACAAGACCTTGGTTGGGCTCCTCATGCTCGATCCGGACAGCGACGGGATGTGGGCGACAGATCTCGACGAGGCGGCCGACGGGAGAGGACTCGCAGGCTTTGGCGGCGATGAGCCGCTCCCAAACAAGGCAGACGAGGCGAGGCCCTTGACGCTCAATGTGCGAGGCGGACTGTTATTCGGCGGCGGCGGCGCCGACACTGCTTGCGCGCTCGCTTGTGGCGCTTCCGGCTGTTCTTGAGGTCCGCCCGAGATCTGACGCTGCTGATTCGCCTCAGTCGCCTCGTCCGGCGCAACTTGCGACCTCCTCGCGCCTCAGGCATTCCTCGTTGTTTCCTCGACCAGCTTCTTCTCCTCCGCAGCGTCGAGTCGCTCGCTAGGGTTGCTGGGACTCGTGTTCACCTCTCCGCGTTCGTTCAGTGCCGCCTGTAGCATCGCAAGACGCGCCGGATTGATGCTGGCGAGTTTCGCGGGCGACGACGCTGACTCGTCTTGCGATGGCGTTGATCCGGCCTGCTGGGACGGTGGCGCCTGAGTCTGCGCTCCCAAATCTGCGCCCGCCTGACGCCATACTGTTGGTTGCGCCGAGCCGCCGATGAATGCGGCTTGCGGTCTCGGCACAAGTGGTCTCAGTCCGGGCTGCATCGGCGAGTAAGCCTCAGTCTGCTGCTGCTGCTGAGCAAGAACCGTCGAAGGCGCAGGACTCGGATAAGAAGGCATCGGGACCGGAGTGAAAGCGGTTTGAGGGACGCCGAAAGGTGCAGGCTGGACTGAGGAACCAAAGATGTGGCCTTGCTGTTGCGCAGACTGGTCGAATCGATCCGCCGGCGCAAGCTGCGGCGAGGGCGGCTGCGATGAGTCGTGCACTTGCTGGTACTCGCTCGCATGCAAGCGCCGGAAGTCCTTGCTCATCTCGCCTGCGGACGGAGGGGGAGCGTCAGTCGCAATGCTCGACGATGTCAGCGGACAGGACGTACTCCAGGTCCAGGTGTGTGCTGTGGGAAGGGTAGACCGTGAGTAAAAGCGAGGCGAGATGGGAAGAGGGAGGCGCACCGCTCCCGCTCTTCGCGAACGCATGCTCGGCGTGCTCGACCCACAGCTTCATACTCGAGCCTGGATACCGACTGCCGTAGAGCTCACGCTTTGCCCTGTCGCGCGCTTGCTTGTCGCTGAAGGCGAGCCAGACGCTCCGATACATGCCGCCGCGAGCGGGCTCGGGCGCTGTGAGCGTGAGGCCGACCAAGTCATCTGCGAGAGCGACAATATCAGCTTATGCGAAGGCGGAGCGAGACGAATCCCCGAAACACACCGCACTGATCGAAAAAGTCGCGGCATTCGGCAAGTGTCGCGCTCTCGGGAAGGTTCGCCGCGTACAGTCCAGAGAGCGCGTCTGCGAGGTGCTGCGGGAGCGGCTCCGCCTGGCCGCTCAAGCCCGTTGCGCCAGGAGCGCCGGCATGCGGACTTGGTCCACCAAGTCTTGCAGCGAGCGGTCCGGGAGGAGGAGGAGGCGGAGGAGGACGCCCTTCCATGCCGGCATGACGAGCCGCGAATCGCGCCATCTCGCGATCGAAGCACTCGCGGACAAAGTCCGGTGCGAGGTCTCGCCAGCGCCATTGTTCTGCGGGAGAGATGTCAATGCGAGACGGAGCGAGTCGGAGAAGCAGACGTACGCTTTCCCGTTGCTGCACCACCACCGCTCGTAATGATGACCCTGCCGTTCCACGAAACGTCGTTTGCCCGCCTGGAGAGCTCCTCCGCTTCCGCCTTGGTCCTGAAAGCGACGAAAGCGATCGTGACCATCGGGACCTGGCCCGGGTTGCGGTCGACGTTAGGCTTCGACGACACCTTGATGCCGCACGGCCTGATATGCATCTTGAGGGGCAGCGAGTGAATGAAAGTCTCGAGGTCGGCCGGCGTGAGGACGCCTGCGAAGTGACGCAGGAAGACGGTGAATAGGCTGCTGGCAATAGCCATCGGGACGTCGGCGTCCGGGTCAGGCATCTGAGGCGGCGGGGTTCCTAGTCGTTGCGAGATGGAAGGCCGACTCGGAAGACTCGTGAATGTTGGGCCAGACGCATGTCCCTCACGCGAGACGTCGTTGTCGATGCGTCTGCGAATCGACGAGCGGAGGGAAAGGTCGCTCCTCGCCGGGCTCGGCGGCCTCTTGCGCTGAGACGTCGGTGATTCCGCGTCCGCCCTTGAGCGAGGCCTGCGGTCGCGCGACCTCGAGCGCGAGCGTTCGCGGCGTGACGGCCGGCCTGGAGATCGTGAGCGAGACCTTTCGCGGCGGGATGTGGGGGCTGGCGAACGCGAGCGAGACGACCGCGTGCGCCTGCTCCTCTCCCTGTCTCGCTCCTTCTCCCTCTCCCTTTCGCGCTCCTTCTCCAGCCCTGTCCCTGCTCGTCGGCCGCGCTCTGTCGCGGCTCCGACTTCTGCTCCTCTCCCTCAAAGACCCCCTCCGGCCCCTCTCCTCCGCCGTCCCGTTCACGCTCTTGCTCCGCTTGTACTCCGCGCGCTCCTTCTCGCGCTCTTTCGTCCCGGGCGTCATCTCCCTTTCGACCGGTCGCTCCTTCTGCCCGTCCCTCTCGCGGGCATTCGCTTCGTCCTCCTTCTTCGGCTGAAGCTCAACAGCCGCCTCGGGCTGAGCTTGCGCCGACCGCAGAACCGAAGAGGGTAGCCTCGACTTGGGCTTGGCTAGCGTCTCGGTAGTCGGCTGCAAAGTGACGGGAGGAGCGGGCGCAGCGGTTTCGATGGAAGTGGAAGCGGCAGGCAGCCCGAAGGGCAGAGGTGAACCAGGTGCAGGTATCGGGGCGGCGGAAGTTGAGGGGACTGGTGCGAGAGTCGAGGCGACTTGCTGAGGTACAACGGGAGGAATGGGAAGGGAAGGAGCGGGAGGCGCGGGTACGACGGCTGGCCGGGCTGCAACAGGCGCAGCAGCATCTGCGGGAGTAGGAGCTGGAGGGAGAGGGGCGGAGGGCGGGACGTCAGGCGCAGTTGTAGGCGGAGCAGCTGCGGGCAAAGCGACTGATTGAAGCGAGAGACCGGCGGCAAAGTCTCGCTCGCGACGGTCGAAGAAGATCTGGATACACACAAGCACCAGAAAACGTCAGCAAGCGTGGGTAGAGGACGCGAGAGACGACGTACGTCTTCTGCGGCAAGAACAAGGTCGGGTGTCGCAGCAGGGTGGAAGCGCACGGCCTGCTCGATCCCGCGGGTCAGCGCACGACGTTTCAAAAAGGACGCGGAACGGGCGCACCGCAAGCTGCGCGCTCGTCAAGCCCTGCAAAGCCGCCTCACCGCCCGAGAGGTCAAAGTCTAGGGCAATCAGCTCGAACTTGGGGAAGAGCTCGCCGTTGCGTTCAGGCTCTGGCACTTGCACGCCCATCGGAGCCTTTGCGTTGATCTGCGCCCGTACTCGCTCCCTTCGCCTGCGCCATGTCCGCTTCAAGGTCGCCTCCAGGCCATCTTCCCCTGCTCAAGTACGCCACAAACGCGTGCACCGCTCGGTCAGGTCGTGTGTTGAGCTCATATCAGCACATCAACGCACAGGAAGTGGACCACGGCGCAAGTGCGAGCTGGTAAGCGGGCAAATTGGCGAGGGTCGTCGGCGAGCACTCAAAGTCGAGTTCGGCGAGGTGGAACAGCGGGAACGGGTCCATGTGCGCTCAAAGAGCAGTGTATCGCCGTCTGGCACCCAGCAAAGCCCGCCGACAGCTGGTGTCGCGGTGTTGTCGTCGCCAACCTGCTCTTGCGAACGAACGCCTAACTCAACCGGCTTCAACATCGCTCAAAAGGGCTGATACTGGCCTAGTCCGTTGATCAGACTGCTAGCGCTGCATGTGGGCGCTCAGGCGGACGAGGCAGGCGCTGTACGCAATCCTACCGGCATCCGCCCAGCCCACTCCCCCGCACACCTCGACACGGACAGGCAGCGAGGCAAAGGGCGCCGTGGACATGCGGACGACAGGCGCAGCAGTACTCCTCGGCATTGTGCTCGTGGCGTACACCCTGCAGACTGAGCTCGCCTCGTACGCCCAACACGAACTCGGATACAAGAAGCCCTACTTTCTCTTCTACCTCACGCACAGGTGCGTTTCCAGTCTGCACCCACGACCCCGAGTGAGCTTACGAGGCCTCTTGCGCGCCCGCAGCTCGTACATATCCCTCTTCCCCCTGCATCTCGTGGTCCTCGCCCTCCTCGGAACACCCATTCGCTCAAACCTCGCTTCGCTCGTCGATATTCTCGCGTTCAAGTACTCAGCGCCAGGAGCGTACACGTCTCTACGAGCCAGCGTGCCTTCGTCGCCCGTTCTGCGGAATGGACGGACCGCGGCAGGTCGGAAGCCGTCCATGCCTGGCCTGATGGACGAGGGACTGCTGGCGGTGACGAAGGGTGTTGCGCAGGAGGAGTGGGTCAAGCACATGGCGAGGAAAGCCTTAATCTTGACGTTCTTCATCTCGGCGCCGGCGCTCTCGTGGTACGCGGCTGTGCCGCTCACGAGCATGACCGGTGCGTTCTTGGGGTTTCGCTACTTCTCTTCCCGCCCTGACGATCTAGGTGGCGCACACGCAGATATCACCGCCATTTACAACGTCTTTGCCTTTGTGGGTCCTCCTCGTCCTGCCTTCCGCTTTGTACCTTCTCAACTTGCTGACACTCGCTAACCCTTCGCTCTCGTCCACCATGCGCAGTGGGCCTACCTTCTATCGCTCTACTACCTTCCAACTCCAGCCACTTCCCGCACCTCCCGCTTCATCCGCATGATCAACCTCGTCTCGGTCCTCCTGGCCGTCTGCGGAGTCTTTGTCATTGCATACGGCGATGCAGCGGCGGCAGGCGGAACAAGCGGAGAGGCGAAGAACAGGCTGGTCGGGAACGGGCTGGCGTTGTTTGGCAGTCTAGCGTACGCAGGGTACGAGGTTTGGTACAAGATCAAGGCTAGTCTTGCGCTCCCTCTCTTCATGGGCTCTCGCTGATCCTCGTTCGCGAATAGATCTCGCTGTCGGAAACTTCGCACGACACGCCTATGACGCCCATGACTCGCACGCATGCTCGCGCGACTTCCTCCGTTTCCGACAGCGACGACGAGCCGAGCAGCCGGTTCGCTGCGAACGGCAAGGACGACCCGGACGCTCCCTCCGAGACCTCATCTCTGCTCCCTTCTCCTCCCGGCACTCCCGATAGAACTGCCTCCCCTCCCCCTCACCCCTCCGCGAATGGCGCTTCGACTTTGCCCAAACACGCTCCCTCCGCTTCTACTTCTCGACCGCGACCCCCTCCACTCGCCCGTACGCCCTCCTACCGCTCCCCCGCTGCCCTCCCCCCACGAATCACGCCCACCCTTCTCCTCCTCTACTCGAACACGATCACCTCGTTGATCGGACTGTGCACGTTCGGGTTGCTGTGGGTGCCAATCTTTGTGCTGGATTGGTGCGGGTGGGAGAAGTTTGAATGGCCGCCGGATGGAGCGGGATTGGTGCTAGTCGGGATTGCAGCTGGCGGAATCGGTACGTTTCTCGATTCTGATCACTGTCAACCGTGATTAGGCAGTTGCACACGAAGCTAACTTGCCGAAACGCGCTCGTACAGTCTTCAACGGAGGCTTCATGATCCTCCTCTCGCTTTGGGGACCCGTCACCGCTTCAGTCGCCAACCTCCTCACTCTCCTCCTCGTCTCGCTCGCCGATGCCCTCTTCGTCCCCTCCGCACCGCCAATGACGACTTCGACCCTCATTGGCGGTGCCATGATCGTCGGTGCCTTTGCGGGACTGATCGTCGCGGAAGTGAGGGGTGAGGAGGCGCATGCGAAGGGAGGAGGAGCGGACGTGGTGGATGACGACGAGGTGTGATGGCCTGGACTGTCTAGACGTGTTGCATCGCTTATCATTTTGTCATGGATACCCTGGCTTTCACGCCTGTCATTTGCTACTCGCGGGACGAAGAGAGGCAGAAAGGTTGGATTCGAGCGGTGATGTCAACAACAGCAAGTCATAGCTACGGCATATCGAGTCGTGGTGCGCTCGGAGGACGCTCTAAGTGCGTCTCCCTCTTGCGACGAGTCTATAACGGTTCAGCCGTCCTCAGTCTCTCCGCCTCGAACCCCTCCTCCGCCTCTCCCATTTGTCCGCCGCAACCTGCCGCAACTCCTCACGCCAGCCGAGATTGACGCGTCGCAGGCGAGCGAGGCGGCGCAGACCGATGGCGGTGACAAAGGCGGCGGAAGCAAAGGCGAAGAGCGAGACGGCGGGGAAGGCGAACGGATGCGTCTCGAGGTACGAGGTCAACTGCAGACGGAAGGATTGTCACAAAGCGCCAGCGAGCTGAGGAATGCGGGCGTCACGCACGTTCATGCCGAAGAGGGCGGCGATCATCGCTCCTGCTGTCAAGCCGAGCGTGGCGATGGAGACGCGTAGGTCGAGGCCGAGCAGCGAGTTCCGGTTCGAGTCGAGAATCAGCTCGATGCTGTTAGGCGAAAAATAGCGTCAGCGTCAAGGCAAGACAACAGGAAGGGGTGCACGCACATGTCTTCGGTGTGCTTGACGTTCGCCTGCGATGCAGTCCGAGTCAGTACAGCTTGAGTAGCTCGCAGAAAAAGGCAGCCGCACCTCGAGCGTCTCGACCTCGCTGACAATCTCCTCGCACTGCTTCGAGAAAGACTCGAGCAGGAGCTCGATCGCCTCGTGGTCGTTGGCGGCGTGGGGCGTGCCGTGCATGCGGGCAGTCAAGTACATCCCCGCCAAGTCATCGTCGTTGGCGAGGAGCTCATCGAGACATTCTTGCACGAGGGTCGCCCGCTTCTGGAAGACGGACAACTTGCGCGAATAGTGGAGGAGAAGGCGGAGGTTGTCGCGGTCTGAAGGCACAACTCGATGAGTGCAATGCTTGTGCCAGTGCTTGATTGACGGCAACTCACCAATATGCTCCTCCATGTGACCAAGCAGCTCGACAACATGGCTCCGCACGTTCGCCAGGTCCATCTCGAGCGCCGTGATTACGTTGATGAGGCAGGCTTCGAGCGCTCGGAACTCGTACGGCAAGCCATGAGCAGTTTTGCTAGTCGTCTTGAGCGCATGCTCGAGCGACCAGACGAAGATGCCACGAAGGTAGCTGGGGAGACTGGCGGGTCAGCGAAGGGACGTCCGCGACGAATGGAGAACTTCGCACCTGTCTTCGGCGCCTATGGAGTCAAAGATGGTGACCTCGTTCGCCGTAATGACGACGCGGAGGTGAAGAACAGTGAAGATGATGCACTCCCGCCGGGACAGGATGGTCGGAACGCTTGTCGGCACACCCGAGTCGAGTTTGCGCAAGTCGCGAGGCTGGATGGCAAATCGCCGACACAGTTCGTCTTTCGGGACGTGCGCAACCATGCTTGAGACGACGCCCTTCGCATCCAACGTCGTGCAGCGAACGTCCATGCCTGCTCCCGCTGCTCCGCCCGACATCGCCGTTCCACGAGATGACCGCAGCGTCCGCTCCAACGCCTTCGCCGTCTCCAAATTCCGCTCTCGCGACTGCCGCTCCGCCTCGAGGTCGACTGAACCTTGGTGTCGACCTCTGCCATCCCGCCCGTCGCCCTTGCCCAAGAAAGCCTGGAAGAGGCTCTTCCGTTGATACGTCTGTGGTCGGTTTGGAGGCGATGGCAGGCCCCGGAGAGCAGCTGGAGCGTTCGACGAGGCGGAGGAAGAAGTCGGCGGAGACTGTGCCGAGGCGTGTGGGCCGAGGAGTAAGTCGTACACCGTCTTGACCGGTCCTGCCTCCTTCTCCGACCTTGCTATCGATGCATGGATCAGTCGTGCGGCCGGCAGGTGCGGTGTCGCCGTGAATCGAGGTGCGGATCCGAGGGCGAGAGGTGAGGCGAAGGACGCAAGCAAGCTGCGCCTGATCGACATGCGCGGGCTGGAGACGGCCCGTTAGCAGCAAACAGGCCAGCAGCAGGACCTAGGCGTGCAGTCGTGGTGGAGTGACGGAGGGAGACTTGTGAGATGTCAAGGTCGATGAGGGTGATCCGGGGGCATCGAGCTTTCCTGCTGAAGTTTCCTTGGATGACAAGAGACGTGCTTTCAGAAGTGTATCCGAATCGGCGGAACGCAGGAGAGTCGGAAGACGAGGAAGATCCGCTCGAATTCAGGAAAGGAAGAGGCAGTCTTCCATCGCTGCTCCTTTGCGACGTCCTACGATTGCGGATACGTGCGCTGACAACGTAGCCTAGGTAGTCTCGAAGGTGTACTGCAACACGCAGCGCAGATGCCAGTGGCGAAACGCTGGCGGGAAGGACGTCCGGTAGTCGCCAGCTTTCGTGTCCTTCGAGACTGTCGCTGGTGACCGCGGCTGTAAAAGCTACAGGTCAACGACACATCCGGGCGATAAGCCATGATTCAGGCGTACGGAAAGGCTCTTACCGTCCGATTTTGCTGGACTCGACCTTTCTCCGCTCCTTCCTGCTCCTTAGACCTCCTGCGCTAGCTTCACCGCAAGTCCCTCTTGCCGCGGAACTTGGCAATGTCGCCGCCGATCAAGCTGCCTGTCGCGTTAAGCTGCTTAAGCTGTCGATGACCGAGAGCGAGAAGCGTCTTTGACTTTTCCTGCGACGTTCCGCGACGGTCAGCGTGTCTCGGGCGCCTCTGCGCTGGAAGTAGGTACTCACAGATTCGACGACCCCTCTGTACCGCTCAAAGTCTCCCCTAACAAACTCGATCGTCTCCCACCTCGCCCTCGCATCGCCCAAACTCCTCGTCGCCCGAATGAACTGGCGGTACAGCGAGAGGGCGTTGGCGCGGTTGATGAACTGCGGCGGAAGAGCAGAACAGGGTCAGCAGGTGTGGCGAGCCCAGGTCTGTAGAGGGGGACGGACGTAGTCGAGGGGGAGGTCTGGCTTGTTGGCAAAGCGGGAGGTTCGGGGAGCAGCTTCCCTCGCTCGAGCAAGCAGTGTGAGCCTCATCACAGCGAGCAAGTGGCCAATCTAGCGAGGTGTGCGAGGGTGGAGAGGCCAACTCTCTCGCTGGCCTCGCTGGACTTGGTCGACCATCGACCAGCTCCTCGTAATCCGCTGGGCCGACTGTCTGCTGGTCAGAAGCTTGTTTGGCTTGTTGTAAAGCGACGTGTGCAGGTGCACTGCTCTCGCAGATCGTGCTCAGCCCGTCGTCGCCCTCCTCGATTCTCATCATCAACCCTCTAGCTGCGACTTGCAAGCCATGAGGCAGATAATGGAGCCTTTGTACCGGTCGAGGTGCTCACTCGAAACACCGACGCACTGCACACAGTGTCTCTTGACCCGTGCAGTCTACTCGAAGAGCTCTTCTCGAGGCGATTCCGTCCACGCACGACGCTGACCGTCGCTCACGCTGAGCCTGCTAGCCGTACAGAGCATTGCAGTCCTATACGCTGCGGCCCGCCTGCGCGCCGGCTGCGGGTTTCTCCTCTCCACCACGTCCGCTTCTTTCGCGATTCCGCAGAGTTTCGCCACTCTCTGTCGTTCCTCCCACCTTGCGTTGTTCGACCGACAGATGGCGAGCTTCTTTCTGACGGGCTATTTCTGACGCGGCTGAGCTGATCTTGACCACACGCAACCTTCCCGTGCGAGGCCGAAATCTCTTCGACGGCGTGAGTCCAGAGTTCCTGCTCTCACCCAGACTTCGCCTAACGCACAAGCCCGCAAACCGCTAACCATCCCGTTTGTGTGAATAGACTCGCCGGCCCGGACGTCGAGGGGTGATTGCCGTGTCAGCGAGGACAGAGGTACAGGACGTGCTGGAGAATCGCTTTCTGCGAGCGCCGATGCGCAATGGCAAGCGTGGAGCGGCTCTCCACACTCAGATAGATAGTCTCCTACCGTCACCCGCATCCTTGCGGCCATCCTCGACATGTCAACTTTCGCGGATGTCAACTCTCCTCTCTCTCGCTCCTCCCCTCCACTCGCTCTCGCCAAACCACCTCGCTTGAGCATGCCGTCTCTCAGGGAGACCAAACCGGTCTCGTACGGCGTGCCTGACCAGTTTCTCGAGCTCGAGCGCGACTACAAGCGGCAGGCGAAGGCCGCGAAGACGAAGGGGAAGAGCGGGGCAGGAGGTCAGTGCGGCGCGCAGAAGGCGAAGGGAAGCAGCAGTGGTGCGTAGCGACTGTTCCATGCTGCCAGACGCGAGCTGACTGAACGCGAACCGATGCAGCCGCCGAGCAAGACGAGAAGTCCGGCGTGGATGAGGACGAGGTCGACCAGCTCGCGTCCGACTACGACCTCGACGACGAGCTGCTCAAGCTTGCGGAGAACGGTGCGAGAAAGAAGCGAAGTGCCGCGAGGGGGAGCGGCAAGGGTGAGAAAGGCGAGAGGGCGAGGAAGGACAGGCTGTCGGCATTGCCGGACGAGATCCTACTGCAGGTGCGCCCTCTCGCAATGACATTACGGTGATGGTGCACGGGATGTGAGCTAACCCAGCGTTCGCCTTGTCGAACCAGATCCTCAATTGCACTTCTTCTCCCGCCTCGCTCCTCTCCCTCTCAATCGTCTCGCGCCGCTTCCACAAGCTGCTCACTTCGCCGGAACGGGATGATGTGTGGGAGGAAGCACGAGCGAGGGCGGGGCTGCCAGGGATGACTGGAGGCGGCTTCACGGAGAGTCAGCTCGCGGAGCTGGTGTATGGGACGATTTGCTTCGTGCGTCGCTTCTCGCTCGGACTCGGTGGAGGCGTATGTGCTCATTGACGACTCAACCCTCCTGCAGACGTGCGGAAAGACCGCTTTACGTATGCCAGATGTCTTCCTTCGCAAGCGTCTCTGCAAGTCGTGCAGGGAGACACAGTACGCCTGTCTGTCTAGCACGCTCTCTCTTCCGTGCTGACAGTCATTTTGTCGTCAGTATCGTCCGCCTCGACACACTCGACGACTCGTTCGGGCCGAAGCGCCTGCGTCAAGCTCTTCGCGATTGCACTTTGCAAAGTCGCCGTGCGTCGACACGCCCATGCATCTCTACAGCATGCTGATGACCCGTTGCAGAGTCGCCTTCGCAACCGAAGAAGCTGTCCAAGACTCGTGCGTACCGCTCGGAACGGCTCGCTCGCTGCTCGCTAATCTCGTCCTTGCGCAGACTACGGCTTCCTCCCGCACGTCCAGCAAGAACTCGGTCGCCTCCTCGTACTCGACCAGAAGGACATCAACGACCAAGAAGCCGAATACGCCGCTGCCTTCGCCAAGCAGCACCAGCTCGCCCTGCAAGGCAGGGGAATCGCTGTCGCGAGGAGTCCGACCGACTCGAGCCGGAGCGCCTACGTCTTCGACTTTGGCCGCAAGGAGGACGAGTTTGGACCGCGCGTCAAGGCCTACGTCGCGAAGAGGAGGGAGAAGCTTGCGGCGCTTGAGAAGGTCAGCCCGTTTGCCTCTCTGAGCGGTTTGCGAGCCGCTGACGATTAAACATGCGCGCCGCAGGAGAGCGGAGCTCTGTTCGAGGCCATCATTCGCCTGGACAAGGAGAAGGAGCAGCACCGCAGCGATCCCGAAACGGGGCAGCCACCTGCTCGTCGCGAAGAGTGCGTCACCGGCTGCTCTCAAACTCATCAGCCGCTCTGACCACGTCCGTAACAGCCTCGAGCGTCGCGTCCTCGCCGACGCGGAGACGGACTTCCAGAAGAGCGAGTGAGCGATTCTACTCGCCCCCGTTCTCTTCTGCGCCTGACTCGTCCGGTTCACCACCACGCTATAGTCTCGTCGAGACCTGGCTCACAGACAGGTTTGTCAACTTGGGCTCGGTCGTCACCGACGAGGAGTGGCCGGAGCTCAGGCCTCGCGTCCTGAAGGTCCTCGACTCGGTCCGCAAGAAACGCCAGTCGCTCGAGCTCAAGCTACAGCAAGCCGCCCGTCGAGATGCACTCAAGCGGTACTACGAGCAGCTGCGCCAGAACCAGCTGTCGCCCGCCGCCAGAACCTTCTTTCCACTCTTCGCCGATTTCCTCCTCTTCGACTCGACCCGCACGCTGTGGGAGCCGAAGGACGCCGTAGTCGACGAGTCGGCGTACAACGCGGCGCGCGATGCGATGGAAGACGAGATCAACGAGTGGCGGGTCGACGTTCGTTTCTATGCCCTCCAGCAGATTCTCGGCTGCACGCTCGACATCCCGCAGGACGAGGAGCTCTCGTCTGACCAGGATGCGTACGATGCCTACGACGACGGGTTCTTCGACCTCCTCACCTCCGCTCTTGTCTGCTCAATCAAGCCCTGCGTCTGCTCCGCCGAGAAGCGCCCGACATTCTTCGGCTCACTGCCCGACCTGCTCGACCATCAGCACGAAATTCACGGCGACCTCAAGCCGAGCATGACAGAGCTCTACACGAAGAAGGCGCTTACGAAGCAGCCCAAGTTCCGCTTCTCGCTGCCTCTCGAGGTCGCCAACGCCGTCGTTGCGCTATGCGAGTTGTGCGAGCTCGACGAAGAGACGGCGACTCCTGGCGACGTCGACGAGTTCTTCGAAGACGACGAGACCGCCCGCCTGCAGTGGTACAACGCGCCGCGCGAGACGCACAAGAAGAAAGAGCGGGACTGGCGGGTCATCGTGCGTACGCACTCGTTTGTCGATGCCAGGCAGCATAGCATCTGACGAGCTTCCTGCAGATGTGCCGGATCAAGCGCGACGTCGACGAGGCTGCATCCGCCAGGACGCCGCACCTAATCGCGCCGCCGGCCTTGCGCTTGTTCGCCTCGAGGCCTGACTCGGAATAGCAGGCGAAGCATTGCATCTTTCACGCTTTCAGAATTCGACTCGATTCAGGGTGAGAGCTACTCGAATGACATTGCGAGAGCGAGCGAAGCGACATCTCAGAAGCCTGCCCCAGGCCGCGTCTTCGGCATGAGCTTCTTCTCCTTCTGTGCCGTCTTCCGCCGCTTCTTGTCTATCGCCTTGTGCAGCTTCCGCTTGTCCTGCGCGAGCTCGTCGAACTTGGCCTTGAGGAAGAGCTTCTTCTTCTCGGCTGTTTGTGGGTACGGAGCAGCGAGTCAGTCACCGTGGGGATGACCAGCTAGAGGAATGGCACGACGCACTGTCCTTGAGGTAGAATGCCCGCTTGCCCTCCTTGCGCTTGTCGGCCTCGCCCTTCTTCCACTGCTGCAACGCCTCTTCCTCGCGCTCCTTGTTTCGCCTCGTCACCTCTCGGTTCTCCATCCGCTTCAGCGCCTCCTCAATCTTGTCCTTCTCTTCCTGCGGCAAGGCCCTGTTCTTCCGCGCTGCAGCAGCCGTCTTGCGCATCGTCTCAAGTTCCGCTTTCTGCTGGTCGGCGAGGAACGAGTACGACTTTTTGAAGAAGTGCTTGTTGACGGAGCCGGAGAGGGGGTCGAAGCGAGGGTCGCGCGCCTTGAGCTCGTGTGTCTCAACGACTTGGCGGACACGGCTGACAGGCTTCTTGGTGCTCATTTCCGTCGGTCTGCGAGAGCGTCCAGTCAGTAGGAAGTAACTGAGTCGAGGATCCAGACGTACGCGTGCTTGTTCGACCTGTGATGGTCATCCTCGCGCATCTTGCCCTTTCCACCCTTGCCGCCCTTCTTGCCCGTGCGCCGCACATCGCCCTCGTCTTCCGTCGCCCGCTCCTTCCCTTTGCCCTTCTGCTTCCCCTTGTTGAGCTGCTTCTGCGCCTTGAGCAGCGATGTGAAAGGAATCGAGGCGAGCTCTGCGTGAGAGGGAAGGGTCAGCTTGACAGCGACGGCAATTCTCGCCGCATCGCGCACCCTTTCCAATCGCTTCCTGTAGGAGGAATGAGTCAGTACGAAGACCTGACGGCCCTGAATGTAGCTGTATACGCACCTCGGGGTCGTCATCCTCCTCCATCCGCTCGCCTTGATCGCTCTCGTACGCCGCAACGCCATCCTCGTCTTCTTCCATCTCGTCACCGTACATGTCTTCGTCATCCTGCTGGAAAGCCGGTCGACTCGGCCCCGCCTGCCGCTCTGCCGCCCACTCATCCTCCTCTGAATCGTCGAACTCGTCTTCTGAGGGCGAGCCAGACGAGGGGGAAGCAGGTGGCGGCGCCGCGCGGGCTGTTCTACGGCTGCTGGCGGTCTTCTTGGGGATTCCAGCCGGCATCGTGCGCGTGTGAGAGCGAACGGAGGTGTACAACGGGATGTGGTGCGGGTGGGTACGAGGGAAGGGAGAAAGACTAGGGTGGACGGTGGTGGCCGTGAGCGCGCAGCAATAGCGTTTAGCGGGCTGTACAAGCTGACTCGAGCAGCCTCGTGAGGTGAGCCTCCGTCGCGGAGTCCAAACCACCGCTTGCTGAGCTCGCGAAGGGTCAGGCTCCGGCACCTCACGCGCTCAAGCTTGACGGGCCGTTGCACACGCTGCACAAGCCTCCTGGCTACGCTTGAACCGCTCGCTGCAGCCTGATTCGCCGCGAAGACTTCGCCATGCCTCTCCAACCCTCATCAGTTCTTACGCTTCCCGTCGAGCTCCTGCGCCGTATCGTGGACATGGCGGTCGACGACGGACGCTGGGAGGACCTCACGACAGTCGAGTCCCTGATGCGCGTCAGCAGAGCCTTCAACGGCATAGCGGCGCCGATCCGCTGGCGGGCGAGTCGGTACTGTCTTCACCTTGCGAGCGGGTCGAGTCATCGCTGACCGGAGACCGTTTCCGCACAGGTCATCGACCTCTACAAGCGGCGCGAGTACACCGAGGACGAGTTCTTCGACACCTTCTCCGAGCGGACTTGCAGCCTGTTCCGCCGACTCGAGGCGAGCGGGCCGCACTGGAGCGGCGCTCTGTCCGACACGCAGCAGACTACCTACACCAACATCTACCTTCGCTTGCCGAAGGTGGAAGACATCGCCTTCTGCGCTGTTGCCGAGGAGGCGAAGAAGCTTGTCTACCCTCGCCTCACGCACTTCTTCGCCGACGCAGGCCTTCCGCGCTACGCCATGACGCCCAACGAGACCGACAATCCCAGAAGCAAGATCGATTACGACGGACTCGCCCTGCTTGACCCGATTAGAGTCACTTCCGTCGTTGTGGTCGCAATCTTCGTTTCCGGCGCTCTCGAGGCGGTTCTGTCCCGCCTCTCGTCCTTCACCGCCATCGGAGAACTTCATATCTCGATGCAGTTCGGCACGATCTTTAACTTGAGCAGTCTTGCGGCTGTCCGATCGCCGCTGCGTGCGCTCACTCTCGACACCGAAGGATGCGTCAGCATGTGCCGTACGCTCGTCCAGCTTCTCGCGGCCTATCAAGACACGATCGAATACCTCAAAGTCAGCGCCCTCCTCGTGACCGACCCGAACTGCCCTCGCCCTTCCCTTCCTCGCCTCCGTCACCTCGTCGCCAAAGTTCCTGAACCCGTCGGCTTCGCCTCTCTCTTCACCTCTTCGCCAATCGAGATTCTCGACCTCGCCATCTTGTCACCGTACGGACCGCTTGGCAACTCGCTCGCCGACACGGTTCACCAACTGCGCAATACCCTCGAGATCATCATGGTCGACGCGCAACTGCTCGGCTCGCCCGCCACCGATTTCGGCAATCTGCCCGAGCTATGGAAGGCTGACGGTATCGGATGCATCATACCGCTGAAGGAGGACCCCTTCTGGATGAAGGAGATTCGCCACTTCGACGAGTTCCAGCGGGCGAAGAAGGTCGGCGGCATCGGCATCATCTCGGACGACATGTTGCACGGCGGATGGGAGCTCGTGAGGGAGTACTAGACGGGCGGGATCGCTTAGTTCGGGGAGCTGTAGAAACGGACGTGTAGAAACGGGACTGGAAACGCTTTGACCGGAACGAACATCTTTCGCATCTTCGCTTCCGAGTCGAGGAGAGAACTCGCTTTGATACTAAGTGTCTACTGCAGGCACTGACAAAATAGCGCGAGAGGTACAGTGAAAGAGCCAGCGCGCGAGGAAATAGGAACGTCTAGCGATGGGTACAGATGGGGGAGAAACGACGAACGAAGCCCAGTCGCGAAAGAGTGAGAGCATGTGTATTTAGCCGTCGTCGGCGTTGACGACGCGCAGCTCGCGCTTCGGAGCGAGGCCGGTTGAGATGAAGGTGTCGAGGCCGCGGGTCTGCTCCTCGACGTCGTCGCTGCGAACAGAACGATACTGTCAGCCATACAGCGCTGAACTAGAGCGAGAGAATGACGACGCACTCTGCGGGACCGAGATGGCCTTGACCCGATCCGCTGCCGCGCCTGTCCCATCCGTACGGCGGGAATGGTGCTCCTGAACCAACCGAGTCGCGGTGTCTGCGGCGCGCGAAAGCGTCAGCCACTCGCATCAACACCAAGATAGGACCAAGAGAAACGCACTTCTCGTAAGGGAATCCAAAACGTCCGCTCGAGCTGCCCGAGTCGGACCTTCCCGGACTCGCGCCCATCGCAAACCGTTCCTTCTCGTGCTCGTCAGCCGCATCGTGTCTCTTCTTCTTTCGCGCGAGGAGGAAGAGGATGAGTGCGAGGAGCGCGAGCGCCGCGACGCCGCCTACTACGCCTCCTGCGATGGCGCCGACGTTCGTTGACGACCCACCGCTGCCGCCGCCGCTCGTGCTTCCGCCGTTGGTCGAGCCGCCGTTTCCGCCCGTCGCGCCGCCCGGCGTGCTAGATCCCGAAGACCCACCCGTCTTACCCGACGTGTCGGGGTCCTTGGTCCCGTCTCCTCCCGTCGCCGACCCAGCGCCCGACGAGGAGTAGCCCGTCCCGATTCCGCCAGTGATGTTGGCGACGAGCGAGGGTGTCGAGAAGACGGTGTGAGACTTGAAGTTGCTTTGCCAGGTCATTGACGAGGTGTTGAGGACCTGCGAAACCACAAGAGCCTTTGTTAGCACCGTGCGCCTCTGTCTCACGTCGCAGATGGCTCAAACGAGTCGAAGCGACGACTGGAGTATCGGCGAGCTCACAAAGATCCCGGGCTGTCGCAAAGCACATCCGACCTCGTCAACCCGCCGACAACGACCAACTGATTGCCCGCCAACGCGCACTGATGACCCGCCCGTCCGGCCGGCGCGCCAGGGAGGTTATCACCGACGTAGGTCCAGGTGTAGGTGTAGTTCTGGATCGTGAGGGTGTAGATTGCCGAGTCGCGCGCGGTTTGGTTCAGTTGTTGACCGCCGTAGATGATGCTGCGTCGAGACGAGTGTCAGCGAGGCACAGAGCGAGAAGCCAAGGAAGAGGGAAAGGCAAATGCACATGTGGTGCGTCTCGACGCCGTGAACTTTGGCCGACGCCCTCACGGCGCAATGATTGATCCTCGACCCCGGCCTCGCCCCGAGCGTCGACTGCTTCGTCCACCCTCCGCTTCCGATGTCATACACGTCCAACACCGCTCCGTCTTCGACATACTGCGTCGACGTCGCTCCACCAATCGAGACCAGGATACCCTTGCTGTTCGTCCCGAGATTCGGAACGTACGAGAGCGTCCCGTCTGCGCGCGAGAGTGGGTTACTCTCGGGCGTCGAGGCGTTCGAGGTGTGGCCCGAGCCGGAGAAGGACGTGATGTTCTTGAAGGTTTGCGAGCCGAGGTCGAATTGGACCATCGAGGAGAGGTAGATCCGGTCGATTTGGTTCGACCAGCCTTGCGTCGTGTGGTCGTCTTGGTGCCCGTAGCTGTCTGCGGGCGGCAAGAACCTCGTCAGTGCAGGCGAGTTGAGAAACGAGCGAGAGGGAAACGCACAGAAAGCGAGGTTATCCCCGTTCGCTCCCAAGCCGGGCACGATCGCGGGCTGACCTTCCGCTGCGTTCCCGACCTGATCGCCCTTCGTCTGGACGACACTCCATTCGTTGGAGGGGATGTCGTAGACGAACGTGCGCGCGTCGGGCGGAGGGACCGTCGGGGTGTCTTGGTACTGCCCGCCCCACTGGTAGAGCTTGTTTCCGTCTGACGACGTCCAGAGCGCGCCGACTGGGAGGACGAGACGTTGTCAGTATGGGTGAGAGAGGGGAAAGGGGAGGGAGACGGACGAGCGACGGCGGGAGGGTACGAGTAGTTGCCCGTGTCCTTCTGCACGAGCTTGAGCGGCGGCGTCCCCGTGTCCCAATCTGTCCAGTTCGGGTGTCAGTGTGCGCCCTCTTTCTCAGAGAGCCGAGGACTTCGGATAATCCGCCGAGCAGGGACGGAGGCTCGAGAGGGAGAGGAACGCACCCTGGTCGAGCGGCAACGACACGAGCGCGTTGGTCCACAAGTTGCTCGTCTGACCCTGACTGGTCATGGCCTCTCCTCCATAGTACCACAACGTCGAAGTCCCGTTCCCGTTCGAGTCGGAGGGCGAGTTGGCGACGGCCGCCTGGCCTGACCAGCGGAAGCACGGGGTTGGCTGAGGCTGCGACTGGGCTGATGCGGCTGTTGCGGATGCTAGGAGAACCAGGAAGGCTGTCCATGTTGGCCGTGCCATGGTGGGTGAGGAAGCAGGCCAAGAGAGGGAGAGGAGGCTCGAGAAGGGGGTCGTGGGTCGCGCGGGTGTCGCGGGCAGTCGGTGTGGGATGCTGTGGCAGTCTCTGTCGTCGTTTCGAGTGCTGTCGAGTGAGCTCTATCGTCGTTTGAGCGTGGCGACGGCGACAAGAGCGAGCGGACGACCCACTTTGCCGTGTGAGAGCCAAAACCGTCATCGTTTGCGAGCACTCTGCCAGGATGCCCGCCAACTTGCACAGCAGCACTGCCGTATTGCTCAGAGTCTACTGCAGTGTTATTCAGCCAGCAACGAGGCCGTTGTCGACGACGACACTCGCTCGTTCCGCTCAGCGAGGCGGTGCAGCCAGGTTGACAATCTCGAGCAAGCGAATAGACTATGCAAGCAAGCAAGCGACTACCACACACACACACAAAAACATGCGAGAGAGAGTACACAACCCCATTCAAGCGAAGACACAACGACGAGGCTCAGAAGCGAGCGATCTGGTTCCGCCAGCCCATGTACGTCCTGTCGGGCTCGGGCTCCTGCCGGTCCTTGCGACTCGCGCGCCGCTTGCCAGGCGGGGCTTCGTACCGCGGCAACTCGGGGTTGGCGGCGTCCTGCGCGGTGAGGCGGGGTCAGCACGGTGAGAGCGAGTGTGGATGAACGCGCACGCACGTAGCGACGTTGTTCTGCGCCGGCGGTGATGAGTGGACGCCATTTCTGGATCGCCGTCTTGAGCGCGAGCTCGCGCGTGCCCTTGCTGTTGAGCCAGGCGATGAGCGAGTCGAGCTGGAGAGCCAAGACGTCAGCAGAAGCTCAAACTGCCAAAGCGAATGAGCGGACGGCACACACCTGCTCGTCGTCCTCGTAGTACGCCCACTCGTTGACGCCCAGCAACTGCTCCGGCTCCTCGACCACCTCCTCCCTCATCCTCCTCTCCCTCGCGCCCTTCTCCCCCTCCTCCCCCTTCTCCCTCACATCGCAAATAACCTCCCAATCCTCCTCGCTCGGGCCCTGCACGAAAAGCCTTCCCGTCCCGTACGTGACGACTTCCTCTCCCGCCGAATTGGGCACGACGAGGTCCATCCCGCCAATCCCGTCGAACCACCAGTACCGGCAGTGAAACCGGTCCTTGCCGAGCGGGCGACAACGCGCGACACCCTGGTATCGCCTAAACTCGCGATCGACAAAGTCGTCCTTGTGCGCGTTCTGGCGCATCAAGTCCTCGATCGTCGGCGGAGCGCGAGGGACGTCTTTCGTCGCTCCTGTCCCACTCGTCAAAGTTCGTGCGCGAGGCGTACCCGACCCTGACGCGACAGACCCCGCCCGCCCACTTCCACCCTCCTGCAACTTCTCCAACCGCTTCTCCTCGAGCGCAGCCTGCCGACGCGAGAGGTACGAGATCGAGCCTGCCTCGGAGGGGGCGACAGACCGCTCGTCGTCGTCGTCCGACGCGAGCTGGTCTTCTTCCTCGTCTTCGTCGGCGCCGGCCGAGGGCTTGACGGACGCCGCGCGCGAGGGCGTCTCGGTCGCCTCGGAGGGCGCGCGGGACGTCGAGCCGTTTGCTGCAGGAGCGGGCGGAGCGGCAGCGGGCGTGGCGGAGGGCGTAGAGGTACCGTTCGCGGGGGCGGGCGTGGCCGAAGCGCCGCCGTTGAGCGATGTTGCGGCGGCGGGCTCGATCTTGCCGCCGGCGTCGAGGATGGCCTTCTTCTCGATGCTGCCAGTGCGCGAAGAGTCATCAGTCTGTGTTCCAGAGGAAGAGAGAAACGAGAAGACGCACAGCGCCTTCTTCTCCTTGTTGACATCCGCCTTGACCTTCCTCAACTCGGTCAACCTCGCATCCGACTCGTCGACAAAGCTCCTGACGACTTTTGAGCCCATGACGAGGGTGCACAGGTACGCGACGATGTCGAGTTTGTCCTCGAGCGCGAGAGAAAAGTACTGAGGCTCGGCATCGTAGTCGCCGGCTTTCGTCGAGGGCGAGTCGGCGGCGGGAGGAGGGGTGCCGAGTTGGTCGACGTCGTCGCGCTGATCGGGCTGGTCCTGCTTGGTTGTCGAGGACGCGGGCGGGTTCATCTCGGCATCCCCAGCTTCGCCGCCCTCCTCCTCCTTCTTCGGCTTGACGTCCGCCTCCGCCTCCTCCTCGTCTCCAGGGTACCAATCCTGCTTCGGGAGCGCCGGGTGGCCCTTGAAGAGGTGCCTCATGATCCTCACGAAATTCGGCATATGCACCGGTCCACCGCGCTGACACAACGCTCCGATGAGGTGCTTCTCCCACCCCTCGCGCTTGTCCGCACTCTTGAGTTTCGCCTGCCGGTCCCACCGCTTCGCGTGCGAGATCCCGAGCCGGACGAGCTTGTTTAGCTCGGACTCTTCGTACGGGATTTGCTCGTACTCGACCGTCCCGTCGCGCTCGGCTCCCGCTGCCGCTCCTGCTCCGTCCGCAAGCTGATCGTCGCCCTCCGCAGCCGGCGTACCAGGCTCCTCTCCCGCCGCCGCCGCCGCCGCAGCAGCAGCAGCCGCCCCTCCACGCCCATACGAAGGCACGGCCGTCGTCGACCCGAGGACGCGCGAGTTGTCCGTCCCGATGATGTTGGTGAGCGAGGCGTGGATCTCGGTGAGGAGTGTGCAGCGAGGGTGGGCGTGCGGGTGGTTGAGCGCGCCGGCGTAGTCGTCGAGCGAGAAGGGCGAGATGTTGAGTGCTTTGCTGTGAGTCCACCAACCAATTTCATCAGTCTTCGCTCGGCACAAGATGCCGCACGACGCGATAGAAGAGTCGCGGGGACTCACGAGAAGACGTTGAGCATATTCCACGTCTCGACAAAGCGATCAAAGTTCTCCTCGGGCACGAGCAGATCCCTCTTCGGCTGAGGCTTGGGCGGAAGGGTCGGCAACTCCGAGTTGACGCGGCGCAAGACACGGCCGTCGATGATCGACATGGGGTCGAGGTCGAGGTCTTCGATCGGGTACTTGATGGGTTTCTTGGTCGATTCGGACGGGACGGCGCCGACTGTTGAGGCGCGGTCGAGGGGCGTCGAGGCGGATGCGGGAGTCGCGGAGCCGTCGACTGCGCAGGCGGAGCCAACCTTCACGTCAGCCTCCGTCTCTCGCGAGGACGAAGAGAGAGAAAAGGCCGCTCGGGCGCCCAACTCACCCGTCTTCCTCCTCTTGGCCGGTCCCTGCTTCCCCTCCCCCTCCTCCCTCTCCTTCCCCGCTCCACCTCCCTCCCCCGCCTTCCTCCGTTTCGCCAACTTGGCCTCCCTAGCCTTGCGGTTCCTCTCCTCGATACTCCCGCTCTGTTCGAGGGGGATATCGAATGCCCGCGCGATAGAGGGCTTGACGATCCACGGTGCGCCGATTGAGGCGTCCCGCATCAGGCATTCGCGGAGGTAGCGCTTGAGGATGGATTTCGAGAAGGCGAGGCGGTCGCGTCTGACGCATACCTATCATCAGCAGCTTCTCGAGGGAAAGGGAGGAATGGGACGCACGAGAGAGAGCGATGCTTAACCTCCATCGTACTCCCCTCAAACTTGCCCTCCTCGTCCATCAACTGCAACGTATAGAGGTACTCGTCCGGGTCATCTTCGGCCCGCGCAGTCTTCGGATCAATGTTCATGTCGACGCCGGTCTTGTGTGCGGCCGAGGCGTAGAGCGAAGAGGTGTCTGTGGAAGAGGTCGAGGGGCCGGAAGAGGAGGAGGCGACTTGGTCGCGGATGTTTTGCGGGGGAAAGACGTTCGAGATCAAGGCGAAGTACCTACCACGCATCCCCATCAGCTCCGGAGGGGAGAGGGAGGAAGAAGGAGCAAACGCACTTGTCGCCGGCGATGTCGACAAAGACCTTTTCGTCCTTGAAGTAGCGGTCTTTGTAGCGGTCGTAGACGAGGTCGACGAGCGAGTCGAGGCGGCCCATGACCTCTGCGCGAAGCGGGCGAGCGTCAGCGAGTCCGGGCAGAGTTAAACAGGCGGAGGACGCGTGGGAACGCACGGAACTGGACGCTGCCGAGGACCTTGCCCTTGAGCGCGTCGGGGAACCGCTCGCGAACGACCTTGCTCTCGGCCTTTTCCGACTGGAGCGCCGAGAAGTAATCCAACCCGCTCTTTCCCGAGTACTCGCACTGGAACTGGCGGGTGAGGAGGAACGTCAAGCGGGCTGCGTACTGTTCGTAGTCGAGGAAGATTTCGCCTGTCGCTTTGAGGTAGAAGACGGGCGAGGTTGGGGAGAGGCCGTCCAAGGGGGGCAGGGGGAGGAGCGCGACGGGGCGGCGGCGGAGGAGGGGCATGGTTGTGCGAGATGTCAATCCGCGACGAGGGTGAGGGTGGGAGTGGTGAGTGGACTGGCGAGTGTCAAGGCGCGGGAAAGGAAAGCGTGCGGGAGAGAGAGGGTGACGCCTTGGTGAGTGGGCCAGTCAGAACGAGGGGGGTTGCGAGTCGGGGTGCGAGGCGATGAAAGGTCAACGGCGGAGAGTGCAGGCGGGGTGGGTACGCTGTCCTAGTGTTTGTGAGTCCAATGGAGTGGTTGCTCGAGCTGTGCGGCGCGAGAGTGGCTGAGCAGCGAGTCGAAGGACGTGGACGGGAGGGTGGACGGGCGGGGTGAGAGGTGTGGACGAGGAGGATGAGGGCAAGGGTGCGACTGGTTCGACAGTGTGTGGGTCAAGTTGCGTGGGCTGGTGCTGCACTCGAGCACGCGCACGACGCCGTGGATGCGCTCGCGGGAAGCAAACGACGACGACGAGCACCGACGCTGGCCAACCCCCGTCCCTCGCTCCCCGCTTGTAACTCTCCCTTCCATTACAAAGTTTGTATTCATCATTACTATTCAGACTCATTACCACTCCCTGCCCTTCGCTTGTAGTGCTCTCCGCTCGACTGTGCACGGCTCGGCTTAGCTCTGCCAGCACCCACTTTGGCCCGCTGTCGTCCTGCTCGCCCCTGCCACCCTCCGCGACCGCATACACGCACTCTCGCTCACCCTTCCATTTCCTCGCGCTCTCTCCTGCTCGACACGCGCTATAGATCTGATACGCTGTGCCGTACGCGAGATCCTTGCTAGACTGCGCAGCGTCTGGCGCTCACCCGGCCGGACCCGCGCGCATGCCCCACCCCTTCCTCCTCGCCCTCCCACTCCGTCTCCTCTCCGCCCTCCTCTCCCGCGCTTTCTTCCAGCCAGACGAATACTACCAATCCCTCGAACCCGCCTACTCCCTCGTCTTTGGCCCGCACGCAGGAGCGTACGAGACGTGGGAATGGAGGGTCCGACATGAGAGTGAGGGAGCTTGGTGGGAAGGCGGAAAGGGGGGGATTAGGAGTCCGCTCGGGGTGGTGGTGAGTGCGGGAGTGTACTGGGTGCTGAAAAGGGCGGGATGGGACGACGGAGAGTGGATGGTGCGTGCGAAGACATCCCTTCTCTCTCTTGCTCTTCCTTGCGGGGCAGGCCAGTTCTTGCTTGCGATGAGCTGAGTTGATCAGATCGGCACGCACAGGTCCTCGCGCCCCGACTCGCTCAGGCATGCATCGCCGCCTCGATGGACGTCGCCTTCGTCCGTCTCTCCTCCCGAATTCTCGGTCCAGCCTACACCAACGCAGCAGTGCGTCGTCGCCCTTCTCCTGAGCTACACAACTCGCGGCGCTAACTCACGCAACGCTTCTCGCGACTTACCCGCAGCTCCTCACAACCCTCACCTCCTTCTTCCACTTCTTCACCGCCTCCCGCACGCTCTCCAACAGCACCGAAACCGCTCTCACAGCCTGGGCTCTCCGGTACTGGCCCTGGGACGCCGCCGACACGTCAGAGTCGTCCTTGCCGATCGCGCTGGGGTTTGCGGCGTTAGCGACGGTGTTGAGGCCTTCGAATGCGGTCGTTTGGGTGTGGATTGGGGGATGGTTGTTCGTCCAGGCTGGGGGGAGGAGGAGGTGGTACATCATCCGTGTTGCTGCGCACATCGGGTACGTCCCACTGTCCCTCTCTCCCCCGTGCAAAGCTAACCTCGCCGCGCTGCGCAGCCTCCTCGCTTCCCTCTTCTCCTTCACGCTCGACACCCTCTTCTACCGCACCCCAACATTCACCCCCCTCCGTTTCCTGCACACCAACGTCTTCCGCTCCATCTCGCTCTTTTACGGCTCGAACTCGTCACACTTCTACCTCTCCCAGGGCGTCCCGATCCTCCTTCTTACTCAACTCCCGTTCTCCCTCCACGGACTGTCAGCGCGGCGCTGGGAAGGCGTGAGGAACCCTCGAGCACTAAGAGCGCTCAGGTGGACGCTCGCGGGAACGATCGGGACCTACTCGCTCCTCTCGCATAAGGAATGGAGGTTCATACACCCCCTCCTTCCCGTGATGCACCTCTTTGTCGCGCTCTCACTCGTCAAACTCTCCTCCTCTCCTCCTCCTTCGACCTCTCGGTGGTCCCGAACGACCCGCGTCCGTCCAACATACACAGCACTCCTCTTCCTCTCCCTCCTCCCAGCAACTTACCTCACCTCCTTCCACGGGCTAGGCCAAACCCGCGTCTCTGCGTACCTCCGCTCGCGGGTGGGAAGGGGAAGGAGCGTGGGTTGGTTGATGCCGTGTCATTCGGCGGGGTGGGGGGCGCATCTTCACACCAGGGAATGGGGACGTCGGGTACGGGATCTTGAGGTGAGCGGGAAGGGGGAGGGAGAGAAGGGAGGGATGTGGATGATTACTTGCGAACCGCCTCTCGAGTGCGTTTCTCTCTCTCTCTCTACCTCTCTCGCGTGCGTGGAGAAAGTGGACTGATTGGATTGGTACGCGAGTGCAGCGGTCAAGACCCCTCGACGTACCAAGACGAGACAGACCACTTCTACGCCTGTCCCTGCACGTTCCTCTCCACCCGCTTTCCTCCACTCGTCAATCCCTCCTTCCCCTCTCCCTCACCCTCCACCTCAGAGTACACCTGGCCCGCTCACCTAATCCTCTTCTCCTCCCTCCTCTCTCACCCCTGCCCCTCCCAATCCCCCTTCGACAACATCGAGGTCCTCCTGAGGGACAAGGGATATGGAAGGGAATGGAGCGCGTGGAATACGCTCAATGGGTGGCATGAGGATTGGAGGAGGAGGGGGAGGGTCGAGGTTTGGAGTTGGCGGGCTTCGGGTGTCGATGGGGCAGGCGGAGGCGGTAGAGAGGGGAGGGAGGAGGGGTGAGGGTAGATGGAGGGTGAGGGTAGATGCGCCTCGTCTGGACAGAGCGCAATGGTTGATGCGCCAGCGAGGATGGCGACGTTGTGAGCACTCGTGGCTGGTCGCTTGTGGGCGACGTGAGAGCTGTCTCAAGGTGCGCCGGTGCGATCTGGTCGCGAGAAGCGCAAAACATGCAGGTGCTCCCGGCCCGCCCGTCGTTTTAAGACGATCTGCGCACCGAAAAATCCTTCATCAGCTTCGGATCTGGCTTGACGAGGGAGGGAACGGGAACGCACCTCTCCCTCGAGTCCGCGCGCTTGCATGTCGGCTATGATAGCGAGCGGTTTGTTTTCTGGCACCGCGACGAGGTAGAATAGCCCGCGGTCGGAGAGGAGGGTCTGTAGAACCGCCGCACAAACTCAGCTCATCTTCTTGAATGTCAGCGGACAGACGCACGTCGACCTGCTCCGACACCCGATTCGTAACCCTCATCCCGCCCACACCCCCAGCCCAGCTCTTCTCAATCCGCTTCCCCTCCTCACCCTGCGCCTCAACCACCTCCTCGTCCTCCGTCTCAACATAAGGCGGGTTGAAGACCAGTACGTCAACTTGGTGTGTTAGGCGAGGGAGGAGGGCGGAGGTCAGGTCTGTGAGGATCGGGTTGAGCGGGACGGAGTTGCGGGAGGAGGTGAGGAGGGTGCAGCGGCAGGCGTGAGGGTTTAGGTCGGTTGTTAGGTAGACTGTGCGAGAAAGAATGTCAGTAAAATGACATGAGAAGATTAAGGAGAGTTCGCACGAGCGGAAGAAGGACCGCAGATTGCGCCGAGGAAAGCGGAGACGCAGCCGGACCCAGACCTGTGGGCAACATAGACTCGTCAGAGGGTGCCCAGGCTTCCCCGTCATTCGTAGATGCCTCACCCGATCTCGAGGCAGACCCTGCTACCCTTGAGCAGTTCCGCATCCTGTTCGAGGGCGTCGAGGAGGATGAAGGTGTCCTCTGAGTGCACAATCCTTGTCAATCGCGTGATCGGCGGACACGAGACGGAGGCGAACTCACCTGCGGGCTCGTACACGTTCTCAAAGTCCGCCGCGCTGAGGTGCGAGGTGATGGGAGTGGGGATCATCCTCGTCGACTGATGAAGGTGGAGAAAGCGAGAGGGGCAGCTCGTGGCGAGTTGGCGAGACGAGCGCGGGTGGCAGAGTGTTCCTGAGCCAGCAAGGGAGCTGATCACGCTCGTCAGAGCAGCGCAAGACGCAGTCAGCGAGGGTGTGGAGGGGCAGACGCTTGGACTTCGCTTCTCTCGCTCGTTCACTGACCTGGCTACCGCCTCGCATACCTCTTGACGGCTCATTGACGATGGTGCGCTTCCTTGTAGACCTCGCTCAAGCGAACACAGCACTCACGCGGCTCTCCCGCTCCTTCCCTCCTGCTCTCCACACCGCCTCGACTCGCTTCCATCCCCACCCTCATTACAACAGGTCTCTTTCTCCTGCGAAGGCTGCGGCGATGTCCTGAAGAAGGGGAAGCTGGACCAGCACGCTGGGCGATGCAGGAACGCTTACTACACTTGTATGTCCGCGTTTCCCCTCTTGCTGCGAGTCCCTCGCTTCCAGCCGGTGCGGCTTTTCGTCTCGCCACGGTTGGATAGTACAGCGGACTGAGCGGCAAGAAGGCTGGAGAGGCGCGACTGCCACTCACGCGCTCGTCGCTTACAGGCATCGACTGCAACACGACTTTCGAGGGCACCTCGTACCGCTCGCACACGTCCTGCATCACCGAGGAGGAGAAGTACCAGAAGTCGGTGTACAAGCCTCCCAAGGGCAAGAAGGGCAAGCAGCAGCAGCAGCAGCAGCAGCAGAACGGACAGCAGGAGCAGAAGAAGGAGGAGCAGCAGCCTGTCGCTTCCACCTCGACTGCGGAGGCTGCGGCGCCGGCGGCTGAGGCGAACGGGGATGTGAAGGCGGAGAAGAAGCGTGCGCGGGAAGAGGAGAAGCGTGAGGAGAAGGTTGTGGAGAAGCAGAGTGAGGAGAAGGGCGGCGCAAAGGCGGAGGACGAGCCGGCCAAGAAGAAGAAGAAAAAGTCGAAGAAGAGCAAGGATGCGGCGGCATCGACCGACGACGCGGCAACCGCAGCAGCAGCACCCGAACCCGCGACGAACGACACCTCCGCTCCCTCCCTCACCACCTTCCTCACCGACTTTGTCACCCCCCTCCTCAAGGCCGACGAGAACGTTTCTCTCGCATCGCTGCGGCAAAAGGTTGTCGAGGCTGCGAAGGAGAAGGGCGTCAAGGAGAGTGAGAAGGACGTTGAGGCGAAGTTGTGGGAGGGCTTGAAGGTTGGCGGCAAGAAGGGCAAGGTCCGCGTCGAGTTTGCGTAGACGGGCGGTCCCTGTATCAGCATCGTTCGCATTGCCTCGTTGCGCCTGCTGTCGGAGCCGATGGCCTCGAGCCTGAGCGCTTGGTGCACGCTTTGCTCGTCGAGCGAAGCGTCCTGTCTCCGCCTCCTCTGCTCCTGACTCAGCAACCCCGCTCACCCAGCATGCGAAGAGATACGAAAGCAAATCCCTGCGCATTACAGCCCGCCGAACAACTGCCCGAGCCCGTACTCGTCCGCTCATGACTTGAAATCCAGCTTAGTGTAGCCCTCGAGCTGCGGTCGCCAAGAAGCGAAGCAGTTCACCAGTCAGCATGCAAGCGCTGGACCTACCGAAACGGACGCAACCGCGACGCACCCGGTTTGTCCGCAGCATGTCGAGGTATCGCTCCGTCAAGTGGTGGCACTGCTCGTAAGCGTTGACGCCTGTCAAGCGACCCCCAAACTGACGATCAGCTCTGCAGCCGCGGAGGCTCGGGAAGAGCCGAAAGACGTCAACGCCGCGACGCACCCTCAGTTCGCCAGCACTTTGCCAACTCCTCGCGGACGATGCGAGTCTCCATGACGCCGATCCAGTCCTGGCGGATCTTCTCGTCCCGTGACTGGAGGATCTCTGTTAACGCACGATTGTTGAAGAAGGCGGGACAAGGGGAGGAGGGGAGGAGGGGAGAGTGGGCGAGAAGGAAGAGAGGAAAGGTCAGCTTCGTTCGTTGTGCCGCTCGCACTCGTTCAAGAACTCCTGATAGGGGGCTAGCCGTCCCGCAGAGCCATCTCCGCCAGCCTCTAGCGCATCTGCCGGGTCCAGGAGGAGCGGAACAATGACAGGGCCTGAGAAGCCTTGCGGCCTGTCCAGCTTCCTGCATCGCCGTATGTGGACCAGCGCACTCTTCTGCAACCATCTGCTAGCCCTGCCTCGTCCTCGTTGCGATCGACCCGATGAGAAGACGAGGCGTCCCAAGTTCCGCTCCTCCCGCTTAGATGCCCGCCTGACTGGCCTGGCGCTCCCTTGAATCGTGCCTGACCCGATCTCAGGGCCTGCAGCAGGTCGCGCGGCGAGAGCGCGCCCTGCCGGACTGTCCGCTGGGCGTCTCGCTCGGGGAGGAGTTGCGGAACAAGGAGACGACGCTGGCGGGCGAGACTGACCGCGGTAGTTGTCGGGGATAGCAGACTGAGGGACAGGCATCGTGCACGAGCAGCTCTGGCGGAGTGGGAGCGGTGGAAAGCAGCAAGAGGTTCGCTCCCCTCTCTCTCGCTTCGACAACTCGCCCGCTCGCGCTTGACACGATGAGCTTGAACGAGAACGCCGTCAGGACTGCCTCGCAGGCTCACCCGAGGCCGGCAGACATCACCTACACCTACGGGACGGCCGGCTTCCGCGCAGAGTCCGCTCCCCCTCCTCTCGCTCAACGTGCAGGCTCCTCGATCGCTCACCTGCTGCTTTTGCCTCGCTATGCAGTGCAGAGGTGCTCGACAGTGTCATGTTCCGTGTCGGACTCTTGGCGGCGCTCAGGAGCAAGAAGCTGGGCGGCAAGACGATCGGGGTTATGGTCACGGCGAGCCACAACCCGGAGAAGGTGCGCTTGAGCTGTCTTGTTTGCCCTTTCAAGTCCTTCAGTTGACGAACGATCTACCCGCAGGATAACGGCGTCAAGCTCGTCGACCCGATGGGCGAGATGCTCCATTCGTCGTGGGAAGCCTACGCGACTCTCCTCGCTAACGCCCTCAGCGACGACGCCCTGATCGCCAGGCTCAAGGAGGTTGTCCAGACAGCCGAGATCGACCTCTCGAAGCCCGCCAAGGTCGTCTACGGCTACGACACCCGTCCGTCTTGCCGCACGCTCGTTCGCGCCGTCGTCGATGGCTTGAGCGCTTTCGACGTCGAGCAGGTCAACGCGGGGCTTGTCACGACGCCGCAGTTGCATTACCTGACGAGGTGCCTGAACACGGAGGGCACGCCTGATGCGTACGGCGAGCCGACTATCGAGGGCTACTACAAGAAACTCGCGAACGCTTACACGACTCTCGCCGTGCGTGCCATCTCCCGCCGATCTAGCCAGCTTATCGCTGATGAGGCTCGCCTACGCGCACGACCTGCAGAAAGGACGGCACCTCCTCCCGGCCTTGACCGTCGACTGCGCGAACGGTGTCGGCGCTCCCAAGCTGAAGGAGTTCGTCAAGGTGATCGGCCAGGACATCCTCCCCGTCATCCCCGTCCGCGACCACATCAACCTCGCCGGTCAGCTGAACCTGAACTGCGGCGCCGACTACGTCAAGACGCAGCAGCGCGCGCCGAAGAACGTCGACCTCGTTCCTTGGCAGCGGTACTGCTCGTTCGACGGCGATGCGGACCGAATCGTGTTCTACTATGCCGACGGAGAGGGCACATTCCACTTGCTTGACGGCGACAAGATTGCGGGACTCGCGGCGGGCTTCATCATGGACCTCGTCAAGGACGCTGGGCTCAGCGTCAAGGTTGGCGTCGTACAGACGGCATATGCGAACGGCGCGTCAACCAAGTACCTGACTGAAGTGCTCGTGCGTGAAGATTCCGTCTCGTCCTGCCTCAGCCAGCTCATCTCCTCCCTGGAGCAGGACGTACCCGTCACATGCGTCCCGACCGGTGTCAAGCACCTCCACCACGCCGCCGAGTCGTACGACATCGGCGTCTACTTCGAGGCGAACGGCCACGGCACCGTCCTCTTCTCCCCGTCGACCCTGACCACCATTCGCACGCACACCCCTTCGACCCCCTCACAGTCCGCCGCTCTCGACAACCTCCGCGCCCTCCTTGAGCTGATCAACCAGACAGTCGGCGACGCGCTGAGCGACATGCTCCTCGTCGAGACGGTACTCCTCCATCGCCAGTGGACGCCCGCACAATGGGACGCAGCCTACTCCGACTTCCCGAACCGACTCGTCAAGGTTCTAGTGCAGGACCGTCATGCCTTCACGACGACGGATGCGGAGCGCAAGGTCGAGAAGCCCGAGGGATTGCAGGCCAAGATCGACGAGGCGGTCAAGGATGTCGTTGGCGGAAGGAGCTTTGTCCGGCCAAGCGGGACGGAAGACTGCGTCCGCGTGTATGCTGAGGCGGCGACGAGGGAGACGGCCGACCGTGAGTGGCTTCCTTCGCAGCTGAGTTGGCGGACAAATGCACTACGTCCTGCGGCTTTTCCCCTTTGGCGACTCTGCTCACGGTTTCACCACGCCTCGCAGAGCTTGCAAACAAGGTCGCCTACGTCGTCTTCGATTCGTACGGGAAGGGCCAGCGCCCCGTCAATGGCTTCTTCTAGATTCCCCGTCTTCCTCCAGCAACATACCACGTTTCTTCCCCGACACCCGCAGCCGTCTACCCTTTGCAAGCATCGTCCGCCCTCCAACACTGCAGTACAGACACTCGTTCCTCGTCCGTTTAGACAGCTGAAGGACGGAAGGAGGAGAGCGAGCGAAAGCGTCTTCAACAAGCAACGGGATAGGCTGCGCTTCTCAGGGCGTCTTCGTACGAGTCCTTCGGATACGAGATGCACCCGTGAGCAGCCTCGCAGCGATGTTGAGTTCATCGTCTCTGGCGAAGACAGCCGTCGTCCGGATTGGCTCCTCGTACTTTGCCGTCAACAGCCAAGGTGCGCTTGCTTCGCTTCGAATGAATCGTACGGCTCTCCGGCAGTGACCCAGGCGTGCAGCGCGGCGCCCGGACGAGGTCGCGAGGATGTACTCCGCCTCCCTCTTCCCCCGAGCTGGTGGTGTCGCGATGACTGCTACAACAGCGCGCTGGACGGGTTCGCAGCTGCGTTAGAGCACAAGCCCGACTATGCAGGAGTTGAGCTAACCAACTGTCGACTCGCGCGCCCACAGACCAACCTTGACGATGCGCGCCTCTTCCGCCGTTCACTCGGGCATGCCCACGGGCAACAAGTACATGGGATGGTGGGGCGACATGGGAGGACCCACGCAGAAGGGTATCTCGCAATACGGTGCGCTCCCGTACTCTGCTTGTCGCGCTTGCCCGTCCCGCTCGCTGACCTCGACTCGCTCGGGTCCGCATCGCAGTCGTCTCGCCGTTCCGCCAGGCTCCCATGCGTGGCGCCTTCAGCCACTACCTCCACAACGGAGTCCGCCGCCTCGGCCAGCAGGCCGTCTACTTCGTCGTCCCCTTCGCTGCCGGTGCGTTGAGGCTCCTTCACTCGCATGCTGGCTCGCCCGACCTGTATTGAGGCTAGCTCAGCTACAACGACACGAGTGCACGACGCTGACACGTCCGTTCGCAGCCTACGGCATTCTCCAGTGGGCGATCAAGGACAACCACCTCCGTAACTCGAAGCACGGCCAGGCCCAGGGTCTCTTCCCGTAAACCGGCGGATCAGGCGGTGTTATTGTAGCGTGGGGATTGTAGGTGTAGACGATCACTAGCAAACCAGCGGTTCCATCTCACTCGGTTGCGCAGTAGTGAGAGTTGCAGTCGCCACGCTTCCTCGCGTATTCGCTTCCTTCAGCAGCAGCTCCTGGCTGGCTCAACGCACCGAGAGTAGCTTGGAGAGGGAAAGAGTGGTAGTGAACAGCGACTCTCGACGGGAGGAGACGCGGATATAACGAAGTGACAAGGATTACAGCCCGACTTCCGACGAGCGATCTATGACATCTCGACCATCCTCCCGCTACGCATGCCGTACAGCACAGAGTCTACCGCCTCTCCTTGCGCTTCTTCTTGTCCCGCTTGTCGGCATCGTTGCCGGACCGCTTCGATGAGCGGTACTGTCCCTTCTGCATCCGCTCGAACACGCGACGCGCTTCGCAGTCGGGGAACGAGCGGTCGTTGGTTGGGTCGAAGTAGAGCTGCCCGTACTCCCACAGCCTGCAGGAAGGAGAAGGTAAAGTCAGCACGAAGCGGAGGAGACTGGCGGGCGGGAGGGGGAGAAGCGAGACGTACCATTCCGGGCGAGTTTCGGTCACAGTGCGCACGAAGTTGCGCGTAGTGAGCACGAACTCTGTTTGGGGTGTCCAGGGCGATCAGACGGCGTCAGCGTACGATTCTGCGGTCCGGAGGACACCGCACGAGAACCGGCGAGGCTTCGCATCGCGAGGCGCACGAGCCCGTTGGATTACGCGCCTGCGCCGACGCCAGCAACCTCGTAGGAAATGAACGCACCGTTGTAGATGACCCACTCGGGCTTGTGGTCCAGGCCGGTCGAAGGATGCAAGCCGACGACCTGCAAGTCCTTGATCGTGACGTAGCCCTTCTTGTCGCCCTCGTTGTGCGCAACTTGCATGAAGAAGCCAGCGGTGAGCGCGCGCTGGATGTTCTCGTAATACGACTTGTCCTCGAAGGAGGTCGAGATGAGGTCGCTGCGCCCGAGTCGAAAGATCAGCTGTTTGAGCTCCGATGAAGCAAAGGTGGCACGCACAGGTCGAGCTTCTCCATCGTGCGCTTGAGCTGGTTGCGAACGTTGTCGGCCTGCTGCATGGCTCGGAATGAGATATAGTTGTTCCAGCACCAGTTCGCATCCGGGTCTGGGAACGATTCTTGTCAGCTCGGTGGTGTCAAGAATCAGCGCTGGCAGCAGGACTCACTGCTCTTGTACGCGTGGTACAGGTTGAGGAGCGAGAGGTGGTCGCCTGCCGGATGAGCGAACTGCGCCTTCGCTTCGTCCGCCTCCTTGCGCTGGCTGTTCGGGCGGAGGTACGGGTTCGGGACGGAGAGCATGGCGGCGATGGAGAGAATTTCGTTCGAGCACTTGAACTCGGGCGAGACGATCACCATCTTGGCGAGCTGCGGCTCGAGCGGGAAGGCCGCCATCAAGTCGCCGAGCGGGGTAAGGTCTGCGCGAGCGCAACGTCAGCCTCGAGCCTCGCTGAACCCAACGATGATAGCACGCACTGCCGTCGTCGTCGAACGCTGCGAGGTAGTTGAGCAGCTCGAGCGCACGCATGACCGTCTCTGGTGCTGGGGGGTCCATGTAGTCGAAGTGGACAAGGTCGTCGATGCCGAGCTTCTTGAGCTCGAGAATGACGGATGCGAGGTTGCACCGCAAGATTTCGGGATACGTCTGCTCCTCGAGCTGTAGAGGGGAGGAGAACACTCAGCAACTCGCCTTGGTCCCCGTCGAAGTGGAAGAACACACCTCCTTAACAAAGTCCGACTCCGTGTACAACCTGAAGCACTTGCCCGGCCGCGTACGTCCTGCACGTCCCGCCCGCTGGTTCGCGCTGGCCTTCGAGATGGGGCTGACGAGGAGCGACTCGACACGGATGCGCGGGTTGTAGATCTTCTGCTTCGAGAAGCCGGGGTCGACGACGTAGACGATACCGTCGATAGTGAGCGACGTTTCGGCGATGTTGGTCGAGATGACGACCTTGCGTCCGGGAGGACCGTCGGGGGTACGAGGGGGAGGCGCCTTATCGAAGATGCGTTGCTGCTGATGGGGAGGGAGCGACGAGTAGAGCGGGATAGCCTTGAGCGGGCCGAACTGGTGCGGCAGCTGGTCCGCCTCGACCATGATTTTCCGACACGCATCCTCAATCTCCTCTTCACCAGTCAGGAAGACAAGGATGTCGCCTTCGGGCTCGGCTTGGTGGATCATGAGGACGGTGCGGATGGCGGCTTCGAGGTAGTCGGGCTCGGGTTCAGGCGTGTAGAAGCTGCAAGTGAGCGAAGGTTTAGCTAGGAGCGGAGGGAAGGGCTTGACCGGCACGCACATCTCGACGGCGAACGTCCTACCAGGCACCTTGAGCAGCGGTGCGCCGAAGAAGTAGTTCTGGAACTTGGCGGCATCGAGCGTGGCACTCATGACGACGATTTTCAAGTCCGGGCGCCGCTTCGCAACGTCCTTCAACAGGCCCATCAAGATGTCGGTGGCGAGAGTGCGCTCGTGTGCCTCGTCGAGGATGATGCAAGAGTAGCGCGAGAGCATGTGGTCGTTCATCGCTTCGCGGAGGAGCATACCGTCGGTCATGTACCTGTGAAGGAGAGCAGGTTAGCTGAAGTCGCCCTCCTTCTCCTTCACAGCCGGCACCGTGAGTTTCCGACACTCTACGCACTTCAAGAAGGTGTTCGGGCTCGTGCAGTCCTCGAAACGGATGCTGTATCCGACCTCCTCGCCCAACGAGACGTCCATCTCGTCCGCAACACGCTTGGCAACACTCATCGCGGCGACACGTCGAGGCTGGGTACACGCGACCTGCATGCCGGGCTTGCGGAGATGGGGAAGGTCGGCGTAGGCGACGTATTGAGGGATTCTGGTGAAGGAAGAGTGTCAGTACCGCTTTCCTGCCTTATTGCGCCGCCCGCGACGCACTGGGTGGTCTTTCCTGATCCTGTCTCTCCCGAAAGAACGACGAATTGGTTGGCGTTGAACATCTTGAGGAACTCGTCCATCTGCTGGTGGACCGGCAGCTTCTTGCGGACCTCAAAGATCTCCCTGTACCGGTTCGAGAATGGTCGCTGGCTGAAAGGGTTGAAGTCGCCGGCCTGCAATCATCACGGAAGGGAGACCGTCAGCAGAGCGAGCGAGGAAGCGAAGTCATTTGGGAGGACAGGCGTAGCGAGACGGCAACTGCTCGAGCTGCTTCGCTGAGCACGCAGAATCACTCGCACTAGTCTCAAATTTATCCTAAGGAAACCGCCAGACCCCCTGCACCCCTTGAGACCGCGAGCCAACCGCCATCGCCTCCTCAATTGACAAGAATCCCACCACTTCGCCACAGCACCAGGAGACGCCGTAGCGAGCCTGAGAGCAATACAAACAGAACAAGACGCACCATGACCGCCTCAACCTCCTTGCCGCCCTGCTTCCTTGGGATCCACCCCTCGAAGCCTCCCTTTCCGCCGTTCGCTCCACCCGTCATCCGGTCCGCTGGGTTGTTCAGGTGCGCGAGGTAAGGATTCTCGACGGGAGCATCGGTGCGAGCGCGCTTCGAGCTGGGCTCAGCCATCGTAGCGAACGAAATGGTGCGAGTCCAAGCAGTTGCGATCCGGGCAGGAAGTCATGACCTCTTGTAAAGTCGCGCAGGACTCGTGTGGACCCGCTGAAGATACTTGCAAGAACTTTGAAAGATTGCGCAGTGTACAGAGACAGCAGAAAAACGCGAGGAGAAGGGGAAAAGTCGGAACAGGGGTAGTCGCGGCCGGCAAACAGGTCGACTCGTCCCGAGCGCAGGTAGTAGACGCTCGATGTGCTGAGAACGCTCGAGAAGCTGTCGTGAATGTGGCGGGCGAATCGGATGAAGAGGAGCGGGATCGAAGATGGAGGTATGGAAAGAGGAGTATAGGTCAGGCAACGCTAACGCTCACTGCAAAGACAGGCGTCAGCAGAGATGCACGATGAGGTCGACGGACAGGCGGCGAGGACGTACGATGCTAGCCGTCGAGTCGACCTCAATGGTCGGGGCTGCACAGAACACAAGCCACGGTGTCAGTCGCGCGCAACAACGCTCGCAGGCATGACGCAGCAAAGATTGAGCTGGTGCACGCACTGATGGTACTGATGAACTTGAGGAAGACGAGCAAGTACTGCTCGACCCGCAGTCCCTCCTCGTCCTCGTCAGCCTCGTCCGCCTTGTCGCCCTTCTCGCTCTTCTCCTTCTTCTTCCCGAGCCCGAGCCACTTTCCTCCACCGCTCTTCTTCTCCTTCTCCTGCGACGCCGCGCCCAGGCCCGAAGCCGCCTTCTCCCGCCGCTGCAACTCGCGCACGTTGCCGTCCATCCGCTCGATGACCTTCTTCATGACGCTCGAGTGCTTGCATGGGTGGACAGACGCGATGGAGAGGGAGGAAGAGTGAGGGAAGGGCTCGATCGTGACGGTCTTGAGTGCGTGGTCGGAGGAGACGTCTTCGAGAGCGGAAGTCGGCGGGAGAGGTCGCTTTTGCTGTGTAGTTCAAGCACGCGTCAATTCGGGCACGCTATACATCTACCTGCTATACCACAGCTGTAGCTGTGCTTGCAGGACGGTCTGCAATGGCCGAAGACGAGACGCACCTCGTCGTAGCCGAGCAGCCACATCCGCGGGGTCTGGTAGTACTTGTCGTAGGTGATCATGCAGTCGTACGTCCGGACCTGAATGATGTTGTCGGATCTGCGACGAGAGCTGCGTGAGTTTCGTGACGTCGAAGCAGGCAGCCTCTTGCACAACGGCAAGGACAGCCTGCCGAAGCGGACGAGTTGAAAAACACGCACCGACCGCCCTCCTTCTTCACCGGCTCGACCTTGACCGCCGCATCGTCCTCTTCCTCGACCAATCCTCCGCCAACCGCATCCTCGTCGTCCATATCAGGGATGTCGTCAAGATCAGGGATCTCGTCTGCCTGGATCGAGGTGTCGGCGAGGTGTGAAGTGATGCCGTCGACGGCGTGAGAGGAAGAGCTAGCGGAAGGGCCGTCAACATCGGGTATGTCGCCAATGACGGGGATCTCGCTCGTCGAATTCGGGTCTGCGGGCATCCGGGAGTCAGCATCAAGCGTAAGTCTGTCATCCGCTGCCCACTTCGCTCGAGTCAGCGGAATCACGCACCTTTCGCCGAAGTGTGGGTCGCAACCCACTCGTCTCCCGCATCGCCCGCAGCGACATCGCCTTCGTCAAGCTCCGCCGTGAAGTGCATAAGCGTCTCTGCATATTCGTCGTTCGCTCCGCCTTGTTGGCCGAGCTGCGAGACGCGACGTAGGCACGGGACTGTCGAGCGAGGGCGAGACAGTTGACAGGACGCGCGAGGTGGACAAATCAGCGGCGCGGCGGCAAAGACGGATATCGCCAGAGTGTCGACGGGGAGAGAGTGAGGAGAACCACCCGTCAGCGCATGCAAATCGAATCGACGAAGGAAAGAGCGCACCATTCCGACTGATCAGGTACTGCTTGTCCTTCGGCAAGAAGTCCCTCGCCTTTCCCGGCTCGCCCGCCTCCCACTGCCACGTCGGAAACTTGTAGACGAGAAAGTCTCCCGCTGCGACAAACTCGTCGGGCGTGATGCGGCCGGTCTCCTTGAACTTGGAGTCGCGAAGGACGGGCGCGAGGTAGTCTCGCACGGCCCAGAAGTGCGTCTGCGGGCGCGTCCACTGTCAGCTGAGATTCTCGACCAGTGCGCGAGTTCACGATGCACCTGCTCGTGTCGACAGCCCAGGGTGAAGCATCGAAACACGGTCAAGTGGGGAGGGGTCGAGAGGAGTCAGCTGGCGAGCGTGTAGAGCTGGAGCCGCGGGAGCTTGCCTGGATCGAGCCTAGCATGTCAATGAGCGGATCTAGCTGGTCAATGAGCGCCCACGAGCAGTGTGAGCGGGACAAGCGAGCGGTACGAGATGAAGAGAGGCACGAGCGGGTTGGGCGACGACCACACCTCGCCATGTCGCTGAATCACCCATTAGTGCGTGCAGGGCTGCTCAGATGATCCGCTTGTACCGACTAAGCGTTGCGACAGGCCCCGAAAGTCGCGCCTTCGTGCCGTCGCTATCCTCATCAGTCCGCCGCGCTTTTCCAGACTTTCGTCGACCTCTCGCTCGGTGGGTAGTCCTGGACGATGTCATTGAGACCAACGACCGAATCCTGATCCGCCTGATGTGTCCGCAGCCCAGCAATGGCGAGACGTGGAGGTGCTTGACCTGGACGAGTGCGGATGTGCGGTCATTCGAGGGCTGCCAAGGGAACCGAAGCGGGTGAGTGCGACCCTGCTCGACTTGCGAGCTCCAGCTGATCATTGTGCACACGCAGTCACCTCCAGCTGTCGTCCTGCCAATGGGCCTGACAGTCCCCACATCCCTCGAAGCGTGCGTCCAGGCTTCTTACGGGCTTCCCTCGCAGTCCTAGCTACTTGACAGCTTGCTAACACTCTTATGACAACATGCAGCCTCGACAAGGTCTTCCAAGCCGTCTCGCGCCGTTTCCCCTCTCCCTCTTCCTCCAGCGACAAGCCGGCCTCTCCCTCCGACAGCTCGTCTGATCAGCCCGAGCACCCGACGACAATATACCTCTCGATGATTGAGAAGGACAGCTCGATCGTGTACTACGTCCTGCGGCAAGGGATCGTCTCGCCGAAGGAGGTGCCGGAATGAGGGCGGCTGTGGAAGGGGCGCCTGGGATCGTAGAGGCACGCATCGCATGTGTTGTAACAGTAGCGCATTCCGCATCCTTCGCCTGATGCCGCCATTCTGCGCGAACAAGGCGTCTCGGGCGATGCTCTCAAAGAGACGCGAGCTGAGCATAACGATGTGAGCGTTGCGAAGAGCGGTACAACAACGACGACAACTGTTCAAGCGACAACTGATGGAACAAGACAGGCCGAGAAACCGCTGACGCCCGCCAACTGAAAAAGCGACCTCCTCCGCTCCTTCGCTCACTGCACAATGACGATATCGTCGTCGTCTCCCGCCGAGCTACGCCGCCTCTTCTTGCCCGGCTTCGGGCGAGCTGTTTTATCGGATACGAGAGCTTCGTTCGGCGGCGGAGAGGGCAGGAGCTCTAGAGCTGCGCCGTGTCCGCCGAACGAAACTGCGTTGAGATTGACGCCGGGCTTGTCGTTCGAGACGAAGGTTGGTGCGGCGCCAGCTCGGCTACTAGTACGTTGGGAGGAGGTGGAAGACAGGGTAAGGTCGAGAATGGGTAGCGCCTTCTTCGACTTGGGCGTCGGCGACTGGTCTTCTTCTTCCTCTTCCTCCTCCTCGGATGACAGCGTCATGACGTCCGACCCGCTTGTCTTCACCTTCTTCCTGCCTTTACCCTTCTTTGAGCGCGCGGTCGCCTTACTTGGACCGGCGACAGGTTCCTTCGCTGCGGCAGGCGCGAGAGCTACCGCAGCTCTGGCTGGCTGCTTGCGCGTCGGCGCCGGCGCTGCTGGGGCTGCGGCGGCGGAAGGGACGAGAGGGACGTGGAGGATGTCGCGGTGCCAGTCGAAGACCTCGTCCGCCGTCTGTCGGAGGACGGGACCTGCCGATGCGGTCGTGATGAGGACGACCCGGCACCGGTGATTGCGCAAGGTCGAGCAGGCGTAGGCGTAGTCGCGGTCGGCGGTGATGAGGAGGACGACGGGCGACTTCTGCTGAAATGCGAAAGCGCACATGTCGACCATGATCATCTTAACGACTACGTCCTTCTTTCCCGCGTGCGGGGCATCAATGATGTGCCAGCCCGTCGACTGGAGGACATGCCGAAGCTCTGTCTTCCGGTTTCCGCGCTCGAAAGCTGTCTCGACGTAGACTGCCGCTCGAGCAAGGACCCCATGCGAGTGTGCAAGATCCCGCAAGCGCGTCAAGGCGGGCGCAGCGTCGTAATTCGAGGGAAAGCGGATGTTCTGCAGGAGTGGAGGGGTTTCGAGCAGGCGAAGGGGTGAAGTTGCAGGAAGAAGAGGCGTGAGCGGGTGAAAGAGCGGTAGCGAGTGCTGATGGAGACGTCGCGCACCTCGTAGTCCCAAAAGATCTGCACAACCGTGTCCTTCGGCATCACCGCGCAGCCCGCTCAGCGGTGTGGACGCCGCGTGCGCCCGTTCCAAGCCCTCGAGGTCGCCAGGTCCGGTCGCGTTGAGCGTCGCTTCGGGCGGCGAGCGGACGGTTGTGAAGCTCGTACGTATGCACTGGGAGCACCTTCAATCCGCTTCAGCCAGCCAGCACGGCGTGTGAGCGGGAGCAAAGGCGTGTTTGATGAAGAGGAGGAGAGGGTCGAGGGTCCTTAACTGGTTAGGGTAGGACTCTGCGGGTCTTTCAGCAGCGTGGAGTACACGACTAGCGCTCTCAGGAACAGCAAAGGGCTGGACGAAACGAACAGAGGAGTGATGGCAATGCAAAACGAACGACAAAGCGAACGAACAACCTCGATACAGCCCAACAATCCTTGTGAACCGATCAGAGCTTAGCCCCGTCGTCCGCAATCTTGACGAGCATCTTGCCCTGGTTCTTGCCCGCGAAGAGGCCGACGAGGGCGTCGACGCACTCCTCGAGACCGTTCGCGTGCGTCTCACGCAGCTTAAGACGGCCGTCGCGGATGTAGCGGGCCATCTCCTCAGCGGCGATGTGGTAGCGGTCGGCGTAGTCGAAGACGATGAACTGCAGGAGAGGAGGGTCAGTCGGGGAGGCAGAATTGGAGAGAAAGGCAAACTCACGCCCTCGATCTTGGCGCGCTGCGAGATGAGGTTGAGGTAGGCTTGGAGACCCTTGGGGTTCGGGTCGTTGTAGGCGCTGCGAGAGAGAGAACCTTCCGTCAGCTCGAACATCCCGAGACGGAAGAGACCTGTCGAGGGCAGACTGACGAGATGGCGCCGCAGACTGTGAAGCAGCAAGGCCCAATCAGCGCTAGTAACAGCAAAAGATAGAATGATGACGACGCACGAGCGATCCTGGCGCCCTTGTTCAGCCTCGTCAAGCACATGTCGAGGATGTCGCCGCCGACGTTGTCGCTGCAAGGTTGTCCTGGCCAGGTCAGTACCTCGCGCAGGTCTGAGAGTGCATCGTGAGGCGGCACGCACAAGTAGACGTCGAGGTACCCGATCTCCCGGAACTTCTTCTTGAAGTCCGCATCCTTGTAGTCAAGCACCGTCTCGATGCCCAAATCCTCCTTCAACCAACGACACTTGTCCTTCCCTCCCGCGATCGCAACCACCTTGCACCCATGGATCTTAGCCAACTGACACGCGATGCTGCCGACCGCGCCCGCCGCCCCGCTAACCACGACGGTCTCGCCTGGTTTGATCTTGCCGACGTCGTGGATGCCCCAGTAGGCGGTTTGGCCGGTCATGCCGAGTGCGCCGAGGTAATACGTGGGCGAGATGTCCTTGTCGATCCTGTCGAGTCTCGCGTCAACACCAGAACAACAGCGCGGGAGGAACCGAACGCACTGGATCTTCTGCAAATCCTTCGCCGGCAGCTTGGCGTACTCCGCCCATCCCGCAACGCCCGTCACCCAGTCCCCAACCTTGAGCGGCTCCATCAGCGGCGCAGACTTGTCGTTCCCGCCCTCGACGGTTCGCTCCGTCTTTGGGACGAGGACGACGCGTCCGACGGCGAGGGCGCGCATGGGGGCGCCGATGGCGACGGGAGGAACGTAGGAGCGGGTCGGGTTGAGCCAGCCGCGCATCGCGGGGTCGATGCTGACCTGCGAGTCGAGATGATCAAGTCGAGATCAGTTGGCGTCCACAGAACGGCCTTCACACGCCTTGGAGAGAAAGGCTGTACGCACCCACTCGACCTTGATGACCGCTTCACCCGGCTTGACCTCGTCCTGCGAGAACATCTTCACGCCCCTCTCAAGCTGGAAAGTGCCGGATCCATCGAGTTTCGGGTCGATAGCGGCCTTGGGACGTTCGCGGAGGGTGATGCGCGAGTACGAGCTGGGAAGAGTCGAAGGGAGAGGAGCCATAGCTTGTTCTATGAGTGTTGGCGAAGGCGGGTATGGGTTGAAGGAGGCGAGGAGGGAGCTGGTTGGTGCGAAGGGGGCGGAGTCGTCGGCGCAAGATGAAAGGGGTGGTGTCGTTGCAGGTGACGAGACGGGAGTCGAAGCCGAGGAGGAGGAAGAGGCGTACGGAGAAGCCGTCGAGGAGGAGGAGGAGGAGGACGCGGTGGCAGTCGGTTCAAGCGACATGATCAGCTCGTGGTCGAGTGTACAGCACGGATTGAAGCACAGCAGAGCAACGCAGACCAGCCCACGGACGGACAGAGCCAACCCATCGTCTCCTCATCCTCGTCTCGCCGTTCCTCCGACCCAGCGCCCCCGCACGGGTTGCGCCCCTAGCGCTGCTGCGCCCCGGTGACTGCAGAGTTCCGGGACCCCGACACGCACACGGCTGCGCTGGCAGATCGTGGGTCCAGTCCCCTGCTCGACCGTACCTCCGAGAGAAGCGGGGAGCGAGCCGAACTTCGAGCTCACCGCGGTCGTCCGGGTTGCGCTGCGCTAAGACTGTCGCAGGAAGATGGAGCAGTGTGAAGCAGGAGAGCAAGAGCAGAGCAGAGCAGCGTCGAGCGGAGAGGAAGAGCAAGCGTCGGTACGGACGCTTCCCAAGCCGGGAACGGGCACGACGCCGTGGCTGAGTCAGCAGCAAAGGGGAAACGAAGGGCGTTGCAACGACGAGCGTAACGAGTACAACAGACAGGCGTATGTGCGCGGGATACAGGCGGCAGAGAGTGGCGTTCCCTTCGTCCTTCGAGGCGACGTCGTCTTGCGACGTTGTCCCGCTTCTTCCTAGTTGCCGTTCGTCGTCGGCGCAATCACGGCGTCCTTGGGTCCAGCGACGTCGAAGCGCTCGCCGACAAAGGTCGGAAAACGCGGGACGTTCTGCTGCGTCAACTCCTGGAAGCGGTACGTAATGATGGACCCGATCTGCGAGAATTGCGAGTGTGAGCGGGACGGCAGGACGATGAGCTGGGGAGTCGGCAAGCTCACGGGCGGCGGATTGACCCTCCTGTCGTCGTTGAGACCGCTTCCGACCTTGAACTGGGTCTTGCGGTCCTCCATGACGCAGACGAGCGAGCCAAGCATGCCCTCGTACTTGCCCTGCGCGTCCATCGATGATGCCTTAATCGTCAGCTCGCTACATCGGCAGTACGCGGCATGCGAGTACAGCTCGTCGAGACGCACCTTGCCCGGCTCGTGGTCGACGACGAGCGCCTCGGCGTCGTAGAACGTCTTGACCTTGAGCAGCGTCGACGACCGCTTCGGCTCGTACTTCGAGCCCGGCTTGCGAAGCATGAGTCTGCGAGCGCCGAGAGCAACCGGTCTCAGCCAATGCAGTCCAGGCCGGGCAGATCTGTCTATGATGGGCGAGAAGCGCGAGGCCCAACTCACCCTTCTCCGCCAACATTCTTGACCTCCTCCAACCTCTTCATCAGATGCTCCCACCCCTCACACTTCTCCTGCACAAGCACACGCACGATCCCGTCCCCTACCTTCTCGACCACCTCGCTCGCGCTCGTCTCGTCGGCCGTCGGGTTGACGGCTGCGGCGGAGGATGCGGAGAATGTCGAAGGGTCTGCGGGAGGAAAGAGCGAGAGAAGGAACTCTTGGCGCTTCTCGAAGGGCTCGTCGCCGCGAGAAGGGATGTCGAAGACCTGCGACGCCGGCCGCAAGTCACGTCAGCTCGCTTCGTAGAGCGATGGAGAGGCGAGAGCGCACCATGAACCTGATCTGGCTCCAATCGACCCCACTGAGCCGTCGTACAAGCCCGCTCGTCTCGTCGAACCTGTTGCGGCCAAGGAAGAGCTCGCCGTCGAGTTCGTGTTCCTTCGGAAGCTCTGCGCGAGAGCTTCAGCCGGTACTTCCATGACAGGAGAGATGAAAAGGGCACGCACTCGCAAGGAAGTCGTCGGGCGCGGCAAACTGGTAGCCCACGCGTGACCAGAGAGCCTTGCCGTCCCAGAAGGCGCGGACGCCGTCGACTGCGGGAAGGACAGATCAGGAGTAAGCACACCGAGTCCTCCGAGCCATGCCCTTGGCCAGCACATGCATGCTGGTCGGCACAAGGAGTGAACGGCTTGACTCACGCTTTTCACTGATCCACCAGCCCGTCGGATCCTGCTTCTTCGTTTCCAGATCAAAGCTCTTCGCGAGCAAGACCTCCCTTCCGCCCTCCCTCTCCCGCTTAGCCTTCTTCGTCGCCGGGACAGCCTCTTCGCCCTCGTTCTCGCTCGCCTTCTTCGCCGAAGCCGCAGCCTTCTTGCTCGTCGATGCCTTCGTAGTCTTCTTCTTGCTCGTCGAGGGAGCGCTCGACTCCGCTTCGTCGAGGTTGACAGCCTTCTTCCTCGATCTGGTGCCCTTGCTGACGCCGACTCCGGGTCCGCAGCGAGCGTCTTCGTGTCTGCGTAGCAAAGCTTCGTCAGTGAGTCGTCCCAGCCTCGCACGCTCTACACCAGCGGCCCCGCGAGCGAGCTGGCGGGACGGCAAGAGCGGGTGACCGCAACTCACTCGTCTCCGAGGATCTCGCGCAAGTGCTTGCACGAGCGAACGTCGACTGCGCGACCCCGGCTCATCGTCCACGACAAGCAAGTGCACGAGTACGCATTCGGGGCGAATCTGCAAGCGCAAAAAGGAAGCGAGGTGAGCCATCGAAGTCAGGAAGTGGGAGTGAAATAAATTGGACGCACTGCGCAACCTTGTAGCTCCTGCCGCTCGACTCGCTGCCGATCTCCATCTCCTCCTTCAACTCCAACTTCGTTCGCGGTTCAGGCAGGTCCATATGTTCGGCTCCACCCAAGACGAGAGGGGTCTTGTCCGTGATCGCTTTGGCGTGTACGAGTTGGTGCAGGGCGAGAGCTTCGTCGAACATTTCTGACTGATCAGGATAGCTGTCCGCATCTTCCTGGGATGCGAGACGGGCAGTCGACGAGAGCGGGGCCGAAGGGAAGGGATGATGTAGGGGGCGGGCGAGAAGCGCTGGTGGGACGTGCGGGCGTGCGGGGAGCACCCGAGGATGTAGCCTGGGCAGCGCATGCCGTACTAGCGAGCGGGACGACGTGAGCGCAGCCATGAGGAGGAGGAAGAGGACAGGAGAGCGAGGAGAGGTGAAGGTCGACTCGCTCAAAGGGCGACTTTGACGAGTACGAAAGCTCCGTTCGACGCCCAGAAGGACACTGGGATGAGCGGGGGCCACGACGACGCGAGGGAAGCGTTACAACAACAGCGACAGGACGTCTACAAACGAGATCCTCCCTCTACTGCCGCATCTTTACGCCTTGTTGCCCTCTAGATGCGGTATGCGAAACATGCCACCGTTCTGCACCGGCTGGCCCACCTCGCCGCCCATCTCCTCGAGCTTTCGCACGATGTCGTCCACAAAGTCGTCGCTCAAAGCGGTCGGCGTTCTTGCGTAGACGTCGAGGCCGGCTGGGGTGAAGAGTGTCGAGGAGAAGTAGGTGACGACCCACTCGGGAGCGTCTGAAGTTGCGGCAGGAGAGGAAGGAGAGAGCGAGTATCCCAGGAGTTGCCAGTGCGAAGTCGAGATCTTGAGCCAGCCCTTTCCGCGCCTGCAGGCGTGCAAAGTCAGTACGAATCTGGTGAAGAACTGCAGAGGACCGGCCTCCTCGTGCAGACAGATGGAGCCTCTTCGAGAGCGCCGACCGGCGGGACTCACCACTTCCACCTTGCTCCGTTCCCCTCCAAATCCCGCTCTAACCGGTCCACGCCCTTTACTTCCCACTGGCTCGACCCGATCTTGGCACTCTGCTTGCTGAACTTGACAAGATCGTCGAACGTCGTCTCCTCCTCGCCGTCTATCCGCGTGTAGGTAATCGTCACGTCGCGCTTGTTCTTCCAGAGAGGCAGGGTCGACGCAACAACGCGCCATGTGCCGAGCAGACGGTCGTACGGGACCTGGGCGGGCGCCAGCGAGGGAGCTGTCGAGTTCGGCTGATGAAGTTCGAGCGGGTCCATGGTGGTGGGTCGCGGCGGTCGGGCTGGGTGCGAACACTAGGGCAGCGTCGATATGGAGTCAAAGAGCCCTTCCGGAAGGGCTGGGAGCTGAACGAGAGGATGAGCGGTGGTGGTAGAGGCGGAACCGTCGAGGACGAGTGGGGTCACCCTCGAGGTCGCTTGGAACACTCTCGCTGGACGTTCTGCGCCCAGTGAGCGGCAGGATTCGTCTGTTAGAGCTCGAAGAATGACTACGATGGAAGCGATCGAGGTGTCGAGGCGGAAACAATCGGTCAGATAGATGCGACCAGCTGGAAGCCTAGCGAGAGCGCAAGCAAAGGTGGATAGTCCTAGGGAGTCTCAACGGCGTCATGTTGTTACAGTCTGTACAGAAGAGCCCAGATGCGGCGAAAGGGAAAGCCTTGTCGAGTCCGTGGTTCTCCTAAAGGGCCTTCTCGTCGCTATAGTTCTCCTTGTGCACGGTGTGCGTCTTGGCCTCGACGATGGCATCGAGCTCGCCCTTGAGGCGCGCGTGCGAAGCCTCGGCGTGCCACACGAGCGGCGAGTCGCTCATGAAGAGGAAGTCGATTTCTGCGAAGGGGGAAAAGCGTCAGCCGGCGGTCGCGGCGGCCTGCGACTTTTCCAGCTTACCTTCGAGAGTACGCTGCAAGCATGTCAGGCGTGCGTCAGCATCAGTGACACGAGACTGTAAAAGGGAAGACGCACGTTGGCGGTTTCTGGGTAGAAGAGATAGATGACGACAATGGCGAGGATGTTCGCACAGCCAAAGATGTACAAGGCGTTCTCCTTGATCTTGGCGAACATGACGGGGACGAGCAACGTGCACCAGCCGTTCCCGATCGACCAGCCGACAACTCCCATGGCATTTCCCTTCGCACGAGCGTTGACAGGCCAAATTTCGGCGGGATAAGTCCACGGGACGGTCAGCCCTGGGTCGTTTTCAACCGTTACCGACGAAGGAGAAGCGGAGGAGGAGGAGGAGGAGAAGTCAGCGGCAAAGTCGTCGGATCAACTTCTGACGGTACTCACAGCTTGCGCCGAACGTTGCAGTGTACAAGAAGACCATGAAAGTGGCGGCGCCGCCGTACTGAGGCGTCTTCTCGGGGTGAATGGTGAGGAGGTGGACGAAGACGCCCGCCATGATGAGCGCGAACGCCTGCACGGCTCCGCCTGTTGAGACACGGTCAGCTCGCTTAAACAACGCAGGAAACGCGAGTCGACGCACCCCAGAAGAGCGTCATGCGACGGCCGATGCGGTCGAGGGTGAAGACGCAGATGAGGCTGGAGGAAAGAGAGGGTCAGTCCGCCAGTTGAACGAGGAGAGCTGTTACGCACGTCGAGATCATGTAGGTGATCGTGTTGACGCCCGAAATCCACCCCGCCTTAGAAGAATCGAAACCCGCAAGCCCGAAAATGACTGGCTGGTAGACTGCGCGGACGAGGCGCATTAGCGCGGAGACACCCAGAACAAGCTCAACGACGCACCAGTGATGGCAGCGATGCCTCCCCACTCCTGGAGGATCTGGATCCAGCTGCGGAAGAAGAGAAGGTCAGTATCAAAGCCGGAGTCCGGTGCCTCGTCGACGGCACATACATGGCGAGTTGCGTCTGGAACGCGCGATTGCGTCAGCATGTGATACGCAGATCAGGCAACGAGAGGAGACGACGCACCCTGCGCGAAAGGTGCAGCTTCCCGCAAGGCGAGAAGAACATGGTCAAGTACGACGGCTCTTCGCCACCATCCATGCGGATCGTCTGATCAATCTCGTGGTACTCGGCGAGCGCGACGTCGTTCACCTCGCCGTCCTCGGAACGCAGGCGACCGAGAAGAGCGCGAGCTTCGTCGTGTCGACCGGCCTTCATGAGCCAACGAGGCGATTCTGCGAGGCGAGACATCGTCAGTCGGCTGATTTGGCGAGTATCTAGAGGTGAAACCAAGAGAGGGAAATGCGAGCTCACCCGGCATGAAGTAGGTCGCGAAGACGAGACCGACGAGGGGCCTGTCCGCTCATCTTCGTCAGTCTCGAGCAGCAAGTCGCAGGAAGCGATCAGAGTGTGCTCACACGAGCTGGAAAGCGATAGGGAACCGCCAGCGGATCTGGGTGTTGCCGTCGCCGACGAAAGAGAGGCCGTACTCTGTGGGCGGAGGACAGTCAGTCGGCAATCCTTTTCGAGACGGGAGTTGCGAGCGCACCGAGCCAGTAGGCGACCTTCAAAGCGAGAAGAGGGGAGTAGGAGAGGAAGAGGAAGGGAGAGGAAGAGGAGGCGGGAGTGAAGTCAGAAGGAATCGCTCGTTGCGAAGAGAGCGCGAGACTGGCGACGTACGACGACACCAAAGATGTTCAGGGTAAACTCGAGGGCGATAAAGAAGCCGCGGGACAAGTGTCCGCTCGTCTCGGCAGACCAGACCTGGTGCGAAGGAAGCTTATCAGTCCACTACGTCGCGAGGCAGACTCGGTGGGAGAGAGAGCGCACCGGGACGATTACGTTCAAGTGGCCCGTGCCGACGCCGGTAATGATGCGCGCCATCACCATCCAAGTGACGTTCTGCGCCGCAGCTTGAAGCGGTGCGCCGACGAGGATCCAGAGCGCGCCAACCCAAATGGTTTTCTTTCGCCCGAGCTTGTCGCCGATCCAGCCACCAGCCAAGCATCCAATAAGTGTGCCGAGGTCTGAAGCGGAGAGAGCGGTCAGGCGGAGAGTCAAGGTGAGGTTGTCGGGAAATCGGACGCACAGTACGCCGCGACGATGCCGCCCTGGAGATTCGTCGGGTCAGTACTCGCAGCGTCCAGACGACATGATTGCACGCACCTGCTTCGTCGAGTCGGTGACGGTTGCGCTCACTTTGCCGCCGTTTGCAGCGGGAGTTAGGTAGCCGAGCTTCATTGTCTGGATGTAGTCGGGCGCTCCGTTCACGCCGCCCATCATGCCTTGCCGTCAGAGAGCGGGTCAGCACTTCGTCCGCCGTCAGAGGAAGCGTCCCGGAAGATCTACCTTGGTCATAGCCTGCGAAGCGAACGGGAGCCGGTCAGCTGGCACGACAGTTTCGGAGAGACGGGGAAGCTGCTGCTCACCGAAGAAGAAGATGCTGCGAGTCGAAGGAGCGCACACGACCCAGGGAATGTGTCAACCTCGCGAATCGAGGAGGAGGAAGGAGAGAAAGCGGACCTTAGGGCGCAAACGCTCTGGATCGCCCAGATGAGCTTCTTCCCGTGGAGCACCATGTCTGACTAGCAGCGTTGCGGAGCAGGCCGAGGAGAAAGTGTGGAGAGAGAGGAGAAGAACAAAGCGGTGGACGAGCGCATCCTGACGAGGCCGGCATGCAAGCGAACTCGGAACATCAGCCTTAGCGCTTCGGCTCGGCTGGCACGATCCTTAGCAGCAGGGTAAGCAAATGTTAATTGTGGAATAGAACACATCGTCGAAGGGTTCCAACCGGACGAGTGTCGAGCGTGGAGGACGCCGCGGCGCGAAGTCCGCCAGCAGCGCGGCATTCGCGAGCGAGCGATGCGCTGGTCTGTCCTGTACCTGCTCCACGCCCGCCAGGATGCCCGACTATCCTACCGCGTACGACCCCGTCCGCGTCCTCCAACATGCCGACTTCAAGATCCTCGAAGACGGCACGGTTCCACAGCGCGACACGAGCAAGAACCTCGCAGCCGCCTACGCTCCACAAGCAAAGCTGCACCTCATCGAGAAGCCGCTGCCCGTGCCGCGAGAGGGTGAAGTTGTGGTGCATGTCCGAGCGACAGGAATCTGTGGGAGGTGAGAAGAGGTCCATACTGCTTCGTTGACGCCGTTCTCTGGGCTGACCTCGTCCTCGAGCAGCGACTGTCACTTCTGGAAGGCAAGCAGGCCGTCCTCTCTTCTCAGGCGCGCTCGCTGACCTTTCCAACGTTGTTCTTCGTCGACAGCATGGCAGAATTGGCGACTCGATGATTGTTCGCGACACTTGCGGCGCCGGTCACGAGTGTGAGTCACGCCCTTCCTCTCTGCGAGAAGCAGACGCTCGAAGACGAGCGCCGACACCGTTCGTTCTTCTCGCAGCCGCCGGAGAGGTCTTTGAAGTCGGGCCCGGCGTCGAGGGACTGAAGAAGGGTGACCGCGTCGCACTTGAGGCAGGCTTGCCGTGCGGAGACTGCGAGTTCTGCCGGATCGGACGGTACAACGCCTGTCCCGACGTCGTCTTCTTCTCGACTCCCCCTTACCACGGCATGCTCACTCGCTTTCACGCCCACCCCGCTTCGTGGGTTCACCGTCTCCCCAACTCGATCAGCTACGAGGAGGGTGCACTCCTGGAACCGCTGGTCGTCGCGCTCGCCGGTATCGAACGTGCAGGACTTCGTCTCGGCGATCCTCTCCTGGTCTGGTCAGCTTCGCTTTCGCCGCTTTAGACCTTTCTTCTACAGAGTTGTATTGACGTTTTGAGCCTCGCAGCGGCGCCGGTCCGATTGGCCTCATCAGCCTCCTGGCTGCACGCGCAGCGGGCGCAACTCCCATCGTCATCACTGACATCGCACGATCCCGCCTCGACGTCGCCAAGCAGCTCGTTCCCGGCGTCAAGACGGTCCTCGTCGAGCGGGGCGTCGAGCCGAAGGACGTCGCAGCCAAGATCAAGAAGGAAGCGGGCCTTTCGCTCGGTCTGAGCGTCGCGCTCGAGTGCTCCGGCGTCGAGTCGAGCGTCCAGACGGCGGTCTACGCGTCGAAGTTTGGCGGCACGGTGTTTGTGATTGGCGCCGGCAAGGACTTCCAGTCGCTTCCCTTCATGCACATGTCGGTCAACGAGATCGACCTCAAGTTCCAGTACCGATACGCCAATCAGTATCCGAAGGCCATTCGTGCGACGCCGTCGTTTTTAAAGTGCCGTATACAAGCTTGCTGACGGATGCCTCGTCTTCTTTGGCCGCCTCCCTTGCTCCTTCTTCGCGGCCATTCCCCCTCGGCGGCACTCTCGATTCACAGGTCTCGTCGAGGCGGGCCTCATCAACCTCAAACCGCTCGTCACGCACCGCTTTACGCTCGAGACCGCTGTCGAGGCGTTCGAGACGGCCGTCGACGTGACCCGCGGTGGTGCGTTCCTTCCCCTTCACTCGCCTTGAGTGTCGTCGCTCAGCGGCGTCGGCTTCCTCTCTTTGCGCTCTTGCTGACAACGTCGTGCTCGCTCGTGCAGCCATCAAGGTGCAGATTCACGACGCGGCCTTGTAAACGCCTTCGAGTCGCAAAGCTCTCCTATACACATTTCGCTTCGCTCCGATCCTTTGGGTACCCTGTTCTCGTCGTTCTCACGCCTCGCAATGCCATACTCGCAACTAGTCGTCTTCGCAGCGTTGTCTTTGAGCTTGCCGTGTCTACCTTCGCAAGCAGCTGGCGAACCGCTGTTCCTCTCGTCCCGCGCACTCTCACTCGCCTGTTGCTACGGCTGGTCGACCAGAGCTTCTCTACTCGAGCTAGTCAGCCGTCTCTCCAGCTCCTTGCCGCGCTCCGTGGACTTCTTCGGACGTCCCCACCGCTCGAGTTGACATCTCGCCTCTTTCCATCGCCCGCTCTCCCTCTCACGCCCTGCAGCGCCCTCGCGATGGACACCAACAGCACGCGCGAAACCACAGAGACGCCTGCACCGCGCCGCTCGCCGCCTCGTCGCCGCATCGCCTCAGGCGAGCTCCTCTTCGTCCGCCTCGAAACTCCGCGCACCTTGCCCGCCTACCCCTCGTTCCGTGACCGCCTGGCAGCGACAGACACCCAAAGTAGCATGTTCAGTGCCTACGCTCCGGCCCCCGCCGCCAGCTCGTCTCGCCAGTCCTCTCGCTCCTCGTCTCCTTCCTCGACTGCCGCAGGATGTCTTCCTTCGCCGCTCCGTGTGCGCTGGTCCTGTCACCATTGCCTCTCCACGCTAGACCCCCTTCTCATCGCGGACTACCCATGCTATCCGACCTTGTCCCGGCTGAGGAACGGGAGAAGCGCGTAGCTTCAACTGCGGCGCTCAGCGAAGCCGGCTTGCACGAGGGCATAGCCGATCTGCTCGTCGAGGTGCAGAGCTGGGATGGACGAGCATTGCGTATGGCGTCGTCGGAACTGAGGATGGAAGACTGGAAGCGATTGCGGACGTCGAGCAGGTTTCGAAGCTGGGACGGGGGCGCCTTCTCGAGCACGCTGAAGGTCACGCGCAGACGGGCGCAAAGCGGCGAGGCCGGAGGAGGAGCGAGCACTTCATCGCTTCATCTGTGCCCCCCACCAAACCGGCAACAACGACGCGGGGCCAAGGGGCTTCCTTGTTTGTCCACCTCGACAGTCGCCCGCTTTGCTACGAGCGCAATGGCGCACAGCCTGAGTCCCGCCAGCACCGACTCGGCCAGTCCACCCTCGGGAGCGCCAGCCGCCAAGGTTCCGCGAACAAAGCGAGCCTGCGTGCGGTGTTTTCAGGCCAAGGTGCGCTGCTCGGGGGACCAGCCGAGCTGCGTGCGTTGTTTGCAGAAGAGCAAGGTCTGCTACTACGACCCAGAGGGAAATTCGCGGGCGAAGCGATCGCGCAGGGCGACACCGGTCGACGAACCCTCAGCCCCCATCGCCAGTACGAGCACCGCCGTCGCACCCGCTTCAGGACCGTCTCCGACGGGCAAGAGCGAGGAAGACGAGGATGAGGCACCCGTCGTTGTCCGCCAGCCGTTCTTTCGATGGCTTGGTGCGTCCTCCTTACCCTTCTCCCACTTCCTCGATTGACCATGGATTCCCCACAGGCCTCACGTCCGTCATGCCGCCCTTGCAAGGAGCGCCTTTCAGATCGCTCTCGGTCACCGTCCAGCAACCCGTTACCTCGCCGACGAATCCTCCGCCCGTTCCTCCCCCTCCTCGCGACCCAGCCGTCGAGTCTGCCGAGGCAGAAGCGAGGGTCAGGACGTTCTACACGCTCTTTGAGAGCTACCTGCCCTACATGCCGCTGTCGGACACGCTCGAGCAGCTAGCCCGGGGGACTTTGAGCGAAGGCGTCCTCGTCGGAATGAGCGCGCTTGTCAAAAGGCGAGTCCCCGCCTCCTTTCGCTCGAGACTCGCACGACTGACCTCTCCTTGCCCGCAGAGTTCGGCCAGAAACGCCTTGTCCGGACCCCGAAGAGCTGGCGGATCGCGCCAAAGCTCTTGTCATCGCCCAACTCGCCCTCCCTTCGCTCGATACCGTCTACGCCCTCATCCTCCTCGCCTACCACGAACACGGAGCAGATCGCGACTCGGGCTTGTGGGCGTATTGCGGGATGGCGATTCGGATGTGCATCGACCTCGGGCTTCACAAGGTGCGTTTCCTCCCTTCTGCTGCTCGACACCCGCGCTGATTGCGCAACCCACAGCCCTTCGAGACTGAGGACGTCGCCGAGTCCAACTTGCGGTCTCGCATCTTCTGGACCGTCACCTGCCTCGACCGGATCCTGTCGTGCGGTACAGGGCGGGCGACGACCATCCCGCTCTCGCAGATCGAGGTCGGTCTCCCTCCTCCACGGCTCCTCCGCACGAGTCAAGGCGTCGACATCCCCGATCCCTTCCCGACACTCTGCCGACTCCTACTTATCCTGGGCAACGTCTCCGACGCCGTCAACACCACTCCCTCCTACGCCACAGTCCCGCCTCGCGTCCCTTCTGCCGTCCAGCGACAACTCGCCGACTATCAAGCGACTCTCCCACCATCCCTCCAGTTCTCAATTCAGACTTTCGGCGCCTACGTCAGCGCCGGCTATGCGCCCGTCTTCCTCCTCCTCTCGGCATGGCATCAAGCCGTCCACCTCGCGATCCACCACGCCCCGCTCCTGTACATGCAGCCCGGCGCGACGATGCAAGACCTGACGCCGCTGAGCGGCTCGCCGGCCGTCAGCATTGCCGACATGCTCGCCTACTCGAGCGTGATTGCCGACGACGCCTTCCTCTGCACGCCCGTCCTCTCCCAGCCCATCCTGATGGCTGGCCGCGCTGCGACCCTTCTGCTCCGCACCCTCTCGACCACCATACCGAGCACGCAGCTCGAGCCGCTCGAGCGCGCAGTCACGGTTTGCCAGAAGACGCTCGAGCGGATGCAGCAGCGTTGGCGCGGTTTGGCGTGGCACGTCGAGTCGATGTGCAAGAACGCGCGTGAGGTCGACTTGTCCGGCGTCGGCGCGACGATCATCATGACCGACCGAGGCATGTTTGCAAAGGCGAGGCTGGACGACTTGGCGAGAAGCTGCGGGTGGCTGTTGAACGAGTTGACGGCGCCGGCGAGCGGTGAAGGCGACTCTCCGTCTCTCCTTCTAGCCCTGACGTCGCAGCTGACCTCTCGCACCTCACAGTCTTCAGCATCGGCGTCTCGTCGTGGGGCGTCAGCTCGCAGCCGGCAACGACCGCTCCTCCGCCTCAATCGACCGTCGCCGTCCATCGCTCCGGGCGCTCCTCCCCGCTTCTCTGGAACGACCAGTCGGGCGGCTTGGATGTCTTTGCGGAGGATCTGAACGGATTCTTGGGTATTGACTGGACTGCGTGGCAGCCGGAAGGAAACGGGTTAGACGGACTGTAGGCTTCGCAAGTCGTTGTGCGAGCGCCTCTCTGTCGAGACTCGCGCAAGCTGTGAGTTGCTGTGAAATCGCCTTCATACAAGCTCGCACGGCACGTCTAATAAGGTCTACAACAGGCGAGAGAGGGATGCAGCATGACCATGCGGGGCGAGAAGTAGGCGTACAAAGGTTGCGAGCGAGAGAGACGAGAAAGAGAGGATACGAGCGACGACAAAGAAAGGTACAGTAGTGTGCGTAACGTGGCGAGGCGAGTCGTGGAGGGGGAAAGGTGCTGGCCAGGTGAGAGGAAGGGACCGCCTCACTTGCTGGGCTTGGGGGTTGGAAGGCCGGTCATCTTGGAGATCTTGGCGAGGACGTCTTCGAGGCGGTACGGCTTTGTCGCGACGTCGTCGTATCCGGCGGCGAGGCACTCGCTCTGCTGCGCCTCGCGAGCGTTGCCCGTGACAGCGCAGACGGGGTATCGGTGGCTGATCTGGCCTGTTCGCTCCCACTCGCGGAGCTCCCGGACCGCCTCGAGGCCCGTCTTGACCGGCATCTGGACGTCCATGATGACGGCTGCGAAGAGGTTGGGCGAGGTTGCCTCCGAAGTCTGCTTCGCATCGGCTGCGAGAGCGTCGACGGCCTCCTGACCGTTGTTGACGACGGTGACGTCGTAGCCGGCGTTCTTGAGCTGGCGCAGCAGGACTTTTTGGTTGATGAGGTTGTCCTCGACGACGAGGATGCGGATCGGCCGGCCATCCTCGGCTTCTGGCCGCGGGCTCTGGCTGATCTTGGTGCTCTTGTTAGCCTTCGGTACGTCGTTCGAGGCGGTGTGCGGACGCTTCGTGCTTCGAGCAGTCGGCACCATGGCGAGAGCGGGCACTGTCGGGATGGCGACGGGGTCGGCGGGCGGCGAGGCGCGTTCGGCGGGGATGGCGAAGGAGAAGACTGAACCGACGCCGAGCTTCGATTGGACCTCTGTGCATGGGAGGCGAGTCAGCGCAGAGGAACGGCGGAAGGGGGAGATCGAACGCACCGATGAAGCCGCGGTGAAGCTCGACGAGCTTCTTCGACACGTAGAGTCCCAGTCCCGATCCGCCATACTGGTCCGACGACGGCTTGGCCTGACTGAAGCGCGCAAAGAGCCGCTTGAGCTCCTCCTCGCTCAATCCGCGGCCGGTGTCTTCGACAGCGACGACAACCCAGACTCCATTCGCCAGCTCCGTCGGCGGCGGCTGCGAGACGCGCATCGCTTGCGGATTGACGGGAGGCTGCGTCTCGAAGGCCTCGATGTGGACGACGATGCGACGGTCGGAAGAGTCGGCGGTGTACTTGATCGAGTTGGTGAGGAAGTTGAGCAAGATCTGGTGCAGGCGGGACGGATCGGCGCGAATCCACTCGGCACCGAGCGCCTTGACGGAGTCGCCGGCACGCAGTCGAAGCGCGATCGACTTTTGCGAGCACTCGACCTCGAAAGCGCGGAGAACGTCCTTCATGCGCGAAACGAGTTCGAACGGCATCAGATTGACCGTGAGCAAACCCATGTTGAGCTTCGAGACGTTGAGGATGTCATCGGCGATGCGGCCTTGGTGCGAAGCGCAGAGGATGATCGACTCCACAGCTTCGATGTTCTCCAGCATCTCGTTGTACAGGTCGTCGAGCTCCTCGTGCGAGACGGATTGCCCTTGTCGCAGGTTGTCGAGCAGCTCGACGTAGCGCTCGAGCGAGGCCGAGACGACCTCGGCGTTCTGCCAGACACCGCTGAGCGGGTTCCGCAGCTCGTGCGACGACTGCGAGAGGGAGGGTGAGCTTGAGAGGCGCTTGCTGCAGCAAATCAACGTGAACGCACCATGTCGAGGAACATCTCCGTGTTCCTGCGGTTCTCCTCGGCATCGGCGGCTCGCTGCTCGACTTCGCGGATGTGCAGCATCTCGACTTCCTTCTGGCGGGTGATGTCGGTAAGGGCGCCAACGTAACCGTCGGGAAGGCCGACTTCGGTCGAAGCGCGGATCTGCAGGGGGAGAGGCCGTCAGCTGAGCCTGAGACTGCGAAGAAGCGAGCGGACGTACCTCGAGCTGAGCCCACCGACCGTTCGTGAATCGGAACTGCCGCTCCGACGTGTCTGCCGTGCCGCCCTCTGTCGCGAGCTTCCAGAGGTGCATGACCTTCGGCTGGTCGTCGGGCGTGACCCACTCGGTCCATTCGGAGAGCGGGCGGTTGATGGGCATGCCGACAATCTCGTACCAGCGTGGGTTGCCGTACAAGATCTCGCCCTTGGGGCTGATCTGGATGACACCGACGGGCGAGACGGTCGAGAGCATCGAGTACCGCTCGGCGAGGGCGCGGTTGCGAGCCTCGGACTCGATGAGGGCGCGAGTTCGCTCCTCGACTCGCCGCTCGAGCTCGACGCGCATGAGGCCGAGCTGGAGGTGGACGCGTACCCGTGCGAGCAGCTCGCGTGCCTGGAACGGCTTGGCGAGGTAGTCGTCGACGCCTCCCTCGAGAGCTTCGGCGCGCGCCTCGGTTCCGGCTTGAGCGGAGACCATGATGATCGGGATAAGAGCAGTTTGCGGGTTGCGGCGGATGATGGACGTGAGCTCGCGACCAGAGATGTAGGGCATCATGGCGTCGGTCTGTTCGAGGCACGGTCAGCGCAAGTTGGAACGTTGGTAAAGCAACCCGACGCACCAGGACAAGTGAAGGCGGCGTCGAGTTGATGTAGTTGAGCGCTTCTCGCGGATCGGCGAACGCGACGACGTTGAAGTGCTTGGAGAGCAGGCTCGAGATGTACTGTAGGCCACGTATAAGTCAGTTGGCGTCGTGCAGCTGGAACCGGACGCAAGGAAGACGCACCGTCCGCAGGTCTCGCGAGTCGTCGACGAGCACGACGGTCCGGTTCTTGAGGCTGAGCACATCGGGACCCGACAGGTAGTCTTCGCCACTGCCGCTGCCGGACGAGTTGCCCTGCTCGCTGCCCGCGACGGTGCCGGCTGTCGAGCTGTCGCTTGACATGGGGACAATCTCGAGTGCGGCTTCGGCTTCCGCATCGTAGCGCCACGAGGCTGCGTCTTCGACAAAGGCGAGGTTGCGGTTCTGGAATTGCGCGACAAAGTCGGTGTCTTCGGGCGTGTGGTCGACTTGCTCGATCGGAAGGTGCGTGTGGCCTCGCTGCAGCCGGACGCTGCGGAAACGTCGAGGATGAGAGAGTCGCAAGCGGAGAGAGCGAGAATGAGACGTACGTGAAGATGGATCCCTTGCCAAGCTCGCTCTCGACCTCGAGCTGTCCGCCAACGAGCTTGACGAGCTCGAGCGTGAGCGCCAGGCCGATGCCGGTACCGGTCGCCATCCTCGAGTTGGCCTCGATGCGGTGGAAGCGCTCGAAGATCTTGCCGAGCTCGGATTCGGGGATACCGATGCCCGTGTCCTTGACGCTGAGGACCGCCTCGGCGCGAGTCGACCGCAGCGTGACGGTGATCTCGCCCTTGATGCAGTACTTGAACGAGTTGCCGATCAGGTTGAAGCAGATCTGCGAGTGAAAAGGTCAGCGGAATGTCACAGTTGGAGCTGCTCCCAGACGCACCTTCTCCCAAATGTCCGGACTCATGTAGATTGGCAAGCAGTCGGCCGGATCGTCGTCGCACTCGACCGTGTACTTGATCTTGGTCCGCTCGATGGCGTCTCGGAAGAGAACGGCAATGTCGCGAGTCAAGGCGCCAATCTGCACCGGGCGGTACTTGAAGTTCATGCGGCCGCCCTCGATCGACGAAAAGTCGAGGAGCTTGTTGACCATCGTCAGGAGACGGTTGCTGTGTCGCTGGACGAGCTGGAGCTTGTCCCGCTGCGACGGGTCGAGCTTCTCCTTCTCCGATCCCGACAGGATGTCCTCGAGCGGGCCGAGAATGAGCGTGAGGGGCGTGCGGAGCTCGTGCGAGATGGACGAGAAGAACGAAGACTTGGCGCGGTCGAGTCGGACGAGTTCCTCGGCGCGCTTGCGGTCTTGTTCGGCTGCGAGGACGGCAAAGAGTCCGATCGCGACGTGGCGTGCGACGAGGTTGTGGAAGGTCTCGAGGAGGTGGTCGTACCGTCCCATCGAGTTGACGCCGAGGACGAGCACCGCGGCGGGGACGACCTGATTCGCCTCGACAAAGACGGGGAGGACGACCGCCTGTCGCGCCGGGTAGCTCCAGCCTCGAGAGCGGTCGAGCGTCTCGGCGAGCGGGCCGAGGTCTTCGACCAGGACAGGGTCGCGCTTGACGCACGCCTCCTCGAGCGGCCACGACCATCCATTCGCCGCTTCTTCGCATCGCAAGAAAGCAGCATGTGCGCTGAAGCCGCTGATCGAGCCGGACGAGCCCGAGCTGGACGAGGGTGCGGCTGGCGAGCCAGCGGCGGAAGCGGGTGAAAGAGTCGCGGCGTCGAGGAGGCGGTCCCGCATGGTTGCGGTGCTGCCGGTGCCGGTCGAAGCGGACGAAGACGACTGGCGCGACTTGGGCGGGGTGATGTCGACGAGCGCTTCGTGAATGAGGAAAGGGTGGCCTTCGGGAATGCCGGTCGTACCGCGATTCTCGAGCTTGATGATCCGCCGGTTCGAGCGATTGTAGCCCGCGCGAACCTCCTTCTTCGTTGGCTTGCTGTCGACTTCGCTGACCGTGTACAGCGCGACGAAGGGCAAGTCGTAAGGGTTGTTGGCGAGGGACCGCAAGGCGCACTCGGCAAAGTCGTCGACGGTGCGGGCGAGACTCGTGTTGGAGACGAGGTCGCGGACGGTTGCGAGGTGGCGAGCGGCGATGACGGTCGCGGTCGTCTCGATCGAGAGGTTGAGGATGCCGAGCGCTTTGCCATCGTGGCTGTAGAACGGCGCGTACGAGAAGGTGTGGTCTGCGGGAGAGTGTGCTGGTTAGCCGCGCGTCCGTGTGAGAGCGAGCGTTGCGGAACCCACAAGTCTCCTCGACAAACCCGACTGTGCGGCGAGGCAAAGCGGAGCGAGTCAGCTAACTGTTCCAAGCCATTCAGAGGAACCGCACTCACGGCGCTCCATCGCGAGATAGTGATCCCTGAAGAAGCACGTCTCGCCCGCCATCGTCCTCTTGGCGATCCCGTCCAAGCCGTCCCAGATCTCCTTCCACCCTTCCTTGCACGGCAGACCGAGCAGGGCGGGGTGCTTCTCGCCCGCTGTCTCGACGTAGTGCTGCACGAGTCGGGATCGTCAGCTACGAGCTCAAGGAAGCGGAAGAGTCGGGCGGACGCACGTCGTTGTAGAGGATCGTGTACTCGGGTCCCCACAAGATGCACTCCCTGAACGGGCTGGCCAAGATGCTCGAGACCATGGTCCTCAGTTCAGGCGGCCAGCTCTCGATCGGACCCACCGCCGTCTCATGCCACGGGTGATTCCGTATCCGCAGTCCCATCTCTGTCTCTCCCAGACACGCGAACCACGGGTCCGTCAGTTGCCGGGGTAAGGAGTCGACGGGGAGAGAGGTAGGAGAGTGAGGAGGGTGGAGCGATTGGAGCTTGACGGCTGCTTCGGCCGAGGGAGACTGGTAGACGTTGCCGAGCGAGGTGTCGGCTGGCATGGGGTTGGTCGGGGGCGCAGCGGTCGTAAAGATGCAGGAGGACTGGGTCGAGGCGGTGCGAGAGCTGCGGATCGTGAGGTTTGTCGAGCGAGGTGGCCAGGTCGTGAGGTTGAGAGGGGGTGTCGGAGGCGGGATCGTGAGGATGAGGAAGCCCGTGGTGCCGGTCGACGAGGCGGACTGTGGATGTGTAGGGGTGATGTCGAAGGAGGAGGACGAGCCAGGCGTGGGACAGATCGTGGCGGAGATGACAAAGTCGTCGAGGCGGCATGTGTGAGGTGCGCGCGCGCCCAGTCGACCCGATATCCGCGGTGCAGGGCCAAAGGAGAAGTTTGAGCGGGGCAGGCCCGAACCGGTAGACGAGTACTGCGCCTCTCCGCCCGAAGCGGGAGTCGACGTCGGCGAAACCGAGCCCGGCGAGTAAGGGTGCGCTCCGAGCGTCGGCGTCGACAGCTCCATATCCTCTACGAGGTCGAGCACGAACGCGAGCAGCGCCGTGTGGTCCTCGGGCGCAAGGAACGCATAAGCGCTCTCCGGCTCGTCGTCGTCCTCGTAGTCCGTCTCGTCCAGCCCGCTCATCGACGCTCCGTCCTCCTCGTCCTTGTCCATCCCGCTCGTCTCTTCTTCCTCGACCGTACCGAGCGGACTCGCGACGCGCGAATTGGGCTGCGAGAACCCAGCTGGCATCGCGCCCGTCATGAGCGAGTCGTCCTCCTCCGTCGTGCGCCTCGTCCTCGCTCCTCCGCTACCCGACCGCCTGTTCCACCGTGCCCTCGCTCGAGGGACGACGGTCGGCCCGCTGAGGCTCGGACGCGTCGCAGCGCTGTTTCGCCGCGTCGTCGCTTCGAGGTTCCGCCAGGCTTCGTTGCGGTAGACGGGATGCAAGGCGGGTAGGAGTTTCTCGAGGAGTACTTGGCGGGGGTCGGAGACCGGCGAGAAGGTGGGGAGCGAAGACATGGCCGTGTCGAGGTCGTCGACGTCCGTCAAAGGCGTGATGGGCTTGTCGCCGGTAGGGCTGCTGAATGAGGCGAGCGAGTTGATGGAGGACGAGGTCGATGCTGTCGAGACGGAGCTGAGGGAAGAGGAGCTGACGGCAGGAGGGGGTTGGATGTCGGCGGTGAGGGAAAAGTAGTCTCCGCCCGAGGTCGCTGGCGTCTCGACGGCGTTGGCGACGGGCGTCTTGACGTTGAGCAGCTCGACCATGCCCGGCAGCGTGTCTGGGCTGGCCGTCGTCGGTACGAACGCCCCCTTGCCCTCGTCGCCTCCGATACCGGATCCCGCGGTTCGAGTCGCGCCTGTCTGTGGCACGGGCGCAGCATGGCCGTTCCAGAGCGGCGTCTTGGTCGGCGAGACGAGCGCAGGGTGGGACTGGCGGGTACGGAGCGCGTGGACGAGGGGCGCGAGGGCGAGGACGAGGGAAGGGGACGGCGAGGCGTTGAGGAAGGCGACGAGGGGCAGCTGTGCGAGCTCGCTTGCGCCGCTCGACGTCCCTGCCCTGTGTGGCTGTCCCATGCCACGTCCTCTCACTCTTCCAGCGAGCGCGCGAGAGAGCGAGGGCGCGGGTGCTGTGCTGTGCTGGGTGACGGGCCGAGGAGGTGGGAGTCTGGCGAAGGGGTCGCCGGCGGTTGTTCGAGCGTGTGAGCGTTGTGTGTGGCAGTCCTCAGCCAGTCCAGCAGTGTCCAGCAGCAGTCTTCGTGAGCGGTGTCGCGGTGAACGCGAGTTGTGGTCGCAGCGAGATCGAATTCGCCCCCTGTCCCAACCCCGGTCGCGAGCCGGAGAGCGTGCGCTTTTCTCGTGCTCTCTTGCTATGCTGCTGTAGTACTTGCTAGTACTCTTCTGCTACAGTGCTCGCATTGCGTCGAGGAGCGAGGCGGCGCTCGAGCGACTGGCAGAACCAGAGATACAGCGACGATCCCACGGCTTGAAGGGCAATCGGAATCGAGCAGCGCGCCCTTCCATCGACCGAAGAACACGCCCCTCGGACGCGTGTTCTTCAGGCAGGCGTCACCGTGCGAACCGAACAGTGGGTCGAACTGGCATTTGAGGTGAGGGAAGGGACGCAAGTCGTGCTCCCTGGCGACCGCTGGAGCTTGTCAGACTGCACAGGAGGATGGCTCACCTCGACTGTAGCCCTCAGCAGCGCGGCAGGATGCCAAGCGCGAGCTGGACGCTGCCGACGCGCCGGGTTGAGAAGGTCAAGCTGAGGAGGGGAGGACTTTGACGAGGCGGGTGTGCTCGCACATCTGGCGATTCAATGCCGCTAATCATCTCTACACTGGACGATGACAGGCGTGCCAAACTGCAGCCCGCAGCCGCAAGAACCGTCGAAATTGGCCGGGTCTACTCGGTTCAACTTGGGGAGACGACATGTACGTCTCCCAGCCTTGCAAATCCTACTTTTTGCTCTGGCAGCTTGGCCGAGTGGTTAAGGCGTTACGTTTAGGACATTAGAAACCGTAATGGGAAACCGCGTGAGTTCGAACCTCACAGCTGTCACTTCTTTTGCCTCTCCTGCCTGCTGGTGGTCTCCCGGGGCTTCGTCCTTTTGCCACGGTGGAATATATGACCCGTGTGCTCGACTCGGTCAAGAAACGCAGCCGGTTTGAAGTGTTGTGCCGTCTCAAGACTTGACCTTCCCGCCACTTCAATCCCTCCTGCGGGCGTCAGCCCGCCCAACTCTTCAGGCTTTGTACAAGCATGATCGGCAGTCAGAAATGGCGAGGGTTCAAATCCCTCTCACGTCAAGTTTTTGCTGGAGGAAGTGAGGAGGAGGAGGGCTTGGTGTGTTGCTCTCCTCCCCTTGGTTCACTCAATCTCCCTCTGGCTGTCTGAATGAGAGACTGCGTTTGAGGCTTGTTGAGGCTATTGTAAGGATTGCTGACTGTCTCTAATGCGTACAGCAAGGCGAAAGCAAACGGGAGACGGACTCAGCCCTGACCTTCTCAAGCAAGGCATCCCTCACCCTCCCACTCCAGCCAGGGTCTCCCAAGCTCGGCCAGCTCCCTTGCAGGTTATCTAGACATCACTCGAGTGCACAGAAGCACCCACTCTAGCAGCAGTAACCCCGGAAAGCAAGGGCAGCTTGTAAGCCCACACCTGTCCTAGTGCTTTCACCGCAAAACGCGGCGTGATGGCCGAGTGGTCTAAGGCGCTGTCTTAAGGCTTGTACAAGCATGATTGGGCAGTCAGTCAAGAATGGCAGGCGGGCCTGCGGCCGCGGAACTCTCGCTTGCCAGTCAGCTTTTCCCTCCCCTGCTTCACTGACTCGACTCCTGCAGCTATCGACTAGCCATATCATCCACAATCTCAAGTAGCCTGGCTCAAGTGCTGTGTCAAGCTGTCAAAGTGCCACCTTGCCAGCCGATGAGCTGGTTTTAGGGTTAGGGTTAGGGGACTTGGCCAGGAGGAGCAGGAGGACGATCAAAACTCGCTTCTTTCGAGGTGGGACTGTGGAGTGGGTGCAAGGGAGTGTGGAAAGAGTGCTGGGGAGTGAGCTGGGTGAGTTTGAGGAGGAAAAGGTCTGGCTTTCCCGGTGAGGCTGACCTTCTCACCTTCTCTTTCGCTCTCAAACTGACTCTGTGCTGCTTCTCACAGCTTCAGCGCCCCTCTGAAGGTCCAGAGGAGAGGGGAGGTGGGGAACTGGAGCAGGGAGAGCAGGACGAAGAATGGAGACTGAGCCACTCTCCCTCACCCCTCTCCCCTCAAAAGCAGGCTGACTCCTTCTCCACACAGGCTTAACACCCTCGCCAAGTGCACCGCAAAACAAGTGCTGCCACACTCTCTTAAACTCGTGAGTCCAACTTGCCCCCCCCCCCCCAAACTTGGCTCAAGGCAGGATGAGGACGGACAAGGCCAGCTCTCTCAGTCTGCAGGCTGCTGACTCAGTTCTTTCACGTCCTGGTAGCGGAGAGAGTGAATTTGACGGGCCGAAGTGTTTTGAGGGTGAGTTGTGCAGGTTTTTGCGGACTTGGTCTTGGTGTTCAGGGTTAGGAGGAGGGGAGGGTGGATCAAACTTGCTCAGTTCAGGTAGGGCTGTGCTGAGAAGTTGCGACCGGTATCAAAGGGTGGCTTTAAGGAGGGGGAAGAGCAGGAGAAGCCAGTTGGTGTGCAGGCTGGACTTCGGCAGCTCATTTTCTCTCGACTTGGTCAGACACTTCCGCTCCACTTTCTCTCAAGCTGAGTCACTTTTTTGCACTCTCCACGGGTCAAAGACGTCTAGAAGAGGGCGGTTGAGCAGGAACTGAGTGAGTTTGGGCTGATTCTCCTGGACTGAGTCTGGGAAGGAGCGGCTGCAGGAGGAGGCATGCGCACTTTTCGCTTCAAGTACCGCCTGGCTAACCTCGCTTCTCTCTCACAGCGTCAAGTCCAGTCTGAGCGTGCTTGCTGTCTCCGTTCTAAGCGGAAGGAAAGGGAGTTTGAGCAGACAAGGTCCGCTTTCTCCTCCTTCTCTTCCTCCTCACGCAGTCCAACTTGCTGGTATCTGCACCTAGTGACTGACGATCACTCTCGCAGCCTCAAGTAGTGCGGTGTCAAGCTGGCGCCCAGCCAGCTTGCGAGCTGGTGAGTTGGGGGACTGTCTCTCCCTCTCCAGCTTCTCCCCTCCCTTTCTCCCCGTTGTCACACTCACTCTCGCTTCTTACAGGCACAGCACAGTCACTCACATGTACGAAAACGTGGGAAAGTGGAAAGGAAGGTGGTTTGAGCTGCTTTTGGGGAGCATGACTGGGGAGTAGGAAGAGGTGGGAGAAGTTGCTTCTCTCAGGCTGGGACAGGTCGAGGTCGTGGAGTGGCTTTAAGAAAGAGTGGGAACAGTGCTGTGGAGTGAGCCAGGAGTGTTTGAGGAGGAAAAGATCTCGCTTTGCAGGTGAAGCTGACCTTCTCACCTTTCCTCTCGCTCTCATACTGACTCTGTTCTGCTTTCCACAGCTTCAGTCGCTCTCCCAAGGTCAAGTAGGGGAACCGTGGGTTGGAGCAGGAAGAGCGGGGGGAAGAGCTGGAGACCAACCACTGTTTCTTCACCTTCTCCCCTCAAAGCCAGGCTAACTCTCCTCTCACACAGGCTCAACACAGTTGTCAAGTGCACTTCAAGAACAGTGCAGTTGCTTCCTCTCAAAGCTGTGAGTACCAGATCTCTCCCTCAAACTTGGCTCAGTAGCACGAGATGAGGCGATGAGGAACTGGGCCAGCTCCTTCCGTTTGCAAGCTGCTGACCTGCTTCTCTCACTTCCAGGTACAGTTGGGACTGTTCTCAGCGGCACAAGGCGTTTGACACAGAAGGAAGCAGGTTTTTGCGGCCATGGACGCCTTTTTCAGGCTCAGCAGGAGGAGAGGGTAGGGGCAGTTTGCTGGTTCAGGGGGGGGGGCAGGGAAGTTGCGGAGATTTGACAAGGGTGTGTTGAAGCAGGAGGAAGTGCTGGAGAAGCCGATTGAACATCATCTCCTAGACTCCTCCTCCTCCTCACCCAGTTCATCCGCCCTGTCCCCAGGATGTTCAGCTGCTCCCGCCTCTTCTCTTCTGAGGTTGTAGACCCTGACTAGAGTAGGGCGTAACAGCAAAAAAGGAAAGCCAAAGGAAAGGCTGAGTGAACCAAGGGGAGAGAGCAACACACCAGCCCCCCCTCCTCCTCACTTCCTCCAGCAAAAGCTTGACGTGAGAGGGATTCGAACCCTCGCCATTTCTGACTGCCGATCATGCTTGTACAAAGCCTGAAGACAGCGCCTTAGACCACTCGGCCATCACGCCGCGTTTTGCGGTGAAAGCAATAGGACAGCTGAGCGCTCACAAGCTGCCCTTGTTTTCCGGGGTTACTGCTGTCAGAGTGAGTGCTTCTGTGCACTTGAGTGATGTCTAGATGGCTGGCAAGGAAGCTGGCTGAGCTTGGGAGACCCTCGCTGGAGTGGGAGAGTGAGGGATGCCGCGCTTGAGAAGGTCGTGGCTCGGTCCGTTCCCGTTTGCTACGCGCGCTTCACGCTTCAGACACGTCGAAGCATCCCAAGGAGAGGCGGGCAAGGCCGGCAATTGAAGCGCGACTCGCCAGAGCAGGTGGGAGACGAGGAGGCGCTCAACGGACTGCGATCCCGCCCCCTCACAGCAACGAGGACCCGAGAATCTCGCCACGCCCTTCCTCTCGTGTCTCTTTCCACTCTCTTCCCGCAAGCAATGATCCTCTGTCACACACTGAACTGCGTTGCGACGTCGCAATCTTCCCGCTTCGCGCTTCGAACCACTTGTGCTTGACGCCCACTCCGCTCTTCTCTGCTCAAGCGCCTTACCTCGCAAAGAACAGCGATGCTTCTCAATCTTTGCTCCGGGCGTCAGGCTTGGTAAGGGCGGGGACAGAGGAAGGAGCGCTGTTCGAAAGACGAAGGGCAAGTGCCTGCGAATCCTCCTCCGGTCTCTCGCTCTGGCTCGCATGGAAATCCAAGTTCCCTCGTCCACTCTGAGTCTAATGCCGTAGTGATTACACGCGCGCCCTCCTACCGCTGCACGACCACCCACTCCCCGCTCCTCACCTTCCCCCTCCCCTCCGCCGCCAAACCCGCCAAACACTCCCTCTTCCCCCTCGCCTTGATCCCCTCGACAACCCCCACACCCATCCCGAGCGCCCAAACGAGCGTCGACGCGTAGAAGAAGTTTGCGTTTCCCGAGTTGGAGACGAGCCAGAGGTGGGAGAAGGAGGGGAGGAGGAGGAGGGCGTGGAGCGGGAGGAGCGAGTGGAAGAGGGGCGAGGAGGTGTCTGCGAGCGGGGACGAGTTAGCTGAGTAGGAGAGCAGCGAGAGTAAGGACAAACAGGGGAGCAACTCGGAGTAGCAGCCGAGGAGGGCGTGCCAGAAGCCCCAGTCGCCGAATGAGGGGTAGCTCTTCAGCAGCGCGATCGTGCCGACCAAGACGACGACGGCAAAGAGCGGGTCGCGGCTGCGAGGGAGTCTCGGATCAGAGGGAATCGAGGCGCGATGGCACGGCTTGGACGCGCGACGCACCGGTAGGCAATGGTCAAGGGCGCGACGTAGACGAGCGGATGGAGGGCAAAGATGACGAGGAAGAAGGAGCGGAAGTGATCAAACATTTCGATGAAAAAGTACCACGCGAGGCCGATGTTGGGCGTCAGGTCGGGGATGGTGAGGCTGCGCGGGACGAGCGTCAGCGAGGCGAGGGTTGTAGAGCGACGCCGGGACGCACATGACGCCATACACGCTCGAGAGAAACTCCCACCCGCCTGTCCACCACCGACTCGCGCCGAGCAGGACCGCCTGGTGCAGGACGAACGCTGCGACGCCCGTGAGAGCCGTCCGACCGAGCGCTCTTCGGTTCGTGCTTCTCGAGGGGTCGACAGAGTGCCGACTGACGAGGAGCAGGAGGGGAGCGAGCATCAGGACGGGATAGAGGGAGAGATGCGTCGCGAGGGAGAGGAAGAAGGCGGTCTGGACGGCCGAGCCTGCGCGGGTAAAGGTCCGCGTCAGTCCGGCGTCGGCGCGGTAGACTCTTGGGACGCACCTGACACGGCCGCCTCGATGGCGAGGGCGAGAAAGAGGTTGGCAAAGGTCGTGCTGGAGCGAGCGAGGGTCGTCGAGATGGAGAACGGGTGGAAGAGGTATCTGCGGGCGCTCACAGATGGTCAACCAACTCTTCAGAGTGCAAAGGAGCAGCACGGGAACCCACATCGCCGCAACCCGCGCTCCACTCCACCTCGTCTCGCCCTCGACAGCCGACAGCGGACCCCTCTGTCTCCGCTCAGCGACCCGCGCGAGCGCCCATGCTGTCCCCAAGTCTGCCGAGATCCACGCAGCCAAGCTCCCCCACCGCGCCGCCCTCGTGTCGCCGGTGAGGGGTCCTGCGAGCGCGAGAAGGAGGGGCGGTCCGTGAAACGATCCGGCGGCGTACGGGTTCGCTCCGCGTGCCAGGAGCAACTGTCCCTCGCGTACTGCACGGCAACGCACACCCTGTCAGCCCACGAGCGCCCGAGGACGAGTGAGGACGCACGTCGTGTCCAGGACGAGAGCGGTGTCGCGACCTCGCTCCGTTGCGCGAGTTTGGCTGGGATGTGTGGGTCGAGTGAGAGTGCTGTGCGTAGCAATGCGCCGAGTGCGCCCGCTGCTGCCGCTGCCGCCATCGAATTCGCCGCTCGGCACGCTCGCTCACTCCGGCTCGACGCCTGGCGGGACCCGGCACCTCGCTCTCACCTCTCACACTCGTTCGTGGCACTCGCAGAACACACCAACACACTCGCAGGATGACATTCGGATCACTCGTACCGTTCGCAGAACCCGCCCACTGCAGGGTGCGTCTGCTCAACCTCATCTCTCTCCCGAACCCGGTTCACACTCTCTACACACAGGACCTCCCATCGCCGTACTACAACGAGTCGCACGACAGGCTCAGGAAGGCAGCACGCGAATGGTGAGTCGGTGCACTCGCTCGGGCTAGTTGTCGCTGTCGAGGAGCGAGTTGGCTCCCCCCACATATTCCTCGGGAATGGGCTCACTCGTTAGGCAGGGCTCAAGAGGGTGCGCGCGTGTACTCAAGCGACGAAGGAGGACTCTCTCTGGGTGGGACGGCGGCGGCGGGCACGGCAAGGAGAGCGACCCCGTTCACCCGGACTGACCATTCTCGCGCACAGGGCCGAAGAGCACATCATGGACGTCGCCTACGAGTGGGAAGAGGAGAAAAAGTCGGTCGACCCGGCCGTGTACCAGCAAGCAGCCAAGGACGGCATCGTCACCTGCCTCGCATTCGGCACCAAGATCCCCAAGAAATGGGCCAAGCCGGACGGAACCGTCTTTGGCGGCGTCAAGGTCGAGGAGTGGGACGGGTTGTGAGTGCCAGAGCGTTCTGGCGTGTGAGAGCGAGCTGACCGGGACCTTGCACGCAGCCACGACGCGATCCTCATCGACGAGCTCCACCGCAACGGCTCGCTCGGCGTCGGTCAAGGCCTCTTTGGCGGTCTCCAAATCGGTGCGCGAGCTTACCTGAACTTCCGCTGAATCCCCGCTGACGCATTCGGTCCTGCGCAGGCTGCCCGCCCATCTACCACTTTGGCTCGCAGGAGCTCCAGGACCGCGTCCTCCCCGACATCCTCAGCGGCAAGAAGCGTGTTTGCCTAGCCATTACGGAGCCCAATGCGGGAAGTGACGTCAAGAACCTCTCGACCGAGGCCAAGTTGTCCGAGGACGGGAAGCACTTTATTGTCAACGGGGTGCGTCCCGAAGACTCTCAGGCCCTCTAAGCCGCGACTGAATCGCTCTTCGCTGTGTGTGCCCGCAGACGAAGAAGTGGATCACGAACGGGATCTACTCGGACTACTTCACCGCGGCCGTCCGCACCTCTGGCAAAGCAGGCGACACGCACGGGATCTCGTTCCTCCTGATTCCCAACACTGAGGGCGTCACGCGTCGTCGCATGTACATGAGCGGTCAGCACTGTGCGGGGACCACGTTCTTGTCGTTCGAGGTGCGTAGACGGGACTTGCGATGGGGTTTGTGGCTGACTGGGTTTGGGAGGGCAGGACGTCAAGGTACCCGTGGAGAACTTGATCGGCGAGAAGGACAAGGGGTTCAAGATGATTATGACGAACGTGAGTCGGGCTGCGAGTTCGAGCTGACCTTGCGAGGTGCGAGTTGCGACGGCGGGCGAACAACTTGCTGACCGTCTCCTTCGCTCGACTCCATCACTCTCCCCTTTCTCCCACTCACGGCGACTCACACACTCCACCGACGACCCGTCGCACTCGCCCACCCGCGGCAATCGCCCGACTCTCCCTCTTCCTCCTCGACCTCGCTCTCCCTTCCTGATTACCCTCTCTCGCATCTCGCTCCCTCGTCAATTATATTAGTTCAATCACGAACGAGTCATGGTGGCACTGGTGGGCCACAGGCTCGCGCGCGTCTGCATCGAGGACGCCTTCTCGCACGCCTCTCGCCGCGTCGTCTTCAAGAAGAAACTGCTCGAGTCCGAGGTCATCCGGAACAAGGTTCGTCCGCTTCCACTGCACTCGCTTGTGCTCGTACTGACCCGCTCGCATCGCAGCTCGCCCACATGGCGCGAGTCGTCGAGGCTCAGCAGGCTTGGATTGAGGTGCGTTCGCTTTCATCCCCCTCGCCTAATTGCCCTCCCCCGCGAACGCAAGAGCTTTCACTGATGCGGTGACCTGTCGCGCAACAGTCCATCATCTACGCCTCGCAGAACCTCTCGCACGAGGAGGGCAACAAGCGACTCGGCGGCATCACGGCGCTGCTCAAGGCTCATGTGTCGATCACGCTCGAATTGGTCGCTCGCGAGGCGGTTCAGGTCTTCGGCGGACTCGGACACACGCGCGGAGGAGTTGGCGAGAGGGTCGAGCGGATTCGGCGCGATGTGAAGGGTGTCGCGATCCCTGGGGTGAGTCAAGCTTCTCCGAGCTCAGCAAGACTCTTCTACAGCCTGCTGACTGTCTCGCGCTCGCGGAAACAGGGAAGCGAAGAGATTATGCTCGACTATGGGGTCCGCAGTGAGGTCAAGCTCGCGCTGGGTCTCGGAGCAAAGATGTAGACGCGGCGGCGCTCATCCAGGGTAACGAAGGACTCTTCTGTGTGTTCTCGCAGGTCTCGCTCGACCGCTCGAGGCGAGAGGGAGCGAGTTTGTCGACGACCGACCTTCTCAACCTTCCGCTCAGCTTGCGCCTCGAGTAAGGATCGCCGAACGCTGATTCGTCTCGCTGGCTGACGAGCGTGTGCTACTGTACGACTGGCGTTCGTGAAAGCAAGTCCTTCTTTTCGTCCACTCACCTAGCATCGTGCAGCGCACCCAACCTCCTCTCCCACGCGCGCGGACCTCCTCTCTCTCTCTCCTCCTCGCCACTCGCTCGCACACACACGCACGATGGCACCCGCGAAGAAGGCTGCACCGCCTGACCCGCGGCAGCAGTCGCTCCTCACGCTCTTCTCAAAGCAGCCCAAGTCGAGTGCGTCCTCATCCTCGTCCTCGTCCTCGCCCGACGTGTCGCGCCTCGCTCACACGCGCCGTTGCCTCGCGCGCAGTCCCTCAGGCCTCGTGTGCGTCCTAGCGTCCCTTTACGCGCGGTCCGGTCGCGTCAGCTCACGTTCGCTTCGTCTCGCTCGCAGCTGGCCCTCCTCCTCCTCCCAACCCGAACTCGTCGACCTCTACGCCGGCCGGCTCGCTTTCAACGTCTGCCAAGTCGATCAAGGAGTCCGTCAAGTCTGCAGGCACGGCGATCGCGTCGGCAGTCCAGAAGGGCAAGCAGGAGGTCGTCGCTGTCGCAAAGAAGGTCACCGACAAAGTCAAGCAAGACGTCGCTCCCCCTGCTCGTGCGTTGCTCGCGATCTCCTCGCTTCTCTCGCGTGCTGACCATGCTCGTGGCGCGATGCAGCGAAGCCCATCTCCACCGAAGGATGGAAGTCCAAGCCGTCCATCGTCAAGGCTTTGGACGCGTGCAAGAGCGAGGCGGACCTCGTCGACTACTACGTCAAGATTCGTGCGTCCTCCTCCCTGGCTTGCAACGATGCGCCCAGCTGACCGAGCGGTTTGACGACAGACTCGTCCGACCCGAATGCGCCTAAGTACACCATTCCCGACGAGGACATGGTGCTCAAGCCGCTCAAGGACTGCGGCGGTGTTTGTGCGTCCTCTCTACACTCCTCCCTACGCGAGCTCTAGCTGACGATGCCGTTGCAGCCTTCGAGTCGAAGCTTCGCCAGCCAGACGACCTCTCCCCTTCGCGCGTCCCGTCCGACCCGTCCGACCGCCTCGCACTCTTCACCACAATCTTCGAGAGTACGGCACAGGACGTCTCGGACCGGTCGAACCACCCCGAATTCGACCAAGGACACCAGCGTGGCCTGCACCCACTCTTCGGACACCTTCCCTCGCGCCAAGTCCTGGTCAAGTCGTGCTACAGCATGATTGACTCGCTCGGATCGACTGCTGCGCACGCCACTCGCGGCGTGTTGCTCTCGCTCCACTTCGGGGAGATGCCCGCCAAGGTCGACGTCGAAAACCTCATCGCCGTTCCGAAGCAAGGAAAGAACGGAGGCGCCTACGGCGCGATGGGCACGTCCTTCATTGAGATCGGCCACGCGCTTGCGTCTTATTGCGGCATATCGACGACGGCTGGCCAGGGCCAGCAAGGCGGACTCGCTTACAGGATCTGGCAGGGGCACTTCGTGCGTCTTTTGCCCGCCTCCTCCTCCTTTCCCGCGTCCGTTGCTGATCCCGCGTCCGTTGCTGATCTCCTTCCGTTGCGCTCGCAGGGAGGAAAGCGCCTCAAGGAGGACAAGTACTTCTACAGAATCGCCTTCGACCCGACGCTGAAGGACAAGCACGACCCCAAGTTCAACGGCGACTGGATTGCGTTCGTCATCGGCGCGGCGACGCGCTCTCTCAACCTCCCCTCGCCCTTCATCGTCCTCCTCACGATCGCCTTCGAGGGCATCGTCATCAAGATGTCCTTCTCGCCTTCCTTCGAACTCGGCAACGGCTCCGAGGGCGAGATGCCGGCCAAGGTCAAGAACTGGGAGGCTGAGAACGATCGTCTCGACGACTACAAGCAGGACAAGCGCGACGAGGCCGTTCACCCACTCAACCGCGCGTTTGGGTGCGAAGCATCCGCTTACGGTCACGGGTCGGCGAGTCCGAACTACTCGGAGCAGGACAGGCTGCGTGCGGCTCAGAAGAACCTGCAGACCTGCGAAGAGATCGGGTATGACAAGGCGCACGGGCTGAAGGAGTTTGAGGCGGGGTTGACGATGGAGGACAAGTCTGTGCTTGTGCGTCCACTCTCTTCCTCGCGCTCGCGCCGGGCATCTCGCTGATATGCTTGCGGAGGACAGACAACGGAGCGCATGGCTAAGGCTGCCGAGAAAGACCCCAACACGAAGCTGGGTGGTGTCGTGCACGACCTGCTTGACGGAACCCGCATCGTGCGTCTGCCTTTCGCCGCTTCTACACGGACATATCCTTTGTTTCTTCGGCGAGCTTAAAGTGACTGACTTGTGCTGCTGTCTGCAGATCCGGGCTACGGACAAAAAGGGGAAGAAGGTGCACCTGCGGATCTATAACCCGGCCAATATCGTCCTCGTCGACTCTCTCGGCTCCAAGATCAAGAAGGGCGTCGCCTATCGAATCCATGTCGGCTTCGACGACGAGAACGACCCGCACAACACTTGGGTCACGAAGCTGACACCTCTCAAGCCCCGCGACGGCCTCAACTCCGCGACGGCCGACAACCGCGAGGGACGCAACCTCACCAAGGAGCGCGATATGGCGGAGAGGGAAGCGGAGAGGAAGAAGACGGGCAAGGAGGCGGGGACGAGGAAGGAGGATGGGTCCTACATCTCGTCGCGCAAGTTCGCCAACGCGGACTACATCGACGACGACGACGAGGACGCCATCACGATCCGCGCCGACGACAAGAAGACGCACAAAGCGTTTGACTCGACCGAGCCTCTCGTCGACCTCGTCAAGCTCATCCAGGACCGTCTCGAGGACGAGAAGTCTTTTGACAACTCGTACAGCCGTAAGCGCGCCAACAAGCAGCGCGACAAGGCAAAGAAGCGCGCGGCAAAGCAGGCTACGAGTGCTGCTCGTGCTGCTGGCGGCGAGGACGAGAGCGAGTCGGAGAAGGAGTCGACCTCGCCGGAGGATGAGGACGACTCGAGCGTCTCGGCCGCTTCTTCCGCCGCCCTCTCGATGAACAAGCCGGTCAAGATCAAGGACTACTCGTCCGCGCTCGCCTCGTCCTCGCCCAGCGCGCTTGGCTCGATCCAGTCGGGCACCTCTCCCGCTTTCGTCGCTTCCTCGTCCGGCGCGTCGACGTCCAAGCTTGTCCAGGTCAACAAGGACTCGCTCAAGGTCGAACCCACCTCCCGCAAGACGCTTGCCTCAATCCAAGCCGAGCCTGTCTCGTACAACGTCTCGCCCTCGACCTCCGGCACGACGTCGAACCCCCCTTCGACGGACTGGTCCACCTCGACGAACCCTTACGCAGTCTGGGCTCGTGAGAGGCAGGCCGCTCGCGACAAGCAGGTGTCGGCTCCCTCGACTACCTCGGCAGAGGCCAGCAGCTCGCGCAAGATCGTCGAGATCGACTCGGACGACGACGTCTCGATGCGCTCGAGTCGCCCGCTCTCGCACGCCTCTGGCATCTACGCAGAGCAGCCCTCGCAGGACGAGGAGGACAACGTCGAGCTCGAGGAGGACGCCCGCTCGACCGACTTCGAGGACGACAGGATGTCCATCTCGAGCCGCGACTCGCGCATGAGCGGTCTCTCCTTCGCCTCGCGCCGCAGCACCAGCAGCAAGATGTCGGGCGTCGAGATGCTCGACAACATCGCTTCGGGCAAGAAGAACGGGAAAAAGGGGATGGGTTGGACTTCGGGGGGCTTCTACGACGACTAGAGCCCTAGAGTCTAGATGGGGGAGCGTAGGGGGTAGAAGGTAGAGTGAAGAGAGTGTCGAAGAGGTGTAAGGGGTGACGGTGGCGCTTGTTCATGCTTGTTGTTGTTTCCTTCCTCGCTTTTTCCTATCCCTCCCTCCGTATTCTTCGTTCTACACCCTACTCCCTCGAGTTCCAGCACTCTCCCGCGCTTGTACCCCTTAATAGCCTGGAACTCGATGTACTTGACCACATTCCGCGCCGTTCAAACGCGAGGGGACGAGACGAACGAGCCTCGTGTGGTGGTGTGCGCTTCGATTCCGTCGGTCGCAGCTTCACGGTTGAGCTCAGTAGCAAGCTCATGGCAATGTCAGCTTCGTCGCTAGCGGAAGAGGACACTGCGCACGTCCTGGACTACTGGACCAGCTCGAGAATTTCAGCAGGACAACGGCGAGAGAAGTCCGGCCAGGATGTCCGAGCCTGGAGCTGCGGCTGTGGACATTAGAGCTGGCGAAGTAGCAGTGGATGGCCGTCTAGCCATGGCCGTTCTCGAACCCCCGCGCACACCCGCGTTCCAAAGGAGAGGCCGAGTATCAGTCCATCTCCATCGTGCTGTCTCGCGCTTCGGTGTTGGCGATTTGCGAGAGCGCTTGATTTGGCCGTTGCAAACGTGCTCAAACCCTATTGCAGGCTGCAAGTGGCTGTTGACTGCCGGTGGAGTGCATTGTCCTGGCGAGGGGTGTCGAGGCGAGAGAAGCGGCGGCGGAGCATGGGAGGCGTGAGGCTGCGTTCGCCCGATAGCAGGAGCGTCAGAGAGAGTCAACGGAGTGCACAGCGTCACAACCAGCGTGCGTAGCCAGATGGTCGACACCCAACCCTCCCCACCTCGCGCTGCTCTTCTCCTCCCGACGCACACCTCGCTAACCCTCTCAACCTGCTCCGAGCCGCACCACGAATGGGCGGAGGACCACGCACACCACCACTGCCGTCCCACCTCGTCGTCAGCCGCTCCGTACGTCCCACGCTCACCCCCAAGTCCTCATCAGTCGGACTGATATCCGCGGTCGAGTGTGCGCAGTCGGAGGACCTGGTCGAGGTATCGCTGCTCAGGGAGGATCAGGACACGCTTGAGGACCCTGCAGGCATGCCACAACTCGCGCCGCACCCTCCCACAGACGCGACTCCGTCACCTCCCGGCACCGCCTCGTCGACACCGACAGACCCGCTCTCCTCGCAGGCGTCCGCAAGCGCCGACATGGCTCGATTGTCACTTGGAGACGAGGGAAACTTGGCAGAACTGCTGTGGAGCAAGTCGGCGGTCTACGTGCACCCGTCGCAGCAGGGGCGGGACTCGGCTCTTCCTGGTTTCTTGTCTATCGTGCGCGTGAGGCAGGGCGAGGGGTGGCAGCACTTGGTCAGCTGGATTCCGGAGAAGCTCGTCGAGGGGACGCGCGACTTTGATGCGTATGTGCTCGTCGAGCTGTCTTCACGTGGGTGGCCGCTCCCACCTCAAGCAGAATCCGCAGCTCACCCAGTCCCGTCCCGCAGAACACGAGACGGATGTCCTCGTACACCTCGCGCCGTCGTTCTGTCCCGAAGAGGACGCCGGCCTCGCCTCGCCCCGCTCGCACGCCTTCTCCCACCCGATCACTTCGCTGTACTCGGTCCAGGTCCAGCCGCCGACGCTTACGTCCTGGATCGGCACCGTCACCCTCTCTCTCTTCGGCGGCGTCACCCTCCCCCCGCTCCACTTTCACGACGACGAGTCCAAGTCGACAGTCCTCGACCAGGACCGCCGCGCGTCGTCTCTCAGCGTTGGCGGCTCTCACTCTGCCCGACAACCCGCCGGCGGTGCACTGGCTCCCAGTTGGGGCGGCGAAGCCTTTGTCAAGCAGCTCAAGCGTCACGCCCGCGTCGTCCGCTCGCAACTCGACCCGAGCTGCTACCTCGTCAACCCGTCGAAAGTCGACCTCGAAGCGCACGCCGGTGGATTGTACCCGACCTGGGATGAAGACGCCGTGCCGGACGAGGCGTTGCGAGGGATGCGAGGGCGGTTGGGCGAGGGCGAGCGAGGGGACCGCGTGAGGGACAGGGCGCAGCAGCAGCAGGAAGCGAGGACGAGCATCTTGCATCAGAGCTCGCCCGTCAGTCGGAAGAGTGCGAGGAGCAGGCCGCAGCCAGGCAGGGAGGAGTGGCCGGACGACCCCGATGCGATGCTCGGCGAGGACGGTTCGGCGCGGGACGGCGGGAACGGCGGGATGGACGCGCTGACGTTCAGCGTGCTGAGCGGGTTCAGTCGGATCACGCGAGGGTGAGTCGACTTCTGACTCGAGCTTTGTGATCGCACTCACGCCCGTCTTGCCTCCGCAGCGCCCGCCAGATCTCGCAGCAAGCCGCATCGACTGTCCTCTCGCACCCTCTCGCCAAGCCGCTCGCCAAGCACGTCCCGAAGCCGATCGCACAGCTCGCGCTCGCTCCTGGCGAAGTGAGCAAGCTCACGGATGCAGCCGGTGTCGGCGCCTACGACTCTGCGCGCGTCTACCTCGCCAAGTGGGCTCGCATCGTCGCCGAGGAGGGCGAGCGGGCCCGCCGAGCCGAGTACGGCGTCGACGACTCGTCTTTCCTCGAGGAAGAGCTCGGCGAGTCCACCGGTGTCTTCGAGGTCCTCGCCAAGACGTACCGCATCGGCCACAAGCCACGGTCGACTCGAGCGCCGAAGACGCCGATCCAGCTCGAGGAGTGGCACGCTTGGTTCGACAGCGAGACGCGGCAGCTGCTGCTCGACGAGAAGGAGGCGAGGAGGCGGATCTTCCAGCGTGTGCGTCGGGCACGCGTGTCTGGCTCATCTGTACGCTGCTGACCGAGTCGTGCGACAGGGGCTGGCGGACAACGATGTTCGGAAGGAGGTCTGGCCGTTCTTGCTCGCCGTCTATCCCTGGACTTCGACTGGCGAAGAGCGTGCGAGAATAGCCGAGGCGAAGAGGTGAGTCGAGCTGCAAGTCATCGCAGTCTCTGAAGCTGACGACCGCACTCACAGCACCGAGTACGAGCGGAACAAGCGCAAGTGGATGGCGGACGACGAGCTGCAAAAGACTGAGCGCTTCCTCGAGGAGGACCACCGAGTCGGTGCGTCACGCTCCGCCTTCAGCGTCGTCAGGTACCGAGCTGACCCTGGTCCGCCACAGAAATCGACTGTCGGCGAACCGACCGCACCCACCCGCTCTTCCTCTCCGACCTGCCACCCGACGAGAACGGCGGCGCCCATCCGCCGACGAACGCGCACATCACGGCGTGCCACGACGTTCTCATGACCTGGGTGTTCGCCCCGACCGACGCAACGGATCAGACCGATCCGCCGGCCGTCAACCAGTACGTCCAGGGCATGAGCGACCTGTTCTCGCCGCTCTACGTCGTCCTCGAGGGCGAGCAGTGGCTCGCGTACTCGTGTTTCGAGACGGTCATGCAGCGACAGGCCGACAACTTCCGCGAGGACCAGAGCGGGATGAAGCGTCAGCTGAGCGAGCTGCAGTCGTTGATCCGGGTCATGGACCGCGGGTTGTACCGGCATCTCGGTGCGTTCGTGCGTCCCCCTCTCTCGCTGATCGCACTTACACGTCCCGCTCGCAGAGGAGACCGGCTCGCTCAACCTCTTCTTCTGCTTCCGGTGGTACCTCTGCTCCTTCAAGCGCGAGTTCGGCTTCGACGACACGGTCCGCCTCTGGGAGATCCTCTTCACCGACCACCTCGGCCGCCACTTCCACCACTTTGTCGCCCTCGCCATCCTCGAAGCCAATCGCGACGTCATGATCCGCTACCTGCGCGAGTTTGACGAGGTGAGCTCGTCGGTGCGCATCTCGTTCGACCCCGGCTGACCTTCGAGACCCTCGGCAGATCCTCAAGTACGTCAACGAGCTGTCGCAGACGCTCGACCTCTCGACGATCCTGGGCGACGCCGAGGTCTTGTACTACACGTTCCGCGACGTTCTCGCGGCCGCATCGCCAGCCCCGCCTCCTCCCGGCCAGGAAGGTCTCCGACATCGCAAGCCGCCTGCGAGTGAAGCCCGCATCGGCGCCTTCCCGCCAACACCGGAGGACGCAGAAGAGGCGCGCCGAGCCAAGGTGCGCGATCGAACGGCAAGAGAGGCCGAGGGGCTGAAGGAGCTGCTCGAGTGACCCTGTATCTTTTCGCCGTTCCTTTCTTTCGTTGTTGTTTCTCGTCTTCTCGCGCATGTATACAGTGCAGTGCAGTGCCTGTATCCTCTCTTTATACAGTTGCAGGCGAGGGAGAAAAAGCGGCGTTCCCGTCAAGCGACTACAAGCGTTCCTCCTCACCACGCAGTGCGCCTCTTCGCCCACTCGGCATCGCGTTCCGCCATCCTCCGTTCGCGCGAGTTGAGGTCCTTCATGGCGATGATCGGCGGCGGGAGGAACTTGCCCGCTTCGCGCGCCTCGCGAGTGGCGTACTTGACCGAGCCCAGCTAGTCGCCGAGAGACCGTCAGCTCGTTAACAACGGAGAGCGGAGGAAGCACACGCACGAGACTGCTCCACGTCTCCCTCGGAAAGCCCTTGTGAGACGGGCAGTTCTCCCAGACGAACCTGAAGGACTTGAACGTCTCCTCGACATCTTCCTTCGTGACATTCGGGTCATCGCCGTCGATCCGCCCGAGCTCGAGAAGCGCTGACCAAGCGCAGGCAACCTCGAGCGAGAGCTGGACGAGCCTCTCTGGCGAGGTGTTCGGGTTCTTCTCCTCCTCATCCTCTTCGAACCTGAGAACAGGATCGTCGAGTCGATCAGGCAGGTCCGGCTCGTGCCTCTCGTGCCAGTGCTTGAGGACGTCGACGAGAGGACCGGTGTTTGAGCAGTAGTCGCCGCCGCAGTTGATCCACGAAGACGGACGGCGGAAGAAGTCATCGTCGAATCGAGGGTCTGACAGTATGTCAACGTCGAGCTGCTCGATCTCCTCCTCGCTCGTGTCGGTTGTGGCGGCGAGAATAAGCTTGAGAGCGTGCAGGCGCACGTCGATCGCAAACCCGTTCATCTCGTCGCGTACGGCGTCGAGGCGCTCCTGGAAGACTTGGAGGTCCTGGTTCGCCCTGCTCTTCTCCGTCGCAAACTCTGCGTCGTCGTAAAGATCCTTGACGTTGTCGAGGTGCAGAAAGTCGCGGAAGCAGGGGGCGAAGGCCCGGACTTCGTCGCTCGGGATGTCGGCCAAGATCGCGTCGTAACGGTCGCGGAGGAACGCGTGTTTGCTGTCGAGCCGCTTTTGCTTGCGAGCGAGTTCCCGTTCCTCGCGCTCGTTCTCCTTCGCCCTCTCCTCCCTCTCCTTACTCCGGGCGACGATGTCCGGAAAAGCGGGATGGATGTACGCCCAAGCTGCGACCGTAGGTAAAAGGCTCGTCAATGCTGGACTTCGGAGCTGCAGGTGAAGAGGTACTGACCCTCGTCTGACACGCCCTTCGGCTGCTTGGGAAGGTCGACCTTGTCCCTTGACGGAACGTGCGATGAGGTCCTTGGCGGCGGCGCGACCCAGATCGAGGTAGATGGCGGCCGCGATGGCGTGCCAAACTAGGGAGAGGCTCGTCAGCATCTGGCTGTAAGGGCGCCTCACTGTAGCGGACACGCACCGTCGTCGGTCAGCGGCTCGGCGAGGCCGACCAGCGGATGGGTGACGAGACGGCTGAGAGATATACCAGGTCAACAACAACTTATCCGAGAGGGAGGACGAGGAACGCACTTTTCGTCGTACTGGTCGAAGATTCCTTCCTGCTTCACTCGCTGCGAAATGCTGCGGACACATAGCGTTATCAGCGATCGCGCAGTGACCAAGAGAGAGTGAAGGAAAGCGACACACCGCGCGAAGCGCTCCGCACGCGCCTGTTCCGATGCCGCCCTTCCCTCTGCCCGCTCCACATCTTCGCGATACCCGAGGCGCTGATAGGCGGCGACAATCCAGCGCGTAAGCTATAGGCGTCGAGCTCTTGTAAGTGATCATTCAGGAGAGCCGAGATGGTTGTGACGCGCCTTCTCCCGCTCCGGCTTGTTCTCCTCGCGCTGCTCGATGATCTTGCGGACTCGAGGCGAGAACTGTGCCATGATGCGCTGCTCGATGCCTTTCGCCTTCTGCTGGCGACTGTCGCGCCACGAATCGGCGAGCTTGGCGGCGCGCGACAAGTCCCGGCCGATCGACTGCAAGTCGAGCTCTGCGCCGCGCCACGGCTTGTCGCCGTCGGCCGCGTAGTCGATCTCTTCGAGCATGTCGGAGGTCTCGTAGAGTTCGGGAAGGTAGACGAAGTCGGTGCAGCGCACTGCGAACCGCCTGTCCGGCTCGACTGCAGGATCGGGCGAAAGGGGTCAAGCGCGGACGCCTCGACCGCCAGGGACGACGCACCCGACGTCTTGGGGACGACCTTGAGAGTGGCGGCGTGAAGACCTTCGTACTTCTTGTCCAGCACGACCTCCTCGACGCCGATGAAAGATCGAGTGCGGCATTCCTTGCAGATGCGCCTGAAGAGAAACTGGTCGGGCCGCTCGACCGTGTCCTCGCCGCAGAGCTGCACGGTGCGAGCGTTTTGTAAAGATACGATGAGCGCTCAAGGAAGGAAAGAGCGTGTACCTGACAAGCCGACTCGAACATCAGGACTGCGAGGCGGTAGGGTTCCACCTCCACGCCGCAAAACTTGGGCAGCTTGTTTTGCGGGTTCTGCGGGTCGGCGGGGATTCTCCTCTTCTCCAGCCTGATGGCCAGTACGCCTCGCGGCTTGGCGGCCTCGTCGTCGCGCAAGTCGCGGAAGGTGTACGCCCTCTTCCAGACAGGCTTGACGGTGGGTGACGTCAAGATGGCGTGGAAAGTCTTGTTGAGGAACGAGAGCTCGTAGAGAGTCTTCGGACCGAGATAGGAGAGGATCTGCGGGGGACGAACGGGTAAGTCGAATTGCGATCCGAAAAAAGCGGCCTGGCTTACCTCGGCCACGGTCTCGACGGGGAGCGTCTTGCTGAAGTCGACGCGTTTCACCTCGTACTCGACGAGCTCTGGCGCAGGCGATCCCCAACGCGCGCGTGCGCGGTTGAGACTGGGAAGCAGGTAAGGGTTGCCGCCTGCGAGCACATCGAGCACATCGACCGTGAGACTCGTGCGCTCGTGCAGGGTGGCCAGCGGGACTCGAGCACTCACGTTTCTTCCGAGCTGCGCTCGTTGACGAGCCTCCCTCACTCTCCTCCTCCTCCTCCTCGCCGCTCTCGTCCGGCGTCTTCATGCGGGCCTTGCCTGTTTGAGCGCACACAGAGTCAGTGTAAGCGCAGAAGGTGTACCTGGATGCCTACGCACCCTTGTTCTTGCTCGTCTTGGCCCTCTTGCGGCCGTACTCCTCCTCATCGCTCGAAGCTGATCCGGCGGCGTCCGCGGACCCGTCGGACTCGTCGAAGGTGTAGTTAGTCGACTGTGCGGCCTGGCGAGCCGGCCTGGCACGCGTGGCCATCCTGCGAAGCGAAGAGGTGAACAGTGGAAGCAAGAGAGGCGAGGAGGCGAGGCGGGCGGGTTCAGCTTGGCGGCTGATAAAACAACAAAACAGGAGACGGCGTAAGAGTTCAGGACCATACGATGAGAGCACAGGAAGCGCACGAGCAAGGAGAGCGCGCAAGCGAAGCAAGTGTAAAGCCGAGTTACTCGCCAGAGCAAGAGGAACGAGAGGAAGAAGCGATTCAAGCGACACACCCTACCTGCGCACCGCGATTAAGCCAGCAGCTATCTACCACAACCATCCTCTGCCCCTGCGCGGCTTGTACGGCTTCCTGAGGACGATGACCGGGACGGCGAGGACATCTTGCCGCCTGTGCGCCGTGCGCGCATGCCTGCAGACCGCCTCAATCTGGTCGATACAGCAGCGTTAGTACTCCATTACCCTATCCCGCAGCGAGTCGTGAGGACGCACCAGGTTCGACCACGTCTGGCGATGCTTCGTGCCCCTCGGCCCGTTCTCCCAAGCCAAGTCCTGCTTCCCGAGCGCCTTGGTGAGGTCCTTCGCCTTGAAGTTCGGCTTGTCGGCATCGATTTTGGCGAGCTCAAGGACGGCAGACCAGGCGCACGCGACCTCGAGCGAGAGTTCGACTTGAGGACGAGGGGCGTCAGCCGTGAGCTTGACGCTGCCGGCGTGTGGCGACGACAAGGGGTGACATTCGTGGCGGTGTTTGAGGATCTCGATGAGCGAGCCAAACTTGTCGCAGTCAGCGCAGTTGACCCAGGACGATGCGCGAGTGAAGAAGCTGTCGTTGTAAGCCGGGTCGGCGAGAGCGTCTGCGCCGAGATCCTCCATGTCGTCGGCGCTCATCTCGGTCGTAGCGGCGAGGATAGCCGTGAGCGCCGAGAGACGGACCTCGAGAACATGGTCTCCCATCTCCTCGAAAATGGCGTCGAGGTGCTCGGCCCACGTCGCGAGGTCGTCGTCGTAGGTCGAGTTATCGACCGCGAACTCGGCGTCGTCGTAGAGCTGCTGCACCGTGGGGCAGACGAGGAACTCGCCGAAGCGAGGCGCGTAGAAGCGGCCCTTCTGCGACGGGAGCATGTCAAGCGCCTTTTCGTAGCGCTCGCGGAAGAAGGCGTTCTTGACTTCGCGCTGCTCCTTCGTGAGGACGGGTCCCTGTTGCAGCGGGGCGGCGGGCTTCTCCGGCTGCTTGGCGTGCTTGAGGAGTTCGGCGAGGAGGGGGCGGACCCACTTCCAGCCTGTACGGCGCATTGGAAAGGCAAAGTCAGCTTCGGGAGACGCCATGTGACGCCAACTCGCCCATGCGCACCGTCAGCAGAGACGCTCTTCGGTTTCTTGAGAAGGTCACGCTTGAGCGCCGCCTCAACGTCCGATTCGTCGTCGTCCTTCTTCGTCCTCTTGCGGCTACCGCAGCGAGCGATGATGTTGAGGGCGACGTAGCGGGCGATGACGCGGTAGAGGACGGGCCTGATGGCCTTCCAGACTGCGCAAAGAGCGTCAGCAGTCCGAGTGGTGTGAAAGCGGATGCGGACGCACTCTCGCCGGTGAGCGGCTCAGTCCTCTTGACGAGCGGGTGTGAGGACCAGGAAGAGTGTTTGAGGCTGCAATCTTGATCATCAGCAGGAGAAGCGGGGGCGCTTCGGGAAAAGGCTTACGTCGAGGGAGGGAAGATGCCTTCGTCGCTCAGGTGCTTGCGGATGCTGTCCAGCGTCGTGTCAGCTGACGCCGCGGATCTGAGGAAAAGCGAAACGCACGCGGCGAGGCGGTAGCTCTGCACACGGGTGTCAAATGCAGTGGCTTCGGTCTTGACCACGTCTTGTAAGTCGATCAAGGACGACCAGCGCTTCCAAATCCAGGTGGCGAGCTGTGCGACAAGCGTCGCGCGAGTGAGTCACTGTCGAGCGTAGGACGTAGGGAGCGGGCGCACCTTGGCGTGCTCCTCCTTCGAGGCGAGCCTATCGAGAACGTACTCCTTGACCCTCGGCGAGTACTTCTGCGTCAATTCGGCCTCCAGCGCCTTCCCACGCTCAGCCCTCGAAGTCGACCAGCTCTTCTTGAGCCGTTTCGCCCTTCCGAGCGTCTTCTGAACTGACTTGGCGCTGAGTGACGTCTCGGCATACTTGTTCGACGAGTCGGCGTCGTCTTCGAGCTGAAGCTGCTCGAGCGTCTCGGAAGCGTCGCGGAGGTCACTGATGAGGACCCAGGAACGCTGGTTGCGGCCGTACCGAAGGTCGCGCGGCGGGACTGTCGATGGAAAAGCCGCGTCAGCGAGTGCTGGCGAAGAGACGAGTAGTATGACTCACGTGGCGTACTCGCGACGACTTGGAGCGTTGCAGGATGCAAGTCGCGGTACGTCTTGCCCTTGCCGACATCCGTCGTTGGGACGAGGTTGAGGTCGCGGCACTCGTAGCACAGGCGGCGGAAGAGGTAGCGGTCGCAAGTGTAGACCTTGCCGCGTTCGCAGTTCTGCAAAACGACGCGTCAACCAGCCATCGGCAGACGCAGCCAACGCGAACCCGTACCTCGCAAGTCTTGTCGAAGAGGAGGGTCGCAAGGCGGAAAGGTTCGACTTCGTCGCCGTTGAGAGAGGGGATCGGCTCGGGGTCATCGTAGCCGACAACGACACGCTTCATGTCCTGGAACTCGGTCTTCGGTGTCGGCGGTCCGCGCAGGAGGTCGAGCCAGAGCGGCTTCATGAAGTCTGACTTGACGATAGTGCGCCAGGTCTTGCTCAAACTCGACAGCTGGTACAGCGTCGACGGGTGGAGGTAGCCGAAGATCTGCACGGATGTCTGGTCAGTTTCGACGAGGCCAGACGCAAGCGAGCGGACTCACCTCGCGAAGCGTCTCGAGCGGGAGCAGTTTGCCGAAGTCGACACGCTTGACCTCGTACTCGACGAGCTCGGGCTGTTCTTCGTTGTCCAGCTGCACGACCAGCCCGCCCGAACGCGGCGCAAAGTCGTCCTCGTCTTCCTCGTCGCTGTCGTTGCCCTTGATCCTCTTGCGCGGCTTGCCTGCCGGAGTCGACCGCGGTCAGCTCAGCGTGCCTCAGGACACTGGTCGAACGCCCACGCACCCTTGCCCTTGCTCGTCTTCGCCCTCTTCCTCCCGTACTCCTCCTCATCGCTCGAAGCTGATCCGGCGGCGTCCGCGGACCCGTCGGACTCGTCAAAGGTGTAGTTGGTCGACTGTGCGGCCTGACGAGGCAGCCTGGTACGCGTAGCCATCCTGCGAGGGGCGCGAGGTGAGTGGCGGAAGCAGAGGGTGAGAGGGGGAGAGGAGACCACCTCAAAGACGGTGACAACTCGAGATGAAGGGCTGCAGCTTTCACGTGCAGATGTCGATGAGACGAGCTCAAGCAGTAGGAACTCTCGCTAAGCGTTGCGGGAAACAGCCAGAGGAGCTACTCGCGACGAGCGTCTTGCAGCCACTCCTCATCGCGCCTCTCGAGACCCGTTCGCCTGTCGACCGTCCGTACACTCGTCGTAATCGCTTCCGAGAGGGCGGCGAGCTGAACAACCTGCGAATCAAAGGTGTCCTTGCGCCTGCAAAAGCGAAGAAGGGATGATCATTTGCGTTTCTGGGCGGGCGACGGCGACGCTAAAGAGCCGAATCGATGGAGGCGAGACTACCTGACCAACAAGCTGTGCGGGCGGGCGAAAGTCGGCACTTGAACAGAGTAGGAGCAGCTTCGAAAGCGTTTGTCGCCCGCCGGAGAGACCGCAAGAAGGAGCAGGGAGCCAAGCCTCAGCTCCGGTAGCTGTCCAGTGGTGACGAATGACTGTGTAGATATTGACTTCGACTTGGGGCAGGACGAGCGAAGCGCGGCGTCGTCAGCGAAAGCGAATAGGCGGCGGAGGAGCGCGGCAGATCGTTATAGCTGTACCGAGCGAAGCTTTCTCCAGTCGAGTGCAGCGCACCTTCGCTCGGAGCCAACGTTCTGCGCGAGAGAAAGGTCAGCCCTCGTCTACCCAGCAAGAAAGCGAGGTTCGACAGAGAGGAGGAGGAGAACGAACCAACTCCATACGCATAGCGCCGCGCGCCGCTTCTTGACCGTACTCACACGCAACCATGGGTCGTTCCAACTCCCTGAGCATCGAACTCGCCGCCTATGCACTGACCACGACTTGCGGGAAGGAAGGCCATCGAGGAGGACAGATGAGAGGCAGCAGAGCTGCGGGGCGGTCGTGGGCGGGTTCAGGAAGTCCGACAAGCCTAGGGGATAGCCTGCTAGCAGTGCAACGGTCTCAGCCCGGAGCGTGTGTTGAGGAAGAGGACCACCTCATCTCTTAGACGCCGGCTATTCGCTCGTCTTGCCCGCTGAGCTTGTTGGAACAGCTTGGGACGCCAGCATAGTCAACATGGCCGCCTTCCTGTCCGACAGGCTTCAGCCGCTGTCTGCCGTCACCCACAACCTCCCGCCTTTCATCCGCGACCCAGCCGTCGCACTCCTCGGACAGGTCAGTTGGGCTGTCAGAATTTGCTGGCTTGGGTAGTGCGGGCGGGCGAGCGAGAGTGGCTATCGAGCAGGGCGCTTGGCGGGCGGCGGAGGATGACTTCCAGAAGAGACGCGGTTTGCTCCTGGCGACTGGCTGTAAGGCTGAGCGCTTGGGAGGGGTTGCAAGGTGCTGCTGCTCGCAGGCGAGCGGCTCAAAGCGGGAGACCAGGCGTTCCAGCGCATCCCTTGAACTGACACCCTTCTTGCCCTTCCTCCTGGCAGGAATGCTACACGGCGCTTGTCTGGAACCTCGACCTGACCTCTGAGTACTGCCTCAAGCTCGGGCTGTCAAAGGGACTCGGCCTGGCGATGGTTGCGGGCGGCGCCATCCTCAAACTCCCGCAAATCATCACCGTCGTCCGGAGCGGGAGCGCGAGGGGGCTTAGCTTGAGCAGTTATGTCCTCGATACGGTTGCGACGGGCATTACGGTCGCGTACAACGTCAGGAACGGCTTCCCCTACTCGACTTGGGGTGAAATGGCGTTCCTCCTCGCTCAGAACGTGCGTTCTCTCACTCCTCTCGCATTCTGGGGATCTCCGTTAACTTTGTGCATACGGCAACAGGCCGTCCTGATCGTCCTCATCACGTCGTACTCGGCGCGCCCGACTCTGCCCCGACTCGCACCCCTCGTCGTCCTCTTCTCGACGCTCGCCTATGCCCTTTCCAACACCTCCCTCGTTCCCTCCTCAACCCTCTCTTTCCTCCAAACCCTGACAATCCCCATCTCGCTCTCCTCCAAGGTCCCCCAGATCCTCTCCAACTTCCGCAACCGCTCGACCGGCCAACTCTCCGCCTTCCTCGTCTTCAACTCGCTCGCGGGATGCCTCGCGCGTGTCTTCACCACTCGCACCGAGACGAGCGACCCGCTCCTCTTCTGGGGCTTCCTCCTCAGCGCCCTCTTGAACGCCGTCATCGCCATTCAAATGCTCGTCTACCCTTCGGACGCCCGCTCCGCGAGCAAGCGCGACATCGAGCGCCCCGTCGAGCTCCTCGGCGACAAGGTCAAGTCTGCGACGGGCGTCGCGCAGCACGACATCGCCTCGGCCGCGCATGTCGCGCAGGAAAAGGTCGCCGCGTACTCGACGCCGGTCAAGCAGGCGGTCGGTGCGGGACCGAAGAGGACAGCCAGTCCGGCCAGCTCGGGATCTGCGAGGCGTTACGTACGCAAGATGGAGTAGTGCGGTCGTCGTGTAAAGTACGGTGCGCCAAGTGCCATTTCTCCTTGCTTCCTCCGCCTCCCGCCCGCTTTGCTTCGAGTCGATGCTCGTGTCAAGCTTCGCACTTTGGACCCGCTTTTCCAGCCGCCGCTCTCAGCGTCGCCCTCGACATTCTGCGACGGACCGCCGGCTCGACGCGTCCCCACTTGTCCGGCCAATCTCCGCCGAACCCTCCGCTCCTCCTCTTTGTCCTCCAACCTCTCGCTATGGCTCTCTCGACCGCTTCAGCCATCGATGCGCACCTGCGCGAAGCCACTGCTGACCCCTATCGCAACGTTCCACGCGCCATCTTCCTCGCCGCGCGCTCGAATGACCCCCTCATCTACTCCGGGCATGCGGGTTGGGCGCGCCTGCCTGAGACCGAAGTCTCTCGCGAGCAGCTCGAGAAGGAGGGCACGCCTATCAAGCAAGATGACATCGCGGAGATGTACTCGTGCACGAAGCTCTGCGGGTCGATCGCGGCGTTGCAGCTCCTCGAGGAGGGCAAGATCGCGCTCGAGGACGACGCCTCGAAGTTCGTGAAGGAGCTGAAGGACGTCAAGATCTACAAGGGCTTTGACAAGGACGGCGAGCTGATCTTGGAGGAGAATTCGACGCCCATCACCGTTCGCTCGCTCATCACTCACACCGCCGGGTGCGTTGTCCCTTTCGTCGCTCATGTCCGCACACTGAAACCCTTGTCGCCAGCTTCATCTACTACTTCCGCCACCCCGACTGCCAGAAGGTTGCCGACAAGCTGGGCATTGAGACGTCGCCTTACGGGCTCGACGCGACGCGCGACTCGCTTCACAAGATGCCGCTGTTCCAGTACATTTCTTCCCCTAACTTCGAAGACCCTTGCTCACTGATCTGGTGTCCGCAGCAAACCTGACGAGCATTGGAACTACGGTACGAGCATCGACTGGCTCACCCGGATCGTCGAGGAGATCTCAGGACAGGATCTGGAGACGTACTTCCAGGAGAGGATCTTCAAGTACACACACAACTCGCACTCCTTCCGTTTGAGGCGCTGACGAACCTATCGAACAGACCGCTCGGTATCACCGACGTCTCGTTCAACGACAACCAAGCGCAAATCGACATGGCTTTCGCCGACCCCGAGAAGCCCGACGCACCCTACGTCTTCCGCCGTCCGACGCCGTACTCACGGCAGTTCCGCTACGGTGGTGCCGGTCTCAAAGGTTCCGCGCCTTCCTACCTTAAGCTGGTTCGCGCCCTTCTCCGCGGCGGAGCGCTCGAGGACGAATCGTCCCGCATCCTTCGCAAGGAGACGGTCGACCTCATGTTCAAGCCGCATTTGACGAACGAGCAGCAGCGTCAGGACCTGCGCGAGGCGGAGATGTCGGGTTCGGACCCGTTCTCGAGGAAGCGTGGCGAGTCGTTGGAGGACGTCAGCTGGGGACTCGGTGGCATGCTCAGCGGCAAGGGTCTCGCTTCAGGACGAGGTGGCGGATCGCTCCACTGGTCGGGAATGGCGGTGTGTTGACTCTTTCTCTGTCTACGTCGACCCGCTGACACTCCTCTCTCGACAGAACACCTTCTGGGTTGTCGACCGCGAGCACGACGTCTGTTTCGTTCTCTTCTCGAACCTGCAGCCGTACGGATGGCAGCCGGTCTTCGACTTGTGGGAAAAGGTCGAGACGGAGCTGTACAAGGGCTTGGGCGTTCGAGCGGAGTGAGGAGGGCGGTCGGCGTCAATACCTGGGTGGTTCTTGTGAGAAATAAATTATATGTCGGTCCTAGACGACGAACTGCGTGGGAGAAGAGCCCTTGTCGAGATGTCGAGGATCCTCTCACTCTTCCACACTCGCCGGCTGCTCTCGCTCTCGCGACCGAGCGCTCCTAGCCGCCGCTTCTGCTAAGCTACTCGTATACGACGTCTCTGCACTGGTTCACGACCCGCCGGATGCTCCCTACCGCCTGAAAACGCCTCATCAGCCTCGCAAATCCTCGAGCGACACCCCGCAGGATGGAGGATCTGAAGGAGGTGCAGGAGCGTGAGATAGAGGTCTTGCAAGGTGCGTAACAGATCACTGTCGCGAGCGAACCTCACCTAGGCTGCGTCTCCTTCCGTTGACCTCGCCTTCATCCAGCGATCTACCAGGAGGACTTTGCGCAGGCAGAGAGCCGCACGGCGTGGAAGGTACAGCTAGACCCTTTTTGATCGTGCTCAGGTACACGCTGACCCTTCGCTGCAGGCTGTCAATGCGGCGCACGAGTTTAGGGTGTGCGTTCGGCCGGTCGAGGAGGATCTGAAGGACAAGGTCTACGTGTGGATCCGCTTCAAGTGCGTCGTCAATGTGGTAACTGTCACTGGATAGGCATGCTGACGCGGAGCCCACAGGCTGCCGCAACGTTATCCGAAGGTCGCTCCCACGATGACCCTGGAAGATGCGAAAGGTCTCGCCTCGCAACATCTCGCGCATCTTGTGCGTGGGCAATGTCCACAGACTCCAGCCCTCGTCGCTGACTTCGCCCTCGCAGCTCACGACCCTGCAGCGCTTCGCGTCCTCGCGACTAGGCGACGAGATGATCTACGACATCTGCTCGCAAGCCGCCTCGTACATCACCGAGCGTCACGTCGACTCGGTGCGAGGGGCGCAGCCAAGCTTGGAGGACCAGCGACGGAAGCGCGGGGAAGAACAGGCCAAGGTGAGTGGGCGAGACTCGCTCCTCCTCGAGACAGCGCTGACAACCTCCGAACGCAGGCAACGCAAGAAGCCGAAACTCGAGCGCGAGCACTCAGGGAGCAACAAGAAGCTGAAGAAGCTGCTCGCTTGTCGCAGCTCATCTCCGAAGATGTGCGACGGAAGGAGGAGGTCAGGCTTGAACGGGAACGGCGGGAACGGGAGCTCGATCGTGAGCGGGAGAGTGGGTCGCTCGAGGTGGATGCTCGTGGTGAGAAGAGGATGAAGATGGAGGTCGCGAAGGGAGATGCGAAGGTCGACGCTGTTGTCAAGTTCGGCTACCCGCACTCGACCGGTACGTTGTGCGAGTTTGCGTCGAGCTGTGAGGTACTGAAGCTCCTTACTCGCGCACAGACTGGCTAGGCGGGCTCTTCTCTGCCGAGCTCGAGACGTCAGGCAAGGCTGAGGCGGTCAGCGTATTTGCTTTCGACATCCTCGCGCCTTACTACCTCTCTTCCCAAGGTGCGCAAGTCTTGTCGGTCTGTGCAGGCGTACGCTAACAGCTGGTCCGCAGGCAAGCGCAAGGTCGCCAAACTTGAAGCAGACCTTGACCGTATCTTCCACCTAAGCCATCCTCGGCTGCTCTCCGTCGTCGGCTACCGTATCGTCCGCTATTCTCCGGGCTTCTTCCCTCTCAATCCAGCACTTCTTCCGTCGATACGGTCAGGCGAGGGATGGACGCTCCTTGTTGTCACCCCGCCGAATCGCTCGCAGTCGCTCGACGAACTGCTGTCGACCGTCGGCGAACTCCGACCCGATCGCGCCCTCGCCTACTTCGCGCAACTCGTCTCGGCTGTCGAGGCTCTCCACTCGCACCACGTCGTCCACCGTGCGATCAGACCGAAGACGATCTTCGTCACGAGCGAGAAGAGCCGGTCGGACTCGTCGGAAGCGGCCGGCGTCAGGCTGGTAGGCGCAGGCTGGTACCGTCGACTCCTTGACCTCAACAGGGCCGAGCCGTGGCTTCAGCAGCCCGCGGAAGAAGAGCTGCCCGATGGATGGTAGGTCACCTTCCGCTGAAACCGACTGCTGCAGCGCTTATCGTCCCCCACGTCGCAGGGTCTGCCCCGAAGCGGTCTCCGCGCCGTTCACCTACGACCGATCTCGCGACATGTACGAGCTCGGCGTTGTCCTCGCCCAGATGCTGTACGGTCTCGACGTCACGCGCAAGTTCCCTACTCCTGCCGACCTTGTCCGAAGCAGTGAGTCCGACCATGCCCTCGGGAAGGTTTCTGCAGCTGACGCTACCGTGCCAGTGCCCCGCACTTCGCCGTCCATCGTCAAGCGCGTCCTCAGCGACCTTCTGCTCGCCGAGGGCAAGAAGCGTCCCACAGCAGCACGCCTGGCTGCGCAACTCGCCGAGGACAGCGGAACCAGTACATCCCACGGCACGCTCGCTCTATCGGCGACGCCGCCCAAACCCCTCAACGGTTGGCAGCAGCTTGGGAACGGACAGCAAGTCCTCACGCCGCTTATGTCGCCGCCAGCGGCGCATTCTTCTCGAGACACGGCAGCTCCAAGCGGGTTCTTCTGGCAGCCGCGCGCGGCGCAATCGCGATATCGCGAAGAGTTCGAGGAGCTCGAGTTCCTGGGAAGAGGCGGCGGCGGGCAGGTCGTCAAGGCGAGGAACAGGCTCGACGGCCATTTATACGCCGTCAAGAAGATCCGACTGCCGAACGATCGTGCGAGCGAGGCCAAGATCCTGCGCGAGGTGACCATCTGGTGCGTGAACACCGGCGTACGGCTTGACTTGGCCGCTGACATCCGCTCACTCACCAGGTCTCGCATGAATCACCCCAAGTGCGCCAGTTCGCTGTCTCTCGTGCTGATGGCCTTACTCACCGAATTCTCTTGCCACCAGCATCGTTCGCTACCATACCAGCTGGACGTCGTTTGACGATCCGGTCCCGTCATTCGATGCGCTTGGCTCGGGCACTACGCTCGACTCCAATACCGGCACCCAGACCTTATCGACAACCGATGCGAGCACTCGGCGTAGCACAGAAGACGAAGCATCCGGTTCGGACGACTCGGACAGCGTCGTCGACTTCGACGAGGACTCGACGCCTGGCGACTTCGACATGGACTTCGGCGACGAGCTCGAGGACAACCTGGATTTTCTGTCGGTCGGCCATGCGCAGTCTCAGAGCGTCTCCTACCCGAGCATCCACTTCGGTAACGAGGACGACCCTTCTCGACCCGGCTCCGAGCGCGGCAGTCCCGGCCTGTCGCGAGCTGGCTTCTCAAAACCGCCGACAAAAGCCTCGACGCCGGTGTCGACAACGCCCAAGCAGAGTCGGACGCTATACATCCAGGTCCGCCGCGCCCTCGGGCTCAGCGAGGCGACTTGATCAGCTCACACGCGCTCTTACTCGCAGATGGAGTACGTCGAGAAGCTTACGCTTCGCGAGGCGATTGAGGACGGCATCTCGGAGGCAGATTCGTGGCGATGGATCGTGCGCCCCTCTCCTTTTCTTCACCTAAGCGCGGGCTTACACCAAGTTTGCCGAGCAGTACCAAATTCTATCCGCCATGCTCCATTTCACCTCGCTCAAGTATGACTGCTTGTCCTCAAATCTTACTGCTCGCGCTCACCTGGACCCTTCGCAGCATCATCCACCGCGACCTCAAGCCGTCCAACATTTTCATCGACGTGAAAGGAGACGTTCGAATCGGTGACTTCGGTCTCGCGGTCGGTTCTTCCGAGACGGCCGACGTCTTTCTCGCTCAAGACGGCAACATGGACGAGTCCGACTTGACGTCCGGTGCGTGCGAAGTCCTGCCTCCCTTTCCACAATCGTTCACGCTGCCACCCTCCAGGCGTCGGAACCTCCCTCTACATCGCGCCAGAAACAATCAACCGCGGTCGGCAAGGTCGCGCGACGAAGCACTACAACAACAAGGTCGACATGTACAGCCTCGGCATCGTCTTCTTCGAGATGTGGCATCCCTTCAAGACCGGCATGGAGCGCATCCAAGTCCTGCACGACCTCCGCCGACCCGAAATTATCTTCCCGCCGACGTGGGACAAGGTCAGGCTCGCTCGGCACACCAAGATCGTGCAAGCCTGCCTAACTCACGATCCCGAGCTCCGCCCGTCGCCGAAGGACTTGCTCCAGTCGGACCTGCTGCCGCCACGCGTTGGCGACGACTCTATCGAGGAGACGATCCGCCTCTTGTCGCAGCCGGGCACGACGCACGCCCAAACGCTCATCACGGCCCTCTTCAACCAGTCGGACGAAGACCGCCTGCGAAAAGACTTCTCCTACGACTTCTACGACGGATCCGGTGCCAAGGCGGACAACGACCCGTACGCGCAACTCGTGCACGACAAGCTCAGCCGCATCTTCCGCCAGAAGGGCGCCGTGCAGATGGACAGCCCGCTCCTCATGCCTCACTCGCAGGTCTACGCCTCCCGCAAACCCGTCCGCCTCCTCGACGCCGACGGCACGATCGTCTGCCTGCCCTTCCAGCTCAACATTCCCTTCTGCCGGATGGTGGCACGCGATACTTCGCTCACCCGCATGAAGCGCTGGACGATCGCTCCCATCTTCCGACCGACGCAAGCCGGCGGGGTGCGTTACCTGCCTTCCGCCGATCTGCCTGCTAGCTCACGTCTGCCCTCATCCGCAGCAACCGCGAGCTGTACTCAACGCCGCCTTCGACATCGTCTCGGACGCCGTCATGCCCGCCATGGAGGCCGAGTGTCTGTTCGTCATCGAGGAGATCCTCTCCGCTTTCCCTCTAACCGGCATACCCGCGCACATCATCAACCACTCGAAGATCCTCGACGCCCTGCTCGACATTGTCCCGGCGAAGCAGCATGACGCCGTTTGCGACATCCTCATCCAGCACGGCCGGCTGCAGCGTACCTGGGTCAAGACGTCGTCGGAGCTTCTCAAGCTCCCCGGCGTAACACGAGCTATGTGCGAGGCGCTCGGGACGGTTGACGTCGCCGGCGATGTGGGCAAGATGCGTTCGCTCGTCATCTCGGCCGCTCCTCGCCTCAAGCATGTCGCGCAGGAAGGTTTCGAGGAGCTCAAGGACATCGTCGCTCTGTGCCGCCAGATCGGGATCAAGAATATCAAGGTCGCCCCGCTCCTTGCGGCGAACTACGACGTGCACCGCGACGGCACCATCTTCGAATCGCACGTCCTGCGCGGCAAGACGAGAGACGTCATTGCAGCCGGCGGACGCTTCGACGAGGTCGTCACTCGCCTCGCCGCTCCGGAAGTCCGCTTCTCGGGTCGCTGCCCGCACGTCGTGGGCTTCTCGATGGCCATCGCCAAGCTCTCGGTCGCTGCCGCAGAAGCGAACGCAACAGTCGGCAAGCAGGCGATGACGCGCAAGGAGGAGCACCTGCGAAGCTACGGGCCGTGGGCAATCCGCCGCTGCGACGTCTACGTCGTCTCCTTCTCGCCTGGCCTCATCGACTTGCGACTTGAGATCGTCAAGGACCTCTGGCGCAACGGTATCAAGGCGGATTTGGTGCGTGCAGCTCTCCAAACCGTGTGCTCTCCACAGCTCACTTGGTCCTCCCGTAGATGTACGACGACGACTTCCTGTCACTCACGCCTGAACAGCTGGTCAACGCTTGTCGTCGCGAGGGTATCCTCTGGCTCGTCATTGTCAAGCCGAGCGCCGCTGGACGGACGGTATCGGACGAGTCGGAAAAGTCGCTCAAGGTCAAAAGCGTCCTGCGAGGCTCCGAAGAAGAAGGTGCGCCGCACTCGTCTTGCTTCGCGATTCGCCACTGACTCTCTCGCTTGCAGTCGGTCGCGCCGAACTTTCGAACTGGCTCGTGAAGGAGCTGCGCGAGCAATCTACCGCCGACGAAGCTGCTGGAGGCGGAGCTACCGATGCCGCTGTCGAGACCTCCGGGTCTTCGCTGGCCGAGCCGCCAAAGCCGCAGCAAGACTACATTCCAGTCCTACCCGACGACGACCTGCGACAAAAAGGCCGGCACAACAAGCGAACCATGATCGTCTCCCGCGCTCAGAAGAACGTCGAGGAGGCGGTTGAGGCCGCTGCCCACGCTCCTGTCTTTGCGGTCGACGTCGACGGCCTCTCGTTCGAGCGGATGGCGCACTCGCCAGTCTGGGTCACCAAGTGCGTTGCAGCTCGCTTCTTCCTCTTCTCTCGATTACGCACATTCTGACGGTGTCCTCGTTGCAGCGACGAAGCCTTCAAGACCCTCGTTCAGACAGCACCGCCCGGCAAGCGCGACTACTACACCTCGATCCGCAAGTCGATACAGCGGACTCGCCAGGCTAAATCCATCTCGCGCTTCTGGCTCTTCTCGCTGCGGGACAGCCGCAGCGTCCTCATGTCTTTCTTCGACGGCGTTTAGCCGCCGCACTGCATTCTGCCCTCGTACCAACCTGTCCATCCTTGTTGTCGAAGTTATCCCTTCTCCCACTTCCTCTGCATCTCGCATGTCGCCCTCCGCCTCAAGTGCGTTGCCGTCGGGGCTTCGAGAGTAGATACAGGAAAGGAGCGGTCTCGCAGCCACAAAGCGAAGTGACTGCCCCTCGTCCCTCCTCCTCTTCCTCTCAATCTGCTCGCTGCTCTCGGTCCTCACGCTCCGACCGTATGGCTGCACCATCTTTGTAGCCTGAGACCGACTCCCACATCCCTCGAACCGTCCCATCGAGCTGCGTTCTCCCAACTCGGTCTCCCTCTCCTCCACACTCAGCGAGTTGTCCGATGGTCTCGCCGCCGTCGCAGAGCGGGTCGGCATACCCTCCGCCTACACAGTTCGCTCGGCAACAGTCTCGGACGCCTTTACTCGGCGGAAAGGCGGATCTGCCGGTGCTGGGGACGTTCGGTGGACTGTCGACTGATGAAGTCGAGCGAGGGAGGGATAGCTTTGAGCGGCACGACGAGGACGAGAGTGGACTGTCTGAGGATGGCTCAACGGGCGGACAAAGCGGGCACCCGAACCAGGTCGAAGGCAGCCTCACACCTCTCGATGCGACGCTCGAGGAGATCGGGATGGGGCGTTACCAGTACTCGCTGCTCGTGCTGTGCGGTCTCGGCTGGATGGCCGACAATGCGACACTGCAGCTTATCGCGGTGATCCTCCCGCGAGTCCAGGAGCATTGGCAGGTCGGCGACCGCTGGATCGGTCTCCTTTCGACGAGCCTGTTCGCCGGCATGATGGCAAGTTCGGGTCTTGTTGACAGTTCTGCGAACTTCATTGACGTATAGTCTCGCTCGACAGGTCGGTGCTTGGGGCTGGGGCAGCTGTGCGTCCTTCATTTACCTCGTCAAGTGTCCCGAGTACTCACGCTTCATCGCCGCAGACTCCGACGCGAAGGGTCGCGTTCCCGCCTTCAACTTAACGCTCTGCGTCACTGCCGTCTTCAGCGTGGCGGCTGCCTTCGCCCCTTCGTTCGGGATGCTGTGCCTCGCGCTCTTCTTGCTTGGAACGGGTGTCGGGGGCTCGATGCCGACGGACGGCACTTTGTGCGCTCGCCGCTCTCTCAGTCGTCAAGCCCAGCTGACAGTTTACCACACAGGTTCCTCGAGAACGTGCCGCGATCCAGCCATTACCTTCTTACCGCTCTCTCCGTCTTGTTCGTTCGCCTTCACCTTCGCCATGAATCATGGCTGACTTTGCACTGCACGAACAGTTTTTCTCTCGGCGCGATCATTACTTCCCTCCTCGGTCTCGCCATCCTGCCCCGATACTCATGCCCGCCCGTTCCTCCCGGCGGCGAGTCGACCTGCGACGTCAAGAAGGACAACAACGGCTGGCGCATCATGCTCTTCGCTCTCGGCGTAATGGTGCGTGCGAACGCGAGGAAAGGCGAGCCATAGATACTCATAGACCACGGACTGCTCGCAGACGATGGTCATGTTCCTCTGCCGCGTGCTCTTTTTCCGCCTGCACGAGTCGGCCAAGTATCTCGTCGCCGCAGAACGCCCTTCTGCCGCCGTCTTCGCCTTACAGCGGATATCTCGTATCAATGGCCAGGAAGCGAAGTGGGACTTGCAGGACGTGGTGGACGACGAGGTCAGCGCACTAGCGAACGACGTCGACCGGTCCGACGGCAAGCTCAGCCCGCCAAGCTACGCTGCGACAGGGGAGACGACGCCCGAAAGTCGGCCCCTATCCGCTTCGCCATCCCTGCTTCCCACCTCGCCTCGCTCCCGAAACTTGGACGGCGACACCGACGAAGAATCCGCCGACCTCTCGACCTTCTCTCTCCCTTCATCCGTCTTCTCGTCGACTTCCGGTACTCCGCGGCTACGGAAAGACCAACCGGCTTGCATCGACCGTCTTCCCGTTTCTTGGCGAAGCGGTGCGGACGAGTACCTCGCCAGGCTGGATGAGCTACTTGAACCGAAGTGGAAGCGGACGACGACGCTGATATGGGTGATATGGACATTGGCGAGTGCGGGATACACGGTGCGTCGATTCCCGTCAGTCTCTCTCGCATCTTTCGCTGACTCGTCCCGTCGTCCAGATCTTCAACGTCTTCTTGCCCAAGTTCTTGGAGTCGAAGCTGTCAGATGGCGGCCAACCGAGTAGTCAAGAGGCGACACTGCGAGATTGTGCGTCCACCTTCTTCCGAGTGCAGAACCGCCTCGTCCTGACCCCCACATCTTCCTGCAGACGTCCTCTACACCGTCTCCGGCCTGCCCGGCTCGCTCCTCGGCGCCTACCTCGTCGAGACGTCTCTAGGTCGCGCCAAGACGCTCGCTTTCTCGACGCTCCTAACGTCGGCGGGGACTTTCGTCTTTGTCTTTGTTAGCTCGCAGTTTGGCGTCATCGCGAGCAGTATGGCGGTGTCCCTTGCAGCGACCCTCATGTGTGCGTCGCGATACGTGCGCTCAACCGAGGGCTTCGCTTACAGTCCAGTTCCGCTTGTTGCAGACGCCGTGATCTACTCCATCACGCCCGAAATCTTCCCAACCTCGCTCCGGTGCGTCCTCTCGTCTCACAGTGCACAGGCGACGCGCTGACGACATCCATCTGCAGAGGAACGGCCTGCGGCATCGCGTCCGCCCTTTCCCGCCTCGCCGGCATCGTCGCTCCCCTCCTCACCGGCGCCCTCCTCAGCCTCAGCAGTACCGCCCTCCCCCTTCTCCTCAGCGCAGTATGCTTCTTCACGACGGCGGCGTGCGCCTGGGGCTTGCGGAGCATCGAGGAACGGTTGAGGCGCAAAAAGGGCGGCGGGGGAGCCCCTGTGCTGGCTCACTAGGTCGCAGAAGGGCTTTGGGTAATTGTATACAGCTTGTGCCATACTTGTTGACATTTCATACGTCGTTACCGCGACTCGGCTTCTCCTGCTCCGTCCCTTGCGCCGGTCGCGAGTGCGCGTCGAGTTTGCCTGTTGTAGCGTCGCTTCATCTGCACCGGCCGCATCCTCCTTGCCTTGGCGAGCACGTCTGGGTCTGTGAACCGCTTGCTGCCGGCCTAGTTGCGGTTGAGGAAGGGCCGCCTTTCGAGACTGGTTGTCGGGACGAAGCAACGAGGTCAGCTGGAGCTGCTCGTCCGGGCCTCTGCTACAATGCAGAGCGGTACTCACAGGGTATCTCGCCGCCGCAACTCAGGCCTGACCGTCCTCGTTCTTGCGAAGTCCCGCTCCTTCTCTCCGCTCCTTCCCCTCCTCCTGCTCCCGCTTGTCGCCCGTCAACAAGCCCGCCGCCTGCTCCGCCGCACCCTTGACAACGCCTCCTGCTGTCTCCGCCGTGTACTGCGCAGGACCCTCATCGTCGTTCGTCACGGTCGAGGAGAGCGGAGGCCGGTTGTGGGCGCCCCCTGCGAGAGACGGCTTCGTGGAGGTGGTGGACATGCTCGAGGAATGCTCCGTGTTGTTCTGCGTGGTCTGCCAGGAGCACAACGGCCGCAGGAGGAGGAGGAGAAGCAGCGACCGCAGCGGAGGAGCGCTATTTCCGGGCGAGGCGATGACGAGTTTGGCGGCAGAGGCGGCGACGGGACGAGCCGGACACCAGTAGAGCACTGCTGCGAGCGAACTTGCGCAACTCAAAGAAGTGCAAGCGAGTGTGCGCAGCGGGAGGACGAGGAGGAGGCAAGAAACGAAGGGGCTGGATTTGAACCTAACGATGCAGGGATGCGAGAGTGCGATGCGAAGAATACGACAAGCCTAGGAGTGATAGAAAAGATGTCTAGATAGATAGGAAGACCGCCCAAACTCACGCCGCTTCCTCCGCGAGAATCTCGCCAATCCACTCGCCCACGTCCGGTTCGCCGCCTGGGTGGAAGTCGAACAGCTTGCCGTAGCAGGTGCTGTGTTCCGCTGAGAAGTGCTTGTACGGGTCGGACGGCGAGATTGAAGCGCCGCAACGAAAGCAAAAATGAGCACTGCACCGTCCGCACGCCATGTGCTGCCGAACGCGAGGCAAGGTGAGCGGTCAATCATGCACGAGAGGCAGTGGCACGCACATTGCAACCTTGACTCTTTTCGATAGGGGTACCGCACCCCGGGCACTGCGTCGAATTCTTCGCCAGCCACTCTTGAAGCGCTTTCTCCTCCTCGTACGCGGCGACGAGCCGTTTGATGTTGGCCGTCCCGTACCGGAGCTCGAGCGTCCGGCGCTCGTCGTCTGTGCCGGAGAGGTAGGCTGATACGATGGCGGACGACTGAGGAAGAGCGCAGGCGTTGCGGGCGCCGTGCCAGCCGTGTCGGCAAAAGACGCAGAACGAGTAGTCCTTGGTGCAAGCCGTGTCAGCAACGTCGATGGCGGAGAGCAAGGAGAAGCGACTCACGCATGATGGGCAAACACGCAGCTTCTCCTCGTCCTCCGAAAGCTTCGGCACCGCCGCCTGGCACGAGTCGCGGGGGCAAAAGGTGATGCTCGGATCTGGCGTGATTCCGGGTGAGCCACGCACAATGAAGCGTGAAAGCGAGAAGCAAACACACCACTCTCCATCCGCACCTTCTCCTTTAGCCATTCCCACCTCTTCTCCCCTCCTCGCCGACCAAACTCTCCACTTCCTCCGCCGTCGTCCGTCCTGGCTTCTCATCCTCCCGCTCGAAGATCTTCTTCTCCCCGCTCGCAGCCAGCTGCTTCTCCCACTTCGCCCTCGCCTCGACACATCCCGTACTCGGGCATGCAACGCTTCGGACGAGTCCTTCGCGGATGAGGAGGGACCAGTAGTCCCGCAGACAGGTCTTGTCAAAGACGCAGCCGCAGGACTCGATGCGGATGCAGGCGGAACCGCGTGAGGGGGAAAAGCAGAGAGGGCAGGTGTGCGAGGTCGAGGCGAAGTGATCGGCTAGTGCCTCGCGGTTGAAAGACGAGAGACGAGCGGAGAGAGGTGTCGTGTCAATTGAGGGCTTCGTCTGCCGGAGGACAAGCGGAAAAGAAAGGGCGAAGGTGGAGGTAAAGTCCGGTGAAGAGGAAGAAGCCAGGTCGACGAGGGCGAAAAGGCATTCGTCGCCCGTGTAGACTGTAGACAATTGGTCAGCTCTTCTGCTAGTGTCCGCAAGGGCTTTGGTGCGCACCAGCAGCCAGCGTCTCCTCAGCTTTCCGTCGTCGCTCCTCCCCAAGCCAGGCAAACTCTTCCAGCAGCGTCACCTTCTCTGGGCCAGCCGCATCGGGATACGCCTCGGAAAGTCGAATATCGAGAGCGAGTGGCGGAAGATGCCGCAGCTTGAGTCGACGAGGCTGCTTGTCTGTCAAAGTTTGGGCGGATCGAGCGGCAGGAAGAGTCGCAGGAGATGCAGTCTCGACGGGGCGGCTGGCGATTCGAACCCGCGCTGTCTTGGTCGAGGCTACAGGAGCGGCGTGGGGGATTTTGTCGGCAGAGGGAGGCGAAGAAGAAGATTTTGGAGTTCGAGCAGAGGCGTCACGCTCGATTCGGGGCGCTGTAGGCGGCTGTCGGGGCTGAAATGGTTCCGCAGTAGGCGCCAATCGTGCGTTGGGACCAGCACGATGCCCGTCAAACCCTGCACTAGCACCCCCACCTCGACCGCGACCGCCTCGTCGTCGCTTGTTCCGTCCAGACGCAGCTGGTGCGCTCGCCTGCTTCTCCTCCTTTGTCACCTCGAGCGTCGCCACCTGCTGGACAAGTGTATCGAGCGGCTGAACAATCGCTGTCGCCTCTTCCTCGCTCCAGTCCCAAACCTCGACATCCTTGTCCTCCTCGAACTCGACAGGCAGAGCGACTTTGACCAAGACCTTTTGTCCATCTTCTGACAGAGTCCACGAAACCGTGTCGGGGTAGATGGCCTGTGAAGCGAGAACGCTCATCAGTTTGTGTGGCTGTGTCGAGATCGGGATGAGGAGAACGGGCGCACCTGCAGAGCCATGAGCTCCTCCTGCTGCCGCTCGTTCATTTCGACTGTCCTACACGTCCGCACACAGCCCAGCAAAGTCCAGCAAGCGGAAAGAAGCGAGGAAAGCGAGCAGTGGCGTAAAGTGGAGGAGAAAGAGGCGAAAGAGCGCGACGGCGACGAGTCTTCGACAGCGAGCGGTCACGGCGACGTGGCGAAAGCGACCCTTCAAGCGTTCGACGCACCGCGAAACCCGCCTACATGCCCAGCAGCTTCGTCAGGTCGACCTCGACCTCCTCGACCCGCTCCGCCGACCCATCCTCGGAGTCCGCTTCGTTATGCGGCGGCTCCTCCAAGCGCCTGATCTTGACGGCGTGAGCGATCTGTCCCTCGCGACCTTCGAGCCCACTCGTCCTCCTGCGCTTCTTGCCTTTGTGCGAACCTCCGCCCTCATCCCTCGCCGGCGCCGTGCTGTGCTTCTCCGCTTCCGCCTTGATGCTGTAGAGCTGGCCGTCCGTGTACGAGTTGGCGTCGAGCGTGCCTTTCGAGACTGCTTCCCTGACCGCTTCAGCCGCCGCCGATTGCCTCGCCTGCTTTTCGCGCCAGCTCAAGGTATCGCTCGAACTGGTTGAGTGGCGCCGCTTGCTGGTGGTTGAGGAGGCCAAGGACGTATTGCTGTAGGAGGTACTGGCGATCGAGTCGGCGCGGTCGAAGGAAAACTCGCTGTCAGGGTGCCAAGGGGAGGTGGAGTAGCGAGGCGAGCTGGCCGCGGGGGAAAGAGCCTCGCCGGAATTATGGTTGTTCCAGGTGTCTGTCGCTGCCAGGCGGTTGCGGAACGATGGGTAGGCGGGCAAGGTGCGCGGAGTTTCGAGGCGGACGAAGAGGAGCTCGCCGGAGGCGATGCGGCGACGAGGCGGCGAGCGGCGCGGTGCAGGCGTCTCTGTGGCTTCGTGAGTGCTGTTGGTGCTCATTGCGAGGGCGCTGCAGGGCGTGAGAGGGAGAGCGGGCGAAGAGATGAGGCGAGATGTCAATGCGAGCGGTGAATCCGACCAAGTCCACGGAACGCGGCAAGGAGCTGGCGAGACGGCTAGCTAGCTCGAACAGAGAAGCGATGATAGTCAACTCGTAGCAACAGGCGAGAGCGAGTGAGCGAGACGAGAGGAAAAGCGGTTCGCCATCTGCTTGCGAAGGTCGAGGCCAGAGTGGCTTCTCCAAGGCGCGGGCTTCGTATGTACAGCTCTGCAAGCGCACGAGAACGACCGACCAACGATTACTGAACGACTGGAAACGACGAACAAGCGCGACAAGCAAGCGGATCTTCTCTTCCTCCTCCTCCTCCTCCCTGATCAACCTGAATCCTCCCCGTCCTCGTCCTCGCCCTCGTCCTCTGAGCCGTCCGAATCTGACTCTTCGCTCCTCGCACGGTTGTCGTAGGCAAAGGCGGACGACGACGTGAAGAGCCGGTCGGACATCTTCTTCTTCTTGCTGCGCGTCTTCTTGTATTCGCGAACGACGAGGACGGGAGGTTCGAGAGCGAGCGGCGGCTTGAGGCGCGAAGCCTTGTCGACCTCCTTCTTGATCGTGCAGAGCTGGGTATGAGGACCACACATCAGTCTCGCGACGAAAGCAGGCGCTGGACAGACGGGCGCACCAAGTCGAACCACTTGCCTCTCCAGCGGAACTTGCGCTTGAAGCATGTCGCGTTTTCCCACTCGATGGAATGGACCGAGTCGAAGTAAGCCCGTAGCTCGTAGAGGCCCGCAGTCGCCTCGTCGAGATTGCCCAGCTCGAGGAGTGCAGAAACGGCGCAGGCGATTTCGAGTGGCAGGTTGATGTGGAACTGAGGGCCGGCGCGGAGAACCTTGTCGTTCGGGACGAAGTTCTGGAAGTTGTGCGCGAGGTGCTGGTGCTTGAGAACGTCGACGAGCGGTCCGATGCAATTCTTCGCGTCCGGACGAGGGTTCATGTCCCGCATCTCGTCCCACGGGAGCGGCTTCTTGCAGTTTTGGAAGGCGCAGCAGACGAAGGATGTGGCGCGCGAAAAGAAGGCGTCGTCGAGTGTCGCTTCGAGCGGTTCGTCGAGCGTGTCTTGGGTCTGCCGGTCGTCCGGATCCGTCGTTGCCGAGAGGATGATCTCATGAGCGTGCAGGATCAACTCCAGACGGTACTGCTCAATCTCCTCGTTGATGTCGACCAGGGCGTCCTCCCAAAGCTCGTCGTCGACGCGAACTTCGTCGAACACCCAAAGAGGCATTACCGACTCGAAAAGAAGAAAGTCGACGAAGAGCGGCATGAACGGCTGTGCATCAGCCTCGAGATCCGACTTGAGCCCGTCGTATCGCCTACGCAATGCGTGCTGACGGTCTTGGCACATCTCCTTGTAGTCGGTCACGTAGCGCTTCTCGCGCACGTTGTAGAGGATCTTGAGAACCTTGCTCTTGATCGTCTCCCATTCTGCCAGACAGGAATCTTCACTCAGATATCAGAGAAGCCGGAGCTGGTGAAAGACGGACGTACCTTCGTCGGTCAGCGGCGTCTCTTGGAAGACCAACTTGTGGTAGAGGAAGTCATCGTGGTCGAAGCTGCGACGATCGGCATGAGCGAGTGTCGCGCGAGCAAGCGATACGGCGAGGAAGGGCCTACTCCTTGTGCCCGAAGCGACGGTCGATAGCCCGCACCCTATCTTCGATCCTGCGGGTCGGACGGTTAATGAGCAGTGCGATGGAGGACAGGGCTGTGCTTACTGTTGCGCGCGCTCCATCCACAATTCGGGGAAGAGATATACTCGCTTGCGCTCGGCGAGAAGCTTATGAAGCTCACGCTCGGCATTGCGTAGCTTGATAGCATCCTGCGAGATAGGACGCCGTAAGACGGTGTCGGTAAATTCGTGCGCGAACCTGCACACGCTTGACTCACTTCGCGGAACTCTGCGCGCAATCGGAGGCGGGCGTTGACGATCGCAAGAACTCGCTCCCACTTGGCGAAGCCGCGCGGGCCAAGCTCGCGGCTGTCGTCGCTAACGTCGTCCTCAACGTAGGAAGGCTGAGCAGCGCGAGAGCTGCGGGAGCGTGAGGAGGCGGAATTGGCGGGACCGGAAGGTGCAGCCTCCTTTGTCGTTGCGTAGGCGTCGGCATCGGCATACTCGAGCTCCCATAACTTGTTACTCCACCACTCGAGGTCGGCAATCAAGCCGTACGCTGTCAGCGGGAGGTGAGTTAGCCCTGAGTCGAGACGTCGAAGCGTAAACGCACGAGCATCGGCTAGGTAGCGCATGTCGTTCTGCGAGTCTGTAGGCCAAACATTCAGCAAGAGTGCCGACGGAAGCCGAGCTCGTCAACTCACGCAGACAGAGGAGGACGCAATCTTTCGCTTGCGGATGAATACCGGGACGAGATGCCTCATTCCAGTCGAGGCGGACGACCCTGTGATGGACAGAGTCAACTTCTTGTAACGCTGATTCGATGATTCGCCTCCCAAGAAAGCAAAAGTACAGAACATTGCGACAGGCTTTGCATAGTCGCTGCATGATGCCGAAGTCGGCGCGCTTGGCGTAAGGCGAGTTGCACGCCTGAAGAACGCTGAGATGAGTCATCCAGCGGAGGAGCCAAGGAGGAGAGCGCACCTGGCACCTCTTGCCGAACATGAGGTGGGCGTACTGAAACTCCGTCAGGCCGGCGGACGACACGTCGGGGAGATCAAGTCTCCCGCGCGACTCTTGCCAGACGGTTTGGTACGCGGGCGAGCCGAGGAGCGAGCGGTACTGCTTGTTGACCATGCTGAGCGCGAGAAGGTCGTTCGGGTCGAGATGCGAAAAGATCTGTCCGCGACGGGGTCATCAGCGTCAGTGCGTGTCGAGCAGAGGCGGGCGGTGGACGCACCTCGACGAGCAACTCGAGCGGGAGCGTCTTCATAACCTCGAGCCTCCCGACGTCCTTGCCCTTCCTCCCTCCCTTCTTCCCCGCCCCGGCTCCTCCACCCTGTCCGCCCTTCCTGCCGGCCGACTTGGACTTCTTAGGCTTCTTGCACGACTCCTCCCAGTCGCTCGCGTCGTCCTCGCTCGTCTCGTCCTCGTCCTCCTCACCCTCGTCCGAATCGAACACCTCGACCGCGCGTCCCTTGCCCTTGTCGCGCTTCCTCGGGACTGCATGACACACCAGAAAGTCAGCACACCTACTCGCCCACCACGAAACCGCGAGGCGGACGCACCAACCTCCTCATCAGTCTCCCTCTCCTCCTCTCCTCCCTCGTCCTCGAAAGCGCGTGCGACGGCGTACGAGCTCCTCGTACTTGCCCTGCGGGGGTGTTTGGCACGTCCAGTCATGCGTCCGAGCTAGTCTGAGCGTGTGTGAGTGAGCGGGAGGGGGGAGAGAAGGAAGAAGGTCAATGCGAGGGTCGGGTGACAACTCGGAACGGGCGTGGAAGAGAGCGAAAGCAGCCGAGAGGAAGCTGCTGAGTGCGGGAAAGGCAGTCGCAGGGCGCTCAAGAGCGAGAGAAGCGAGAAAGCGAGACTCTCTCCTCGTCGAGCATGTCCGCCTCTCGTCTCGCTGCGCGGTCGCAATAGCTACACCTCGATCTTCAGGTCACCCGACGTCAACGCATAGAAGAAGAACCCGACCGCATATGGAGGAACTGGAAGTGATTAGAGTCAGCCGTCTAGGTCGATTCGTCTTGTGAAGTGTGGCTCTAAGCTGCGCGTCTGCTGGCACAGCAAGCAAGGGAGCGAAACGCACTGTAGCTCAACACCTTCGCACCGGCCCGCCACCCTCGCCCACTCGCCTGCTTGCGCAGGTCCTCGACCGCCTTCCTCCCTCTTGCGCTCAATCTCGTTGGACCGACAGGTCGATGCGGCGGTTGAGGTGGACGAGGTATTGCGGATGATGTAGAAGTCGACTGCCGCGCCTCGACGATCTGAAGAGTCGTGCGGGAGGCGAAGAGGAAGGTCAAGGTGCCGTAGCGCTGACATGCTGCGCGGACGAGTGACGGTGCTGAAGGCATCGGCTGCCGGGCTGGAACAGTTGTTGGAGGTGGTACGAGCGGTTCCGTCTGATTACGCTCGCGCTGCCGAAGCTGCAGCTCGTACAGCTTGAGCAGCCGTTCCCGCTCTTCCTCCCTCGCCTTCCGCCGCTTCTCGATGGCAGCACTTCGCGACACGGTTCGAGTGCGGCCTATTCGAACCCTGAACTCCTTTCGGCCGGTCGGTCCCAGCTGGTCGTTCGCCCTGCGTTCGCTCGCTCCGCCAGCCGAAGTTCGTCGTCGTCTCTGCGGCGTCGCCCCCACGTGCTGCTCCGAGCGTGTCGAAGCGTCCGTGCCTGCCAAAGCGAGCTCCTCGATGACCTTGAGCCGTCCATCCTTCTCTGCCCACTTCGAGCGGCCTTCCCAGATCGCGCCCCTCATCCGCTCGAACGGCCGCGCAATGATCGAGAAGACCCATCCAGCGATACCGCCCGAAATGAGGATGCCGAGGCTCTGCAGGACGAGTCCAGTCGGCGTCCGCCTCTGCTTCTCTTCCGCGTCTTCCGCCTTGTGCGGGTCGATCCCGTCCCAATTCAGGCCCGCAATCCGACTCGCCTCGCGACCAACTTCGAAGATGACGAAGAAGATGCCAAAGCCGACGCTGTCCTTCACAAGACTCAGTCCGAAAAGCGACCATCCTCGTCGCGCCCATCGTCGCCCCTGCTCGAGGCGCTCGCGAGCGGTCGTCGCGGCTGCTCCGCCGAGACCGGCGGTTCGAGCTGACTGGAAGACGGCGTCTCGTAGGAGACCCCACCAAGAGACGAACGGCGTGCCCGCTGCCGATGTAGCGAGTCGTAAAGCGTGCAGGCGGCGAAGGCGAGGATTGCGAGAGTCGGCTTTCGCAAGGCGGAGAAAGCGCTGTCGCCGTAAGAGGAGGAGGCGGGCATTGTCGAGTGGCGCAGAGATGAGGGATTGCGCGGCACCGGCGAGCGAGCCGGAGATGAAGGGGATGAGGAGGAAGCTGGCGGCGGGAGAGTCGAAGCGGGGAGTGAGGAGCGACTCCCGAGGTCTGCGGGAGCGAGTACGTCAGGATGAGGACAACCGTTAGGCAAAGGGACGCACCGTATATGCTGTGAACAAGGTCAAGCCGATCGTTGCGTTGATAGCGAGAGGCGGGAGAACGTGTTTCGGGAAGAAGCGCCACTACAAAAACGAGGACGTCAGCGATTCGGCCATTGCGCGCCTCTAGCGGCACTACCAGGCTCTAGCGGCACTCCAGGCCCTCGAGCCCGACAATCGCAAAGCGAGGAGAAGCGTGCAGGAAATCGACACGCACGCCTTCTTTCCGCAAGAGACCGCGCACAAAGCCGGGCGTTACGCTTCTCCCCTGCTCCTCGGCTATCGCCTGTATCCCAGCCCAGGTCGAGACTGCAAAACGAGCGAGAGTCAGCCACACAGGCTGGAGGAGAGCTTCGGAGAGGGAGAACGCACTCTTGACAGGACGGAACAAGCGGACCGGTCGCTTGAACATGAACGCGAGCGCCCCAGCGAGTGCTCGGGAGACCGCTGCATAAGCGGACGGAGCATTCGAAGGTCGGGACGAGGCATCTGAGGAGGAAGAGTCGATGTCGTTTCCGGGATAGACGAGAGGATGTTCTCTGTCGGTTGCTCCATGTTTCGGTACCGCTATGTGTAGCGTTGCAGAGGACATGAGTGGAATGGCGAGGCTATCGGAGCCGCTGCAGCATGGCTTGACGTCGTCGTCGAGGGAGAGTGCCGAGAGGGTGCGTTGGCGATGCGAGGAGGAAGCGGGGCAGGTCGGCGACTTTGAGTAGGCTCCAGTACAACGATAGCAAGGTCTGGTAGCTTCGGGCGGGTCAAACAGCCGAGTCGAGCGTTGCTGTCGCCGCCAAAGGACTCGCGCCAACTCCTCGACCTCGACCTCATCACTCGCTCAGCTCTCGCGCGCTCGTGGGGCTGATTGCTAGCTCGCGTCCTTGCTTCGAGCTGCGTGCTATCTGCTACACCCGCTCGCATCGACCCGACACGCCGCGATGAACCAGATTCAGGCCATCAAACGGATCAACGAGCAGGAGTTGCAGTCGGGGAGCACAGCAAGCTGGCATGACCAGGTGCGTCCGACTATCTCACAAGCAGCTCAGTGAGCCCGGTAACCGCTTCGCCCGCCCGCAGTACAAGGACTCGGCCTACATCAACGTCGGCGGGTTGCCCTACAACTTGACAGAGGGCGACGTGATCACCATCTTCTCGCAGTACGGCGAGATCGTCGACATCAACATGCCGCGGGATCCGCAGACGGGCAAGCCGCGAGGATTCGCCTGGCTCATGTACGCCGACCAGCGCTCGACGGTTCTTGCGGTCGACAACCTCAACGGAGCGCAGGTGCTTGGGCGAACGCTCAGGGTGGACCACGTCCTCAACTACAAACAGATCGAGCGCGATCAGGAATCAGGCAAGATGAAGGAGCGCGACGAGCAGAGGTCCGTTTTCTCCCTTCTGCCGCTGTCGTTCGGTCCCAGCTGACGAGTTTCCCTATTTCTCGCCGCGTACAGTCTCGCCGCACACCCCGAAAAGTTCATCGCCAAGCCCTCTGCCTCAGACGCTGAAGACAGCGATTCCTCCCACCCTTCTATCGACCCCGACGATCCCATGCGTGATTATCTCATCTCGGAGAAGCGCAAGTCGAAGAAGCGACGAGCTGGGTCAGAGGGAGAGTCGAAGGAGGAGAAAAGGAGGCGGAAGGAGGAGAGGCGGAGGATTCGCGAGGAGAGGGAGAGGAGGAAGGAAGGGCGCAGGGCGATCGAGGGCGACTCGTCGAGCGGCAGGCGACGAGAGGACGACGGACGTCGATTGGACGACCCACGCAGGCGGGAAGGCGACTGGGAAAGGGAGCGAGGTGGACATGGCGACCGGCGACGGGACGAGCGCGACTTTGACGACCGGCGGCGAGAGTCGGACAGGCGACGAGGCGACTATGACGACCGAAGAAGGCGCGACGACAGGGATCGTGACTACCGGCGGCGAGATGAGCGAGAGGAACGGGAGGACAGGCGAGGTGGAGGAGGGAAGGCGTCTGGCGGAGATGCTTTCGCAGATCTGGAGAAGTGGGTGCGCGGTTGAAACAGCGGCGCAATGCATGCCTGCTCGTTCACAACATGTGATTGCGGTGCGGAGAGTCGCTTGCTTGTCCCCCTTCCCCGGGCCAGAATCCTCGAGGCTGCACGAGCGGGATACAAAGCGATGTCTAGCTAGCGCTACAGAGGGTGGAGTGCCTGAACGAATAGATACCTGCGGATGCGTGTATGCGTGCATGCGAGAGTGGGGAAAGAACGAAGAACACAGAAAAGAATGCTAGCACTCGAAGAGCGCGACCTCAAGCGAGACAGGATAAGCCGAGAACAGCTTCGTCACCTCCCATCGCACCGCTTGCGCCATTGCAGTCGGGCCGCAGGTGACGACCAGCGTCTTGCCCTGCGCGTTGGAGACGAAGCGAGGGACGATGTGGTCGATCCGTGGTCGGCCGGGAAGGATGGTGAGAGCGTCGACGATCGGGCTTTCGTGCCACGAGTTCATCGAGGCGACGGAGGCGCGGCGCTGTTCGAGGGTTGGTCGAGGCGGCTGCGGGAGCTCCTTGTAGAGCAAGTCGACGGTTTGAGGAGAAGGCGTCTGCATCCCTCGAGTCACGTAGAGCTCGACTTGCAGCTCGACACCTGCTTCGTAAGCCGTCTTGGCGGAGCTACGTGGGGAGAGCCAAGTCAGCGTAAAGCACGTCGAGCGGGGAGCTGAAATTCGACGCACTTCAGCAGCTCGCGCAGCGTCCAGACACTTTGCTCCACGTTCTGCACCGTCCAGAGGACTCGCACCCTCGTCGCGCGCGAGTATGAATTGCGAGCCTTGTAAAGTATGTCGGCGAGCACTGCGGGAAGAAAGCTTGGTCAGGTTCCGACGAGGAGAATGAACGGGAGAGACGCACTACTCATGACATGCGAGATGCCAGCTCCGCCGGCAACAAGCAGGATCTCATGGAACTGCTCCGTGTCCGTCGCGCCGCCATACGGTCCTTCCACGGTGCACCACAGATCCGCCGTTCCGGTCGGGCTCTTCGCAAGCCGGTCGGCAAGGACCTTGGTCATGCCCTTCCGCGTACGCATGACGAAGAGCATGTCGTGGTGGCCGTTGTCGTAGGCTGCGGTGCAGGTCGGGACGTTGGCGATTGAGAACGGGTGCGACTGGAACCAAACCGTCGGGGTAGAGGCGAAGGATGGGTCGAGGAAGTGCAGGAAGCAGTGTTGGCCGGCTAAGGGAGGGATGAGGTCAGCCGGCGACCAAAGTCTGTAGAGAAGAAAGAGACTCACCCTGCCACTCTCCCTTGAACGGCACCCTCAACACGACTGCTCCTTCAATCAGCGTCGCACTCGCCTTGACAAGCGGCGACCTGAACTTGAGCTGAAGGAGGAGACTGAGGGAACAAGTCTGGACGAGTCGCATGACGCGTTCGAAGATCCAGAAACCGAGGGGGACGTAGAGCCAGACGCGGAGGGAGGGGACGTGGTAGATGATGCCGACGAGGACGAGGATGACGCCCGTGACGTGCGCGACGAGGAAGGTCTCGTAGAAACGCATGCGGATGGGGCGGAGGGAGAAGACGCAGAGGAGGATGAGGCCGACGATCATCTGCGGGCGGACTCGTCAGCTTCGAGCTCGTCGCTTTGACACGAGAGACGCTACGCACGGCGATGCCAGTCCGCCCGAGGTAGTTGTGCAGCCACAGGCTACCGACGCCATTCCCGCCGAACCAAACGAGTTGCGCGCAAGTCGCATCGATCGTGTGCACAACGCCAAGCAGCGCCATCCACGCCGCAAGCAACTTGTGGCAGAACCGCAAGTGCTGCTCGTCGATGCCTGTCAAGAACCGCACGAGGCTGTTCCGACCAGTCAGCGCGATGACGGATGGCGACTGGGCCATCGACATCCATCCGCATCGAAGGGCGACAATGTGGATGGTGTTCCAGGTGCTGTTCTGCGGTCCGTTGTACTCGAGAGTGATGGCGAGGACGAAGCCGACGTTGAGTGCGATCGAGGCGAGGACGAGGAAGACTTGGAGGGGGTTCTCGAGGCCGCACGCCCAGCGCGACCGCAACGGGAGGAAGACAATCGCGTCCATCTTAGCCGACCACGTCGCCCGGTGTCCCAGCGGCTCGTACGCCTCCTTCTGCTCGCCCAGCTTCTCCATCTGCAGCGAATTGAGCTTCTGGAGGACCAGCCTCCATGCCCTGTTCCGCCGCGCGATAACCCGTGCGATGTTTCGGATGGTCAAGAGTGCGATTATGGCGACGATGATGTACTGGTAGGCGAGCGCGAATGAGCGGTCGGCTTTCTGCTGGCGTACCGTCTCGTGCGTGCGGACGAAGGTGCTGGCAGTGAGTCGCGTGACGTGCGAGAGACCCGGCGTCGCTGGGGCCGCTGCGGCGAGGAAGGTCGAAGGGTGGAGAGGCGACATCGCGCTGCGATTGTCGGCGACAAAGGGGAGGGTGAAGGGGGGGCCTACGGAGGAGGCGAAACCGGCCGGCGGTTTGTCGAAAGGCGAAGAAAGGAAGCGAGCGCGCGTCGACCCAGCGACTTGGCTTCTAGCAACGAAAAGCACAGCGATCCAGCAGGACAAGGACGAGGGAGAGAGGGAGGGAGAGGAGGGAGCGCTCAAAAGCGAGTGACCCGACAAATGCTGTCGCCCATCGAGGCATGGCCTGCGTCCAATCCAGCGGAATCCTGTCCGAACTCCAGAGAAGGCCCGGCCGGCTTCATGGCATGTGTACGAGTCCGGCAGCGAGTACTCCAGCCTCCTGCCAGATCCGGGACGAGGACGGCTCAACTCTTGCAGGCCGCATTGTACGTGCCTGTGCACGCGAGAGATCTGTCGGACTGATCGGGATGCAGCTGGCCTTGCAAGGACGGCCGCTCGGTCGAACAATGCTGGCGGGTGGACTGTTGCGGGTCGAGAGGAGGCGAAGGTCGGTGTCGGCGTGCGGGCGTCGCAGACGTGGCTGGGCAGCGTTCGAGCGTGCACAAGCAAGCAACCAGAGCACACAGCGCTAGCCAACGGCGTCAGCGAGTGAGGGGCACGCCGCTGAGGAGCGAGTCGCGGAGGAGGAGGAGGGCTTCCTCGTCCGACACCGCTCGTCGTCTCGCTTGAAGTGCTGCTACTGATGCTACTCAGTATGCAAAGGCCCACGAGGTACGTGCAATTCACTCTCGCTGCTCCCACGACGCCAGCTCACCACCCTCTTCCTCCTCAGTTCTTCATCAGCCAAAGCGGTTTGCGTCCGACACACCGGCTTGGAGGGGGCGACTGTCTCGCACAGCTGGCCTGAGTTGTGTCAGCAACGCCTGGTCGTAGCCTGCGCGCAGATCGAGCCGCTGCTGGCTTCGAAGCGCTGCCATCCTGCCGCCGTCCCTCGAAGACCTCGAGTTCCTCTCGCTCCGCTCAATGCGCATACACGGCGCTTGGTCGCCTGTACGCCACACGGCCATGCGGTGCACGAAGACACGCGCGCGCTGCTGGCCTGCGGGTGCCGAATCGACACCCGTCTTGCTCGCATCGCTCTATCCTGCGCTCTCGAGTTCTATCAAGGGCCTGCAGGCGATCTTCCCCGACGGCAATCTGACCATCAAGCTTACAGCTCGCTTGCGCGCATCCAGACTCGAAGATCCATACCCATCAGCGTGCGGGTCAGGAGCTGCTTCCTTCGCTCCGGACGTCTCGCTGATCCACGAAGCACAAGACGGTCCCCTGGACAACTGTGGCTGGCTGGACACGTGTAGACTGACTGCCATATAGCCCAGGACGAGCTTTGCGCCTCAGTTGCGTCGCAGTTCCTCCCCAAAGCCCGCTTCACCTCCTCGAGGTCGACTTTGTCCCCTCGCGTTTCACTGACCGGTCCGCCCGGGACTGTACGTTGATGCAATCACACGAGCGTGCTCCGAATGCCAGCGCACACTGAGAGAAAGCGAGAGCGTGAGACTGCGGCTCTCGGTGAGAGCGGCGCACGGGTCCCAGGTTGACCTCACCTTGTCCCGCTTCTCTCGCTTGAACCGCTCCCGACGCAGAGGCAGACACTCGACCAGCCATGCTCCCCTACGACCAGGCGAGTCTCACCTCCCGCCCAGTCCAACTCGCGCTCGGAGACGTCGCTGACAGCCATCGCTATCGTCCTCGAACCCAACCTCGCCCTCGCCTCGCCCTTCCACACCCGCTGGACGATGTATGACCACCGCAACAGATCACCACCCAGCTCGAATGGCTGCAGAACCTCTCCATCCCGCCCGTCGCGCCAGAGGGACTCCAGCACAAGTCGCTTCGCAAGGTGCGTCCAACGGGGTGGGGCTTCGCGTCTCCTCAGCTCGATTCGACTCGGATCCTGTGCAGTGCCGCTGACAAAGTCTCTCTGCATGTTCTCCCACGCAGGTGAGCTGTCTGATCTCGACTGCGACGCGAGACGGCCGCGACATCCTCGTCGAACGCCGAGCGAGGCTGTCGAGCTGATCCGGGATGGCCGTCCGCTCGCGCAGAGCGAATTGCTCTTGCTGCTCTAGACTGCCTGACTGACCATGCTTGACTTGCCGTAGACCTCGATCATCGCTACCATCGGTGCGCATCTGTCCTCGACCGTCCTTATCGTCAGTCTCGCTCACCTCGCTCTTGTCGCGCAGGCCCCAAGACCAACTCGCCCGAGATGATCCACAAGCTCCGCATGGCCGGTGTTAACGTCGGTGAGCTAGCCTCGGCAAGTCCGGGCCTCTCGAACGAATTCGCCTGCTCACCTTCACCTCGACCTTCGCAGTCCGTATGAACTTCTCGCACGGCTCGTACGAGTACCACCAGTCCGTCATCGACAACACCCGCAAGGCTGTTACCAGTGAGCCGCCCTTTCGTTGCGCTCCCACCTGTACTTGCAACTGACGCGCCGTTCTTGCAGTGGGTGAGGGTCGCCCGGTCGCTATCGCCCTCGACACCGTCTGTTTATTCCTTTGCGCCCCGCTACTGTCTCTGTACTGAGCTTCTCGGCTTACACGTACGCAGAAGGGCCCCGAGATCCGTACCGGCAACATGCTCAACGATGCCGACGTTCGTCCTTTCCTTGCCTCGCTCGCATGATCTCCAGCTGACCTCGTCTCGCGCAACAGATCAAGATTAACGCCGGCCACCGCATGAAGTTCTCGACGAAGCCGGAGTACGCCGACAAGTGCGACGACAAGGTTATGTTTATCGACTACAAGAACATCACCAAGGTCCTCGAGCCCGGCAAGCCCATCTTTGTCGACGACGGCATCCTCTCGTTCAACGTCATCTCGATCGGCACCGATGAGGTCGAGGTCGAGGCCGTCAATAACGGCACGCTCTCGTCTCGCAAGGGTGTCAACCTCCCCGGCACCGAGGTCGACCTCCCCGCCCTCTCGCAGAAGGACAAGGACGACCTCCTCTTCGGTGTCAAGAACGGCGTCGACATGATCTTTGCCTCGTTCATCCGCCGCGGACAGGATGTCAAGGACATTCGCGCGCACCTCGGCGAGGCGGGCAAGAACATCAAGATCATCGTCAAGATCGAGAACTTGCAGGGTGTCGCCAACTTTGACGAGATCCTCCGCGAGACGGACGGCGTCATGGTCGCCCGTGGTGACCTCGGTATCGAGATCCCCGCGTCGCAGGTCTTCATGGCGCAGAAGATGATGATCGCCAAGTGCAATCTCGCCGGCAAGCCCGTCATCTGCGCGACCCAGATGCTCGAATCGATGACCTACAACCCGCGCCCGACCCGCGCCGAGGTTTCGGACGTCGCCAACGCTGTCCTTGACGGCGCCGACTGCGTCATGCTCTCCGGCGAGACCGCAAAGGGCTCGTACCCCATCCAGGCCGTCGAGATGATGGCAGAGACCTGCCTCCTCGCCGAGTCGGCCATCTCCTACCCCGCCCTCTTCAACGTGCGTCCCGGAGTGCCCTCCGTTCGCATCCATCGAGCTGACCCGACTCTCGCGCACGCCCGCAGGAGCTCCGCGCCATGACTCCCCGCCCTAC